ACCTTCAAACTGTGTTCACAGTCATCTCTGACTCAACACTCTATTGACTGGTTTCTGATTGACTTTTTCTGTGTGGCATCAAACAGAAAAACAGAAATAGAAGAGGTTATTCACCCCTGGTATGCAGCATTGTGGCCTTATTCCTTGGCACTCCGTGACAACCAATGGTTTTACCTTTCCTCATGAACTTTGATTTTGTGCTCTCGGGTATTAAAGAAAAGTTGGACATCTTGTTGTCCTTCATTTTGTGGAAGGAGGCGTTTTCCACCACAGACTCAATTTGTTGGCTGTTTAGCTCCTTGCCAAGAAAATGACAGATCTTCTGCACGCTGCCTCGAAGGTCCTGCAGAAAGCAAAAGCAAATGGCTGTGAATCCTCATGTGATGGAGAGAGCTTGCCCTTCATCAGGAGGTACACAGAGAGCATGAGTACCAGTATGCAATGTGCACTGGGTAAGATGGATGCCTTGAAGATGTGGAATTTGTTGTTATCACCATGCAGAAGCCACTGTGTCTCCAGCTGCCCCTCAGCCAGCACAGCACCCATGGGGCATCTGAGTCAGCAAGAGACATTGCCTTTGAGGCAGAAAAGCAGGTTATTGGCACATCTGTTCTAATGCAGAACAAAGGAAATGTACTCTGCACATGATATGCTGTGTATGTAGAGGTAGCAATGAATTTTGCACATACTCAGAATCCCTTTCCATCCAATATTACCAGAATCTTTCAACAACAACAACAAAGGCAGCTTCATGTGTGAATAATGTCAGAATTGTATCTTTCTTCCCGAGCGGCCTTGCTCCCCTAACAATTAAGGGCAATTTCCAAATTACATGGAAACGAGCAGTGAAAAATATAACTAATCTAGGCTTCAACACGGGGCATGAACAAGCTAACAAAAACATTAAACAGTGTGTGGAAGCCACAGAACACCAAGCAGACCTAGCCAGGTCCCCAAACTTTCTAATCAGCGAAACCAGAAGATACCTCACTTCCCAAATGCCATATATAACCAACCTTGAAATCTCAAAACATCAAAGGCCTTCAGTCTGGCCCGTTGTTAGGCCCTCCCCTCAGCCATTCAGGAAGGCTGTTATAGGAAGACACCATATGAGGAGAGGAAATGCCCATGTGGTTCTGGGCAGCAGGAAACAACGAAACATGTCTTTTTCCATTGCCAGTACTATGTAGACATACGAGTCAGGTTTATCCTGCCTATCCTGCTTAACTTCCAAAGATGCACAGAACAACTTAACATCTCCCTACTACTCCAGGATGAAAACCCAGATTTTACATATTCAGTTGCTAGATTTTGTGCTGCCATTATGGATAGTCACCAAAGGATATTCACCCATTTCTGCTATAAACCAGTCCTAAACTGAAGGCCCATATTGCAAGACCATTATTCCCATAAACTCCACCCCTTATAGTTGTTTTAATTGCGTGCCTTTTGGTCCTTATCAGTTTTAATTATCAGTTCTTCCTCATCAATTATTTGTGTTTAATCTCATACTCTATTCAAGTGTTCTATCCTATGCTTGTTTCTTTGTTCTTATATACCTTAGCAATCACCTGTCTAAATCCTAACTGCTATTTTATTCATATGTTCCTCTTATGCCGGTCTGTGACCGTAAGAAAGTTTTATTCATGTCAGAACTGGGGCAGCAGCTCAACACAGTTAAAATTGGACCTTTACCTGCTGTAGTTCTTCATAAGTGATGAAGAAGATGTTGGCTCTCTCCTTCATCTCCACCCAGCCTTTCACATGGTCAAACCAGGAACCATAACCCACTGGAAGAGCAAAGAGGAAGCAAGGGTGAAATGTAAGGAGTTGGGGGGGGGAGTAGAGAATGCTATTGTAAATGTAGAGGAAACACCAGCCAGGAACTTGGAAAATAACTGCAATATCCCTTAAAAACAAAATCAGTAACAGGAGACTTCAACGCTACCCTGTGTCCAATACCACCTGCTGACTGATCTATGTACTGACATTATTCATGTACGAGAGAAGTAAAGTACACATTTGTACACATTACTTAGCTGAAGAAGTGCATTGCAAAATTCAGGGATTGTCTTTGTTTCACTTTGTGTACTTCAGAAAGTGAAAAACATGTAACTTTCACATGTGGTGGACTTATTCACGTGCGCAGATTTTGGAACCAGGTTTTACAGGAAATGAAGGATATCTTGGGCACACAGGTCTATTCAGATGTTCAACTTGTTTGCTGCCCATCTTTCTTTCTTTATAAATTTCTTAACATTTATTTGCTTGTTGCTCCTTGACTAATCATTATCCAGAGATGGAGAACAAACCGGACTTCCCCTTCATACCTCGTTTACGAAGCTCCTATATATCACAATACAGTTGTACCTTGGAAATCGAACAGAATCCGTTCCAGAAGTCCGTTTTCGGAAACCAAGGCGAGGCATCCAATTGGTTTCCGATTGTGCAGGTGTGCCAGAAACAATAGAAGCTGTGCTGGATGTTTGGCATCCGAAAAAAGTTCAAAAACCAGAACACTTATTTCCCATTTTTGATTCTTCAGGAGCCAGAAGGTTCGGCTTCGGAGACATTTGGGATCCAAGGTATGACTGTATCTGAAAAACTCATTCATTTTTCATGGGTTTCCAGGGATAAAGCCAAAGCTTAGGACTATGCAGCTACATGGTGGTTGTTCATGACTTATGTCAAAAGCAAACTTATGGCGGACAGGTTTAGTGGACACTATGTCCACTAAATCCAAAATCTATTTACCTAATTGCAATACTGACCTGACTTGGGGTAAGTGACATTCACTATATCATCATCGAACACTTTGAAGTCGTTTTCCACATAGCTGTTTCCTCTGAGTACATTTCTGGAGAAAATGGGATCCCCTTGTATTTGAAATAAGGCATTGATAATACTGAAAAACTAAAGCTATGAGAGAGAGAGAGAGAGAGAGAGAGAGAGAGAGAGAGAGAGAGAGATTATGCCACATCCTTAGGGACATTCAGGTAGCTACTGTTCTAGAGCCAAATTCTGGGGATAGCTGGGGGCAGGGGAGAGTTCAGGAGGTGGTGGTAGGCCATCAGCAGATGCTCAAGTGGTACCACCAGGTGTGGTGGAAAAAAATTCAAGAAACTCAATTCTGAATACATGTCATATCTGGCAGCGCTGGGTCAGATACTGGTCAGCATGAAGAGGCAGAGTCCGTGGTCAGTGAAATTAATGTTTTATTCAAGGAAATGGCAACTCAACAATTTTTCCAGGTCAGTCTTTCCCATATAGAGCTGTTGTCTGGACTGAATGTCCTTTTCTTGCACACTTTCTAAGGCACCTCCTCTCCCAGATGTTGTCCAAGCAGTCTCCAACTGTCTATGTTCATCTCTGGACTCTTCTCTTCCCCTCCTCATGATCTTGCATGTTCTTTGAGATCGGGATACAGGAGGAGCTTCTTGCAGCCAGAGAGGACCATTTCCGTGATTCTTCAGCAGCTCATCATTCAGATCTGCTTCCCCAGGGCATTCCCAGCAGAAACTTATGAGCTGATGAAACTGGTTCCTGCCAGTGGTGCAAAAATCACTGTGTGTACTTCTCACCCGCAGGATAAAGGCAATTGGGGGGGAGGGGTGCACAATTAAGCTCCTTGCCAAGGGCACAAGGGAACCTAGTTACGCCACTGATTCCCTGCGTGGAACATCCTAGCAAAGCAGACCCCTCAGGCTCCCCACCCAACACCACGTCCTGTAACAGGCCTGGATCTCCCTGATATCCTGGGCTGCCTCAACCTGACTCAGCCTAAGCACAGATCCCTGCCCCCACCGTCACTGGAATAGGCCTGAATCAGTGTGTAATTTAATTTGTGAAGAACTTTCCACCACTGGCTGCCTCTTCTCTTATTTTTCTTCTAGTCTTTGCTCTTCCCACTTTTCTTCAAGCAACATGCCAGCTGAGAATAGCTTTTGCCCCAATCTATAGCATGTCCACTGTAGTTCATGCACTGGCACCCTTGAGGCTAAATTACCGTAATGTGTTCCTTGTGGGGCTGCCTGTGGGTCTGGTTCGGAAACTCCAGCTGCTGCATGATACTGCAGCCATATTGCTAACGGGAGCTTCTGGTCGAGAACATGTGACCCCACTGTTAAAACAGCTGCACTGGCTGCTCATCTGCTACTGAGCCAGGTTCAAGGTACTTGCATTGATTTACAAAGGAGCATCTTCAGTTGTGCCCCATGTTGATGTGTCTCATTAGAAAACAAGAAACCAAGCTTTCAGTGTCATTGGCCTTGCCATGTGGAACACCTTGCCAACAGAGATTCAGTGGGAGCCTTCTTTACCACCTTTTAAACACCTGCTTGAAAATTCTCTGTTTTGCCAGCCCAGTGCAGGCCATTAAGAGTACATTTCCCGCAAGGTCTGTTGCTGTTTGTTTTTAACTTGTTCTTAGCTTTTTGTGATTTTACTGTTTAGTTTTATGATACAGTGGTATATAAATATTTGTATGAATGTACAGATAAATATTCATTTACCCAGTCTCTAACCTGTTATATAAATTTATTCATTTTACCCTGCTGCTTAGCATCCAAAGAGGAAGTTTTCTAAGAGCAGTACATGCATTTTAAAAAAGAACACAAACAGGGAAGGCATCTGATGATGTGCCCTCATATTGTAACGTGCCAGGCATGTTATCATGGAAGAACACAATCATCTTGTGACGCTTCCATAGGCATCCTATCTTGAGCAGTGTGAAGAGTCCTTTTTGGCTGACGAGGTTGAAGGCCTTCATCAGGTCTATGAAGGCGATGTTCAAGGGGAGTCTCAGTCTCAGCATTTCTACTCTAGCTGCTGCAGTGAGACCTCCAAGCTCTAAAGACACTTTGTGATTTGGTAAAAAAAATAAAGAACAACTGTACAATTCCTGATCAGGTATGTTTATTAGCACAGTGGTATCAGAAACTAGCCAAACCATATGATACATAAGAATGTGGAGAAAATCAGGAGCAACAATCTGTGATACTTCATTCCCAAGGGAAAGTCATATTCACACCACGCATGTTCTCCCAGTAAACACGGTCAAAGTGTTCACTCTGTGCCACTGTCAGGTGGTTCTTCCAGTCCCCGCAGATCCCTAGAACAAGACAAGAGCAAGTGGCAACCACCAAGATGTTCACCTGAAATTATGTAAACTTAAATTGGGACATTTCTTCTTCGTCCTCAACTGTGAGGCAGGCAACCCCTCAGGTAGCTGATGTTACTGATGTGTCTTAATGGCCTGGAGAATCTGCAACCTGTTTTCAGGGAGTCCCCAGCATTATCCAGGTCCCAAAATTGTGCAGATACATCCTTGTTCTCCAGACTGCCTCTTTCAGAATAATTTCTTATTTTGATCTGGATACCCATGAAATAGATAGACTTAGATGGGATGTTGTACAGAGAGGAAGATATACAATCCTGCGAACTGTACCCCCTTCTGCACCTGCAAACTGTGTTGACAGTCAGCTCTGACTCTATGCTCTATTGACTGGTTGCTGATAGATTTTTTCTGTGTGGCATCAAACATCCACAGAAAAAGAAGAGGTTCTTCACCCCTAGCATGAGCATTATGGCTTTATTCCTTGGCAACCAATGTTTTTACCTTTCCTCAAGAGTGTGGCTTTTGTATGGTCAAAAATGTTGTCTGGTGTTAAGGAAAAGTTGGACATCTTGTTGTCCTTCATCTTGTGGAAGGAGGCGTTTTCCACCACAGACTCAATTTGTTGGCTGTTCAGCTCCTTGCCAAGAAAATGACAGATCTTCTGCACGCTGCCTCGAAGGTCCTGCAGAAAGCAAAATCAAATGGCTGTGAATCCTCATGTGATGTAGAGAGCTTGCCCTTGATCAGGTGGCACACAGAGAGCATGAGTACCAGTATGCAATGTGCCTTGGGCAAAATGAATGTCTTCAGGATGTGGAATTTGCTGTTGTCACCTTGCAGAAGCCACTCTGTCTCCACCTCCCCTCAGCCAGCACCACACCCAGGGGGCACCTGAGTTAGCAGGAGACATTACCTTTGAGGCAGAAAAGCAGGTTATTGGCACATCTGCTCTAAAGTAGAAGAAAGGAAATGTACTCTGCCCATGATATGCAGTGTATGTAGAGGTAGCACCGAATTTTGCACATACTCAGAATCCCTTTCTAGCCGATATTACTAGAATCTTTCAAAAAAGAAGGCAGCTTCATGTGTGAATAATGTCAGAATTGGGGCTGCAGGTCAACACAGTTAAAATTGGACCTTTACCTGCCGTAGTTCTTCATAGGTGTTGAAGAAGATGTTGGCTCTCTCCTTCATCTCCACCCAGCCTTTCACATGGTCAAACCAAGAACCATAAGCCACTGGAAGAGCAAAGGGGAAGCAAGGGTGAAATGTAAGGAGTTATTGGGGGGGGGGGGAGAAGAGAATGCTATTGTAGACGTAGAGGAAACACCAAACAAAATCAGTAACAGGAGACTTTTAGAGTTACGTAAAAATAAATACTTTCTGGTGGTAGACATCACTGGTGCTGGGTCACAGCAAACAAGAGTGGCTGATTTGCCACCTTCCATACCTTCCCCACTCAGGAAACTCTCCATAAACTCTTCCATAGTTCCAAGGTCCTTCAATTCTTTAAAGCCTTTGATGAAGTGGTAGACTGAAACCATGGCATCTCTGGGGTCACGCAGAGTATAAACTACCTGTTACAAAGACAGGGCCACATTTAGGGAGAGCCCAAGCAGCCCTACCCTAACATTAGGCAGAGTGTGGCAGCAAACTGAAAGCACAATAAATAAAGCCTGACTTGGAAACAGGAGAAGCCTGCAGTGAGGACCTGGGCTGAGCATGCATGTGGACCATGGCCAGTTCAATTTCTCGAGCAATCATGAAACTGCTAAGGAGATTTCTGATATTCCTCCCTATCCTCTAGTACAAAATATGGTATCCTCCTAAAAATGAGCTGTGCCAAGTGTTTGTGCTCCAATATCCCACACATCTGTGTGTCAGAAACACAGAAGCCAAAGACAGGCTTGATGTGTCTGTCGTTCCTCTCTCACCTTGGCCTTGGAGTGGAGGAAGGACTTGGGGAAAAGCTGGAATGGCAGGTGAGTAGTCAGGATCCTGGGGGAAGGATTTTTCAAGGCAATCTGCAAATGATCGGCATACTCAATGCAGGGTGCCCTTTCTGTCAGTGGTACATTCTGAACCCATGTGGGGTCCCCTTGACTCCGGATTAAGCTCAAGATCTCTGACATCCAATGAGTACCTAGGAGAAAATCCACCAGTCAGAGGCTTCTTCTATAAAACCACTTGTACATTAATGTCTGGCCCTTGCTAAATCAAATGGAGAAACTTAAACAATCGAATGGATCTTTGTCCCCTGCTAGCTATTCAGCATCCTCCTATGCGGCAAGATTCCCCACATCAGGGATGGTATACTGTTGTGAAGTTGACTATATTATTTAGCTGGTTGTTGCGCAGATGACAACAGACTCAAATCTGCTTGATCAGGCCAATGGCCTATCCTGTCCAGCTCCCTGTTTCTCCCAAAAGCCTGTGGGAAACCAGAGAGCAGAACATGAGCTCAAGAGCATTCCCCCTCCTGTGGTTACCAGACAGTAGTATTTGGTAGCATTACTGCCTCAACTGTGGAGGCAGAGCACAGCCATCATGGCTAGTAGCCACTAATACCCTGCTCCATGAATCTGTCTCCTCCTCTTATGTGCTCCATCATGCATCACTTTACACTTGTTTACATTGACTTGCCTTTGCCATTTTGCTGACCATGTATTTTTAGTGTCAGCAAACCTGGCCACCTCACTACTTGATCATTTATGAACAAATTAAAAGCACAGGTCCCAATACCAACTCCCAAGAAATGGGTCCTTTCTAAGGGAATGCCTCCCTCTTCTTCAAAGTGATGTTCTCCTTTCTCAGGACCTACCTTCTTCCTGACGGCAGGAGAGCTGTCATTGTGGGAAGGTCACCCAGCTACCACATCCCTGAAGGCCTCATCCACCACTTTCTCTGCCTCCTACTCTTTCTAGTTCTGCCACCTTGGCCTCAAGGGAAGGAACTTGTTCCCAGCGAACCAGAATCTCATGGCACCTCTGACATACACATGACTTCTGTGCCATGGGGAGATAGTCATACAATTGGCAGAGGGTGCAAAACAATGCAAACCCCCACACCCCTGCTGGTTTTGATAATTTGCTTCTTTTAATTTAGTTACCCATTGACTTTCCTGCTTGCTAGATTTCTGTTTTCTTGTGCGGTTCTTAGTCTAGTTTACTGTGGTTCCCTGAATTGTCCTGTCTAGGTAGCTTTTCTATAGACTTCCTAGCCCTAGGATTTAGCTCCTGTGTTGTGGGTTTTCACAGGATTTTTATCCTGGTGAAATGTGACCTTACTGTGCCCTTGTCAATCCAAGTTGCTTTAATTCAATCATTAAGTTAGGTGGGTGTTAATTATGAGGACTATAACAGACAGATGGCATATTTGTCTATATACAACCAACATTTAGATATGGTTATCCTGACACAGCATCAGAGATAGACTTTGGTAATATGGTGTCCTGAGCAAGGACAAAAATTCCCCTCCACCCAAAAAAACATTTTCACAATAATACATTTAGGTACAGTTGCTTTTTTAATAAATCTTCTCAGTAGGTAACCAAATAAATATAGGTTTCATTATGATTCTGATTGTGATTATGCACCCCTCGGCTTGGCACCCCATGCAAGGAAATCACCCACATCGCCCATATCCAGCACCAAAAGCGTTCCTAGTGACATGACAGAAGCATGCCATAACAGAAAGAAAGAAAGATTTGAAAATCTCTGTTATTTTTTTGCAAGGTTTCCGGACATCCCCATGAATTTCAAGTGTTCTTTCACTTCTTTCTGTGAACATCAACAGTGGCTAGGGATGGTGTAATACGTTTATTTTGATTTCTCCTTTTTGCAATCTTACATTTAATTCTCCATATTTCCATGTCAGTTTGTGAATTTTCTTGCACATTTCTACAAAGCATTTTCCCTTACTATAATAAATTTTTATTCACCCCCCCTAAAGTATGTACCGTATTTTATGCACACTATTCTAGTATATGCATTTTTGTACACATTACTTAGCTAAAGAAGTGCATTGCTAAATTCAGAGAATGTCTGTGTTTCACTTCAAAAAGTGAAAAACATGTAACTTTCACATGTGGTGGACAGGTCTATTCAGATATTCAACTTGTTTGCTGTCCACCTTCCTTATTTGTAAATTTCTTATAATTTATTTGTTTATTGCTCCTTGACTAATCGTTACCCATTGATGGAGAACTAACTTGACTTTTCCCCTTGATACCTGGTTGAAGAAGGTCTTATATATCGCAACATCCGAAAAACTAAACTCATTCATTTTTCATGGGTTTCCAGGGATTAAGCCAAAGTTTAGGACTATGCAGCTACTTGGTGGTTGTTCATGACTTATGTCAAAAGCAAACTTATACCTGGCAGGTTTACTGGATACTTTAAGTTTAAATCCAAAGTCTATTTACTTAATTGCAACACTGACCTGACTTGGGGTAAGTCACGTTCACTATATCATCATCCAACAGTTGAAAGTCATTTTCCAAATAGCTGAGTTTTTCCACTGAGTTAAACTGTTGAGCAAAAATGATTCCCTTGTATTTGAAACAAGCCATTGATGACTCTGAAAAACTGAAGATGAGAGAGAGAGGGAGAGAGATTATGTCACATCCTTAGGGACATTCAGGTAGCTACTGTTCTAGAGCCAAGCTCTGTGGATAGCTGGGGAGCAGGAGGAAGGGGAGAGTTCAGGAGTTGGTGATGGGCCATCAATAGATGGTTGAGTGGTCCCACCTGGTGTGGTGGTGGGAAATCCAAGGAACTCACTTCTGAGTACATGCCATATCTATCAAGGCTGGGTCAGATACTGGTCAGCGCAAAGAGGAAGAGTCCGTTGTCAGTGAAATCAGTCCTTTATTCAAGGAAATGGCATAAAACTTAGCAATACTTCCTGGTCAGTCTTTCTCCTATGGAGCTGTTGTCGGGACTGAATGTCCCTTTCTTCCACACTTTCTAAGGCTCCTTCCACACTTTCTAAGGCTCCAGGAGGAGCTTCTTGCAGTCAGAGAGGGCCATTCCTGAGATTCTTCAGCAGCTCCTTGACCCACCCCCTTATCTGCTTCAGTCTGAACTGCTCGCTGTCATCACTTTTCCCTGCTCAGTAAACCTTCTCAGCATCCTTATCCTTCTCCCAATCCTCTCCTTCTGACCTCTCCTCAGTGTCCCACCACCAAACTCCTGACTCTCAGCCTTCAACTGGTGCCTCTCACCACACTTCAGCCAGCCAGATCTTGACAGCAGCAGGCTTTCAAATCTCAATTTGATCATGGGCACATGTTTTCATACCATTAACTCAGATCACTTCCATTAGGAAATAGGTCCAAAGACATCCTCTAGATGACTGCAACTATGTATCAACTACAGGAAAATCGGTTTACGCCATGTTCACACCTACCCAAAGCAAGGCACAAACCCCTCTGTACACACACTGGGGCTACTCTCACACTGTTTACCTAAAGTGCAAAAGAGTCTTCCCTCTTCCCTGCTTCTGCCAATAGGAGGCCAGGTGAGACGAACTTTTGCCTGTATATGGAACCCTTGGTACTCATGTATTGATTTAAAACATTCCACTTGCTCAGCAGCTGCAAACATTTCCAGAACAGCTTTACGTAACAGCGGTAAACCAAGGGCAGAGCAAACAGTCCCCACTCACAGCCTTAAAATCTCGAAAGACAATCCACAAGGAACGGGGTGGAAAAACCCATTTGTAAAACTTCAAATATATGACACTGATGACCAGATTGCATAGAATCCATTTGGGAAGAAGAGAAGTGAAATGAAGCTGGTCTCTCAGCAGAGGCACTTCTCTCCCTTCTCTCTCACAGCTGCCAACAGGTGGAGGACTGCCAATAGCAGGGAGGAAAGGAGCAGGGGGAGAGCCAGTGGGTGGACCTGTTGTCCTGTCTTTCTTCCACTGCTACATTTATAGACTATAGCAGTTAATTTAAAACCCATGCATGTTCCAATCTGGAAAAGGAAAGAGGGAGCCAGGAGGAGGGAAGAGTTCTTCAAGGGGAGGAGAATGAGGTTGAGAGGATCTGAAAGAACGTAAGCAATGCTTGAATACAGGAAGGAAACAGGAGCAGTCTTTATAATTCAGCAGCTACTAGAGCATCCTGTGGGTCAGGGAAAGATACTTACTGTGAGAGGAAACCTTGCAAAGAGTCTGCAGGAATACCAGGAAGTAAGAAGTGTTGGAAACTTCAGCAGGTATATTTGGAGTACAACGACCCAGCATAGCATGAACTTCCTACATCAATAAAATGAAAGTGCCAATGAACTTTGGATGAAACCATTCCCAACCAGAGAGGGGAGTTTCTATTCCAAACCAAGCATGCCTCTTAAAGACACAGGCCATGCTCACTACAGTTGAGTCTGGAGCTTCCTTCTCTTCCTGGCTCACAGAGCAAGACTTAAACACTGAGTCCGCAGGGGATGTGTTTTCTCCCCCCCCCCCACCTCCACAATTCATAGATGGGGAGGAGTTTCAATCTTGCTGGGAAGGGCACTTGTGAAGGAGCATTTTGCAGCCCTCCAGACCAAATCTGCTGCTCACCAGCTGTTTTTCAAAGACTCAGCTCTGCTCAGATCTGCTTCCCCAGCGCATTCCCTACAGAGGCTTAGGGGTTGGTGAAACAGGCCCCTGCTAGTGGTGCAAAAATCATGTAGCAGACTATGGAGTGGATGACATATACCGTATTTTTCCATGTATTAGACAAAGTTTTTGTCCTCAAAACTAACGTTTAAAAATGGGGGAGGTCCATGTTGCTTCCGCTAGGCTAAGGTGGTCAGCTGTATTATTGGTGGCTGCAACAAGTGCTGGTGTGGATTTGCTGTCAATACGACTTCTGGCAGTGAGGCAACAGCTGATAGGGAAAAGCTCCACAACTCTGGGCAATCTCCCCCCATTTTCTTAAGTTTGAGTCCCCCCAAATAGGGGGTGTCTTATACATGGGGCCATGTTATACACGGAATGTGTCTGGTGACATGAAGCCACTGTTTCTGTCAGTTCATATGTGAAAGAAGCTTACCGTCCTCACACTGCAGGATAAAGGCAAATTTTTTTGGGGGGGTGCACGATAAAGCTCCTTTCCAAGGGCACAAGGGACCCCAGTGTGTAGTGAAATAAATAAATATTTATTTATTTATTTATTTATTTATTTATTTATTTATTTATTTAATATTTATTAAGGTTTCAAAAAAAAGGTAGTGAAATAAATATTTAATTGCCTCCCCAAGGGGTCCCTGCCTCAGAAGGAGGACCAGGACCTCGGAAGGAGCACAATTGAAGGCTCTGTACCAGCTGGGAAAAGACGACCACACCAGGATTTGGAAAAAGCAAAGCCTGATCTTTATTAAAAGAACAGGGGGGAAAAACACACACACAAAAAACTGTTGTAACAGGGTCCCCGCTCATGCAATGACAAGGAGTCAGAGAGCCCAAACAAAAGGACTACCTTGATTCTTATACCTTTTGATTTTCATCCAGATCAATAGCAGAGGAGGTGGCGGGAAGCGACATGAGAGGTGCGAAGAGTGGATTAACATAAGGTAAATAGGATGTTGAAAGACTTACGGGAGGTGTCAATTTGCTGAAGGCTCAGGTGATATGTGTCGATCTTCGTGTTATTTAATTTTTGGATCTGCTTAAATGGCTTTTCCTTTACAGGATAATCAGTATGCAGATCGTGAGGCTGGATGTTCAGGAAGATGTTCAGGAAATGGCTTAAATGTTAATGTGAAATCCTATTCTGCATTGCTATCAATTCGAGTGTGATAGCCTGATGTTTGCATACTTTTTTGAAAATAAAACTACAGTGGTACCTCGCAAGACGAATGCCTCGCAAGACAAAAAACTCGCTAGACGAAAGGGTTTTTTGTTTTGTGAGCTGCTTCGCAAGACGGAAACATCTTGCAAGTTTGTTTCCTTTTTCTTAACACCGCTAATACAGTTGCGACTTGACTTCGAGGAGCAACTCATAGAACGCGATGTGGTAGCCTTTTTTGAGGTTTTTAAAGACTTTGGTGATTTTTGAAGCTTTTCCAAAACTTTCCCGACACCGTGCTTCGCAAGACGAAAAAAATTGCAAGACGACAAAACTCGTGGAACGAATTAATTTCGTCTTGCGAGGCACCACTGTACTTTATTTTGAGCTCTTATCTGTGTGTATTCATGGTATCGTTTGTAGACCCAGTAGGTGGCAGTGTGGTGGAGAGTCTTGGCAGCCTTTTGGATACAATATCGAGTCAAGTATATACATTTTGAAATACTTAGATTGTTACATTCTTTAAAACTACAATTTGGATACATTTAGAAAAGTACCGCATACTAGGCATTTCAGAAAAGATACATTCACAAATACATTTTAAAAGGATAGCTTCATGGAGAAAGAGGTACACTTCGTAGAGAAAAGATTCATTTCAGTAAGGGCATTCAGACTCATTTCAGTGAGACAGAAATAGCAGCAGGCACGTTACATTAAGATGATGCATTAAAATGGAAAAGGCACACATTATTTTACATTCAATGATACGTGAAAAGACACAGTAAGATGACATATTCCCAATGATGCGTTCTTCAAGGCACAGTTTATTATTGTTGTGGGGCTGTTGGGTAGGATGATATCATTAGGATCATTTTTCCTTTATTCCCCTCTCTGACCCTGATTCTCTTATGACAGTAGCAACACCAAACTATCCATTAAACTGTGTCAAACAGCAGGCAAAACCAGCAGGCAATTCTGCAGAGGGAGTGGAAGATTGGACTCACATTCCACCCCAAAACATGTGCAAAACGATATGCCTTGGCTAACCAGCAAAATGTACACAATGATGGGGGTCAGACACACCTCAAGAGGGATGGGGCGTCCCACAGCCTGGCCATTTGGTAGCCTCTCTCCTTAAATGGGGGAGTGTCACCAAGTGGTTAAAGCAAGAAAAGAATAAGGTGTGGTACATTTGTATCCCAAGACACCTCAATTCCTGGAAACATGTGAAAAGGGAGGTCACAAATCTTTCCCTCAAAGCAAGAAATGAGGTGTGCCTTTAAATACTTAAGCCCAGTGCTATTTTTCTAGATGGCAATGGCACCCACCTGAGAGGGGCCAGAAGGTGAGTTCTGGCTGGAAATCAACCCTGCTTAAGCTGCTCCACTTTCAAAATCAGGGGCCCCCATAACAAATGCAGAAATGTGGTGTGTTATTTCAAGGAACATTTTCCTGCTTAACAAATATTCCAGTTAAAATCTTTCCCCTGCAGTCAGTGTCACTGGGCACCTCAAAATCACCACCTAGAGTATTTCCCAGGACCTTTCTTAAGAGATTTCTAAAGTGAGTAGCTTGCCTTGGTTTAAAGTTTAAAAGGGGCATGGGGGTGTAAGCAGAAAGACCACCACCCAGTTATCAAAGTGTAAGCTTCCCCACCACATAATGGTACTTGCCCTGGCCCAGTGGACTAGGGGGACTAGACTAGCCCCCTAAATGTTCCCCTGTCGCCTCCTTCCCAAAGCCCAGGAAGCTTCTGCACGACTTAGGCAGTCACGTAGGAGAGGGACAGTATGGTGGAGAGAAAGGAGGTTTTCTAAGAAACTACCTAGGATTTGTGAAGGAAAAGACAATGGGGAGGCTTTTCCACTTTGACCTTGCAGAGAAAACATTTGGTCAGTTTAGGAATCAAAATGGTTCCAGGTTGGTCTTCCTGTGCTGATCTATGTATGTGCGGTTATGAACATTACCATATATCTAAGACCATAAAATTCCTATCGCAGTGGAGAGGGACAGTATGGTGGAGAGAAAGGAGGTTTTCTAAGAAACTACCTAGCAGGACTGGCCCAGCAGTGTTGTAAGAACCAAACAAGGCCCAGGGCGAGTGCAAAGTATATACACAAAGTATCAAATGTGGTGTCAGTAATAATAATGCAACAAAACAACAACACCACAAACTGGCTTATAAGTATAAAACCAAATTTACTAGAATAATAGCTGGAATAGAGATAGACTTGTAACCATTCAAGCAACAAACATACTAAGGTGCCATGTGCAAAACAAAGCCTGGAAATAGTGTAAACATGGAGTGGATAAATGTACAACTGCATCTTAACAAGTTACATGTGCAATAAACGTTATACAGACTGGATAAATGAACTGTTCAGCCAGGGCGAGTGCACACGTGTTGGAGGCTAAAGCCCTCACAGCCTCAAGGAATTGGCTCCTTTGCTCCACCCCACAGAACCAGAGAACTGCGGAGCTGGAAGGGACCCCAAGAGTCATCTAGTCTACCCTCCACAATGCAGGGGTCGCAAGGAAAGCATCTGACAGAGATGGGTGCCCACTTGGAGTCTTTCCCCACTGGGAGTCCCCCCCCTTCTCAAGGGGTGCCCACTTCTGAGCCCCCCAAAGAGCTCTCTCCCCCCCGGGGGGGGTCGTGGGTGGCTGGGGGGTCTGGGACCTCAGAGGCCTTGGGTCCCATGGCTTCCCTTCCCCCCACCCACCCAGGGGATCCTCCCATTCATCTCTCAGCCCTGCAACAGCCTCCTCTGCACCCCCCCCCCATCGCACCACAGCCTCCCCTTTGCCCAAAACTCTCACCGCCCCCGAGGCCTCCCGAGAAAAGCATGGAGAGGAGACGGGAAGGAGAGAGGGGCCTTTTCTGGGCTGCTCTAGTGAGCCCTGCTCTCTCGCTCCCCTTAACCCTTATGTGGCCTCGCTGCTCAGGGATTCCTGCCCAGGGAAAAAGTGGGCAAGGCAAACGCATTCGCCGATCAGCGATCCTACAAGTAAATAAAGGATATTCCAGCCTGTGTTCCTTAGTCTTAGGCACTCCAACTCAGCAGCATACGCCACAAAGTGCAAAGAGACTTCCTTCCAAGTTAATGCCCTCAGATAGGAGACAAAGTTGCACCCATAAATAATCAGCTGCAGCAACACAAAAGATACGAGGCAAGCAGGGCAGAGATTAGCTGGAGGGGGCAAGGGAAACAGCACAGAAGTGCAGTTCAGAGACGGGGGGGAGAGGGGGATTGGATAACCCAAAAACCATATGGTCAAGCAAATCGCCAGCTATTCTAATTGGTTGTGAAACCTTTACTGTACCGGCTAGTAAAGTGGGCCAACTGCAGTCCCCTGCTGGGAGTGAGCTCTATTGAAACCAGAGGATCTTACTTCTGTGCAGAGGGGTGCTCAACTGGAGACAGGGATGACACCCGTCTCCCCTGCCTGCCTCCTCCTAGGGCGGCGGGGAAGGGCAATGCCCGCCCCCCACTCCCAAGCCTACAGTGAGCCTAAGGAAGGGGAAGCAGGGCTCAAAGGTGCCCTGAGTTTTCTCCACCTCTGGGAAAACTTCAGTCAATCTCTGTGTTAAAGCAACTGGAACAGAGACAATGAAAAGCAACCGTCCCACTACAGTTACAAAAAAGAATGTGTGAGAAAACTGGAGAGCTTCCTGCACACAGCCGAGAGCAAAGCCATGCTGCCGCTCGTGAGCCGGCACTGACAGAAGTAAAGTCTTATCATGCCTCCTCTTACTCTTATCGCATTTGTGGATCTGGTTTTTCTCTCGGCTGTGTGCAGGAAGCTCTCCAGTTTTCTCCCACATTCCTCTTTGTAACTGACTTAGTTCTGTTCTAGAACTTGGTGGTAGTTTTGTCAGGAAGAAGTGGGAGAGTGAAACCTACTAGGACGGTTGCTTTTCATTGTGTCTGTTCCAAGGCAGCCGGTACCCAAGTACCCCGAGCCGGGGGGGGGGGGCAAAGCCAAGCACCTCATCACCCTCTCCCCTGCTTGCCTCCTGCCTACTCCTCCAGTCAGGAGCGGGGGCAATGACACCACCCCCCCCCCGCGATTCCCAAGTACACAGAGCCATGGGAGGGAGGGAGGGAGGAGGAGCTGCACAGCTTTGCCAGCAAAGCCCCTGCTTCCTCCAACCGGGAGCAGGGGCAACAGCGCCCGCACCATGCGCGCAGGTGGGCAGCACCACAACTGTCACCCCCCTCATGATGACACCATGATGTCAGCTTTCCCAACAGAGGCTTAGGGGTTGGTGAAAGAGGCCACTGCCAGTGGAGCAAAAATCATGTACCAGACTATGGAGTGGATGACAGATATGTGTCTGGTGACATATATGTGTCTGGTGACATGAAACCGTACTTCTCACAGTGCAGGATTATTCAACTTGGGGAAGGGTGCACGATGGAGCTCTTTGCCAAGGGCACAAGGGACCCTAGTTACACCACTGATTCCCTGCGTGGAACATCCTAGCAAAGCAGACCCCTCAGGCTCCCCACCCAACGCCACGTCCTGTAACAGGACTGGATCACTCTGAAATCCTGGGCTGCCACAACCTGACTCAGCCTAAGCACAGATCCCTGCCCCCCACCCCCCGTCACTGGAATAGGCCTGAATCAGCCTGCAATTCAACTTGTGAAGAACTTTCCACCACTGGCTGCCTCTTCTCCTCTTTTTCTTCTGGTCTTTGCTCTTCCCACTTTTCTTCAAGCAGCATGCCAGCTGAGAATAGCTTTTGCCCCAGTCTATAGCATGTCCACTGTAGTTCATGCACTGGTACCCTTGTGGCTAGATTACTGTAATGTGTTCCTTGTGGGGCTGCCTGTGGGTCTGGTTCAGAAACAACAGCTGTTGCAGAATGCTGCAGCCATATTGCTAATGGGTGCTTCTGGTCGAGAACATGTGACCCCACTGTTAAAACAGCTGCACTGGCTCCTCATCTGCTACTGAGCCAGGTTCAAGGTTCTTGCATTGATTTACAAAGCCCTGAACAACCTGGTCCAGGATAAGTCAGGGATCATCTGAACCCTTATAGTCCAGCCCAATCATTGAGATCATCTGCAGGAGCATCTTCAGTTGTCCCCCAAGTTGATGTGTCTCATTAGAAAACAAGAAACCGAGCTTTCAGTGTCATTGGCCTTGCCATGTGAAACCCCTTACCAACAAAGATTCAATGGGAACTTTCTGTACCACCTTTTAAATGCCTGCTTGAAAATTCTCTGTTGCGCCAGGCCAGTGCAGGCCATTAAGAGTATGTCTCCCACAATGGCCTTTTTGCTGTTTGTTTTTAATTTATTTTTGTTTGTTCTTAATTTATTTTATCTTGTTCTTAGCTTTTTGTGATTTACTGTTTGGTTTTATGATACAGTGGTATATAAATCTTTATAGGAATGAAGAGATAAATATTCATTTAGCCAGTCTCTAACCCATTATATAAATTTATTCAGTTTACCCTGCTCTTTAGCATTCAAAGAGGAACTTTTCTAACAGTAGTACATGCATTTTAAAAAAGAACACAAACAGGGAAGGCATCTGAGGATGAGCCTTCATATTGGATGGACCTGGGCATGTTTCCATGGAAGTAGAAAATCATCTTGTGAAGCTTAGGTGGACATCCTATCTTGAGCAGTGCGAAGAGTTTGAAGGCCATTATCTGGTCTATGAAGGTGATCTACAAGGGGTGTCTCAGTCTCAGCTGACGCAGTGAGAACCCCAAGCTCTAAAGTCACATTGTGATTTAGTAAAAACAACAAATAACAGCAACTGTACCATTCCTGATCAGGTATCTGCTTATTCAGAAGAAAATACCCATCCATCTGAAACATAAGTATGTGGAGAACAGCAGGAGCAACAATCTGGCATTCTTCAGTCCCATGGGAAGGTCATATTCACACCACGCATGTTCTTCCGATAAGCATGGTCAAAGTGTTCGCTCTGCGCCACTGTCAGGAGGTTCTTCCAGTCTCCAGAGATCCCTGGAACAACACAAGAGCAAATGTTAACCCCAAAGAAATATGACTGAAATGACTTTAGCCCAAATTAGAACTTTTCCTCCTCATTCTCAGGCATGCGGCAGCTCCCTCAGGTGGCTGACGTTAGAGGGAAAAGCACATGCCCCCTGACTGCTTGCCCCCCTCCTGACTTGGCACTCCAGCAGCACTAATGCTTGCGTGTTGGTGACTTGGCCCAGCTAGGTGTCTCATCCAGCCACCTTTTCCAATTGCATCACAGAGAGCTCCATGGGAAAGGCCACTGACTGAGTAGGCAGGCTCGTACGCCCATGAACTGTGTGTCTGTTGTTCTGCCTCCAATGTAGTCCTGCAGCATTTATTTAAAGTGGAAGCCACTTGGCATCCAAAAAGAGCTGTTAGTAAGCAGTGCTGAGCTGTAGAGCTACAATGTCTGTCCGTTAAAAGCCTGTTGCCCTCAAGTAAAATGAAGGACACTGTTCTTTCACTCTTTAGATGCAGCAGCAAATCCCATCAGCATCTGAGTGTGGAATGAAGAACTGTAGCCTTCTACATCTGGCAGGAAAATGCAATGGGTCCTGCTTCCTCTCTACGACTTACCACTTCTGATGATGTGGCAAACATGCCATCTCTGGCATGGTCCATTCTTGTTAGAGGATGGTACCACCTCAGACTGCACATGATATAAAAGCTTTCCTCAAGGCCATTAAGAGTAAATTTATTCATTTTACCCTGCTCTTTAGCATTCAAAGAGGAACTTTCATAAGAGCAGTTCATGCATTTAAGAAAAGTACACGAACAGGGAAGGCATCTGTGGATGTGCCGTCATATTGGAAGGTGCCGGGCATGTTATCATGGAAGAACACAATCATCTTTTGACGCTTCCGTAGGCATCCTATCTTGAGCAGTGTGAAGAGTCCTTTTTGGCTGATGAGGTTGAAGGCCTTTGTCAAGTCTATGAAGGTGATGTTCAAGGGGCATCTTGGTCTCAGCATTTCTCCTGCAGCTGCTGCAGAAGGACCTCCAAGCTCTAAAGACACTTTGTGATTTGGTCAAAAAAGAAAGAACAACTGTTCCATTCTTCATCAGGTATGTTTATTTAGCACAGTGGTAGCAGAAACTAGCCAAGCCATATGATACATAAGAATGTGGAGAACATCAGGAGCAACAATCTGATTCTTCATTCCCAAGGGAAGGTCATATTCACACCACGCATGTTCTCCCAGTAAACACGGTCAAATCGTTCACTCTGTGCCACTGTCAGGTGGTTCTTCCAGTCCCCGCAGATCCCTAGAACAAGACAAGAGCAAGTGGCAACCACCAAGATGTTCACCTGAAATTACGTAAACTTAAATTGGGACGTTTCTTCCTTGTGCTCAGCTGTGAGGTAGGCAACCCCTCAGGTAGCTGATGTTAGGGGGGAAAGAACATGCCCCCTGACTGTTTGCCCCGAGCCCCTCCTCAACCATTCCCACCCTCCTGATTTGGCTTTCCAGCAGCACTAATGCATGCATGTTGGGTACCTGGACCAGCTGGGTCCAGCCATGCTTTCTTATTGCACCTCAGAGATCTCCATGAACCGTGTGTCTGTTGCTCTTTCTTCTGAATTTCTGCTTGCTTTCCAAATCAATGTGAAAGACACAGAACCTGCCAAATCTAGCATAAACAACTCTGAGGCAACTACTGTGTCTTGATGGCCTGGAGAATCTGCAGCCTATATTCAGGGAGTCCACAGCATTATCCTGGTCTCAAAATCGTGCAGAAAGGCCCTTTTTCTCCAGACTGCCTCTTTCAGAATAATTTCTTATTTTGATCTGGACACCCATGAAATAGATAGACTGTGATGGCCTGGGAATTGGATTCAGAGGCTGAACCGGAGGAATCCCAGCCTGCACAGGAGTCTCCGCTTCCAGGGCCGGCTGAGCCGGGGCAGAGCCTTGAATCTGAAGGGCCCTCACCTGTGCTGGATCCTCAGGAGCAGACACCAGATGAATCCACTCTGGCTCCGGGGGTGATTGAGGACCCATTGCCTGCAGGTGCTCCTCTCCCAGCCCTGTCAGGGGAAGGTGAGGCGGCCTCTGGGTCCAGTAACCCTCCAGCCTCTCCTGAGCTGCAGAGGCTCAGGGCAGAGAGGCGGAGGGAATTAAGTTCTATCAGGAGGAGTGCTCACCTTAAAGCCAGAAGAGGCGAGTCACCTGTGGGCCGGGACCGCCCTAGGCCCCAGAGGAGATAAAGGCCAGTCAGCCCAGTCCCAGGTTGTGGGAGCAACGTCGTTGGAAACCTGTTTCTGCCAGCACCCAGACCTGTTTTTCCGGAGTTCCCAACCACACCCGGCTTCTTGCTTTGGATCCCGCTTCGCCCTTGGTGGACAGTCTCCAGACCCTCGACCCAGGACTGGACTCTGACCACGCCTCAAGGTAACGTCCCCCAGGACCAGCACATAGACTTAGATGGAATGTTGCACAGAGAGGAAGGTATACAGTCCTGCAAACTGTACCCCCTTCTGGACCTGCAAACTGTGCTCACAGTCAGCTCTGACTCTACGCTCTATTGACTGGTTGCTGACAGACTTTTTCTGTGAGACATTCAAACATCCACAGAAAAAGAAGAGGTTCTTCACCCCTGGCATGCAGCATTGTGGCCTTATTCCTTGGCACTCCAATGTTATTACCTTTCCTCATGAGCGTTGCTTTTGTATGGTCAAAAAGGTTCTCTGGTGCTGTGGAAAGGTTAGACATCTTGTTGTCCTTCATTTTGTGGAAGGAGGCGTTTTCCACCACAGATTCAATTTGTTGGCTGTTCAGCTCCTTGCCAAGAAAATGACAGATCTTCTGCACGCTGCCTCGAAGGTCCTGCAGAAAGCAAAAGGAAATGGCTGTGAATCCTCATGTGATGTAGAGAGCTTGCCCTTGATCAGGTGGCACACAGAGAGCATGAGTACCAGTATGCAATGTGCCTTGGGCAAAATGAATGTCTTGAGGATGTGGAATTTGATGTTATCACCTTGCAGAAGCCACTCTGTCTCCACCTCCCCTCAGCCTGTACACATGGGGCACCTGAGTTACCAAGAGACATTACCTTTGAGGCAGAAAAGCAGGTTATTGGCACATCTGCTCTAAAGTAGAAGAAAGGAAATGTACTCTGCAGTGATATGCAGTGTATGTAGAGGTAGCGCCGAATTTTGCACATGCTCAGAATCCCTTTCTGGCCAATATTGGTAGAATCTTTCAAAAAAGAAGGCACCTTCATGTGTGAATAATGTCAGAATTGGGGCTGCAGGTCAACAAAGTTAAAACTGGACCTTTACCTGCCGTAGTTCTTCATAGGTGATGAAGAAGATGTTGGCTCTCTCCTTCATCTCCACCCAGCCTTTCACGTGGTCAAACCAGGAACCATAATCTCCTGAAAGAGCAAAGAGGAAGCAAGGATGAAATGTAAGTAGTTATTGGGGGGAGAAGAGAATGCTATTGTAGACGTAGAGGAAACACCAAACAAAATCAGTAACAGGAAACTTCAACGCTATCCTATGTCCAATGCCTATTGACTTCTCTGTGTACTGACATTATCCATGTACAAGAGAAGTAAAGCTTTGAATGAGTCAATAATCTTACGCTTTAATGGGCTTTCTCCATTATGGTTTCTTTTTCTTTCTTCCATCAGTGAGAATGTCTGCTAACATCGATTTTGATCTATTCTCTTGTTAGTGCCAATCTCACCCAGCTGTTAAGGACTTTCCTTAAGTTTCACCCTCTTCTCATTGTAGTGCCAATCTCGCCCATCTGAAAGGACATTTACTGATTTTCTTTGAAAGCAAATGACAAATGTAGGACTTTGCCACATTTCTGCCCTTCTCCATGTATCCAATTGGGAATTATAATTTTCGGATAGAACTCTAGAGTTAGCTAATAATAAATGTTTTTTGGCAGTGGACATCACTGGTGCTGGGTCACAGCAAACAAGAGTGGCTGATTTGCCTCCTTCCATACTTTCCCCTCTCAGGAATCTCTCCATGAACTCTTCCACAGTTCCAGGGTCCTTCCATACTTTAATGCCTTTGTTGAAGTGGTAGCTTGAAACCATAGCATCTCTGGGGTTACGCAGAGTATAGACTACCTGTAACAGAGGAAGATCTATATTGAAGGAGGGCCCAGGCAGCCCAACACTATCAATAGGCAGAGTGCGGCAGCAAACTGAAGGCATGATAACTAAAACCTGACATGGGAACAGGGGACGCCTCCAGTGAGGACCTGGGCTGACCATGAATGTGGACCATGTACACATAAAGTTCTTCCACAATCAGGAAACTGCTAAGGAAATTCCCAATAGTCCTCCCCATTCTCTAGTACAGAAAATGGCATCCTCCTGTCAAGTGTTCCCAAATCCCCCACATCTGTGTGCCAAAAGACAAGAGTCAAAGACAGTCTTTATGTGTCCATTGTTCCTCTTTTACCTTGGCCTTGGAGTGGAGGAAGGACTTGGGGAAAAGCTGGAATGGCAGATGAGTTGTCAGGAGTCTGGGGGGAGGATTTTTCAAGGCAATCTGCAAGTTATCATCCAGCTCAATCCAGGGTGCCCTTTCCCTCAGTAATACATTCTGAACCCATGAGGGGTCCCCTTGGCTCTGGATTAAGCTCAAGACCTCTGCCATCCAATGGGTACCTAGGAGGAAATCCACCAGTCAATCATTGTGCATTAATACCTGGCCCTTGAAAAGCAATTAGAGGAACATAAGAATTTCAATGAATCTTCTTCCTCTTCTAGCTATTCAGCACCCTCCTATGGGGCAAGACACTCAGATTCTGGAACGGTTTACCGTGGTGAAACTGACTATATTTTTTTGTTGAGTGTGGCACAAGTGAGAACAGAAGAATAGCCTTCTGGATGACGCCAATGACCCATTGAGTCTGGCATCCTGTTTCTCCCAGAAGCCTGTGGGAAGCTAGAGAGAAGCATTATGTTACCAGCAGTTTTGTTTTCATTCCATTCCTAGTGACCCCCAGCATGGAATCTGCTTTTCTCACGACCACTGCACACTGGGTCAACATTTTCCTTGAGATGACTCCAAGGTCTCGCTCTTGCTCCATCACCTCCATTTCACACCCCATGAGCGTGTATGGGAAATTGAGATGTTTTGCTCCAACATGCATCACTTCACACTTGTTTACATTAAATTCATTCACCATTTTACTGACCGTCTATTTTTAGTGTCAGCAAACCTGGCCACCTCACTACTTGATCACTTATGAACAAGTTACAAAAACACAGGTCCCTATACCAACTTCCAAGAAACGGGTTGTAGGAGTGCAAATATCCAGAGATGTAGTGATCAGGTGGGATTACCATGAGCAATTATAAAATATACATCAAGCCATCGTGTCCACGATGAAAGCATTGTGTTGACTGGGTTTGATATATTGACGATAATTTCTGATTAAATCCCATAAGATTCTACATTCATGCCCTTTTGCCTCTGCTGCCCATTTCTCCTTGCTCTTCACAAATCACGTACACACTTAGACAGGCAGGCGTCCTGGGTCATCCAAGACAGTGGGCAAGTTTCTCTGATGTAGGATGTTCATCTTAGGGCCAGGAAACAGATCTCACATTAAGGTGATAATGCTCACTGTCCTCCTGGCCATCCTCCTTATCATGTGTATTGCTTGTTTATTACCAGCGGGGTTGCCAGATGCTCCCTTTGTAGTTCTCAACTTATTTACCCCAAAAGTATGCATGGATAACTAGTGTTTATAGATTAACTTTCTCCCCACGTGGGTTTGTGAAATGCTCAGAAGAAATCTGATTGGTTCTTACGAACACTCTGTAAAAAGTTCTTTTGTGAATAAAACGGCCTGGGCCAGAGGGGCTGCAGGCAACGGACAAGCACAGAGAGACACAATTATACGCACCCTTCCCAGAGTCTTGCTGGTTCATTCTCTGTGTGTATTCTTATTAATCAGAGTTCAATCCTTCCTTTACCTTGTGAACGCAACACGGGTCCTTTCTAAGGGAATGCCTCCCTCTTCTTCAAAGTGATGTTCCCCTTTCTCAGGACCTCCCTTCTTCCTGAGGGCAGGAGAACTGTCATTGTGGGAAGGTCACCCAGCTACCACATCCCTGAAGGTCTCCTTGGCCACTTTCTCTGCCTCCTACACTTTCAAGTTCTGCAACCTTGGCTTCAAGGGAAGGAACTTGTTCCCTGAGAGCCTGAAACTCATGGCATTTCTGACATACACATGGGGAGATATTCATACAAATGGCAGAGGGTGCAAAACAATGCAAAAACCCCACACCCATGCTGGTCTTGATAATTTGCTTCTTTTAACTTAGTTACCCATTGACTTACCTGCTTGCTAGATTTGTGATGTACTTGTGGGGCTCTTAGTCTAGATTCCAGTGGTTCCTTGAATTCTCCTGCTAAGTAGCTTTACTATCGACTTCCTAGCCCTAGGATTTAGCTCCTGCATTGTGGGTATTCACAGAATCTTTATCCTGGTGGACAGTCACCTTGCTGTGCCCTTGTCAATCCATGTTGTTTGAATTCAATTATTAAATTAACTGCGTGTTAATTATGAGGATTTTTGGAAAATGACTGTACCAGAAAGGTGGCTTATTCGTCTATATACAATCAACCTGTAGAGATGGTTATCCTGACACAGCATCAGAGATAGACTTTGGTAATATGGTGTCCTGAGCAAGGACAAAATTTTCCCCTCACCTCCCCAATATATTTTCACCATAATATTTTAAGGTACAGTTGCTTTTTTAATAATTCTCTGTAGGTAACCATAGAAGTATAGGTTTCATTGTGATTATGATTATGAACCCCCTCGACTTGGGCCCCTTTGCAAGGGAACCACCCACACCACCCATATCCAGCACTGACAGCCTTCCTAGTGACCTGACAGAAGCATGCCATAGCATATAAGATTCTCCTGGGAATATTCCCAGTTCAGCTCATGAGCGCTGTAAATATCTGGGTTAAGATATTCCAGAAAGACAGAATGATTGGGAAATCTCTCTTTTTTCCAAGGTTTCTTGACTTCCCCAGGAATTTCAAGGGTTCTTTTGCTTCCTTCTGTGAACATCAACAGTGGCTAGGGATTGTGTAATATTTCTATTTTGAATTCTCATTTTTGCAATCTTAAGATCAGTTCTCCATATTTCCACGTCAGTTTGTGAAATTTCTTGCACATTTTTACAATGCATTTTCCCCTCCCAATATAATGCATTTTTATGGTTTCCCCCACTAAAGTATGCATTTTATGTACACTTATATGCATTTTTGTACACATTACTTAGCTGAAGAAGCTCATTGCAAAAATCAGGGATTGCCTGTGTTTCACTTTGTGTAGTTCAGAAAGTGAAAAACATGTAACTTTCACATGAGGTAGACAGTTCTATGCAGATATTCCACTTATTTGCTATCTTCCTTCATTTGTAAATGTCTTATAATTTATTTGCTTGTTGCTCCTTGACAAATCTTTATCCAGGAGTGGAACTGGTTTAAGATGGTCCTATATATTGCAATACAATTCTACCTCTATGCAGCTACATGGTGGTTGTTCGTGACTTATGTCAATAGCAAACTTATGGCTGGCAGGTTGAGCACTTTGTCCACTAAATCCAAAATCTATTTTCCTAATTGCAACACTGACCTGACTTGGGGTAAGTGGCGTTCACTATATCATCATCCAACAGTTGGAAGTCGTTTTCCACATAGCTGAGTGTTTCCTCTGAAAAGAATTCTGAAGAAAATGGGATCCCCTTGTATTTGAAATAAGGCATTGGTGATACTGAAAAACTGAAGATGAGGGGAGAGAGAGAGAAGGAGAGAGAAAAATTATGCCACATCCTTAGGGACATTCGTGCAGCTACTGTTCTAGAAAAACTCTGGGAATAGCTGGGGAGCAGGAGGAAGGGGAGAGTTCAGGACGTGGTGATGGGCCATCAATAGATGCTCAAGTGGTGCCACCAGGTGTGGTGGAAAAAACCCAAGAAACTCACTTCTGAGTACATGTCATTTCTATCATTGCTGGGTCAGATAGTGTTCAGCACGAAGTGGCAGAGTCCGTTGTCAGTGAAATTAATGCTTTATTCAAGGAAACGTTAAACAACTCAGCAATACTTCGTGGTACGTCTTTCCCCTATACAGTGGTACCTCAGTTACATATCCTTCAGGTTACAGACTCCACTAACCCAGAAATAGTACCTTGGGTTAAGAACTTTGCTTCAGGATGAGAACAGAAATTATGCTCCAGCGGTGCGGTAGCAGGGAGGAGGCCCCATTAGCTAAAGTGGTGCTTCAGGTTAAGAACAGTTTCAGGTTAAGAATGGACCTCCGGAACGAAGTAAGTACTCAACCCTAGGTACCACTGTAGAGCTGTTGTCCAGACTGAATGTCCCTTTCTTCCACACTTTCTAAGGCTCCTCCTCTCCCGGATGTTGCCCAAGCAGTCTCCAACTGTCTCTGCGTATCTCTGGTCTCTTCTCTGCCCTCCTCATGATCTTGCCTGTTCTTTGAGACCGGGATACGGGAGGAACTTCTTGCAGCCAGAGAGGACCATTCCCGTGATTCTTCAGCAGCTTCTTGACCCCCCCCCCTTCTCTGCTTCAGCAGAGAATAGGGAGAGTTCAGGAGGAATTGCTGGGCCATTAATAGGTGTCTGGGTGGTGCCTCCAGGTATGGTGGGGGGGAAATCCAATGAACTCGGTTTTGAGTGCACATCATATCAGGCTTTCAAATCTCAGTAAGATCTTGGAAACAAAATGGTCACACAATAAACTCCAATCACCTTCACTTCCATGAGGAAATAGGCCCCATTCACCTTCTCTGGATCACTGCCACTATGCAGCAACTGGAGGAAAATCAGTTTACGCAAGAAGGGAGTGCTACATCACAGCCCCACCTGCCTGAAATTAGACACACACCCCTCTGTACACACACATGCACAATTGCTTCTGGGGCTACTCCCACACTGTTTACCTGAAGTACAAAATAGTCTTTCCTCTTTCCTGCTTCTGCCAATATGAGGCCAGGTGAGGTGAACTTTTGCCTGTATATGGAACCCTTGATACTCATTTATTTATTTACAGCATTCAACTTGCTCAACAGCTGCAAACATGTCCAGAACAGCTTTACGTAACAGCTGTAAACCAAGAGCAGAGCAAAGAGTCCCCACTCACAGCCTTAAAATCTCGAAAGACAATCCAAAGGGGAAGGGGGAAGAAAATCCATATGTAGAGCTTCAAAGATCTGAAACTGATTACCAAATTGCATGGAATCTGTTTGGGAAGAAGAGAAGTGAAATGAAGCGGGTCTCTCAGCAGACGCATTGCTCTCCCTTCTCTCACACAGCTGCCAACATGTGGAGGACTGCCAAGAGCAGGGAGGAAAGGAGCAGGGGGAGAGCCAGTGGGTGGACCTGTTGTCCTGTCTTTCTTCCACTGCTACATTTGTAGAATATAGGAGTTAGTTTAAAACCCATGCATGTTCCATTCTGGAAAACGAAAGAGGGAATCTGGAAAAGGGAGAAGGCAACTGGGGAAGAATTCATCAAGGGGAGAAAAAGGAGGTTGAGATGATCTGAAAGAACGTAATCAATCCTTGAATACAGGAAGGAAACAGGAGCAGTCTTTATAATTCAGCAGCTACTGGAGCATCCTGTGGGTCTGGGAAAGATACTTACTGTGAGAGGAAACCTTGCAAAGAGTCTGCAGTAATATCAGGAAGCAGGAGGAATGAGGGAAACTTCAGCAGCTTTATTTTTCTGTCAGCAGAAGATCAAGAACTCAGCATAGCATGCACTTCCTACATAGATGAGATGAAAGTGCGAATGAACTTTGGATGAAACCACTGCCAACCAGAGAGGGAGTTTCTATTCCAGGCATGCCTCTTAAAGACACAGGCCATGCTCACTACAGTTGAGTCTGGAGCGTCCTTCTCTTCCTGGCTCACAGAGCAAGACTTAAATACTGAGTCAGCAGGCGATGTGTTTTCTTCCCCGCCCCCCCACCTCCCCAATTCATAGATGGGGAGGAGGTTCAATCTTGCTGGGAGAGGCACTGGTGAAGGAGCATTTTGCAGCCCTCCAGGCCAAATCCGCTGCTCGCCAGGTGTTGTGCAAAGATTCAACTCCGCTCTGATCTTCTTCCCCAGAGCTTTCACTGAAGAAACTCATAGGTTCAGCAAATGGGTCCCTGTCAGTGAAGCCAGAATCAAGTACCAGACTATGGAGTGGATAACATATATGTGTCTGGTGACATGAAGCTGCTGTTTCTGTCAGTTCATACGTAAAAGAAGCTTACCGTCCTTCTCACACTGCATGATAAAGGCAATTTGAGGAAGGGTGCACAATTAAGCTCTTTGCCAAGGGCACAAGGGACCCTAGTTACACCACTGATTCCCATTTTGGAACATCCTAGCAAAGCAGACCCCTCAGGCTCCCCACCCAACGACAGGTCCTGTAATAGGCCTGGATCACTCTGAAATCCTGGGCTGCCTCAACCTGACTCCGCCTAAGCACAGATCCCTGCCCCAGCCCCCCGCCCCCGTCACTGGAATAGGCCTGAATCAGTCTGCAATTCAACTTGTGAAGAACTTTCCACCACTGGCTGCCTCTTCTCCTCTTTTTCTTCTGGTCTTTGCTCTTCCCACTTTTCTTCAAGCAGCATGCCAGCTGAGAATAGCTTTTGACCCAGTCTATAGCATGTCCACTGTAGTTCACGCACTGGTACCCTTGAGGCTAGGTTACTGTAATGTGTTCCTTGTGGGGCTGCCTGTGGGGCTGGTTCAGAAACTCCAGCTGCTGCAGGATGCTTCAGCCATATTGCTAACGGGAGCTTCTGGTTGAGAACATGTGACCCCACTGTTAAAACAGCTGCACTGGCTGCTCATCTGCTACTGAGCCAGGTTCAAGGTTCTTGCATTGATTTACAAAGCCCTGAACAACCTGGTCCAGGATACGTCCGGGATCACCTGAAACCTTATAATCCAGCACAATCACTGAGATCATCTGCAGGAATATCTTCAGTTGTTTCCTGAGTTGGTGTGTCTCATTTGACAAGAAACCGAGCTTTCGGTGTCATTGGCCTTGTCATGTGGAACCCCTTGCCAACAGAGATTCAGTAGGAGCCTTTTGTGCCACCTTTTAAAGGCCTGCTTGAAAATTCTCTGTTGCGCCAGGCCAGTGCAGGCCATTAAGAGTACATTTCCTGCTATGGTCTGTTGCTGTTTGTTTTTAATTATTTTTTGTTTGTTTTTTAACTTCTTCTTAGCTTTTTGTGATTTTACTGTTTAGTTTTATGATACAGTGGTATATAAATATTTTTAGGAATGAAGAGATAAATATTCATTTACCCAGTCTCTAACCCATTATATAAATTTATTCAGTTTACCCTGCTCTTTAGCATTCAAAGAGGAACTTTTCTAACAGTAGTACATGCATTTTAAAAAAGAACACAAACAGGGAAGGCATCTGAGGATGAGCCTTCATATTGGATGGACCTGGGCATGTTTTCATGGAAGTAGAAAATCATCTTGTGAAGCTTAGGTGGACATCCTATCTTGAGCAGTGTGAAGAGTTTGAAGGCCATTATCTGGTCTATGAAGGCGATGTACAAGGGATGTCTCAGTCTAAGCTGACGCAGTGAGACCTCTGAGCTCTAAAGCCACATTGTGATTTAGTAAACAATAAACAAATAACAGCAACTGTACCATTCCTGATCAGGTATTTGTTTATTCAGCAGAAAATACCGAATCCATCTGAAACATAAGTATGTGGAGAACAGCAGGAGCAACAATCTGGCATTCTTCAGTCCCATGGGAAGGTCATATCCACACCACGCATGTTCTTCCGATAAGCATGGTCAAAGTGTTCACTCTGCGCCACTGTCAGGAGGTTCTTCCAGTCTCCGGAGATCCCTGGAACAACACAAGAGCAAATGTCAACCCCAAAGAAATATGACTGAAATGACTTTAGCCCAAATTAGAACTTTTCCTCCTCATTCTCAGGCATGCAGTAGCTCCCTGAGGTGGCTGACGTTAGAGGGAAAAGCACATGCCCCCTGACTGCTTGCCCCCCTCCTGACTTGGCACTCCAGCAGTGCTAATGCTTGCGTGTTGGTGACTTGGCCCAGCTAGGTGTCTCCTTTTCCAATTGCATCACAAAGAGCTTCATGGGAAAGGCCACTGACTGAGTAGACAGGCTCGTACGCCCATGAACTGTGTGTCTATTGTTCTGCCTCCAATGTAGCGCTGCAGCATTTGTTTAAAGCGGAAGCCACTTTGCATCCAAAAAGACCCGTTAGTAAGCAGTGCTGAGCTGTAGAGCTACAATGTCTGTCCGTTAAAAGCCTGTTGCCCTCAAGAGAAATGGAGGACACTGTTCTTTCGCTGTTTAGATGCAGCAGCAAATCCAGTCAGCATCTGTATATGGAATGAAGAACTGTAGCCTTCTCCAGCACATTTGGCAGGAAAATGCAATGGGTCCTGCTTGCTCTCTACGCACTTACCACTTCTGATGATGAGGCAAATATGCCGTCTCTGGCATGGTCTATTCTTGTTAGAGGACGGTACCACCTCAGACTGCAATGATATAAAAGCTTTCCTCAAGGCCATTAAGAGTAAATTTATTCATTTTACCCTGCTCTTTAGCATTCAAAGAGGAACTTTCATAAGAGCAATTCATGCATTTAAGAAAAGAACACGAACAGGGAAAGCATCTGAGGATGTGCCGTCATATAGGAAGTTGCCAGGCATGTTATCATGGAAGAACACAATCATCTTGTGACGCTTCCGTAGGCATCCTATCTTGAGTAGTGTGAAGAGTCCTTTTTGGCTGATGAGGTTAAAGGCCTTTGTCAAGTCTATGAAGGTGATGTTCAAGGGGCGTCTTGGTCTCAGCATTTCTCCTGCAGCTGCTGCAGAAGGACCTCCAAGCTCTAAAGACACTTTGTGATTTGGTCAAAAAATAAAGAACAACTGTTCCATTCCTGATCAGATATGTTTATTCAGCACAGTGTTAGCAGAAACTAGCCAAACCATATGATACATAAGAATGTGGGACTTCCGGTTGGTGCCAGCAGCAATGGCTGACCTCCTTTGAAGTTCGGAGGGGGTAGCTCGGCGGGAGATCGGGTCCTGTGCGCTCCGGCGAAGCGGGGACCCTTAGAAATCGCAGGCGCGGACGCCTGCGAACGTGGAGGCTCGGCGGGCACCTTGAAGCGCCCCCAACCTGAAAAGAAGCCTTTTGGGGCTTCGGAAGGGAGCGGGGGAGAGAAGCGCGGTGCTGCGAGCGGATCGCTGCTCCCGCTGAGTGAAGCCGCGTTGCCGTTGCTGGAGAGCGCTGACTTATTCCTGGGAAATTCGGACTTAAAAACTAACCGTGAGTAGAGGAATCGGATAAAAAGAGTAGAATTTGGACTAATTTGGAACTTTGGTAAAAAAGCGGAAAAGTTTAAAGCCTTTAAAAATGGCTGAATTGGCTACCGCGGTGGAAGCTTAAACAGGAAGTCGGCTTCACTGCATTGTACAAAGAACAAAGCAAAGAGATTTGGAGCTAAACGTGAAGAGTTGAATTGAAATAAGTGTAATCTTCTAACCTGAGGACTTTGGAGGGATCTACCCTTAGGAGAGTTAAGGGTAAGACTTTTGATTTTATAGGACTCTTTAAATTGAAAGATTAAATGAGTGATCTGTCACTCAGCTGTCAAAGCTGTCAAAATCGCTAAAGCAGTCTGCTGGCTGCAAAGGAGATACACAGTGACCAATTTTACTGAGAAAAGACTGGAAAAGACTGAAAAGTTTTATTGTGGCTTTTACTTTGGACTCTTTTTTTCCTTCTACTTAGTATCTTTCCCTTGTTGTTTTAAAAGACAGTAACTTGTTAAGAGGCAACAGTGTCCATCTAGTGGGACTTTCTGTAACTGCAGGAAAGGAAAGGAATTTTCCAAGTATAAACAGGAAGAGTGGACGTGGGAAAGTAACCTGACCTTCACTCTGTTATGGCTGATGGTTTTAAGGACCAGTCAACCTTGAGATCAGGGAAACCTTGGACACATAGAAGGCAATCATCTGCTGGTCTGCCTACGTCGGCAACACAATCTAAGATTGGTGGAATGTCTGAGGAATTTCTAGCTAGTGCTCTATCTAAGATTAATGATTCAATACAGCAGCTATCTACAAAAGTGGGAGAGACGAACAGGAAGGTGGAAGAAACCAGTCAGAAAGTGGATACTGCAAACAGGAAAATTGACCTAAATACAGAAACATTAGGCAACTTGGAGAAAAAAGTAAACAGCAACACGGAATCTATTCAGAAATTGTTGCAAGACTCAAAGTCAATACAGGAAAAAACTGCTGCTGTAGAGTTTAAATTGGGGCAGTTGGAAACTGAAAAAGTACCAGATATACAGAAAGAGATTGCAGAACATAAGCTAACGTTATCTATGATAGACCTCAGAGACAAACAAACAAATCTCAGAATCAGAGCTGTCCCTGAGTTGGAGAAAGGTACTTTGATAGACTTTTTGACACAAGAATTTCTGGACTTTTGGAAATCGGAACTGAAACAAGAGGATTTTAAGATCGTGAGAGCCTTTCGATTGGGGAAAGGAGGAAGAAAGATTAAAATAAGGGACTGTTTGATTACTCTTCGATCTAAGGAAGAAAGGGACAAAATTTTGGGTTTACATTACGAAAAACCCTTGACAATTATACAATCAAAAGTTGAAATTTTTAAAGATATACCAAAACATCTTCTTGATTTGAGAAAGGATTTTGGAGATTTGGTGGACTTGTTGAGAAAAATAAAATTCTTTTCAGGTGGGAATTTCCCCAAGGCCTATCCTTTAGTTTTAAGGGAAGAAAGACCAAGATCAGATCAGTGGAGGAAAAGAACAAGTTTCTGAGTGCATATGAAGAAGATCTACTGAAAGGATTGGGAAAAGACATTGCGATACCGGACAAGAAACAGGAAAAAAAAGGGAAACCAACGCCACCGACAGACATAGACAAGCTTCTTGGGGCTGCTGGAGGAGAAGGAGAGTAGATACAAAATGACACTACAAATTTTAAGCTGGAATATTAACGGTCTAAATTCGTCGGCTAAAAGGGGAAGAGTATTTCATACATTGAAAAAAGAACATTTGGACTTGATCTGTTTACAAGAGACTCACGTGACAAGGCTGCATCGGAAAATTTTGATAAATAAAAGATTGGGAGAGGAATTTATTTCATCGGACAATGTTAAAAAAAAGAGGGGTAGTACTTTATGCGAAGGAAAGCCTGTCACCAAAATTCATATTTAAAGATGATCAAGGAAGATATATAGCAATTGAAATTCAATTCCAAGGACAGAAATTCTTGATATTAGGTGTATATGCACCAAATGAGGGAAAATCAGAATTCTTCAAGAAATTGCATGAAACTCTTTTGGACTATTTGGATTACAATATTATTTTGATGGGAGACATGAATGGAGTAGTGTCTACAAATATGGACAAGGCCCAAAGACAAACAGTGACAAAAGATGGAAGACTACCAAAGACATTCTTTGAAATGACTGACAACATGGATCTTGTGGATATTTGGCGAACAAAGAACCCCTTGGAAAGAGAAGGAACCTTCTTCTCTGAAGCAAATATGACATGGACAAGAATAGACCAAATTTGGATAACTAGAGGACTGGCTCCTAAAATTAAAAAAGCAGTGATTTGTCCGAAAATATGCTCCGACCACAACCCAGTAAAGATTGAAATGACATTAACGCCAATTGGGGCCTTTAGATGGAGGATGAATGACTCCTTATTTAGGAATGAGGAAATTGTTAAAAAGGCTCAAAAAAATTTGAGAGACTATTTTGAAATAAACTTGAATACTACGACAGAAAAAAGAGTGATTTGGGATGCTAGCAAAGCGGTGATGAGAGGATTTCTGATACAACAAAATGCAATTAGGAAAAGATACCAAAATGAGAAGAGAGAAAAAATCTTGGAGAAAATAAAGGATGGAGGAAAAAGATTGAGAGCGAAACCGAACTCACAGGAGATTTTAAAAGAAATAAAGCTATACCAAGTACAGTATATGAAATTGATGAATCAGGAGATAGAATGGAAGATTAAACAGATGAAACAAAAGACCTTTGAATCGGCAAATAAATGTGGGAAGTTACTGGCCTGGCAAATGAAGAAAAGACAAAAGCTGAATACAATCACGAACTTGGTTGTAGAAGGAAAGAATATACAGAATCCTGGAGAGATTCGGAAGTGCTTTCAGAACTATTTCAAACAGCTATACACGCAGGAGACTCAGAAAGATTTAGACATTGACCGATTTTTGGAAAATAATGGATTACAAAAAATATCTCAAGACAGTAAATCAATATTAAATTCGACTATATCTGATCAAGAAGTGGAAGGAGCCATTCTGAATATGAAACTGGGCAAATCCCCAGGGCCGGATGGACTAACTGCAAAGTACTACAAAACTTTGAAAGAATGGTTATTGCAACCGTTGAAAGAACTTTGTAATGAAATACTACGGGAGGAAAAGCACCCGAGTCGTGGAAAGAAGCGTACATCACACTTATACCAAAAACCGAAGGGGAGAAGACACAGTTGAAGAACTACCGTCCCATATCCCTGTTAAATGTGGATTACAAAAATTTTGCTGAAATTATGGCTAAGAGATTAAAAATGTATTGGTAAAAGAGATTCATAAAGACCAGGCGGGCTTTCTGCCTGGAAGACATTTGTCAGACAACACTAGGAACATTATTAACATTTTGGAAAAATTGCAAGTTAATATTAATACTAAAGCTGTTTTAATATTTGTGGATGCAGAGAAAGCGTTTGATAATATTTCTTGGAGTTTTATGAAGAAAAATTTGCAGGGGATGGGGGTAGGCCAAAGTTTCGAAAATGGTATAAGTGCAATTTATTCGGAACAAAAAGCTAAGCTTATTGTGAACAATGTAATTACTGAAGAATTTAAGATAGAGAAAGGAACAAGACAGGGCTGCCCAATCTCCCCATTGCTTTTTATATCGGTCCTTGAGGTTTTGCTCAATATGATTAGAAAAGACCAATTGGTTAAAGGTATACAACTCGGAGCTAAACAGTATAAATTGAAAGCTTTTGCTGATGATTTAGTTTTGACAGTACAGGAGCCAGAAGCTAGCACAAAAAGGGTGCTACAATTAATACAAGAATTTGGTCAAGTAGCTGGTTTTAAACTAAATAAGATGAAAACCAAGGTATTAGAGAAAAATCTTACAGAGATAGAGAAGGAGAGGTTCCAGAAAGAGACAGGATTAACAATTGTTAACAAAGTGAAATATTTAGGGGTGAACATGACTGCTAAAAATGTGAATTTGTTTAAAGATAATTATGAAAAATGTTGGTCAGAGGTGAAGAAGGATCTAGAAATATGGTCAAAATTGAAGTTATCATTGCTTGGCCGAATTGCTGCGATAAAGATGAATGTACTGCCTAGAATGTTGTTCTTGTTTCAAACATTACAAATTGTGGACAAAATGGACTGTTTCAAGAGGTGGCAAAGAGACATTTCCAAATTTATCTGGCAGGGCAAAAAACCTAGAATAAAATTTAAGATATTAACAGATGCAAAGGAAAGAGGGGGATTTGCCCTGCCAGATCTTAAACTTTATTATGAATCAGCCGCTTTTTGCTGGCTGAAAGACTGGCTACTTCTTGAAAATGTGGACATTTTGGATTTAGAAGGTTTTGATAACGTTTTTGGATGGCATACATATTTATGGTATGATAAAGTTAAAGCGCATAAGGCCTTTAAGAACCATATTGTCAGGAAAGCATTGTTTAATGTTTGGGTGAGATACAAGGATTTATTGGAAAGTAAAACACCAAAGTGGCTGTCACCAATGGAGGCAAAGGCATTGAAAAAAACTAATATGGAGATAAACTGGCCAAAATATTGTGAAATTTTAGAACAAGTTGGAGATAAATTAAAATTGCAGAGTTTTGACAAATTAAAAACCAAAGTTCGAGATTGGTTGCATTATTATCAAATAAGGGAGGTTTTTAACTTAGACAAAAAGATTGGTTTCCAGGAGGAAAAATCTAAACTGGAAACGGAATTGCTAGAACCTAAAACTAAAAATTTGTCAAGAATGTATAATCTGCTGTTGAAATGGAATACACAGGATGAAATGGTTAAATCTGTTATGATTAAATGGGCGCAAGATGTTGGGCATAACATTATGTTTGCTGACTGGGAACGGTTATGGACCACAGGTATGAAATTTACGGCTTGCAATGCTTTAAGAGAAAACATAATGAAAATGATTTACAGGTGGTACTTAACCCCAGTCAAGCTAGCAAAAATTTATCATTTGCCTGATAATAAATGTTGGAAATGTAAAGAAAACGAAGGTACTTTCTTTCACCTTTGGTGGACGTGCCCAAAGATCAAGGCATTCTACTGTAATATAAAAGAATGTTAGGAAAGGTTGGAGAAGAAATATTAGACCGTATTGGCAGACAGAGTATAATGGAATTAAGTAAATATGAAGTGTAAATTAAAAGATAGAGGAGAATTAAATATTTTGGAATGTTAAAATGTTAAAATAAGAAAATGAAAAGAAGGTTAGAACGATTTGCTGGAGATGCAATTTGAATTAGAATACAAAGCAGAGAAGTGCGAGGAAGCCACGGAAATAAGTAAATGGGAATATGGTTTGTTTAATTTGAATTTTCCTTTTTTTTTTGTTTGTTTGTTTGTTATTTTTTCTTTTTTTATTGTGACTTTTTGTCTTGTGTATTCTTTTTGTATGGTGTGTTTTTTTTTTTTTTAATGTAAGAAGTATGTGATTGGTTCTTTTTGCTGTATTTTTTTTTCTCTTTTTTAAAATTTGAATAAATATTCTTATTAAAAAAAAAAAAAGATCAAGGCATTCTGGGAAATGATATATAATGAATTAAAAAAGGTATTGAAATATACTTTTTTAAAGAAACCAGAGGCCTTCCTCTTGGGCATGGTTGGCCAATTGGTGCGAAGGGAAGATAGAACTTTTTTCATGTATGCGACAGCAGCAGCAAGAATACTTATTGGGAAATATTGGAAAACACAAGAATTGCCTACCCGAGAAGAATGGCAAAGAAAAGTGATAGACTATATGGAACTGGCTGAGATGACCGGAAGAATTCGAGACCAAGATGAAGGGTCGATGGAGGAAGATTGGAAAAAGTTTAAAACATATCTTCAGAATCACTGTAACATAAAAGAATGTTAGGAAAGGTTGGAGAAGAAATATTAGACCGTATTGGCAGATAGAGTATAATGGAATTAAGTAAATATGAAGTGTATATTAAAAGATAGAGGAGAATTAAATATTGTTGAATGTTAAAATGTTAAAATAAGCAAATGAAAAGAAGGCTAGAAGGATTTGCTGGAGATATAATCTGAATTAGAATACAAAGCAGAGAAGTGGGAGGAAGTCACGGAAATAAGTAAATGGGAAGACGGTTTGTTTAATTTGAATTTTTCTTTTGCTATTTTTTATTGTGATTTTTTGTCTTGTGTATTTTTTTTCTTGTATGGTGTGTTTCTTTTGTAAGATGTATGTGATTGGTTTTTCTTGTTTTATTTTTTCTTTTTTTGTAATCTTAAAATTTGAATAAATATTTTAAAAAAAAAAAAGATACATAAGAATGTGGAGAACATCAGGAGCAACAATCTGGGATTCTTCATTCCCAAGGGAAGGTCATATTCACACCACACATGTTCTCCCAGTAAACATGGTCAAAGCGTTCACTCTGTGCCACTGTCAGGAGGTTCTTCCAGTCCCCGCAGATCCCTAGAACAAGACAAGAGCAAGTGGCAACCACAAAGATGTTCACCTGAAATTACGTAAACTTAAATTGGGATGTTTCTTCCTGGTGCTCAGCTGTGAGGCAGGCAACCCCTCAGGTAGCTGATGTTAGGGGGAAAAGAACATGCCCCCTGACTGCTTGCCCTGAGCCCCTCCCCAACCATTCCCACCCCCCTGATTTGGCTTTCCAGCAGCACTAATCCATGCATGTTGGGTACCTGGACCAGCTGGGTGTCTCATCTAGCCATGCTTTCTTATTGCACCACAGAGATCTCCATGAACTGTGTGTCTGTTGCTCTGCCTGCTGAATTTTTGCTTGCTTTCCAAATCAATGTGAAAGGCACAGAATCTGCCAAATCTAGCATAAACAACTCTGAGGCAACTACTGTGTCTTGATGGCCCGGAGAATCTGCAATCTATTTTCAGGGAGTCCCCAGCATTATCCAGGTCTCAAAATTGTGCAGAAACACCCTTGTTCTCCAGACTGCCTCTTTCAGAATAATTTCTTATTTAGATCTGGACACCCATGAAATAGATAGACGTAGATGGGATGTTGCACAGAGAAGAAGGTATACAATCCTGCAAACTGTACCCCCTTCTGGACCTGCAAACTGTGCTCACAGTCAGCTCTGACTCTATGCTCTATTGACTGGTTGCTGATAGACTTTTTCTGTGAGACATTCAAACATCCACAGAAAAAGAAGAGGTTCTTCACCCCTGGCATGCAACATTGTGGCCTTATTCCTTGGCACTCCAATGTTATTACCTTTCCTCATGAGCGTTGCTTTTGTATGGTCAAAAAGGTTCTCTGGTATTGTGGAGAGATTAGACATCTTGTTGTCCTTCATCTTCTGGAAAGAGGCGTTTTCCACCACAGACTCAATTTGTTGGCTGTTCAGCTCCTTGCCAAGAAAATGACAGATCTTCTGCACGCTGCCTCGAAGGTCCTGCAGAAAGCAAAAGGAAGTGGCTGTGAATCCTCATGTGATTTAGAGAGCTTGCCCTTCATCAGGAGGCACACAGAGTGCATGAGTACCAGTATGCAATGTGCATTGGGCAAAATGAATCTCTTCAGGATGTGGAATTTCCTGTTATCACCGTGCAGAAGCCACCTTGACTCCACCTCCCCTTAGCCAGTACCAAACGCAGGGGGCACCTGAGTCAGCAAGAGACATTACATTTGAGGCAGAAAAGCAGGTTATTGTCACATCTGCTCTAAAGTAGAAGAAAGGAAATGTACTCTGCACATGATATGCAGTGTATGTAGAGGTAGCAACAAATTTTGCACATGCTCAGAATCCCTTTCCGGCCAATATTGGTAGAATCTTTCAAAAAAGAAGGCACCTTCATGTGTGAATAATGTCAGAATTGGGGCTGCAGGTCAACACAGTTAAAATTGGACCTTTACCTGCCGTAGTTCTTCATAGGTGTTGAAGAAGATGTTGGCTCTCTCCTTCATCTCCACCCAGCCTTTCACATGGTCAAACCAAGAACCATAAGCCACTGGAAGAGCAAAGGGGAAGCAAGGGTGAAATGTAAGGAGTTATTGTGGGGAAGTAGAGAATGCTGTTGTAGACATAAACACCATTCAGGAACCTAGAAAATAACTGCATTTTCCCTTAAAAACAAAATCAGTAACACGAGACTTCAACGCTACCCTGGGTCCAATGCAACCTACTGACTGCTCTAAGTACTGACATTTTCCACATACAAGAGAAGCAAAGCTTTGAATGAGTAGATAATCTTACGCTTTAATGGGCTTTCTCCATTAAGTTTTCTTTTTCTTTCTGCCACCAGTGAGAATGTCTGCTATCATCGATTTTGATCTATTCTCTTGTTGGTGCCAATCTCACCCAGCTGTTGAGGACTTTCCTTAAGTTTCACCCTCTTCTCATTTTAGTGCCATTCTCGCCCATCTGAAAGGATGTTTATTGATTTTCTTTGAAAGCAAATAACAAATGTAGGACACCCCCCCCCATTTCTCCCCTTCTCCATGTATCCAACTGGGAATTATAGTTCTCTGATAGGACTTTAGAGTTACGTAAAAATAAATACTTTCTGGTGGTAGACATCACTGGTGCTGGGTCACAGCAAACAAGAGTGGCTGATTTGCCTCCTTCCATACCTTCCCCACTCAGGAAACTCTCCATAAACTCTTCCATAGTTCCAAGGTCCTTCAATTCTTTAAAGCCTTTGATGAAGTGGTAGACTGAAACCATGGCATCTCTGGGGTCACGCAAAGTATAAACTACCTGTTACAAAGGCAGGGCCACATTTAGGGAGAGCCCAGGCAGCCCTACCCTAACATTAGGCAGAGTGTGGCAGCAAACTGAAAGCACAATAAATAAAGCCTGACTTGGAAACAGGAGAAGCCTGCAGTGAGGACCTGGGCTGAGCATGCATGTGGACCATGGCCAGTTCAATTTCTCGAGCAATCATGAAACTGCTAAGGAGATTTCTGATATTCCTCCCTATCCTCTAGTACAAAATATGGTATCCTCCTAAAAATGAGCTGTGCCAAGTGTTTGTGCTCCAATATCCCACACATCTGTGTGTCAGAAACACAGAAGCCAAAGACAGGCTTGATGTGTCTGTCGTTCCTCTCTCACCTTGGCCTTGGAGTGAAGGAAGGACTTGGGGAAAAGCTGGAATGGCAGGTGAGTAGTCAGGATCCTGGGGGAAGGATTTTTCAAGGCAATCTGCAAATGATCGGCATACTCAATGCAGGGTGCCCTTTCCGTCAGTGGTACATTCTGAACCCATGTGGGGTCCCCTTGACTCCGGATTAAGCTCAAGATCTCTGACATCCAATGAGTACCTAGGAGAAAGTCCACCAGTCAGAGGCTTCTTCTATAAAACCACTTGTACATTAATGTCTTGCCCTTGCTAAATCAAGTGGAGAAACTTAAACAATCGAATGGATCTTTGTCCCCTGCTAGCTATTCAGCATCCTCCTATGCGGCAAGATTCCCCACATCAGGGATGGTATACTGTTGTGAAGTTGACTATATTATGTTAGGATAAGATTTATTGCTTTACTCTTGGTCCGGCACGCTCCCCTGCACCTCTGCAGGTCGTAAAGCAATTAGCAGAATTGCACAGCGTCCGTGTAGAAAGGGCAGTCAGTAAACAGGTCCCACACGTTTCTTCTTTCCTAATAGCACTTTATTTGCTCAAAAATAGCTTATTTACAGTTCTTAGACACCATCTGATTGAAGTTGCATTTTGCGACCTGTCTCTCTCAGCAGCTGCGTAGCAAAACTGCTTTCACTTTCCACTCAGCTCACAGCATTCCAAGCTGCTTTCGTCACGTCCTGGCTTACTTCCCTTGTAAGCGCCTCCTCTCAGCCTCGAGACACAGAAGGTTAACCCTTCACTACACCCAACACCCCCTCTTGTCTCGCGTCTGAGGGGAGAATCGACCCTTGGTCGTCCCAAACCCAGACCTTCACAAAACTCCCCATGTCTTTGGAAGGTGAGTGGCTTCGTGAACCCATCAGCTAGGTTCTTGGCAGAGGGACAATACTTCAGCGCAACTAATCCCTCCTGAACACTTTGGCACACATTCCGAAAGCGAATGTCTAGGTGTTTCGTTCTGGCCTTGAACTGACCTGACTCTGCCAAACGCAGGCATGGTTGATTGTCCTCGAAAACACGTATCGGCAGACAATCCACTTCGCAGAGTTCCTGCACCAAGCAAGCATAGAACTCTACTTCTCTGCACACCTCTGAAAGAGCACTAAACTCAGCCTCAGTGGATGAGAGCGCTATAAGACTTTGCTTCTTGGACCTCCATCCAACTACTGAGTTCCCAAACTTCACCACTAGGCCAGACACAGACTTGCGATCCTCAAGATTAGCCCAATCCGAGTCCACAAAGCAAGTCAGTTTGACTTCTCCTTGTGCTGGCAACCTAAGACAAAAGTCTTTGGTCTCCTGCAAATACCTCAGAACTCTCTTGATGCCATTCCAGGCTTGCACACTAGGGTTTGATGCCTCCCTGCTGAGCAGATTGACAGCAAACGCTATATCAGGTCTGCTCCACTGGGACCAGTACAACAAACTCCCTAGAGCTGACTGAAACACTTCAGTATTTTCGAACGCAGCGCGTTCTGCTTGCTGGCTGTCCTTCACAAAACTAGTCTCCATAGGACTTCTCACTCCTGCACAATCACTCATCCTCATTTTCTGAAGCAATTGCTCAATTTTACCTCTCTGGCTGAGCAAAAACTTCCATCCTGTGCACGCTCAACATTGACACCTAGATAGGTTTTGACAGCACCAAGCTGTTTAAGCTTGAAACGTTTACCTAGCTCTTTGGCAAACTTCTCCGCCTGTTCATCTGTTTCTGAGACGAAAAGCACGTCATCAACCCAAATCATCACCAGCTCCTGTGAATCTCCTGATCCTCTAAGGAACAGGCAACTGTCAGCAAGACTCTTCCTGAAACCTAGCTTCTCCAAAGCTTCATTCAGGCACATGTTCCAGTTTCTAGCAGATTGACGTAATCCATAGATGGATTTGTGCAATCTCCACACAACATCCTGCCTTGACTTCCCAAACCCCGGAGGAGGAATCATGTACAGCTCCTCCTGGAGATCTGAGTTAAGGTAGGCAACATCCACATCAAAGTGGTTTACCTTCCAGCCTCTCTGTGCTGCACAAGCTAAAAGCGTTCTCAGAGTCTCCGCTCGTGACGTTGGCGAATACACCTCCGTGAAGTGTATTCCCTTCCTCTGAGTAAATCCTCGAGCAACTAACCTGGCTTTATACTGCGGCTCTCCAGCGTCAGTGGGTTTCAAACGATAAACCCATCTGGAACTCACAGCCTGCTTCCCCGGTGGCAACTCTGTGAGTGAGAACACACCTAGCTCTTTCATGGACTTCATCTCTTTGTCCATTGCCCTGTGCCATTTGCCTGCTTCTTCCTCAGGGAAACTCTGACTATCCTCGAAGGATTCAGGTTCACAACTTGCAGAACCTACCCAGACGCCTGAAGCGTCGTACCGATCAGGAGGCCTCCTTGTCCTCGCTGATCTCCTCAGTGTGACTCCTGGTGACCCTGCCGCTTCACTGGGTCCAGCTAAATCATCCTCTGTGTCTTCCCCCTCTGACCTGCTGCGCCTCTTGGGCCTTACAGCTGGTTCAGCAGGTGAAGAAGGCTCACTCTTTGGCTCAAACTTGACACTCGCCTGAGGAGGTGTTCTAGGTTCCCCCCTCTGAGGGATCCTGAGCTGTCCCTGCCTTGGACTCTGTCCCTCTGGACCGTGGTCCCCAGCAACAAGTTCCTCCTCCTCTTCCTCGTCTGAGTCATAGAACTGCTGTGGAAGCACGTCTGGATTAGCGTGCAGACGTTTCCAACCAGCTTGCTCACAGAACTCAGCGCTATTGCTGATAACCAACCTAGACTGGTCTCCACTTGGGTATGCAAACCTCCAGGCCTTTGAGCCAGGCTCATACCCTACAAAGATCATCCTTTTAGATCTTGGCTCACCTTTCTTGCGTAGAGCCTTTGGAATAAGCACCCAAGCCTCACAACCAAACACACGAAGGTAGTGTACCTTGGGCTGCCTTCCATGAAGTAAGAAATACGGTGTATTTCCTACACTAGAGTTGTACACTCTGTTCTCGGTATGGACCACATATCTCCAGGCCTCCGACCAAAACTTCTGGGGTAGCCCTGCGTCCCACAGGATCGCAGACACAGCTTCCTGCACCGTCCTGTTCTTTCTCTCTGCGACCCCATTCTGTTGCGGAGAGTAAGGAGCGGTCAGTCTGTGGCTAATCCCCTTCTCCCTAAAGAAATCCTGTAAAGCAGAACCAGTGAATTCAGCACCTCTGTCACTTTGAAAACCACGAACTTTGGTGGAAAAGGTTACCTCAACTGCGGTGATCCAATCCCTGATCATTTTAGCCGCCTCCCCTTTCGTTTTCAGAGAGAAGGTCCAAGCAGACCTTGAAAAATCATCAATCAAAAGCAGAGAATACTTCGAACCTCCCAGTGACTCAACAGACATGGGCCCACACAAATCTGCATGAATTAATTCAAAGGGTTCTGTGGTCTGCCTCTCTGACTTTGGATATGAGCATGTCACAACTTTCGCCTGTTTACATGCATTGCAATCTAGAAATTTGTCACAAACATTAAATTTGCACCCTTGTGTCAGCTCTGGTGCTTTCTGGAGAAATCTCCAATTTAAATGAGCGAAGCGTCTGTGCCAAATATGTGCACAACCATTGTGGGGCGCTACATTCACACATTGGCCCTTTGCATCTTCGGTGTCATCTTCTCCTGTGGAAAAAGGCACATTTACAGCAAACAAATTATCTTTAGACTGCACTGTGTACACGTGTTTCCCATCCTTGGAAAATTCACATTTGTCACCTGCAAAAGAAATTTGAAAATTATCAATCAATAGATCATGCACACTTAACAAACAGTTAGTTAAACCGGGCACTGCATAAGCTTTGACTTCATGCTTAAGAAAAGGACAGAAGAACAGTCCTGTCTCTGTCAGCCTTTTTCTGCTTCCATCTGCAAACTTAACAAACTTCTCAGTTTTTACTGTCCTGCAATTCCTCAAAAGATCAGGAGATGGCACCAACGAGTTTGAGGCACCAGAGTCTATGATTACAGTGAGAAAGTCTTGTTGTTTACATTCCTGGGTCGCCAGGGCAACAATCTCCTCACTACCCCCCTCCTTGGGGCTTCTGCAGATGTCCTTTCTGGTTGTCACGGCAACAGACTCCCCCCGGCAGGAAGACTTGCCCACGACCTTGACAGCTTCCGTAGATGCAACTCTCTCAGTTGCCATGGAGACTGGACTTGTCTCGGCGTTCCCACACAACTCTGAAGCGCTTATCTCTACTTGATGCAGGTGGCTGACCTTGAAGCCTCTAGCACTTTTCAGCTTCCCAGGCTCCGACTCACGACGTAAACAACTCTTGGCAGCTTTTGGAGAAAGAGGCGTCTCTGAGCTTTCACTGCTCACTGCCCCCCCACTGCTCATGGGGTCTCCAGGACGTTTTTCTGCACCCCCTCTGAAGGGTAAAGGGCTCCCAACACTTGGCCTCTGTCCAGATTTCTCACACAGACACGTTGCAGCATCCACACAGCTCCCAGGCTCAGCAAAAACACAAGCAGCAGTGCTAGCACCAACAGCAACAGTCCCTTCGCCCCCCTGTGGGGGCTCACAGCACCTCCCAGCTGTGTATCGGCACTCAAGAATGTGGCCGGCGCCATCTTGCCTCTCCCTTTCGGATGCAGCCCCTTCTCGGCCCTTGCTTCCCACTCCAGCTCCACAAGCTTCTTGGAGTGCTAGCCAAGCGGCCTCTGGCCTTCTTGCACCCAGGACAACAGGCACCAGATGAGCATCCACACTTTCTGCCAAAAAAGCAAGCACACGCTTCTCCACTTCACTTTGCTCTGCAGCCCTATCAGCCTCTGCTTTCCCAGCTGCATTCTGTGTGGGGTGAATTACATTCCACAGCTGCTCCCCCACCAGCAAAAGCTCCACTTGAAAGCTCCACTGCAGCCAATTTTGGCTAGTCAGTCTCTGACATGGCAGCTTAAACTCAAAGCCATGCTCACAGGGCTGAGCCATTGCCTCCCTTCTGTTGGCTTTTCCCAAAGGTACTCACTCAGCCAAACTGGGAACTCCGGACGTCATGGCTCTTGGCTGCCAGCCCTCCGTCAGCCTCCTCCGATCTGCCTCTTTGAAGTCTCCGGCAGTCGATCAAGCTGACGTTCAGCAGATAAAGCTTCAAAGCCCTTTCTCTCACGCTTCACGTTGACCCATAACCATGTTAGGATAAGATTTATTGCTTTACTCTTGGTCCGGCACGCTCCCCTGCACCTCTGCAGGTCGTAAAGCAATTAGCAGAATTGCACAGCGTCCGTGTAGAAAGGGCAGTCAGTAAACAGGTCCCACACGTTTCTTCTTTCCTAATAGCACTTTATTTGCTCAAAAATAGCTTATTTACAGTTCTTAGACACCATCTGATTGAAGTTGCATTTTGCGACCTGTCTCTCTCAGCAGCTGCGTAGCAAAACTGCTTTCACTTTCCACTCAGCTCACAGCATTCCAAGCTGCTTTCGTCACGTCCTGGCTTACTTCCCTTGTAAGCGCCTCCTCTCAGCCTCGAGACACAGAAGGTTAACCCTTCACTACACCCAACATATTATTTAGCTGGTTGTTGCGCAGATGACAACAGACTCAAATCTGCTTGATCAGGCCAATGGCCTATCCTGTCCAGCTCCCTGTTTCTCCCAAAAGCCTGTGGGAAACCAGAGAGCAGAACATGAGCTCAAGAGCATTCTCCCCTCCTGTGGTTACCAGACAGTAGTATTTGGTAGCATTACTGCCTCAACTGTGGAGGCAGAGCACAGCCATCATGGCTAGTAGCCACTAATACCCTGCTCCATGAATCTGTCTCCTCCTCTTATGTGCTCCATCATGCATCACTTTACACTTGTTTACATTGACTTGCCTTTGCCATTTTGCTGACCATGTATTTTTAGTGTCAGCAAACCTGGCCACCTCACTACTTGATCATTTATGAACAAATTAAAAAGCACAGGTCCCAATACCAACTCCCAAGAAATGGGTCCTTTCTAAGGGAATGCCTCCCTCTTCTTCAAAGTGATGTTCTCCTTTCTCAGGACCTACCTTCTTCCTGACGGCAGGAGATCTGTCATTGTGGGAAGGTCACCCAGCTACCACATCCCTGAAGGCCTCATCCACCACTTTCTCTGCCTCCTACTCTTTCTAGTTCTGCCACCTTGGCCTCAAGGGAAGGAACTTGTTCCCAGCGAACCAGAATCTCATGGCACCTCTGACATACACATGACTTCTGTGCCATGGGGAGATAGTCATACAATTGGCAGAGGGTGCAAAACAATGCAAAACCCCCACACCCCTGCTGGTTTTGATAATTTGCTTCTTTTAATTTAGTTACCCATTGACTTTCCTGCTTGCTAGATTTCTGTTTTCTTGTGCGGTTCTTAGTCTAGTTTACTGTGGTTCCCTGAATTGTCCTGCCTAGGTAGCTTTTCTATAGACTTCCTAGCCCTAGGATTTAGCTCCTGTGTTGTGGGTTTTCACAGGATTTTTATCCTGGTGAAATGTGACCTTACTGTGCCCTTGTCAATCCAAGTTGCTTTAATTCAATCATTAAGTTAGGTGGGTGTTAATTATGAGGACTATAACAGACAGATGGCATATTTGTCTATATACAACCAACATTTAGATATGGTTATCCTGACACAGCATCAGAGATAGACTTTGGTAATATGGTGTCCTGAGCAAGGACAAAAAATTCCCCTCCACCCAAAAAAAAACATTTTCACAATAATACATTTAGGTACAGTTGCTTTTTTAATAAATCTTCTCAGTAGGTAACCAAATAAATATAGGTTTCATTATGATTCTGATTGTGATTATGCACACCCTCGGCTTGGCACCCCATGCAAGGAAATCACCCACATCGCCCATATCCAGCACCAAAAGCGTTCCTAGTGACATGACAGAAGCATGCCATAACAGAAAGAAAGAAAGATTTGAAAATCTCTGTTATTTTTTTGCAAGGTTTCCGGACATCCCCATGAATTTCAAGTGTTCTTTCACTTCTTTCTGTGAACATCAACAGTGGCTAGGGATGGTGTAATACGTTTATTTTGATTTCTCCTTTTGCAATCTTACATTTAATTCTCCATATTTCCATGTCAGTTTGTGAATTTTCTTGCACATTTCTACAAAGCATTTTCCCTTACTATAATAAATTTTTATTCACCCCCCCTAAAGTATGTACCGTATTTTATGCACACTATTCTAGTATATGCATTTTTGTACACATTACTTAGCTAAAGAAGTGCATTGCTAAATTCAGAGAATGTCTGTGTTTCACTTCAAAAAGTGAAAAACATGTAACTTTCACATGTGGTGGACAGGTCTATTCAGATATTCAACTTGTTTGCTGTCCACCTTCCTTATTTGTAAATTTCTTATAATTTATTTGTTTATTGCTCCTTGACTAATCGTTACCCATTGATGGAGAACTAACTTGACTTTTCCCCTTGATACCTGGTTGAAGAAGGTCTTATATATCGCAACATCCGAAAAACTAAACTCATTCATTTTTCATGGGTTTCCAGGGATTAAGCCAAAGTTTAGGACTATGCAGCTACTTGGTGGTTGTTCATGACTTATGTCAAAAGCAAACTTATACCTGGCAGGTTTACTGGATACTTTAAGTTTAAATCCAAAGTCTATTTACTTAATTGCAACACTGACCTGACTTGGGGTAAGTCATGTTCACTATATCATCATCTAACAGTTGAAAGTCATTTTCCAAATAGCTGAGTTTTTCCACTGAGTTAAACTGTTGAGCAAAAATGATTCCCTTGTATTTGAAACAAGCCATTGATGACTCTGAAAAACTGAAGATGAGAGAGAGAGGGAGAGAGATTATGTCACATCCTTAGGGACATTCAGGTAGCTACTGTTCTAGAGCCAAGCTCTGTGGATAGCTGGGGAGCAGGAGGAAGGGGAGAGTTCAGGAGTTGGTGATGGGCCATCAATAGATGGTTGAGTGGTCCCACCTGGTGTGGTGGTGGGAAATCCAAGGAACTCACTTCTGAGTACATGCCATATCTATCAAGGCTGGGTCAGATACTGGTCAGCGCAAAGAGGAAGAGTCCGTTGTCAGTGAAATCAGTCCTTTATTCAAGGAAATGGCATAAAACTTAGCAATACTTCCTGGTCAGTCTTTCTCCTATGGAGCTGTTGTCGGGACTGAATGTCGCTTTCTTCCACACTTTCTAAGGCTCCTTCCGCACTTTCTAAGGCTCCAGGAGGAGCTTCTTGCAGTCAGAGAGGGCCATTCCTGTGATTCTTCAGCAGCTCCTTGACCCCCCCCTTATCTGCTTCAGTCTGAACTGCTCGCTGTCATCACTTTTCCCTGCTCAGTAAACCTTCTCAGCATCCTTATCCTTCTCCCAATCCTCTCCTTCTGACCTCTCCTCAGTGTCCCACCACCAAACTCCTGACTCTCAGCCTTCAACTGGTGCCTCTCACCACACTTCAGCCAGCCAGATCTTGACAGCAGCAGGCTTTCAAATCTCAATTTGATCATGGGCACATGTTTTCATACCATTAACTCAGATCACTTCCATTAGGAAATAGGTCCAAAGACATCCTCTAGATGACTGCAACTATGTATCAACTACAGGAAAATCGGTTTACGCCATGTTCACACCTACCCAAAGCAAGGCACAAACCCCTCTGTACACACACTGGGGCTACTCTCACACTGTTTACCTAAAGTGCAAAAGAGTCTTCCCTCTTCCCTGCTTCTGCCAATAGGAGGCCAGGTGAGACGAACTTTTGCCTGTATATGGAACCCTTGGTACTCATGTATTGATTTAAAACATTCCACTTGCTCAGCAGCTGCAAACATTTCCAGAACAGCTTTACGTAACAGTGGTAAACCAAGGGCAGAGCAAACAGTCCCCACTCACAGCCTTAAAATCTCGAAAGACAATCCAAAAGGAAAGGGGGGTGGAAAAAACCCATTTGTAAAACTTCAAATATATGACACTGATGACCAGATTGCATAGAATCCATTTGGGAAGAAGAGAAGTGAAATGAAGCTGGTCTCTCAGCAGAGGCACTTCTCTCCCTTCTCTCACAGCTGCCAACAGGTGGAGGACTGCCAATAGCAGGGAGGAAAGGAGCAGGGGGAGAGCCAGTGGGTGGACCTGTTGTCCTGTCTTTCTTCCACTGCTACATTTATAGACTATAGCAGTTAATTTAAAACCCATGCATGTTCCAATCTGGAAAAGGAAAGAGGGAGCCAGGAGGAGGGAAGAGTTCTTCAAGGGGAGGAGAATGAGGTTGAGAGGATCTGAAAGAACGTAAGCAATGCTTGAATACAGGAAGGAAACAGGAGCAGTCTTTATAATTCAGCAGCTACTAGAGCATCCTGTGGGTCAGGGAAAGATACTTACTGTGAGAGGAAACCTTGCAAAGAGTCTGCAGGAATACCAGGAAGTAAGAAGTGTTGGAAACTTCAGCAGGTATGTTTGGAGTACAACGACCCAGCATAGCATGAACTTCCTACATCGATAAAATGAAAGTGCCAATGAACTTTGGATGAAACCATTCCCAACCAGAGAGGGGAGTTTCTATTCCAGACCAAGCATGCCTCTTAAAGACACAGGCCATGCTCACTACAGTTGAGTCTGGAGCTTCCTTCTCTTCCTGGCTCACAGAGCAAGACTTAAACACTGAGTCCGCAGGGGATGTGTTTTCTTCCCCCCCCCCACCTCCACAATTCATAGATGGGGAGGAGTTTCAATCTTGCTGGGAAGGGCACTTGTGAAGGAGCATTTTGCAGCCCTCCAGACCAAATCTGCTGCTCACCAGCTGTTTTTCAAAGACTCAGCTCTGCTCAGATCTGCTTCCCTAGCGCATTCCCTACAGAGGCTTAGGGGTTGGTGAAACAGGCCCCTGCTAGTGGTGCAAAAATCATGTAGCAGACTATGGAGTGGATGACATATACCGTATTTTTCCATGTATTAGACAAAGTTTTTGTCCTCAAAACTAACGTTTAAAAATGGGGGAGGTCCATGTTGCTTCAACTAGGCTAAGGTGGTCCGCTGTATTATTGGTGGCTGCAACAAGTGCTGGTGTGGATTTGCTGTCAATACGACTTCTGGCAGTGAGGCAACAGCTGATAGGGAAAAGCTCCACAACTCTGGGCAATCTCCCCATTTTCTTAAGTTTGAGTCCCCCAAAATAGGGGGTGTCTTATACATGGGGCCATGTTATACACGGAATGTGTCTGGTGACATGAAGCCACTGTTTCTGTCAGTTCATATGTGAAAGAAGCTTACCGTCCTCACACTGCAGGATAAAGGCAAATTTTTCAGGGGGGTGCACGATAAAGCTCCTTTCCAAGGGCACAAGGGATCCCAGTGTGTAGTGAAATAAATAAATATTTATTTATTTATTTATTTATTTATTTATTTATTTATTTAATATTTATTAAGGTTTCAAAAAAAAGGTAGTGAAATAAATATTTAATTGCCTCCCCAAGGGGTCCCTGCCTCAGAAGGAGGACCAGGACCTCGGAAGGAGCACAATTGAAGGCTCTGTACCAGCTGGGAAAAGACGACCACACCAGGATTTGGAAAAAGCAAAGCCTGATCTTTATTAAAAGAACAGGGGGGGAAAACACACACACAAAAAACTGTTGTAACAGGGTCCCCGCTCATGCAATGACAAGGAGTCAGAGAGCCCAAACAAAAGGACTACCTTGATTCTTATACCTTTTGATTTTCATCCAGATCAATAGCAGAGGAGGTGGCGGGAAGCGACATGAGAGGTGCGAAGAGTGGATTAACATAAGGTAAATAGGATGTTGAAAGACTTACGGGAGGTGTCAATTTGCTGAAGGCTCAGGTGATATGTGTCGATCTTCGTGTTATTTAATTTTTGGATCTGCTTAAATGGCTTTTCCTTTATCTACAGGATAATCAGTATGCAGATCGTGAGGCTGGATGTTCAGGAAGATGTTCAGGAAATGGCTTAAATGTTAATGTGAAATCCTATTCTGCATTGCTATCAATTCGAGTGTGATAGCCTGATGTTTGCATACTTTTTTGAAAATAAAACTACAGTGGTACCTCGCAAGACGAATGCCTCGCAAGACAAAAAACTCGCTAGACGAAAGGGTTTTTTGTTTTTTGAGCTGCTTCGCAAGACGGACACGTCTTGCAAGTTTGTTTCCTTTTTCTTAACACCGCTAATACAGTTGCGACTTGACTTCGAGGAGCAACTCATAGAACGCGATGTGGTAGCCTTTTTTGAGGTTTTTAAAGACTTTGGTGATTTTTGAAGCTTTTCCAAAACTTTCCCGACACCGTGCTTCGCAAGACGAAAAAAATTGCAAGACGACAAAACTCGTGGAACGAATTAATTTCGTCTTGCGAGGCACCACTGTACTTTATTTTGAGCTCTTATCTGTGTGTATTCATGGTATCGTTTGTAGACCCAGTAGGTGGCAGTGTGGTGGAGAGTCTTGGCAGCCTTTTGGATACAATATCGAGTCAAGTATATACATTTTGAAATACTTAGATTGTTACATTTTTTTAAACTACAATTTGGATACATTTAGAAAAGTACAGCATACTAGGCATTTCAGAAAAGATACATTCACAAATACATTTTAAAAGGATAGCTTCATGGAGAAAGAGGTACACTTCGTAGAGAAAAGATTCATTTCAGTAAGGGCATTCAGACTCATTTCAGTGAGACAGAAATAGCAGCAGGCACGTTACATTAAGATGATGCATTAAAATGGAAAAGGCACACATTATTTTACATTCAATGATACGTGAAAAGACACAGTAAGATGACATATTCCCAATGATGCGTTCTTCAAGGCACAGTTTATTATTGTTGTGGGGCTGTTGGGTAGGATGATATCATTAGGATCATTTTTCCTTTATTCCCCTCTCTGACCCTGATTCTCTTATGACAGTAGCAACACCAAACTATCCATTAAACTGTGTCAAACAGCAGGCAAAACCAGCAGGCAATTCTGCAGAGGGAGTGGAAGATTGGACTCACATTCCACCCCAAAACATGTGCAAAACGATATGCCTTGGCTAACCAGCAAAATGTACACAATGATGGGGGTCAGACACACCTCAAGAGGGATGGGGCGTCCCACAGCCTGGCCATTTGGTAGCCTCTCTCCTTAAATGGGGGAGTGTCACCAAGTGGTTAAAGCAAGAAAAGAATAAGGTGTGGTACATTTGTATCCCAAGACACCTCAATTCCTGGAAACATGTGAAAAGGGAGGTCACAAATCTTTCCCTCAAAGCAAGAAATGAGGTGTGCCTTTAAATACTTAAGCCCAGTGCTATTTTTCTAGATGGCAATGGCACCCACCTGAGAGGGGCCAGAAGGTGAGTTCTGGCTGGAAATCAACCCTGCTTAAGCTGCTCCACTTTCAAAATCAGGGGCCCCCATAACAAATGCAGAAATGTGGTGTGTTATTTCAAGGAACATTTTCCTGCTTAACAAATATTCCAGTTAAAATCTTTCCCCTGCAGTCAGTGTCACTGGGCACCTCAAAATCACCACCTAGAGTATTTCCCAGGACCTTTCTTAAGAGATTTCTAAAGTGAGTAGCTTGCCTTGGTTTAAAGTTTAAAAGGGGCATGGGGGTGTAAGCAGAAAGACCACCACCCAGTTATCAAAGTGTAAGCTTCCCCACCACATAATGGTACTTGCCCTGGCCCAGTGGACTAGGGGGACTAGACTAGCCCCCTAAATGTTCCCCTGTCGCCTCCTTCCCAAAGCCCAGGAAGCTTCTGCACGACTTAGGCAGTCACGTAGGAGAGGGACAGTATGGTGGAGAGAAAGGAGGTTTTCTAAGAAACTACCTAGGATTTGTGAAGGAAAAGACAATGGGGAGGCTTTTCCACTTTGACCTTGCAGAGAAAACATTTGGTCAGTTTAGGAATCAAAATGGTTCCAGGTTGGTCTTCCTGTGCTGATCTATGTATGTGCGGTTATGAACATTACCATATATCTAAGACCATAAAATTCCTATCGCAGTGGAGAGGGACAGTATGGTGGAGAGAAAGGAGGTTTTCTAAGAAACTACCTAGCAGGACTGGCCCAGCAGTGTTGTAAGAACCAAACAAGGCCCAGGGCGAGTGCAAAGTATATACACAAAGTATCAAATGTGGTGTCAGTAATAATAATGCAACAAAACAACAACACCACAAACTGGCTTATAAGTATAAAACCAAATTTACTAGAATAATAGCTGGAATAGAGATAGACTTGTAACCATTCAAGCAACAAACATACTAAGGTGCCATGTGCAAAACAAAGCCTGGAAATAGTGTAAACACGGAGTGGATAAATGTACAACTGCATCTTAACAAGTTACATGTGCAATAAACGTTATACAGACTGGATAAATGAACTGTTCAGCCAGGGCGAGTGCACACGTGTTGGAGGCTAAAGCCCTCACAGCCTCAAGGACTTGGCTCCTTTGCTCCACCCCACAGAACCAGAGAACTGCGGAGCTGGAAGGGAGCCCAAGAGTCATCTAGTCTACCCTCCACAATGCAGGGGTCGCAAGGAAAGCATCTGACAGAGATGGGTGCCCACTTGGAGTCTTTCCCCACTTGGAGTCCCCCCCTTCTCAAGGGGTGCCCACTTCTGAGCCCCCCAAAGAGCTCTCTCCCCCCCGGGGGGGGTCGTGGGTGGCTGGGGGGTCTGGGACCTCAGAGGCCTTGGGTCCCATGGCTTCCCTTCCCCCCACCCACCCAGGGGATCCTCCCATTCATCTCTCAGCCCTGCAACAGCCTCCTCTGCACCCCCCCCCATCGCACCACAGCCTCCCCTTTGCCCAAAACTCTCACCGCCCCCGAGGCCTCCCGAGAAAAGCATGGAGAGGAGACGGGAAGGAGAGAGGGGCCTTTTCTGGGCTGCTCTAGTGAGCCCTGCTCTCTCGCTCCCCTTAACCCTTATGTGGCCTCGCTGCTCAGGGATTCCTGCCCAGGGAAAAAGTGGGCAAGGCAAACGCATTCTGCCGATCAGCGATCCTACAAGTAAATAAAGGATATTCCAGCCTGTGTTCCTTAGTCTTAGGCACTCCAACTCAGCAGCATACGCCACAAAGTGCAAAGAGACTTCCTTCCAAGTTAATGCCCTCAGATAGGAGACAAAGTTGCACCCATAAATAATCAGCTGCAGCAACACAAAAGATACGAGGCAAGCAGGGCAGAGATTAGCTGGAGGGGGCAAGGGAAACAGCACAGAAGTGCAGTTCAGAGACGGGGGGGAGAGGGGGATTGGATAACCCAAAAACCATATGGTCAAGCAAATCGCCAGCTATTCTAATTGGTTGTGAAACCTTTACTGTACCGGCTAGTAAAGTGGGCCAACTGCAGTCCCCTGCTGGGAGTGAGCTCTATTGAAACCAGAGGATCTTACTTCTGTGCAGAGGGGTGCTCAACTGGAGACAGGGATGACACCCGTCTCCCCTGCCTGCCTCCTCCTAGGGCGGCGGGGAAGGGCAATGCCCGCCCCCCGCCCACTCCCAAGCCTACAGTGAGCCTAAGGAAGGGGAAGCAGGGCTCAAAGGTGCCCTGAGTTTTCTCCACCTCGGGGAAAACTTCAGTCAATCTCTGTGTTAAAGCAACTGGAACAGAGACAATGAAAAGCAACCGTCCTACTACAGTTACAAAGAAGAATGTGTGAGAAAACTGGAGAGCTTCCTGCACACAGCCGAGAGCAAAGCCATGCTGCCGCTCGTGAGCCGGCACTGACAGAAGTGAAGTCTTGTCATGCCTCCTCTTACTCTTATCGCATTTGTGGATCTGGTTTTTCTCTCGGCTGTGTGCAGGAAGCTCTCCAGTTTTCTCCCACATTCCTCTTTGTAACTGACTTAGTTCTGTTCTAGAACTTGGTGGTAGTTTTGTCAGGAAGAAGTGGGAGAGTGAAGCCTACTAGGACGGTTGCTTTTCATTGTGTCTGTTCCAAGGCAGCCGGTACCCAAGTACCCCGAGCCCGGGGGGGGGCAAAGCCAAGCACCTCATCACCCTCTCCCCTGCTTGCCTCCTGCCTGCTCCTCCAGTCAGGAGCGGGGGCAATGACACCACCACCCCCCCGCGATTCCCAAGTACACAGAGCCATGGGAGGGAGGGAGGGAGGAGGAGCTGCACAGCTTTGCCAGCAAAGCCCCTGCTTCCTCCAACCGGGAGCAGGGGCAACAGCGCCCGCACCATGCGCGCAGGTGGGCAGCACCACAACTGTCACCCCCCTCATGATGACACCATGATGTCAGCTTTCCCAACAGAGGCTTAGGGGTTGGTGAAAGAGGCCACTGCCAGTGGAGCAAAAATCATGTACCAGACTATGGAGTGGATGACAGATATGTGTCTGGTGACATATATGTGTCTGGTGACATGAAACCGTACTTCTCACAGTGCAGGATTATTCAACTTGGGGAAGGGTGCACGATGGAGCTCTTTGCCAAGGGCACAAGGGACCCTAGTTACACCACTGATTCCCTGCGTGGAACATCCTAGCAAAGCAGACCCCTCAGGCTCCCCACCCAACGCCACGTCCTGTAACAGGACTGGATCACTCTGAAATCCTGGGCTGCCACAACCTGACTCAGCCCAAGCACAGATCCCTGCCCCCCACCGCCCGTCACTGGAATAGGCCTGAATCAGCCTGCAATTCAACTTGTGAAGAACTTTCCACCACTGGCTGCCTCTTCTCCTCTTTTTCTTCTGGTCTTTGCTCTTCCCACTTTTCTTCAAGCAGCATGCCAGCTGAGAATAGCTTTTGCCCCAGTCTATAGCATGTCCACTGTAGTTCATGCACTGGTACCCTTGTGGCTAGATTACTGTAATGTGTTCCTTGTGGGGCTGCCTGTGGGTCTGGTTCAGAAACAACAGCTGTTGCAGAATGCTGCAGCCATATTGCTAATGGGTGCTTCTGGTCGAGAACATGTGACCCCACTGTTAAAACAGCTGCACTGGCTCCTCATCTGCTACTGAGCCAGGTTCAAGGTTCTTGCATTGATTTACAAAGCCCTGAACAACCTGGTCCAGGATAAGTCAGGGATCATCTGAACCCTTATAGTCCAGCCCAATCATTGAGATCATCTGCAGGAGCATCTTCAGTTGTCCCCCAAGTTGATGTGTCTCATTAGAAAACAAGAAACCGAGCTTTCAGTGTCATTGGCCTTGCCATGTGAAACCCCTTACCAACAAAGATTCAATGGGAACTTTCTGTACCACCTTTTAAATGCCTGCTTGAAAATTCTCTGTTGCGCCAGGCCAGTGCAGGCCATTAAGAGTATGTCTCCCACAATGGCCTTTTTGCTGTTTGTTTTTAATTTATTTTTGTTTGTTCTTAATTTATTTTATCTTGTTCTTAGCTTTTGTGATTTACTGTTTGGTTTTATGATACAGTGGTATATAAATCTTTATAGGAATGAAGAGATAAATATTCATTTAGCCAGTCTCTAACCCATTATATAAATTTATTCAGTTTACCCTGCTCTTTAGCATTCAAAGAGGAACTTTTCTAACAGTAGTACATGCATTTTAAAAAAGAACACAAACAGGGAAGGCATCTGAGGATGAGCCTTCATATTGGATGGACCTGGGCATGTTTTCATGGAAGTAGAAAATCATCTTGTGAAGCTTAGGTGGACATCCTATCTTGAGCAGTGCGAAGAGTTTGAAGGCCATTATCTGGTCTATGAAGGTGATCTACAAGGGGTGTCTCAGTCTCAGCTGACGCAGTGAGAACCCCAAGCTCTAAAGTCACATTGTGATTTAGTAAAAACAACAAATAACAGCAACTGTACCATTCCTGATCAGGTATCTGCTTATTCAGAAGAAAATACCCATCCATCTGAAACATAAGTATGTGGAGAACAGCAGGAGCAACAATCTGGCATTCTTCAGTCCCATGGGAAGGTCATATTCACACCACGCATGTTCTTCCGATAAGCATGGTCAAAGTGTTCGCTCTGCGCCACTGTCAGGAGGTTCTTCCAGTCTCCAGAGATCCCTGGAACAACACAAGAGCAAATGTTAACCCCAAAGAAATATGACTGAAATGACTTTAGCCCAAATTAGAACTTTTCCTCCTCATTCTCAGGCATGCGGCAGCTCCCTCAGGTGGCTGACGTTAGAGGGAAAAGCACATGCCCCTGACTGCTTGCCCCCCTCCTGACTTGGCACTCCAGCAGCACTAATGCTTGCGTGTTGGTGACTTGGCCCAGCTAGGTGTCTCATCCAGCCACCTTTTCCAATTGCATCACAGAGAGCTCCATGGGAAAGGCCACTGACTGAGTAGGCAGGCTCGTACGCCCATGAACTGTGTGTCTGTTGTTCTGCCTCCAATGTAGTCCTGCAGCATTTATTTAAAGTGGAAGCCACTTGGCATCCAAAAAGAGCTGTTAGTAAGCAGTGCTGAGCTGTAGAGCTACAATGTCTGTCCGTTAAAAGCCTGTTGCCCTCAAGTAAAATGAAGGACACTGTTCTTTCACTCTTTAGATGCAGCAGCAAATCCCATCAGCATCTGAGTGTGGAATGAAGAACTGTAGCCTTCTACATCTGGCAGGAAAATGCAATGGGTCCTGCTTCCTCTCTACGACTTACCACTTCTGATGATGTGGCAAACATGCCATCTCTGGCATGGTCCATTCTTGTTAGAGGATGATACCACCTCAGACTGCACATGATATAAAAGCTTTCCTCAAGGCCATTAAGAGTAAATTTATTCATTTTACCCTGCTCTTTAGCATTCAAAGAGGAACTTTCATGAGAGCAGTTCATGCATTTAAGAAAAGTACACGAACAGGGAAGGCATCTGTGGATGTGCCGTCATATTGGAAGGTGCCGGGCATGTTATCATGGAAGAACACAATCATCTTTTGACGCTTCCGTAGGCATCCTATCTTGAGCAGTGTGAAGAGTCCTTTTTGGCTGATGAGGTTGAAGGCCTTTGTCAAGTCTATGAAGGTGATGTTCAAGGGGCATCTTGGTCTCAGCATTTCTCCTGCAGCTGCTGCAGAAGGACCTCCAAGCTCTAAAGACACTTTGTGATTTGGTCAAAAAAGAAAGAACAACTGTTCCATTCTTCATCAGGTATGTTTATTTAGCACAGTGGTAGCAGAAACTAGCCAAGCCATATGATACATAAGAATGTGGAGAACATCAGGAGCAACAATCTGATTCTTCATTCCCAAGGGAAGATCATATTCACACCACGCATGTTCTCCCAGTAAACACGGTCAAATCGTTCACTCTGTGCCACTGTCAGGTGGTTCTTCCAGTCCCCGCAGATCCCTAGAACAAGACAAGAGCAAGTGGCAACCACCAAGATGTTCACCTGAAATTACGTAAACTTAAATTGGGACGTTTCTTCCTTGTGCTCAGCTGTGAGGCAGGCAACCCCTCAGGTAGCTGATGTTAGGGGGGAAAGAACATGCCCCCTGACTGTTTGCCCCGAGCCCCTCCTCAACCATTCCCACCCTCCTGATTTGGCTTTCCAGCAGCACTAATGCATGCATGTTGGGTACCTGGACCAGCTGGGTCCAGCCATGCTTTCTTATTGCACCTCAGAGATCTCCATGAACCGTGTGTCTGTTGCTCTTTCTTCTGAATTTCTGCTTGCTTTCCAAATCAATGTGAAAGACACAGAACCTGCCAAATCTAGCATAAACAACTCTGAGGCAACTACTGTGTCTTGATGGCCTGGAGAATCTGCAGCCTATATTCAGGGAGTCCACAGCATTATCCTGGTCTCAAAATCGTGCAGAAAGGCCCTTTTTCTCCAGACTGCCTCTTTCAGAATAATTTCTTATTTTGATCTGGACACCCATGAAATAGATAGACTGTGATGGCCTGGAAATTGGATTCAGAGGCTGAACCGGAGGAATCCCAGCCTGCACAGGAGTCTCTGCTTCCAGGGCCGGCTGAGCCGGGGCAGAGCCTTGAATCTGAAGGGCCCTCACCTGTGCTGGATCCTCAGGAGCAGACACCAGATGAATCCACTCTGGCTCCGGGGGTGATTGAGGACCCATTGCCTGCAGGTGCTCCTCTCCCAGCCCTGTCAGGGGAAGGTGAGGCGGCCTCTGGGTCCAGTAACCCTCCAGCCTCTCCTGAGCTGCAGAGGCTCAGGGCAGAGAGGCGGAGGGAATTAAGTTCTATCAGGAGGAGTGCTCGCCTTAAAGCCAGGAGAGGCGAGTCACCTGTGGGCCGGGACCGCCCTAGGCCCCAGAGGAGATAAAGGCCAGTCAGCTCAGTCCCAGGTTGCGGGAGCAACGTCGTTGGAAACCTGTTTCTGCCAGCACCCAGACCTGTTTTTCCGGAGTTCCCAACCACACCCGGCTTCTTGCTTTGGACCCCGCTTCGCCCTTGGTGGACAGTCTCCAGACCCTCGACCCAGGACTGGACTCTGACCACGCCTCAAGGTAACGTCCCCCAGGACCAGCACATAGACTTAGATGGAATGTTGCACAGAGAGGAAGGTATACAGTCCTGCAAACTGTACCCCCTTCTGGACCTGCAAACTGTGCTCACAGTCAGCTCTGGCTCTACGATCTATTGACTGTTTGCTGACAGACTTTTTCTGTGAGACATTCAAACATCCACAGAAAAAGAAGAGGTTCTTCACCCCTGGCATGCAGCATTGTGGCCTTATTCCTTGGCACTCCAATGTTATTACCTTTCCTCATGAGCGTTGCTTTTGTATGGTCAAAAATGTTCTCTGGTGCTGTGGAAAGGTTAGACATCTTGTTGTCCTTCATCTTGTGGAAGGAGGCGTTTTCCACCACAGATTCAATTTGTTGGCTGTTCAGCTCCTTGCCAAGAAAATGACAGATCTTCTGCACGCTGCCTCGAAGGTCCTGCAGAAAGCAAAAGGAAATGGCTGTGAATCCTCATGTGATTTAGAGAGCTTGCCCTTCATCAGGTGGCACACAGAGAGCATGAGTACCAGTATGCAATGTGCCTTGGGCAAAATGAATGTCTTGAGGATGTGGAATTTGATGTTATCACCTTGCAGAAGCCACTCTGTCTCCACCTCCCCTCAGCCAGCACCACACCTAGGGGCACCTGAGTTACCAAGAGACATTACCTTTGAGGCAGAAAAGCAGGTTATTGGCACATCTGCTCTAAAGTAGAAGAAAGGAAATGTACTCTGCAGTGATATGCAGTGTATGTAGAGGTAGCACCGAATTTTGCACATGCTCAGAATCCCTTTCTGGCCAATATTGGTAGAATCTTTCAAAAAAGAAGGCACCTTCATGTGTGAATAATGTCAGAATTGGGGCTGCAGGTCAACAAAGTTAAAACTGGACCTTTACCTGCCGTAGTTCTTCATAGGTGATGAAGAAGATGTTGGCTCTCTCCTTCATCTCCACCCAGCCTTTCACGTGGTCAAACCAGGAACCATAATCTCCTGAAAGAGCAAAGAGGAAGCAAGGATGAAATGTAAGTAGTTATTGGGGGGGGGGGGAGAAGAGAATGCTATTGTAGACGTAGAGGAAACACCAAACAAAATCAGTAACAGGAAACTTCAACGCTATCCTATGTCCAATGCCTATTGACTTCTCTGTGTACTGACATTATCCATGTACAAGAGAAGTAAAGCTTTGAATGAGTCAATAATCTTACGCTTTAATGGGCTTTCTCCATTATGGTTTCTTTTTCTTTCTTCCATCAGTGAGAATGTCTGCTAACATCGATTTTGATCTATTCTCTTGTTAGTGCCAATCTCACCCAGCTGTTAAGGACTTTCCTTAAGTTTCACCCTCTTCTCATTGTAGTGCCAATCTCGCCCATCTGAAAGGACATTTACTGATTTTCTTTGAAAGCAAATGACAAATGTAGGACTTTGCCACATTTCTGCCCTTCTCCATGTATCCAATTGGGAATTATAATTTTCGGATAGAACTCTAGAGTTAGCTAATAATAAATGTTTTTTGGCAGTGGACATCACTGGTGCTGGGTCACAGCAAACAAGAGTGGCTGATTTGCCTCCTTCCATACTTTCCCCTCTCAGGAATCTCTCCATGAACTCTTCCACAGTTCCAGGGTCCTTCCATACTTTAATGCCTTTGTTGAAGTGGTAGCTTGAAACCATAGCATCTCTGGGGTTACGCAGAGTATAGACTACCTGTAACAGAGGAAGATCTATATTGAAGGAGGGCCCAGGCAGCCCAACACTATCAATAGGCAGAGTGCAGCAGCAAACTGAAGGCATGATAACTAAAACCTGACATGGGAACAGGGGACGCCTCCAGTGAGGACCTGGGCTGACCATGAATGTGGACCATGTACACATAAAGTTCTTCCACAATCAGGAAACTGCTAAGGAAATTCCCAATAGTCCTCCCCATTCTCTAGTACAGAAAATGGCATCCTCCTGTCAAGTGTTCCCAAATCCCCCACATCTGTGTGCCAAAAGACAAGAGTCAAAGACAGTCTTTATGTGTCCATTGTTCCTCTTTTACCTTGGCCTTGGAGTGGAGGAAGGACTTGGGGAAAAGCTGGAATGGCAGATGAGTTGTCAGGAGTCTGGGGGGAGGATTTTTCAAGGCAATCTTGAAATCTTCATCCAGCTCAATCCAGGGTGCCCTTTCCCTCAGTGATACATTCTGAACCCATGAGGGGTCCCCTTGGCTCTGGATTAAGCTCAAGACCTCTGCCATCCAATGGGTACCTAGGAGGAAATCCACCAGTCAATCATTGTGCATTAATACCTGGCCCTTGAAAAGCAATTAGAGGAACATAAGAATTTCAATGAATCTTCTTCCTCTTCTAGCTATTCAGCACCCTCCTACGGGGCAAGACACTCAGATTCTGGAACGGTTTACCGTGGTGAAACTGACTATATTTTTTCGTTGAGTGTGGCACAAGTGAGAACAGAAGAATAGCCTTCTGGATGACGCCAATGACCCATTGAGTCTGGCATCCTGTTTCTCCCAGAAGCCTGTGGGAAGCTAGAGAGAAGCATTATGTTACCAGCAGTTTTGTTTTCATTCCATTCCTAGTGACCCCCAGCATGGAATCTGCTTTTCTCACGACCACTGCACACTGGGTCAACATCTTCCTTGAGATGACTCCAAGGTCTCGCTCTTGCTCCATCACCTCCATTTCACACCCCATGAGCGTGTATGGGAAATTGAGATGTTTTGCTCCAACATGCATCACTTCACACTTGTTTACATTAAATTCATTCACCATTTTACTGACCGTCTATTTTTAGTGTCAGCAAACCTGGCCACCTCACTACTTGATCACTTATGAACAAGTTACAAAAGCACAGGTCCCTATACCAACTTCCAAGAAACGGGTTGTAGGAGTGCAAATATCCAGAGATGTAGTGATCAGGTGGGATTACCATGAGCAATTATAAAATATACATCAAGCCATCGTGTCCACGATGAAAGCATTGTGTTGACTGGGTTTGATATATTGACGATAATTTCTGATTAAATCCCATAAGATTCTACATTCATGCCCTTTTGCCTCTGCTGCCCATTTCTCCTTGCTCTTCACAAATCACGTACACACTTAGACAGGCAGGCGTCCTGGGTCATCCAAGACAGTGGGCAAGTTTCTCTGATGTAGGATGTTCATCTTAGGGCCAGGAAACAGATCTCACATTAAGGTGATAATGCTCACTGTCCTCCTGGCCATCCTCCTTATCATGTGTATTGCTTGTTTATTACCAGCGGGGTTGCCAGATGCTCCCCTTTGTAGTTCTCAACTTATTTACCCCAAAAGTATGCATGGATAACTAGTGTTTATAGATTAACTTTCTCCCCACGTGGGTTTGTGAAATGCTCAGAAGAAATCTGATTGGTTCTTATGAACACTCTGTAAAAAGTTCTTTTGTGAATAAAACGGCCTGGGCCAGAGGGGCTGCAGACAACGGACAAGCACAGAGAGACACAATTATACGCACCCTTCCCAGAGTCTTGCTGGTTCAAGTCTCTGTGTGTATTCTTATTAATCAGAGTTCAATCCTTCCTTTACCTGGTGAACGCAACACAGGTCCTTTCTAAGGGAATGCCTCCCTCTTCTTCAAAGTGATGTTCCCCTTTCTCAGGACCTCCCTTCTTCCTGAGGGCAGGAGAACTGTCATTGTGGGAAGGTCACCCAGCTACCACATCCCTGAAGGTCTCCTTGGCCACTTACTCTGCCTCCTACACTTTCAAGTTCTGCAACCTTGGCTTCGAGGGAAGGAACTTGTTCCCTGAGAGCCTGAAACTCATGGCATTTCTGACATACACATGGGGAGATATTCATACAAATGGCAGAGGGTGCAAAACAATGCAAAAACCCCACACCCCTGCTGGTCTTGATAATTTGCTTCTTTTAACTTAGTTACCCATTGACTTACCTGCTTGCTAGATTTGTGATGTACTTGTGGGGCTCTTAGTCTAGATTCCTGTGGTTCCTTGAATTCTCCTGCTAAGTAGCTTTACTATCGACTTCCTAGCCCTAGGATTTAGCTCCTGCGTTGTGGGTATTCACAGAATCTTTATCCTGGTGGACAGTCACCTTGCTGTGCCCTTGTCAATCCATGTTGTTTTAATTCAATTATTAAATTAACTGCGTGTTAATTATGAGGATTTTTGGAAAATGACTATACCAGAAAGGTGGCTTATTCGTCTATATACAATCAAGCGGTAGAGATGGTTATCCTGACACAGCATCAGAGATAGACTTTGGTAATATGGTGTCCTGAGCAAGGACAAAATTTCCCCCTCACCTCCCCAATATATTTTCACCATAATATTTTAAGGTACAGTTGCTTTTTTAATAATTCTCCGTAGGTAACCATAGAAGTATAGGTTTCAATGTGATTATGATTATGAACCCCCTCGACTTGGGCCCCTTTGCAAGGGAACCACCCACACCACCCATATCCAGCACTGACAGCCTTCCTAGTGACCTGACAGAAGCATGCCATAACATATAAGATTCTCCTGGGAATATTCCCAGTTCAGCTCATGAGCGCTGTAAATATCTGGGTTAAGATATTCCAGAAAGACAGAATGATTGGGAAATCTCTCTTTTTTCCAAGGTTTCTTGACTTCCCCAGGAATTTCAAGGGTTCTTTTGCTTCCTTCTGTGAACATCAACAGTGGCTAGGGATTGTGTAATATTTCTATTCTGAATTCTCATTTTTGCAATCTTAAGATCAGTTCTCCATATTTCCACGTCAGTTTGTGAAATTTCTTGCACATTTTTACAATGCATTTTCCCTCCCAATATCATGCATTTTTATGGTTTCCCCCACTATAGTATGCATTTTATGTACACTTATATGCATTTTTGTACACATTACTTAGCTGAAGAAGCTCATTGCAAAAATCAGGGATTGCCTGTGTTTCACTTTGTGTAGTTCAGAAAGTGAAAAACATGTAACTTTCACATGAGGTAGACAGTTCTATGCAGATATTCAACTTATTTGCTATCTTCCTTCATTTGTAAATGTCTTATAATTTATTTGCTTGTTGCTCCTTGACAAATCTTTATCCAGGAGTGGAACTGGTTTAAGATGGTCCTATATATTGCAATACAATTCTACCTCTATGCAGCTACATGGTGGTTGTTCATGACTTATGTCAATAGCAAACTTATGGCTGGCAGGTTGAGCACTTTGTCCACTAAATCCAAAATCTATTTTCCTAATTGCAACACTGACCTGACTTGGGGTAAGTGGCGTTCACTATATCATCATCCAACAGTTGGAAGTCGTTTTCCACATAGCTGAGTGTTTCCTCTGAAAAGAATTCTGAAGAAAATGGGATCCCCTTGTATTTGAAATAAGGCATTGGTGATACTGAAAAACTGAAGATGAGGGGAGAGAGAGAGAAAGAGAAAGAAAAATTATACCACATCCTTAGGGACATTCGTGCAGCTACTGTTCTAGAAAAACTCTGGCAATAGCTGGGGAGCAGGAGGAAGGGGAGAGTTCAGGACGTGGTGATGGGCCATCAATAGATGCTCAAGTGGTGCCACCAGGTGTGGTGGAAAACCCCAAGAAACTCACTTCTGAGTTCATTTCTATCATTGCTGGGTCAGATAGTGTTCAGCACGAAGTGGCAGAGTCCGTTGTCAGTGAAATTAATGCTTTATTCAAGGAAACGTTAAACAACTCAGCAATACTTCGTGGTACGTCTTTCCCCTATACAGTGGTACCTCAGTTACATATGCTTCAGGTTACAGACTCCGCTAACCCAGAAATAGTACCTTGGGTTAAGAACTTTGCTTCAGGATGAGAACAGAAATTATGCTCCAGCGGTGCGGTAGCAGGGAGGAGGCCCCATTAGCTAAAGTGGTGCTTCAGGTTAAGAACAGTTTCAGGTTAAGAATGGACCTCCGGAACGAAGTAAGTACTTAACCCTAGGTACCACTGTAGAGCTGTTGTCCAGACTGAATGTCCCTTTCTTCCACACTTTCTAAGGCTCCTCCTCTCCCGGATGTTGCCCAAGCAGTCTCCAACTGTCTCTGCGTATCTCTGGTCTCTTCTCTGCCCTCCTCATGATCTTGCCTGTTCTTTGAGACCGGGATACGGGAGGAACTTCTTGCAGCCAGAGAGGGCCATTCCCGTGATTCTTCAGCAGCTTCTTGACCCCCCCCCCTTTGTGAGGAGAACCTGAGCTTACAGGGTTAAACAGCTCAGAGTGTACGCTCTGCGTACTGTGGAAAGGAGGGGGGAAATGCTGCGTCATTTCCGAGAGGCTAAAGCCTTTGTTCTTTCTCTCTACTTTCGCTTTTGAGGAGAGAGGACGTGTTTTCACGATGCTGTTCGCTGTGATAGATAATGGATAGCCTGCTGTAAATAAAACTGCTTTTAGCTGCTAAGATCCTGTGTGGACTTTATTTAAGCACACTGAAGAAGGCACTGGAGTTTTTTTTTGGTTTCCTCTTACCGCTGTTGAAACTCTGCTATGCTCAGATGAGTCGGACTCTTGGAATGCCGAGACTCTTGGGGGAAGCGTGCCGGACCTCACGCTTATCTGAGCAATAAATCAAGATATCCCAGAGGTTATGGGGGCAGTAATTGCAATTAGAGGAAGCCTGCTTTAATGTGCTGTGTGCTTAAGAAGGCTGAGAAAACTGAGAAGCTGTTATTTTTGCTGCCGGGAGGCAAAAGTCCTGCCTTGAGGCTTCGCCTGGGAGAAAAGCTGCAAAGCTGGATGCAAGCTGTGTGCTGCAAAGAGCCACTGGAGGCCTCTCCTTTGAAGCTGGCTGGTACGCGTGAGTACTTCAAAGCCCCAATGGAAGCACTGGGGGAGGAGATGGCTGAGCTCCAGGACTTTTATGATGTCCCGTTTGAAAAGCTCACAACCCAGTCCTGGGATATCTGGGTTAGAAGAGTCAGGGGGGTGGTTTTTGGCCACAGGGTTCTGGAGTATAGCCCAGAAGGAGCCCGCCCCACCCATGCCAGTTGCTGCTGAAGAAGGAGGAGCAGAACTGGAGGCTGCACTCCTGGAAGATAGAGAGCTGAGAATGCAAAGGGAGCTCTGCATGTTGAGAGCAAGCGTGGACGCTATGCTGTTGCCCCACCTGAAGGGCATTGAGTCGGCTCAGGCCGCCTGGCAGGTGCTGAGGAGTCTGTGTGAGAACTCAGCAGGAGCCCAGGGCCGGGAGAAAGCCGAGAGCAGGGAGGAAGCTGAGAGCCCAGAGGGGGGCTGCTGGCCATGTTCCTAAAGTTACAGCTGGGAGTAGCTGCTTTGTCTCCGAGGGGCCGTGTGATGTTGAGGCCTACAACCAGAGTGCTGGGGAGCGTGCAGGCCCAGGCTGTGCACCCAAAGGTGGGGGTGCTGGGAACAAAGGAATGGCTGAAGAGGGAGCTGTGAGAGCTGTTGCTACGCGTCGCCGCTGTTATCGCTGTGGCTCCCCTCCCATCTGGTGAGAGAATGTCCAGTGGAGGAACAGCCCAAGGCCGTCCCCCGTAGCAACCAGATAAAGAGCTCTTCTTCAAAGCGTGGGAAAGGCAAGCCGAAGGCAGCTGGCAGAGACACTGAACGTAAACATTTGGCTGCCTCTATGGCTGTAGTCAAAAGTTGTCAACAGGATGCTGAGCTGGCTTTTGTTATCGACTCAGGAGCGTCTCATCATCTCGTGCCATCTGGTGGATTCCTGGAGAACTGCACCTCTGTAAAATCTGGGAAGACTGTCTGTTTAGCAGATGGGACTCGACACCCACTCACGCAGAGTGGCTCACTGTTTTGTTCTTTCTTGCAGGACTCAATCCAGGCTTTTGTTGTTCCAGGACTGTCCTGCGCGTTGCTGTCTGTCAGTGCACTTCTTGCTGAGAACTACAGAGTGTGTTTTGAGAACAATAAGTGTTCTATTTCCAAGAATGGACAGCACCTAGTCAGTGTTGAATGTAAAGACAGGTTGTTTGTGATAAATGCTTCTTTTGCAGGTCCAGATGACACGGATGACACGGAGGAGGCTCAAGCGCAGTGTGCCAATGTTCCAGTTCATGATGCGTGTCAACATCTCTGGCACAGACGTCTGGCACACGTGTCGTGGGGGTCGGTGAGAAGGATCCCAGAGTATACGCAAGGGTGCAAAATGAAACCATGTGCTAAGTTTCTAGATTGCAGAGCGTGCAAGTCCGCAAAGGTGAAAACGTGCACATACCCTAGGTCTGAGAGGGTGACCACTAGGGCTTTTCAATTAATTCATGCAGATTTGTGTGGTCCGTTTTCTGTGAGCAGTTTGGGCGGAGCCAAATATTCGCTGGTTCTGATTGATGACCATACGAGGAATTCTTGGAGTTTTTTGCTTCGGCGCAAAGATGAAGCTGCGCCGCTAATCAAAGACTGGATTGCAGCTGTGGAACTGCAGTTTTCCACACGGGTGCAAAACTTTCAGAGCGATCGCGGTGGGGAGTTCACCGGGTCTGCACTGCAAAGTTTCTTCCACAAAAAGGGGATTCAACACAGGTTGACTTCTCCACACAGTCCCCAACAGAATGGGATCGCGGAACGCAGGAATAGGACTCTAGGGGAGATGTCTGCAGCTCTTTTGTTTGATGCTGGGCTCCCACAGCGCTTTTGGGGGGAGGCTTGGCGAACGGCCAACTTTGTTCTGAACAGGTCGTTCAATTCAGTGGTAGGTGACACACCGTACTTCTTGCTCCATGGCAAGAAACCGAAAGTGCACTACTTCCGCGTTTTTGGCTGTGAGGCTTGGGTCCTCATACCAAAGGCCAAACGCAAGAAAGGTGAACCCAAGTCCCAAAAGATGATTTTTTGTGGGTATGAGCCAGGGACCAAGGGGTGGAGGTTTGCTTATCCGTCAGGGAATCAGTCCAGGATTCTGCTCAGCAACAGTGCTGAATTCTGTGAGCAGAGTGGCTGGGCAAGGATTCATGGGAACCCTGACATCCTGTCAGAGAGTCTGCTAGATTCTGCTGATGAAGGAGAGGAAGAGGTTGAACCTGCTACTGAGGTTCAGAGTCCAGACCCAGTGCAGGCAGAGGGGAGAACTTCTCCCAAGGCTGTGAAGAGTGAGCAACGCAGTGCTCCATCTTCCCCCACAGGTTCAGCTGAGAAGTCCAGAAGGCGCAGTAAGTCAGAAGGGGAGCTCTCTGATGCCAAGGACGTTCTGGCTGGCCCTAGTGGGTCAGAGGGGGTTCCTGAAGTAGTGCTGCGCCGTTCAACGCGGACGACCAAGGGGAAACCTCCTGAAAGGTTTGCCGTCACTAGTGTGTGGGTCGGAATGGCACAGTGTGAACCCGAGAGTTTTGAGGATGTTCAGAAACTGCCTCAGGAAGAAGCCAGGAAATGGCATGAGGCGATGAAGAAGGAGATGAACTCAATGGAGTCTCTAGGTGTGTTCTCCCTCACGAAGTTGCCGGTGGGTGAAAAGGCAGTGGGTAGTCGCTGGGTTTACCGTCTTAAGCCCACAGCGACAGGAGAACCGCAGTATAAGGCCAGATTAGTGGCGAGAGGATTCACGCAGCAGAGGGGGTTGCATTATACGGAGATTTATGCGCCCACGTGTAGGAGTGAGTCTCTACGCTTGGTCTTGGCCATCGCTGCACAAAGAGGTTTGCTGGTGCATCACTTTGATGTGGATGTTGCTTACTTGAACTCAGACCGCCAGGAGGATCTGTACATGCTTCCTCCTCCAGGGTTTGAGGGCAATGAGCGAGGAACTGTGTGGAAACTTCACAAGTCAATTTACGGCCTGAAGCAGTCGGCCAGGAATTGGAACTTGTGCCTGAATGAAGCTTTGGAGAAGCTAGGTTTCAGGAAGAGTCTTGCTGACAGTTGCCTGTTCCTTAGAGGATCAGGAGACTCACAGGAACTGGTGTTATTTTATGTTGATGACATCATCCATGTTGGAAAGGCAGACAAACAGGTGCAGAAGTTTGCCAAAGAGCTTGGGAAACGGTTTCAGCTCAAGGACCTGGGTGCAGTAAAGATCTACCTAGGTGTCCAGATAGCGAGAACTGAGGATGGTAGCTTCTTGCTCAGTCAGAAAGGCAAGATTGAGCAGTTGCTGGAGAAGTTCAGAATGTCCGATTGTGCAGGGGTTCGGACACCCATGGAGACGAACTTCGTGAAAGATAGCCAGCAAGCAGAGAGTGCAGAGTTTGAGAATGCTGAGCTCTTTCAGTCAGCTCTAGGTAGTCTGTTGTATCTGTCCCAATGGAGCAGACCAGACATTGCCTTTGCTACCAACCTGCTAAGTAGGGAAGCGTCAAAGCCCAGTGTGAGTGCTTGGCACGGTATCAAGCGGGTACTGCGCTACCTGCAGCATACCAAAGACTTCTGTCTTAAGCTGCCAGCTGAAGGTGAGGCGAAGCTCACATGCTATGCGGACAGTGACTGGGCAAATTCGCAGGACCGCAAGTCTGTGTCCGGGTTGATGATAAAGTTTGGGAAGTCACTGGTTGGGTGGAAGTCCCGGAAGCAAAGTCTCATTGCGCTGTCTTCTACTGAGGCTGAATTCAGTGCACTGTCAGACTTGTGCCGAGAACTAGAGTTCTATAGATGCTTGGTGCAAGAGATCTATGGGGATTGTAGCTTGCCCATCACGGTTTGGGAAGACAATCAGCCTTGTTTGAAGTTGGCTGAATCTGCGCAATTTAAAGCGAGAACCAAGCATCTGGACATACGTTTCCAAAATGTGTGTCAGAGTGTTCAGTCAGGTTTGATACGACTGAAGTACTGTGCCAGTCGCAGTAACCTGGCCGATGGATTTACCAAACCTTTAAGCTTCGAGCGCCATGGGGAGTTTTGTGGTGGTTTGGAGTTGGGGGTAAGTTCTGTACTTACTGTCCCCACAGTAGCGCAGAGCGAGAGGGGGTGTGAGGAGAACCTGAGCTTACAGGGTTAAACAGCTCAGAGTGTACGCTCTGCGTACTGTGGAAAGGAGGGGGGAAATGCTGCGTCATTTCCGAGAGGCTAAAGCCTTTGTTCTTTCTCTCTACTTTCGCTTTTGAGGAGAGAGGACGTTTTTTCACGATGCTGTTCGCTGTGATAGATAATGGATAGCCTGCTGTAAATAAAACTGCTTTTAGCTGCTAAGATCCTGTGTGGACTTTATTTAAGCACACTGAAGAAGGCACTGGAGGTTTTTTTTGGTTTCCTCTTACCGCTGTTGAAACTCTGCTATGCTCAGATGAGTCGGACTCTTGGAATGCCGAGACTCTTGGGGGAAGCGTGCCGGACCTCACGCTTATCTGAGCAATAAATCAAAATATCCCAGACCCTTCTCTGTTTCAGCAGAGAAAGGGGAGAGTTCAGGAGGAATTGCTGGGCCATTAATAGGTGTCTGGGTGGTGCCTCCAGGTATGGTGGGGGGGAAATCCAATGAACTCGGTTTTGAGTGCACATCATATCAGGCTTTCAAATCTCAGTAAGATCTTGGAAACAAAATGGTCACACAATAAACTCCAATCACCTTCACTTCCATGAGGAAATAGGCCCCATTCACCTTCTCTGGATCACTGCCACTATGCAGCAACTGGAGGAAAATCAGTTTACGCAAGAAGGGAGTGCTACATCACAGCCCCACCTGCCTGAAATTAGACACACACCCCTCTGTACACACACATGCACAATTGCTTCTGGGGCTACTCCCACACTGTTTACCTGAAGTGCAAAATAGTCTTTCCTCTTTCCTGCTTCTGCCAATATGAGGCCAGGTGAGGTGAACTTTTGCCTGTATATGGAACCCTTGATACTCATTTATTTATTTACAGCATTCAACTTGCTCAACAGCTGCAAACATGTCCAGAACAGCTTTACGTAACAGCTGTAAACCAAGAGCAGAGCAAAAGTCCCCACTCACAGCCTTAAAATCTCGAAAGACAATCCAAAGGGGAAGGGGGAAGAAAATCCATATGTAAAGCTTCAAAGATCTGAAACTGATTACCAAATTGCATGGAATCTGTTTGGGAAGAAGAGAAGTGAAATGAAGCAGGTCTCTCAGCAGACGCATTGCTCTCCCTTCTCTCTCACAGCTGCCAACAGGTGGAGGACTGCCAAGAGCAGGGAGGAAAGGAGCAGGGGGAGAGCCAGTGGGTGGACCTGTTGTCCTGTCTTTCTTCCACTGCTACATTTGTAGAATATAGGAGTTAGTTTAAAACCCATGCATGTTCCATTCTGGAAAACGAAAGAGGGAATCTGGAAAAGGGAGAAGGCAACTGGGGAAGAATTCATCAAGGGGAGAAAAAGGAGGTTGAGATGATCTGAAAGAACGTAATCAATCCTTGAATACAGGAAGGAAACAGGAGCAGTCTTTATAATTCAGCAGCTACTGGAGCATCCTGTGGGTCTGGGAAAGATACTTACTGTGAGAGGAAACCTTGCAAAGAGTCTGCAGTAATATCAGGAAGCAGGAGGAATGAGGGAAACTTCAGCAGCTTTATTTTTCTGTCAGCAGAAGATCAAGAACTCAGCATAGCATGCACTTCCTACATAGATGAGATGAAAGTGCGAATGAACTTTGGATGAAACCACTGCCAACCAGAGAGGGGAGTTTCTATTCCAGGCATGCCTCTTAAAGACACAGGCCATGCTCACTACAGTTGAGTCTGGAGCGTCCTTCTCTTCCTGGCTCACAGAGCAAGACTTAAATACTGAGTCAGCAGGCGATGTGTTTTCTTCCTCCCCCACCTCCCCAATTCATAGATGGGGAGGAGGTTCAATCTTGCTGGGAGAGGCACTGGTGAAGGAGCATTTTGCAGCCCTCCAGGCCAAATCCGCTGCTCGCCAGGTGTTGTGCAAAGATTCAACTCCGCTCTGATCTTCTTCCCCAGAGCTTTCACTGAAGAAACTCATAGGTTCAGCAAATGGGTCCCTGTCAGTGAAGCCAGAATCAAGTACCAGACTATGGAGTGGATAACATATATGTGTCTGGTGACATGAAGCTGCTGTTTCTGTCAGTTCATGCGTAAAAGAAGCTTACCGTCCTTCTCACACTGCATGATAAAGGCAATGTGAGGAAGGGTGCACAATTAAGCTCTTTGCCAAGGGCACAAGGGACCCTAGTTACACCACTGATTCCCATTTTGGAACATCCTAGCAAAGCAGACCCCTCAGGCTCCCCACCCAACGACACGTCCTGTAATAGGCCTGGATCACTCTGAAATCCTGGGCTGCCTCAACCTGACTCCGCCTAAGCACAGATCCCTGCCCCAGCCCCCCGCCCCCGTCACTGGAATAGGCCTGAATCAGTCTGCAATTCAACTTGTGAAGAACTTTCCACCACTGGCTGCCTCTTCTCCTCTTTTTCTTCTGGTCTTTGCTCTTCCCACTTTTCTTCAAGCAGCATGCCAGCTGAGAATAGCTTTTGCCCCAGTCTATAGCATGTCCACTGTAGTTCACGCACTGGTACCCTTGAGGCTAGATTACTGTAATGTGTTCCTTGTGGGGCTGCCTGTGGGTCTGGTTCAGAAACTCCAGCTGCTGCAGGATGCTTCAGCCATATTGCTAATGGGAGCTTCTGGTTGAGAACATGTGACCCCACTGTTAAAACAGCTGCACTGGCTGCTCATCTGCTACTGAGCCAGGTTCAAGGTTCTTGCATTGATTTACAAAGCCCTGAACAACCTGGTCCAGGATACGTCCGGGATCACCTGAAACCTTATAATCCAGCACAATCACTGAGATCATCTGCAGCAATATCTTCAGTTGTTTCCTGAGTTGGTGTGTCTCATTTGACAAGAAACCGAGCTTTCGGTGTCATTGGCCTTGTCATGTGGAACCCCTTGCCAACAGAGATTCAGTAGGAGCCTTTTGTGCCACCTTTTAAAGGCCTGCTTGAAAATTCTCTGTTGCGCCAGGCCAGTGCAGGCCATTAAGAGTACATTTCCTGCTATGGTCTGTTGCTGTTTGTTTTTAATTATTTTTTGTTTCTTTTTTAACTTGTTCTTAGCTTTTTGTGATTTTACTGTTTAGTTTTACGATACAGTGGTATATAAATATTTTTAGGAATGAACAGATAAATATTCATTTACCCAGTCCCTAACCCATTATATAAATTTATTCAGTTTACCCTGCTCTTTAGCATTCAAAGAGGAACTTTTCTAACAGTAGTACATGCATTTTAAAAAAGAACACAAACAGGGAAGGCATCTGAGGATGAGCCTTCATATTGGATGGACCTGGGCATGTTTTCATGGAAGTAGAAAATCATCTTGTGAAGCTTAGGTGGACATCCTATCTTGAGCAGTGTGAAGAGTTTGAAGGCCATTATCTGGTCTATGAAGGCGATGTACAAGGGATGTCTCAGTCTCAGCTGACGCAGTGAGACCTCTGAGCTCTAAAGCCACATTGTGATTTAGTAAACAATAAACAAATAACAGCAACGGTACCATTCCTGATCAGGTATCTGTTTATTCAGCAGAAAATACCCAATCCATCTGATACATAAGAATGTGGAGAGCAGCAGGAGCAACAATCTGGCATTCTTCAGTCCCATGGGAAGGTCATATTCACACCACACATGTTCTTCCGATAAGCATGGTCAAAGTGTTCGCTCTGCGCCACTGTCAGGAGGTTCTTCCAGTCTCCAGAGATCCCTGGAACAACACAAGAGCAAATGTTAACCCCAAAGAAATATGACTGAAATGACTTTAGCCCAAATTAGAACTTTTCCTCCTCATGCTCAGGCATGCAGTAGCTCCCTCAGGTGGCTGACGTTAGAGGGAAAAGCACATGCCCCCTGACTGCTTGCCCCCCTCCTGACTTGGCACTCCAGCAGCACTAATGCTTGCGTGTTGGTGACTTGGCCCAGCTAGGTGTCTCCTTTTCCAATTGCATCACAAAGAGCTCCATGGGAAAGGCCACTGACTGAGTAGACAGGCTTGTACGCCCATGAACTGTGTGTCTATTGTTCTGCCTCCAATGTAGCGCTGCAGCATTTGTTTAAAGCGGAAGCCACTTTGCATCCAAAAAGACCCGTTAGTAAGCAGTGCTGAGCTGTAGAGCTACAATGTCTGTCCGTTTAAAGCCTGTTGCCCTCAAGTGAAATGGAGGACACTGTTCTTTCGCTGTTTAGATGCAGCAGCAAATCCAGTCAGCATCTGTATATGGAATGAAGAACTGTAGCCTTCTCCAGCACATTTGGCAGGAAAATGCAATGGGTCCTGCTTGCTCTCTACACACTTACCACTTCTGATGATGAGGCAAATATGCCATCTCTGGAATGGTCTATTCTTGTTAGAGGACGGTACCACCTCAGACTGCAATGATATAAAAGCTTTCCTCAAGGCCATTAAGAGTAAATTTATTAATTTTACCCTGCTCTTTAGCATTCAAAGAGGAACTTTCATAAGAGCAATTCATGCATTTAAGAAAAGAACACGAACAGGGAAAGCATCTGAGGATGTGCCGTCATATAGGAAGTTGCCAGGCATGTTATCATGGAAGAACACAATCATCTTGTGACGCTTCCGTAGGCATCCTATCTTGAGCAGTGTGAAGAGTCCTTTTTGGCTGATGAGGTTAAAGGCCTTTGTCAAGTCTATGAAGGTGATGTTCAAGGTGCGTCTTGGTCTCAGCATTTCTCCTGCAGCTGCTGCAGAAGGACCTCCAAGCTCTAAAGACACTTTGTGATTTGGTCAAAAAAGAAAGAACAACTGTTCCATTCTTCATCAGGTATGTTTATTTAGCACAGTGGTAGCAGAAACTAGCCAAACCATATGATACATAAGAATGTGGAGAACATCAGGAGCAACAATCTGGGATTCTTCATTCCCAAGGGAAAGTCATATTCACACCACGCATGTTCTCCCAGTAAACATGGTCAAAGCGTTCACTCTGTGCCACTGTCAGGAGGTTCTTCCAGTCCCCGCAGATCCCTAGAACAAGACAAGAGCAAGTGGCAACCACCAAGATGTTCACCTGAAATTACGTAAACTTAAATTGGGACGTTTCTTCCTTATGCTCAGCTGTGAGGCAGGCAACCCCTCAGGTAGCTGATGTTAGGGGGGAAAGAACATGCCCCCTGACTGTTTGCCCCGAGCCCCTCCCCAACCATTCCCACCCTCCTGATTTGGCTTTCCAGCAGCACTAATGCATGCATGTTGGGTACCTGGACCAGCTGGGTCCAGCCATGCTTTCTTATTGCACCTCAGAGATCTCTGTTGCTCTTTCTTCTGAATTTCTGCTTGCTTTCCAAATCAATGTGAAAGACACAGAATCTGCCAAATCTAGCATAAACAACTCTGAGGCAACTACTGTGTCTTGATGGCCCGGAGAATCTGCAATCTATTTTCAGGGAGTCCCCAGCATTATCCAGGTCTCAAAATTGTGCAGAAACACCCTTGTTCTCCAGACTGCCTCTTTCAGAATGATTCCTTATTTTGATCTGGACACCCATCAAATAGATAGACTTAGATGGGATGTTGCACAGAGAGGAAGGTATACAATCCTGCAAACTGTACCCCCTTCGGGACCTGCAAACTGTGTTCACAGTCAGCTCTGACTCTACGCTCTATTGACTGGTTGCTGATAGACTTTTTCTGTGAGACATTCAAACATCCACAGAAAAAGAAGAGGTTCTTCACCCCTGGCATGCAGCATTGTGGCCTTATTCCTTGGCACTCCAATGTTATTACCTTTCCTCATGAGCGTTGCTTTTGTATGGTCAAAAAGGTTCTCTGGTATTGTGGAAAGGTTAGACATCTTGTTGTCCTTCATCTTGTGGAAGGAGGCGTTTTCCACCACAGACTCAATTTGTTGGCTGTTCAGCTCCTTGCCAAGAAAATGACAGATCTTCTGCACGCTGCCTCGAAGGTCCTGCAGAAAGCAAAATCAAATGGCTGTGAATCCTCATGTGATGTAGAGAGCTTGCCCTTCATCAGGAGGCACACAGAGAGCATGAGTACCAGTATGCAATGTGCACTGGGCAAAATGAATGTCTTGAGGATGTGGAATTTGATGTTATCACCTTGCAGAAGCCACTCTGTCTCCACCTCCCCTCAGCCTGTACACATGGGGCACCTGAGTTACCAAGAGACATTACCTTTGAGGCAGAAAAGCAGGTTATTGTCACATCTGCTCTAAAGTAGAAGAAAGGAAATGTACTCTGCACATGATATGCAGTGTATGTAGAGGTAGCAACAAATTTTGCACATGCTCAGAATCCCTTTCTGGCCAATATTGGTAGACTCTTTCAAAAAAGAAGGCAGCTTCATGTGTGAATAATGTCAGAATTGGGGCTGCAGGTCAACACAGTTAAAATTGGACCTTTACCTGCCGTAGTTCTTCATAGGTGATGAAGAAGATGTTGGCTCTCTCCTTCATCTCCACCCAGCCTTTCACATGGTCAAACCAGGAACCATGATCCACTGAAAGAGCAAAGAGGAAGCAAGGGTGAAATGTAAGGAGTTGTGGGGGGGAGTAGAGAATGCTATTGTAGATGTAGAGGAAATATCAGTCAGGAACTTGGAAAATAACTGCATTATCCCTTAAAAACAAAATCAGTAACAGGAGGCTTCAACACTACCCTGAGTCCAATGCCACCTGCTGACTGATCTATCTACTGACATTATCCACATACAAGAGAAGTAAAGGTTTGAATGAGTCAACAATCTTACAATTTAATGGGTTTTCTCCATTAAGGTTTCTTTTTCTTTCTGCCAGCAGTGAGAATGTCTGCTATCATCGATTCTGATCTATTCTCTTGTTGGTGCCAATCTCACCCAGCTGTTCTAGGCTTTCCTTAAGTTTCACCCTAATCGCATTTTAGTGCCAATCTCGTCCATTTGAAAGGACATTTATTGATTTTCTTTGAAAGCAAATGACAAATGTAGGACTTTGCCACATTTCTGCCCTTCTCCATGAATCCAACTGGGAATTATAGTTTTCTGATAGAACTGTAGAGTTAGCTAAAAATAAATGTTTTCTGGTGGTGGACATCACTGGTGCTGAGTCACAGCAAACAAGAGTGGCTGATTTGCCTCCTTCCATACTTTCCCCTCTCAGGAATCTCTCCATGAACTCTTCCACAGTTCCAGGGTCTTTCAATACTTTAAAGCCTTTGATGAAGTGGTAGCTTGAAACCATAGCATCTCTGGGGTTACGCAGAGTATAGACTACCTGTAGTAATAATATAATAATAATAAATTTTATTTATACCCCGCCCTCCCCAGCCGAAGCCGGGCTCAGGGCGGCTAACAACAATAAAATAGTGCAACATTCTAAAAACATTTCATTATAAAAATTAATTAAAATCAAATTGATGGCAACCATTAAGCTAAAGTTCTGTGAAGATTGCCAAAGGAGGGAGTCAGGCTGTGCCCTGACCAAAGGCCTGGTGGAACAGCTCTGTCTTGCAGGCCCTGCAGAAAGATGTCAGGTCCCGCAGGGCCCCAGTCTCTTGTGACAGAGCGTTCCACCAGATTGGAGCCGCAGCCGAGAAAGCCCTGGCTCTAGTCGAGGCCAGCCTAACCTCTCTGAGGCCTGGGACCTTCAGGATGTTTTTATTTGCAGACCATAGGTTCCTCTGTGGGGCATACCAGGAGAGGCGGTCCCGTAGGTACGAGGGTCCTAGGCCGTATAGGGCTTTAAAGGTTAAAACCAGCACCTTAAACCTGATCCTGTACTCCACCGGGAGCCAGTGCAGCTGGTATAGTACCGGATGAATGTGATCTCGCAGCGAAGACCCCATAAGGAGTCTCGCCGCGGCATTCTGCACCCGCTGGAGTTTCTGGGTCAGTCTCAAGGGCAGCCCCATGTAGAGCGAGTTACAATAATCCAGTCTGGAGGTGACCGTCGCGTGGATCACAGTGGCTAGGTCAGGGCGAGAGAGGTAAGGAGCCAACTGCTTAGCTTGGCTGAGGTGAAAAAATGCCGCCTTTGTTATAGCTGTAATCTGCGCCTCCATGGAGAGGGAGGTATCGAAGATTTCACCCAAACTCTTAACGGACGGTGCTGGCACCAATTGCACCCCCGCAAGAGATGGGAGTTGCCCCCTCAATCCCATATCGTCCCGTCCCAGCCAGAGGACCTCTGTCTTCGAAGGATTTAACTTCAACCGGCTCCCACGTAACCATCCAGCCACAGCTTTCAAACATCTGGTCAGTGTGTCTGGGGCCGAGTCAGGATGGCCATCCATCAACAGATAGAGTTGGGTGTGATCAGCATACTGATGGCAGCCCAGCCTAAAACTCCGGACAAGCTGGGTGAGGGGGCGCATAAAGATGTTAAAATGCATGGGGGATAGTATCGCACCCTGAGGCACTCCACACACCAAGGAGCGGCGCGATGACAATTCCCCCCCCAAGCGCCACCCTCTGTCCCCGACCAGAGAGAAACGAGCACAGCCATTGAAGGACTGTGCCCTGGATCCCCACGTCAGCAAGGCGGAAGTCCAGGAGTTCGTGATCGACCATGTCGAAGGCTGCTGACAGGTCTAGAAGAATCAGCAGCCCCGACCCGCCTCGATCCAGCTGCCTGCGGAGATAATCTGTTAGGGTGACCAGAGCCGTCTCAGTCCCATGACCAGCGTGGAAGCTGGACTGGAATGGATCCAGAGCCGATGTTTCATCCAGAAACCCTCCAAGCTGTTCAGCAACCGCTCTCTCAATCACCTTACCCAGGAATGCAAGATTCAAAACCGGGCGATAATTGGATAGATCTAAGGGATCTAATTTGGGAAAGATGGCGGGCACAAGGAGAAGGGGACGACAGAGGACGAGATTGTTGGACGGTGTTCTCGAAGCTACAAACATGAGTCTGGCCAAACTGCAGGAGGCAGTGGAAGACAGGAGAGCCTGGCGTGCTCTGGTCCATGGGGTCACAAAGAGTCGGACAAAACTAAACGACTAAACAAACAACAACAAGGGATCTAATGATGTTTTCTTTAAGAGCGGGCGCACCACTGCCTTCTTTCGTTCCCCTGGGAATGTCCCGGTGCCAAGGGACAAATTGATGATATCCCCCAGGGGGGCCCGCACCTCGTCTGGACACGCTCTAATCAGCCAAGACGGGCACGGGTCGAGAGGACAGGTGGTGGGCTTTCCAGCTCAAAGGAGTCTGTCCACATCGGCTGGGGATATCCGGTCAAAGTGGTCCAGTACTGGACCCAAGGACAGTCGAGGGGCCTCCAGTTCTTTTATTGTATCCAAATGGGCAGGGAGGTCATGGCGGAGCAGCAGGACCTTCTCTGCAAAAAAAGCTTGCAAATGCCTCACAGCTGTGTGTCAAATTATTATTTAAATTTGGCTGTCCCTCAAGGGACGTTGAAGACCTAATTATACTAAATAATTGCGCCGGGCGAGAGCTAGCGAATGCAATGGTGGCCGAGAAGTAAGACTTCTTAGTGGCCTTCACTGCCATTTCATAGGTTTTCATAAAAACCCTATAAGATGTTCTTGAGGCTCCGTCACGGGCACCCTGCCATACTCGCTCTAGCCGTCTGAGGTCCCGCTTCATTTTCCAAAGCTCCTCGGTAAACCAGGGAGCCCGGTTTCTGCGGGGTCGCAGAGGGCGCTTAGGTGCAATCTCATCGATGGCTGCCAGGAGCTGGATATTCCAGCCCTCAACAAGCTCAGTCAATGAGTCGTCAGGGGGAGCAAGGTCCTGCAAGGCTTGGCGGAATCTATCAGGGTCCATCAGCCTCTGCGGGTAAGCCCAAATCGGCTCGCCACCTAAGCAGGGTGGGGGTGGAAAGTCAGTCCTGGCTTTCAGAGTGTAGTGATCAGACCATGGCACCTTCATCGAAGGAGACATGATCACATCTATACTGACGCCAAAGATCAAATCCAGCGTGTGGCCTGCTTGATGTGTGGGACCTGAAACAAACTGGGAAAGCCCTAGTGTCGCCATGGAAGACACCAGGTCCTGAGCCTGTGAGGAGGGAGTGGCATCAGCATGGATGTTGAAGTCCCCCAATACCAATAGGTTAGGGAACTCCAAGAGCCAGCCGGCCACCGCCTCCAGCAGGCCTGATAGGGTGGCTGCTGGTGCGCTAGGTGGCCGGTACACCAGCCAGACAGCCAAGCTCACCTCGGAGCCCCACACTAGGCCAACACATTCAATGCCGGGGATCGATGGCAATGGTAGAGCCCTGAAAGAACAATCTTTCTGGATTAATAATACCACCCCTCCCCACCCGGCCCACAGTCCAGGACTGGTGGAGGACGGAGAAACCCAGGGGCGCCATCTCTCGTAAAGTAACAGTTTCCCCTTCACGCACCCAGGTCTCCGTCACACAAGCCAGGTCGACCCCCTGCGAGGTAAGGAAATATCGCAGGGTGGCGGTTTTGTTGCCTGTAGACCTGGCACAACAGCAGTGACGGAGGTGAGTAATCCTTGCTCACCCTACCCTCGTCCCTAGGGATGGGGCGCAGATTGGAAGGGGTAGGAGCATATCCGTATCCCGATCCCCTTCGCCTATGACATCTGCCCCCACCGCCATACCTCCCTCGCCCCTCCACGGTAGCAATCCCAAGCCTCATACTAGCCTCCATTTACAAAATAGAATAGCAAAACAAAACAAAACAAAATTATACCAAAACAAAACCAATCCCCACCCCAGAGGAAGAGCTATATTGAAGGAGGGCCCAGGCAGCCCAACACTATCAATAGGCAGAGTGTGGCAGCAAACTGAAGGCATGATAAATAAAACCTGACATGGGAACAGGGGAAACCTCCAGTGAGGACCTTGGCTAACCATGCATGTGGACCATGTACACTTAAAGTTCTTCCACAATCAGGAAACTGCTAAGGAGATTCCCAGTATTTTTCCCCATTCTCTAGTACAGAAAATGGCATCCTCCTGTAAACAGGCTGTGTCAAGTGTTCCAGAATCCCCCACATCTGTGTCTCAAAAAGACATAAGTCAAAGGCAGTCTTGATGTGTCCATTGTTCCTCTCTTACTTTGGCCTTGGAGTGGAGGAAGGACTTGGGGAAAAGCTGGAATGGCAGATGAGTAGCCAGGAGCCTGGGGGGAGGATTTTTCAAGGCAATCTGCAAGTTATCATCCAGCTCAATCCAGGGTGCCCTTTCCCACAGTGGTACATTCTGAACCCATGAGGGGTCCCCTTGACTCTGGATTAAGCTCAAGATCTCCGACATCCAATGAGTACCTAGGAGGAAATCCACCAGTCAGTCATTGTGCATTAATACCTGGCCCTTGAAAAGCAATTAGACAAACATAAGAATTTCAATGAATTTTCTTCCTCTTCTAGCTATTCAGCACACTCCTATGGGGCAAGACCCCAAAATTCTGGAACGGTTTACCATGGTGAAACTGACTATATTTTTCGTTGAGTGTGGCACAAGTGAGAACAGAAGAATAGCCTTCTGGATGACGCCAATGACCCATTGAGTCTGGCATCCTGTTTCTCCCAGAAGCCTGTGGGAAGCTAGAGAGAAGCATTATCTTAGCAGCAGTTTTGTGTTCATTCCGTTCCTAGTGTTCCCCAGCATGGAATCTGCTTTTCTCACAACCACTGCACACTGGATGAACATCTTCCTTGAGCTATTGAAGATTACTCCAATGTCTCGCTCTTGCTGCATCACCTCCACTTCACACCCCATGAGCGTGTACGGGAAATTGAGATGTTTTGCTCCATTATGCATCACTTCACACTTGTTTACATTAAATTCATTCACCATTTTACTGACCATCTATTTTTAGGGTCAGCAAACCTGGTCACCTCACTACTTGATCATTTATGAACAAGTTACAAAAGCACAGGTCCCAATACCAACTCCCAAGAAACGGGTCCTTTCTAAGGGAATGCCTCCCTCTTCTTCAAAGTGATGTTCCCCTTTCTCAGGACCTCCCTTCTTCCTGAGGGCAGGAGAACTGTCATTGTGGGAGGGCCACCCAGCTACCACATCCCTGAAGGTCTCCTTGGCCACTTACTCTGCCTCCTACACTTTCTAGTTCTGCAACCTTGGCTTCAAGGGAAGGAACTTGTTCCCTGAGAGCCTGAAACTCATGGCACTTCTGACATACACATGGGGAGATATTCATACAAAAGGCAGAGGGTGCAAAACAATGCAAAAACCCCACACCCCTGCTGGTCTTGATAATTTGCTTCTTTTAACTTAGTTACCCATTGACTTACCTGCTTGCTAGATTTGTGATGTACTTGTGGGGCTCTTAGTCTAGATTCCTGTGGTTCCTTGAATTCTCCTGCTAAGTAGCTTTACTATCGACTTCCTAGCCCTAGGATTTAGCTCCTGCGTTGTGGGTATTCACAGAATCTTTATCCTGGTGGACAGTCACCTTGCTGTGCCCTTGTCAATCCATGTTGTTTTAATTCAATTATTAAATTAACTGGGTGTTAATTATGAGGATTTTTGGAAAATGACTATACCAGAAAGGTGGCTTATTCGTCTATATACAATCAAGCGGTAGAGATGGTTATCCTGACACAGCATCAGAGATAGACTTTGGTAATATGGTGTCCTGAGCAAGGACAAAATTTCCCCCTCACCTCCCCAATATATTTTCACCATAATATATTTAGGTACAGTTTCTTTTTTAATAAATATCATTAGGTAACCATATAAGTATAGATTTGATTGTGATTATGATTATGAACCCCCACGGCTTGGGCCCCTTTGCAAGGGAACCACCCACACCACCCATATCCAGCACTGACAGCCTTCCAAGTGACATGACAGAAGCATGCCATAGCATATAAGATTCTCCTGGGAATATTCTCAGTCCAGCTCACGAGCGCTCAGTTTGTGAAATTTCTTGCACATTTTTACAAAGCATTTCCCCAATATAATGCATTTCTATGCTTTCCCCCACTAAAGTATGCATTTTATGCACACTTATATGCATTTTTGTACACATTACTTAGCTGAAGAAGCACATTGCAAAAATCAGGAATTGCCTGTGTTTCACTTTGTGTAGTTCAGAAAGTGAAAAACATGTAACTTTCACATGGAGTGGACAGTTCTTTTGAGATATTCAACTTATTTGCTGTCCATCTTCCTTCATTTGTAAATGTCTTATAATTTAAGTAATTGTTATCCAGGAATGGAGAACTGGTTTAAGATGGTCATATATATTGCAATACAGTTGTACCTCGTAAATTGAAAGGAAACCGTTCCGGAAGTCCATTTATGGAAACCAAGGAGTAGCTGTCAATTGGTTTCCGATTGTGCAGGCGTTTCATAAAGAATAGTAGAAGCTTTACTACATGTTTGGCATCCTAAAAAAACCAACGTTCGAATACTGGAACATTCACTTCCAGATTTCGATCGTTCGGGAGCCAGAAAGTCAGCTTCCAAGATGTTCAGGATCCAAGCTATGACTGTATCTGAAAAACTCATTCATTTTTCATGGGTTTCCAGGGACTATCCAGCTACATGGTGGTTGTTCATGACTTATGTCAATAGCAAACTTATGGCTGGCAGGTTTAGCACTTTGTCCACTAAATCCAAAATCAATTTTTCTAATTGGAACACTGACCTGACTTGGGGTAAGTGAGATTCACTATATCATCATCCAACAGTTGGAAGTCGTTTTCCACGTAGCTGAGTGTTTCCTCTGAAAAAAACTCTGGAGAAAATGGGATCCCCTTGTATTTGAAATAAGGCATTGATGATACTGAAAAAACTGAAGATGAGGGGAGAGAGAGAGAAGGAGAAAGAAAATTATGCCACATCCTTAGGGACATTCAGGTAGCTACTGTTCTAGAAACAAACACTGGGGATAGCTGGGGAGCACGAGGAAGGGGGGTTCAGGAGGTGGTGATGGGCCATCAGTAGATGCTCAAGTGGTGCCACCAGGTGTGGTGGGGAAAAACCCAAGAAACTCAGTTCTCATGATCTTGTGTGTTCTTTGAGACCGGGATACGGAAGGAGCTTCTTGCAGCCAGAGAGGGCCATTCCCGTGATTCTCCAGCAGCTTCTTGACCCCACCCCCCTTCTCTGTTTCAGCAGAGAAAAGGGAGAGTTCAGGAGGAATTGCTGGGCCATTAATAGGTGTCTGGGTGGTGCCTCCAGGTATGGTGGTGGGAAAATCCAATGAACTCGGTTTTGAGTGCACATCATATCAGGCTTTCAAATCTCAGTAAGATCTTGGACACAAAATAGTCACACAATAAACTCCAATCACCTTCACTTCCATGAGGAAATAGGCCCCATTCACCTCCACTGGATCACTGCCACTATGCATCAACTGGAGGAAAATCAGTTTACGCAAGAAGAGAGTGTTACATCACAGCCCCACCTGCCTAAAAAAAGACACACACCCCTCGATACACACACATGCACAACTGCTTCTGGGGCTACTCTCACACTAGTTACCTGAAGTGAAAAATAGTTTTTCCTCTTCCCTGCTTCTGTGACTAGGAGGCCAGGTGAGACGAACTTTTGCCTGTATATGGAACCCTTGATACCCATTATTCATTTACAGCATTCCACTTGCTCGGTAGCTCAAACATGTCCAGAACAGCTTTACGTAACAGCTGTAAACCAAGAGCAGAGCAAACAGTCCCCACTCACAGCCTTAAAATCTCAAAAGACAATCCAAAGGGGAAGGAGGAAGAAAACCTTCAAAGTAAAGTAAAGCTTCAAAGATCTGAAACTGATTACCAAATTGCATGGAATCAGTTTGGGAAGAAGAGAAGAGAAAGGAAGCGGGTCTCTCAGCAGAGGCATTGCTCTCCCTTCTCTCTCAACAGGTGGAGGACTGCCAAGAGCAGACAGTTCAGGGAGGAGAGGAGCCAGGAGGAGCAGGTCTCTCAGAAGAGCCAGTGGATGGACCTGTTGTCCTGTCTTTCTTCCACTGCTACATTTATAGAATATAGCACTCAATTTAAAACCCATGCATGTTCCAATCTGGAAAAGGAAAGAGGGAATCTGGAAAAGGGAGAAGGCAACTGGGGAAGAATTCATCAAGGGGAGAAAAATGAGGTTGAGATGATCTGAAAGAACGTAATCAAACCTTGAATACAGGAAGGAAACAGGAGCAGTCTTTATAATTCAGCAGCTACTGGAGCATCCTGTGGGTCTGGGAAAGATACTTACTGTGTGAGGAAACCTTGCAAAGAGTCTGCAGTAATATCAGGAAGCAGGAGGAATGAGGGAAACTTCAGCAGGTATATTTTTCTGTCAGCAGAAGATCAACAACTCAGCATAGCATGCACTTCCTACATAGATGAGATGAAAGTGCGAATGAACTTTGGATGAAACCACTGCCAACCAGAGAGGGGAGTTTCTATTCCAGACTAGGCTTGCTTCTGAAAGACACAGGCCATGCTCACTTCCATTCGAATCTGGAGCTTCCTTCTTTTCCTGGCTCACAGAGCAAGACTTAAACATTTAGTCAAGGGGGAAGGTGTGTTCTCTCCCTCCCCACGCACACACCTCCCACATTCATAGATGGGGAGGGGGTTCGATCCTGCTAGGAGAGTCACTTGCGAAGGAGCATTTTCCAGCCCTCCAGACAAAGTCCGCTGCTCACCAGCTGTTATGCAAGGATTCAGCTCTGCTCAGACCTGCTTCCCCAGCGCTTTCACTGAAGAAACTTAGGGGATAAGGAAACTGGTCCCTGCCAGTGGTGCAAAAATCAAGTACCAGACTATGGAGTGGATAACATGTACCAGACTATGGAGTGGATAACATATATGTGTCTGGTGACACGAAGCTGCTGTTTCTGTCAGTTCAGACGTAAAAGAAGCTTACTGTCCTTCTCACACCGCATGATAAAGGCAATTTGAGGAAGGGTGCACAATTAAGCTCCTTGGGGATCACTCTGAAATCCTGGGCTGCCTCAACCTGACTCAGCACAGATCCCTGCCCCCCCCACCCCCCGGTCACTGGAATAGGCCTGAATCAGCCTGCAATTCAACTTGTGAAGAACTTTCCACCACTGGCTGCCTCTTCTCCTCTTTTTCTTCTGGTCTTTGCTCTTCCCACTTTTCTTCAAGCAGCATGCCAGCTGAGAATAGCTTTTGACCCAGTCTATAGCATGTCCACTGTAGTTCACGCACTGGTACCCTTGAGGCTAGATTACTGTAATGTGTTCCTTGTGGGGCTGCCTGTGGGTCTGGTTCAGAAACTCCAGCTGCTGCAGGATGCTTCAGCCATATTGCTAACGGGAGCTTCTGGTTGAGAACATGTGACCCCACTGTTAAAACAGCTGCACTGGCTGCTCATCTGCTACTGAGCCAGGTTCAAGGTTCTTGCATTGATTTACAAAGCCCTGAACAATCTGGTCCAGGATACGTCTGGGATCAACTTAAACCTTATAATCCAGCACAATCACTGAGATCATCTGCAGGAATATCTTCAGTTGTTTCCTGAGTTGGTGTGTCTCATTTGACAAGAAACCGAGCTTTCAGTGTCATTGGCCTTGCCCTGTGGAACCCCTTGCCAACAGAGATTCAGTAGGAGCCTTTTGTGCCACCTTTTAAAGGCCTGCTTGAAAATTCTCTGTTGCGCCAGGCCAGTGCAGGCCATTAAGAGTACATTTCCCGCTATGGTCTGTTGCTGTTTGTTTTTAATTATTTTTTGTTTGTTTTTTAACTTGTTCTTAGCTTTTTGTGATTTTACTGTTTAGTTTTATGATACAGTGGTATATAAATATTTTTAGGAATGAACAGATAAATATTCATTTACCCAGTCTCTAACCCATTATATAAATTTATTCAGTTTACCCTGCTCTTTAGCATTCAAAGAGGAACTTTTCTAACAGCAGTACATGCATTTTAAAAAAGAACACAAACAGGATGAGCCTTCATATTGAGGATGAGCCTTCATATTGGATGGACCTGGGCATGTTTTCATGAAAGTAGAAAATCATCTTGTGAAGCTTAGGTGGACATCCTATCTTGAGCAGTGTGAAGAGTTTGAAGGCCATTATCTGGTCTATGAAGGCAATGTACAAGGGATGTCTCAGTCTCAGCTGACGCAGTGAGACCTCTGAGCTCTAAAGCTACATTGTGATTTAGTAAACAAAAAACAAATAACAGCAACTGTACTATTCCTGATCAGGTATTTGTTTATTCAGCAGAAAATACCCAATCCATCTGATACATAAGAATGTGGAGAGCAGCAGGAGCAACAATCTGGGATTCTTCAGTCCCATGGGAAGGTCATATTCACACCACGCATGTTCTTCCGATAAGCATGGTCAAAGCGTTCACTCTGCGCCACTGTCAGGTGGTTCTTCCAGTCTCCAGAGATCCCTGGAACAACACAAGAGCAAATGCCAACCACAAACAAGTTCACCTGAAATTACTTCAGCTCAGATTAGAGCTTTTCTTTCTCATGCTCAGGCATTAGTAAGCAGTGCTGAGCCTTAGAGCTACAATGTCTGTCCCTTAAAAGCCTATTGCCCTCAGGTAAAATGGAGGACACTGTTCTTTCGCTGTTTAGATGCAGCAGCAAATCCTGTCAGCATCTGTATGTGGAATGAAGAACTGTAACCTTTCCAGCACATCTGGCAGGAAAATGCAATGGGTCCTGCTTGCTCTCTACGCATTTACCACTTCTGATTATGAGGCAAACATGCCGTCTCTGGCATGGTCCGTTCTTGTTAGAGGACGGTACCACCTCAGATTGCACATGACATAAAAGCTTGCCTCAAGGACCTCCATACCAAGCTTTCTCTCATGAACAGCCACCAGTCAATGAGGGCACAGTGGGGCACTTTGTTCTCACATCCATTTTAACCACTTTGAGGTGAAAAACCATTCAGTTAGGTTCCCTTTGCAGCTTTAGAGATGGAGAACTCAGACTCTGTGGCCCTATAGCATAGGACTCAGGAAAGTATACGTGCAGAGATTTGGAATGGTTTAACTGCTGAATTTCTGCTTGCTTTCCAAATAAATGTGAAGGGCACAGAATATGCTGACATTAGGGGGGAAAGAACATGCCCCCTGACTGCTTGCCCTGAGCCCCTCCCCAACCATTCCCACCCTCCTGTTCTGGCTTTCCAGCAGCACTAATGCATGCATGTTGGGTACCTGGACCAGCTGGGTGTCTCATCCAGACATGTTTTCTTATTGCACCACAGAGAGCTCCATGAACTGTGTCCCTGTTACTCTGTCTGCTGAATTTCTGCTTACTTTCCAAATTGATGTGAAAGGCACAGAATCTGCCAAATCTAGCATAAACAACTCTGAGGCAACTACTGTTTCTTGATGGCCTGGAGAATCTGCAACCTATATTCAGGGAGTCCCCAGCATTATCCTGGTCTCAAAATCGTGCAGAAACACCCTTGTTCTCCAGACTGCCTCTTTCAGAATAATTTCTTATTTAGATCTGGACACCCATGAAATAGATAGACGTAGATGGGATGTTGCACAGAGAGGAAGGTATACAATCCTGCAAACTGTACCCCCTTCGGGACCTGCAAACTGTGTTCACAGTCAGCTCTGACTCTACGCTCTATTGACTGGTTGCTGATAGACTTTTTCTGTGAGACATTCAAACATCCACAGAAAAAGAAGAGGTTCTTCACCCCTGGCATGCAACATTGTGGCCTTATTCCTTGGCACTCCAATGTTATTACCTTTCCTCATGAGCGTTGCTTTTGTATGGTCAAAAAGGTTCTCTGGTGTTGTGGAAAAGTTGGACATCTTGTTGTCCTTCATCTTGTGGAAGGAGGCGTTTCCACCACAGATTCAATTTGTTGGCTGTTCAGCTCCTTGCCAAGAAAATGACAGATCTTCTGCACGCTGCCTCGAAGGTCCTGCAGAAAGCAAAAGGAAATGGCTGTGAATCCTCATGTGATGTAGAGAGCTTGCCCTTCATCAGGAGGCACACAGAGCATGAGTACCAGTATGCAATGTGCATTGCATGGCAATTCCCGCCTCCCACCAGTTGGAATAAATGAAGACACAGGACACCATTAGTTTAGGTTAATGGGCAAAAAATGACCACAACTTTATTGGTTACAGGTAAGAGCGGTATTGGCTTTAGGCATTGGTCCTATCAGACTATCCTGCTTCAGCCTGTTAGCATGAAAACCGTAAAGGGTTAACATCAGTAGGGGGAGCCCTGAGATGTACATCACTAGGAACTCCCTGAGGGGTCACCGCTCAGGGGCATGCTTTAGGCCCTGGCCTCCATAGGTTTTGGACGAGGCAACGCCCCCCCAGAAATCTTTACCGGAATGCGAGGACGAAAAGGGGAGATCCCAGGGCCGCACCGGCATTAAATGACCCAGGCCACGCCCCAAGGATTCCCCAGGTCATGTGGGGCTAAAGCCAGCCCCGCACAGTTATTGGGGGCATGAGCCCGCAACTCCACCTCCTCTTTATGTCGGAATTGGCTTTGGGCAAAATGAATGTCTTGAGGATGTGGAATTTGCTGTTATCACCTTGCAGAAGCCACTCTGTCTCCACCTCTCCTCAGCCAGTACCGAACACAGGGGGCACCTGAGTTACCAAGAGACATTACCTTTGCAGCAGAAAAGCAGGTTATTGTCACATCTGCTCCAATGTAGAAATAAGGAAATGTACTCTGCACATGATATGCAGTGTATGTAGAGGTAGCACCGAATTTTGCACATGCTCAGAATCCCTTTCTGGCCAATATTGGTAGAATCTTTCAAAAAAGAAGGCAGCTTCATGTGTGAATAATATCAGAATAGGGGCTGCAGGTCAACACAGTTAAAACTGGACCTTTACCTGCCGTAGTTCTTCATAGGTGATAAAGAAGATGTTGGCTCTCTCCTTCATCTCCACCCAGCCTTTCACATGGTCAAACCAGGAACCATAATCTACTGGAAGAGCAAAGGGGAAGCAAGGGTGAAATGTAAGGAGTTGTGGGAGGGAGTAGAGGATGCTATTGTAGACGTAGAGGAAACATCAGTCAGGAACTTGGAAAATAACTGCATTATCCCTTAAAAACAAAATCAGTAACAGGAGACTTCAACACTACCCTGAGTCCAATGCCACCTCCTGACTGATCTATCTACTGACATTATCCACATACAAGAGAAGTAAAGGTTTGAATGAGTCAACAATCTTACAATTTAATGGGCTTTCTCCATTAAGGTTTCTTTTTCTTTCTGCCAGCAGTGAGAATGTCTGCTATCATCGATTCTGATCTATTCTCTTGTTGGTGCCAATCTCACCCAGCTGTTCTAGGCTTTCCTTAAGTTTCACCCTAATCTCATTTTAGTGCCAATCTCGCCCATTTGAAAGGACATTTATTGATTTTCTTTGAAAGCAAATGACAAATGTAGGACTTTGCCACATTTCTGCCCTTCTCCATGAATCCAACTGGGAATTATAGATTTCTGATAGAACTGTAGAGTTAGCTGAAAATAAATGTTTTCTGGTGGTGGACATCACTGGTGCTGGGTCACAGCAAACAAGAGTGGCTGATTTGCCTCCTTCCATACTTTCCCCTCTCAGGAATCTCTCCATGAACTCTTCCACAGTTCCAGGGTCTTTCAATACTTTAAAGCCTTTGATGAAGTGGTAGCTTGAAACCATAGCATCTCTGGGGTTACGCAGAGTATAGACTACCTGTAGTAATAATATAATAATAATAAATTTTATTTATATCCCACCCTCCCCAGCCGAAGCCGGGGTCAGGGCGGCTAACAACAATAAAATAGTGCAACATTCTAAAAACATTTCATTATAAAAATTAATTAAAATCAAATTGATGGCAACCATTAAGCTAAAGTTCTGTGAAGATTGTGAAAGGAGGGAGACAGGCTGTGCCCTGACCAAAGGCCTGGTGGAACAGCTCTGTCTTGCAGGCCCTGCAGAAAGATGTCGGGTCCCGCTGGGCCCTAGTCTCTTGTGACAGAGCGTTCCACCAGATTGGAGTCGCAGCCGAGAAAGCCCTGGCTCTAGTTGAGGCTAGCCTAACCTCTCTGAGGCCTGGGACCTTCAGGATGTTTTTATTTGCAGACCGTAGGTTCCTCTGTGGGGCATACCAGGAGAGGCGGTCCCGTAGGTACGAGGGTCCTAGGCCGTATAGATCTTTAAAGGTTAAAACCAGCACCTTAAACCTGATCCTGTACTCCACCGGGAGCCAGTGCAGCTGGTATAGTACCGGATGAATGTGATCTCGCAGCGAAGACCCCATAAGGAGTCTCGCCGCGGCATTCTGCACCCGCTGGAGTTTCTGGGTCAGTCTCAAGGGCAGTCCCACGTAGAGCGAGTTACAATAATCCAGTCTGGAGGTGACCGTCGTGTGGATCACAGTGGCTAGGTCAGGGCGAAAGAGGTAAGGAGCCAACTGCTTAGCTTGGTTGAGGTGAAAAAATGCCGCCTTTGTTATAGCTGTAATCTGCGCCTCCATGGAGAGGGAGGTATCGAAGATTACACCCAAACTATTAACGGACGGTGCTGGCACCAATTGCACCCCCGCAAGAGATGGGAGTTGCCCCCTCAATCCCATATCGTCCCGTCCCAGCCAGAGGACTTCTGTCTTCGAAGGATTTAACTTCAACCGGCTCCCACGTAACCATCCAGCCACAGCTTTCAAACATCTGGTCAGTGTGTCTGGGGCCGAGTCAGGATGGCCATCCATCAACAGATAGAGTTGGGTGTGATCAGCATACTGATGGCAGCCCAGCCTAAAACTCCGGACAAGCTGGGTGAGGGGGCGCATAAAGATGTTAAAATGCATGGGGGAGAGTATCGCACCCTGAGGCACTCCACACACCAAGGAGCGGCGCGATGACAATTCCCCCCCCCAAGCGCCACCCTCTGTCCCCGACCAGAGAGAAACGAGCACAGCCATTGAAGGACTGTGCCCTGGATCCCCACGTCGGCAAGGCGGAAGTCCAGGAGTTCGTGATCGACCATGTCGAAGGCTGCTGACAGGTCTAGAAGAATCAGCAGCCCCAACCTGCCTCGATCCAGCTGCCTGCGGAGATAATCTGTTAGGGTGACCAGGGCCGTCTCAGTCCCATGACCAGCGTGGAAGCTGGACTGGAATGGATCCAGAGCCGATGTTTCATCCAGAAACCTACCAAGCTGTTCAGCAACCGCTCTCTCAATCACCTTACCCAGGAATGCAAGATTCAAAACCGGGCGATAATTGGATAGATCTAAGGGATCTAATTTGGGAAAGATGGCGGGCACAAGGAGAAGGGGACGACAGAGGACGAGATTGTTGGACGGTGTTCTCGACGCTACAAACATGAGTCTGGCCAAACTGCAGGAGGCAGTGGAGGACAGGAGAGCCTGGCGTGCTCTGGTCCATGGGGTCACGAAGAGTCGGACAAAACTAAACGACTAAACAAACAACAACAAGGGATCTAATGATGTTTTCTTTAAGAGCAGGCGCACCACTGCCTTCTTTCGTTCCCCTGGGAATGTCCCGCTGCCAAGGGACAAATTGATGATATCCCCCAGGGGGGCCCGCACCTCGTCTGGACACGCTCTAATCAGCCAAGAGAGGACAGGTGGTGGGCTTTCCAGCTCGGAGGAGTCTGTCCACATCGGCTGGGGATATCCGGTCAAAGTGGTCCAGTACTGGACCCGAGGACAGTCGAGGGGCCTCCAGTTCTTTTATTGTATCCAAATGGGCAGGGAGGTCATGGCGGAGCAGCAGGACCTTCTCTGCAAAAAAAGCTTGCAAATGCCTCACAGCTGTGTGTCAAATTATTATTTAAATTTGGCTGTCCCTCAAGGGACGTTGAAGACCTAATTATACTAAATAATTGCGCCGGGCGAGAGCTAGCGAATGCAATGGAGGCCGAGAAGTAAGACTTCTTAGTGGCCTTCACTGCCATTTCATAGGTTTTCATAAAAACCCTATAAGATGTTCTTGAGGCTCCGTCACGGGCACCCTGCCATACTCGCTCTAGCCGTCTGAGGTCCCGCTTCATTTTCCAAAGCTCCTCGGTAAACCAGGGAGCCCGGTTTCTGCGGGGTCGCAGAGGGCGCTTAGGTGCAATCTCATCGATGGCTGCCAGGAGCTGGATATTCCAGCCCTCAACAAGCTCAGTCAATGAGTCGTCAGGGGGAGCAAGGTCCTGCAAGGCTTGGCGGAATCTATCAGGGTCCATCAGCCTCTGCAGGTAAGCCCAAATTGGCTCGCCACCTAAGCAGGGTGGGAGTGGAAAGTCAGTCCTGGCTTTCAGAGTGTAGTGATCAGACCATGGCACCTTCATCGAAGGAGACATGATCACATCTATACTGACGCCAAAGATCAAATCCAGCGTGTGGCCTGCTTGATGTGTGGGACCCGAAACAAACTGGGAAAGCCCTAGTGTCGCCATGGAAGACACCAGGTCCTGAGCCTGTGAGGAGGGAGTGGCATCAGCATGGATGTTGAAGTCCCCCAATACCAATAGGTTAGGGAACTCCAAGAGCCAGCCGGCCACCACCTCCAGCAGGCCTGATAGGGTGGCTGCTGGTGCGCTAGGTGGCCGGTACACCAGCCAGACAGCCAAGCTCACCTCGGAGCCCCACACTAGGCCAACACATTCAATGCCGGGGATCGATGGCAATGGTAGAGCCCTGAAAGAACAATCTTTCTGGATTAATAATACCACCCCTCCCCACCTGGCCCACAGTCCAGGACTGGTGGAGGACGGAGAAACCCAGGGGCGCCATCTCTCGTAAGGTAACAGTTTCCCCTTCACGCACCCAGGTCTCCGTCACACAAGCCAGGTCGACCCCCTGCGAGGTAAGGAAATCTCGCAGGGTGGCGGTTTTGTTGCCTGTAGACCTGGCACAACAGCAGTGACGGAGGTGAGTAATCCTTGCTCACCCTACCCTCGTCCCTAGGGATGGGGCGCAGATTGGAAGGGGTAGGAGCATATCCGTATCTCGATCCCCTTCGCCTATGACATCTGCCCCCACCGCCATACCTCCCTCGCCCCTCCACGGTAGCAATCCCAAGCCTCATACTAGCCTCCATTTACAAAATAGAATAGCAAAACAAAACAAAACAAAACAAAATTATACCAAAACAAAACCAATCCCCACCTCAGAGGAAGAGCTATATTGAAGGAGGGCCCAGGCAGCCCAACACTATCAATAGGCAGAGTGTGGCAGCAAACTGAAGGCATGATAAATAAAACCTGACATGGGAACAGGGGAAACCTCCAGTGAGGACCTGGGCTAACCATGCATGTGGACCTTGTACACTTAAAGTTCTTCCACAATCAGGAAACTGCTAAGGAGATTCCCAGTATTTTTCCCCATTCTCTAGTACAGAAAATGGCATCCTCCTGTAAACAGGCTGTGTCAAGTGTTCCAGAATCCCCCACATCTGTGTCTCAAAAAGACATAAGTCAAAGGCAGTCTTGATGTGTCCATTGTTCCTCTCTTACTTTGGCCTTGGAGTGGAGGAAGGACTTGGGGAAAAGCTGGAATGGCAGATGAGTAGCCAGGAGCCTGGGGGGAGGATTTTTCAAGGCAATCTGCAAGTTATCATCCAGCTCAATCCAGGGTGCCCTTTCCCACAGTGGTACATTCTGAACCCATGAGGGGTCCCCTTGACTCTGGATTAAGCTCAAGATCTCCGACATCCAATGAGTACCTAGGAGGAAATCCACCAGTCAGTCATTGTGCATTAATACCTGGCCCTTGAAAAGCAATTAGACAAACATAAGAATTTCAATGAATTTTCTTCCTCTTCTAGCTATTCAGCACACTCCTATGGGGCAAGACCCCAAAATTCTGGAACGGTTTACCATGGTGAAACTGACTATATTTTTTCGTTGAGTGTGGCACAAGTGAGAACAGAAGAATAGCCTTCTGGATGACGCCAATGACCCATTGAGTCTGGCATCCTGTTTCTCCCAGAAGCCTGTGGGAAGCTAGAGAGAAGCATTATCTTAGCAGCAGTTTTGTGTTCATTCCGTTCCTAGTGTTCCCCAGCATGGAATCTGCTTTTCTCACAACCACTGCACACTGGATGAACATCTTCCTTGAGCTATTGAAGATTACTCCAATGTCTCGCTCTTGCTGCATCACCTCCACTTCACACCCCATGAGCGTGTACGGGAAATTGAGATGTTTTGCTCCATTATGCATCACTTCACACTTGTTTACATTAAATTCATTCACCATTTTACTGACCATCTATTTTTAGGGTCAGCAAACCTGGTCACCTCACTACTTGATCATTTATGAACAAGTTACAAAAGCACAGGTCCCAATACCAACTCCCAAGAAACGGGTCCTTTCTAAGGGAATGCCTCCCTCTTCTTCAAAGTGATGTTCCCCTTTCTCAGGACCTCCCTTCTTCCTGAGGGCAGGAGAACTGTCATTGTGGGAGGGCCACCCAGCTACCACATCCCTGAAGGTCTCCTTGGCCACTTACTCTGCCTCCTACACTTTCTAGTTCTGCAACCTTGGCTTCAAGGGAAGGAACTTGTTCCCTGAGAGCCTGAAACTCATGGCACTTCTGACATACACATGGGGAGATATTCATACAAAAGGCAGAGGGTGCAAAACAATGCAAAAACCCCACACCCCTGCTGGTCTTGATAATTTGCTTCTTTTAACTTAGTTACCCATTGACTTACCTGCTTGCTAGATTTGTGATGTACTCATGGGGTTCCTAGTCTAGTATCCTGTGGTTCCTTGAATTATACTGCTAAGTAGCCTTACTATGGACTTCCTAGCCCTAGGATTTAGCTCCTGTGTTGTGGGTTTTCACAGAATCTTTATTCTGGTGGACAGTCACCTTGCTGTGCTCTTGTCAATCCATGTTGTTTTAATTCAGTTATTAAATTAACTGCGTGTTAATTATGAGGATTTTTGGAAAATGACTATACCAGAAAGGTGGCTTATTCGTCTATATACAATCAACCTGTAGAGATGGTTATCCTGACACAGCATCAGAGATAGACTTTGGTAATATGGTGTCCTGAGCAAGGACAAAATTTCCCCCTCACCTCCCCAATATATTTTCGCAATAATATCTTAAGGTACAGTTTCTTTTTTAATAAATATCATTAGGTAACCATATAAGTATAGATTTGATTGTGATTATGATTATGAACCCCCACGGCTTGGGCCCCTTTGCAAGGGAACCACCCACACCACCCATATCCAGCACTGACAGCCTTCCAAGTGACATGACAGAAGCATGCCATAGCATATAAGATTCTCCTGGGAATATTCTCAGTCCAGCTCATGAGCGCTCAGTTTGTGAAATTTCTTGCACATTTTTACAAAGCATTTCCCCCCAATATAATGCATTTCTATGCTTTCCCCCACTAAAGTATGCATTTTATGCACACTTATATGCATTTTTGTACACATTACTTAGCTGAAGAAGCACATTGCAAAAATCAGGAATTGCCTGTGTTTCACTTTGTGTAGTTCAGAAAGTGAAAAACATGTAACTTTCACATGAGGTAGACAGTTCTTTTGAGATATTCAACTTATTTGCTGTCCATCTTCCTTCATTTGTAAATGTCTTATAATTTAAGTAATCGTTATCCAGGAATGGAGAACTGGTTTAAGATGGTCATATATATTGCAATACAGTTGTACCTCGTAAATTGAAAGGAAACCGTTCCGGAAGTCCATTTTCAGAAACCAAGGAGTAGCTGTCAATTGGTTTCCGATTGTGCAGGCGTTTCATAAAGAATAGTAGAAGCTTTACTACATGTTTTGCATCCTAAAAAAACCAACGTTCGAATACTGGAACATTCACTTCCAGATTTCGATCGTTCGGGAGCCAGAAAGTCAGCTTCCAAGATGTTCAGGATCCAAGCTATGACTGTATCTGAAAAACTCATTCATTTTTCATGGGTTTCCAGGGACTATCCAGCTACATGGTGGTGGTTCATGACTTATGTCAATAGCAAACTTATGGCTGGCAGGTTTAGTGGACACTATGTCCACTAAATCCAAAATCTATTTTTCTAATTGGAACACTGACCTGACTTGGGGTAAGTGACATTCACTATATCATCATCCAACAGTTGGAAGTCGTTTTCCACGTAGCTGAGTGTTTCCTCTGAAACAAACTCTGGAGAAAATGGGATCCCCTTGTATTTGAAATAAGGCATTGATGATACTGAAAAAACTGAAGATGAGGGGAGAGAGAGAGAAGGAGAAAGAAAAATTATGCCACATCCTTAGGGACATTCAGGTAGCTACTGTTCTAGAAACAAACACTGGGGATAGCTGGGGAGCACGAGGAAGGGGGGTTCAGGAGGTGGTGATGGGCCATCAGTAGATGCTCAAGTGGTGCCACCAGGTGTGGTGGGGAAAAACCCAAGAAACTCAGTTCTCATGATCTTGTGTGTTCTTTGAGACCGGGATACGGGAGGAGCTTCTTGCAGCCGGAGAGGGCCATTCCCATTATTCTCCAGCAGCTTCTTAACCCCCCCCCCTTCTCTGCTTCAGCAGAGAATAGGGAGAGTTCAGGAGGAATTGCTGGGCCATTAATAGGTGTCTGGGTGGTGCCTCCAGGTATGGTGGTGGGAAAATCCAATGAACTCGGTTTTGAGTGCACATCATATCAGGCTTTCAAATCTCAGTAAGATCTTGGACACAAAATCGTCACACAATAACTTCCGGATCAGCGCCATTAGCGAACGGGGGATTCTCTTCACACGGAGGGAATCGGCTCCGCGAAAATCGGGTCCTGAGCGCTGCGGCGAAGCGGGGACCCATAGAAATCGCAGGCGCGGAAGCCTGCAAACGTGGAGACTCGGCGGGCACCCTTTAGCGCCCCCCCAAATCGCGAGGAAGCCTTGTTTTTTGAGGCTTCGGAGCCGAACGGGGGAGAGGCGTGGTGCTGTGAGTTGATTGCTGCTTTCGCGGAGCGAAGCCGTGTTGCCGTTGCTGGAGAGCGCTGATTTCTTCCTGGAACATTCGGACTAAAAGATTGATCGTGAGTAGGAGAAATTGGATCTAAAGCTTGTGAATTGGACTAAAAATTGAAAGGCTTTATTTGGAACAAAAACAAGGACTAAAATTGGCTACCGCGGTGGGAAGTGTAAACAGGAAGTCCGCTTCCTGCCTTGTAAATAGTGTAAAGCATAGAGACTTTGAGCTAAACGTTGGAAACTGATTTGAAAAGAGCTGTTTCCCGACCTGAGAACTTTTGGTGATTCTACCCTTCTGAGAATAAAAAAGGAAGGGGTTTGTTTTTTCTGGACTGTATAAATGTTTAAAGAGCGATTTGCCAGTGAGACGTCTCAGCTGTCAAAATCTGTCAAAGCCAACTGCTGACAGTAAGGTGGATATACTGTGGCCAGCCTCGCTGGAAAAATAATTGGAAAGTTACATTTTGGAACTGTATCTCGATCTTTGTTTATACTTAGTTTCTCTTTCCTTTCCTGTTATTCAATAAGGAAAGTGACTAGTTTGGATGGTGGTAACAGTGTCCACCTAGTGGGACTCCCTGAAATTGCAGCAAAGGAATTTTCCACTGGTAAACAGGAACAGCATATTTGAAAACGGCCTTGACCTTCACATTGTTATGGCAGATGGCAGAGAGAAATTAGATCCGTCAGTTTTGAGATCTGGGAAACCTTGGGGGCATCGAAGGCAATCATCTGCCGGCTTGCCTACGACAGCAACACAAGTTAAGTCCAGTGGAATGTCTGAAGAAATTCTAGCCAGTGCCCTGGCCAAGATTAATGAAACTTTACAACAACTTAGCACAAAGGTTGATGAGACGAATAAGAAGGTTGAAGAAACGAACCAGAAAGTGGACATTGCAAATAAAAAAATTGACTTAAATACAGAAACATTAGATAACTTGGGGGAAAAGGTAAATAGTAATACAGAATCCATTCAGAGACTATTGCAGGACTCAAAGTCTATACAGGAAAAAACTGCTGCTGTGGAATTTAAAGTGGGGCAACTGGAAACTGAGAAGGTACCAGACTTACAGAAAGAGATTGCAGAACATAAGCTGACGCTGTCTATGATCGAACTCAGAGACAAACAATCCAATCTAAGAATTAGAGCTGTTCCTGAGCTGGAGAAGGGCACCTTGATAGATTTTCTGACACAAGAATTTGCGGAATTTTGGAAATCAGATTTGAAACAAGAAGATTTCAAGATTGTGAGGGCCTTCAGATTGGGAAAAGGAGGAAAAAAGATTAAAATAAGGGACTGTTTGATTACCCTCCGATCCAAAGAAGAGAGGGATAAAATTTTGGGTTTGCATTATGAGAAACCTTTGACAATTCTGCAATCAAAAGTGGAAATCTTTAAAGATATACCGAAACACCTCTTGGATTTAAGACAAGACTTTGGAGACTTGGTGGCCCTGTTGAGAAAAAATAAGATCCTTTTTAGGTGGGAATTTCCTCAAGGCCTATCCTTTAGCTTTAAAGGAAGAAAGACAAAGATAAGATCAGTGGAGGAAAAGAACAAGTTCTTGAGCGCATACGAAGAAGATCTACAGAAAGGACTGGGAAAAGAGCCTGTTGTACCGGATAAGAGTCTGCAAAAAAAAGTGAAACCAACGCCACCGACAGATATAGACAAACTTCTGGGGGCTGTTGGGGGAGAAGGAGAGTAAGTACAAAATGACACTGCAAGTACTAAGTTGGAACATTAATGGCTTAAATTCTTCGGAAAAAAGGGGGAGAGTATTTCATACATTAAAAAAAGAACATTTGGACTTGATTTGTTTACAAGAAACGCACGTGACAAGGCTACATCGGAAAATTTTGATTAATAAAAGATTGGGAGAAGAATTTATTTCATCGGACAATGTGAAAAAAAGAGGAGTAGTACTCTATGCAAAGGAAAGCCTGTCACCAAAATTTTTATTTAAAGATGATCAAGGAAGATATATAGCAATTGAAATTCAGCTTCATGGTCAGAAGTTTTTGATATTAGGTGTTTATGCGCCAAATGAGGGAAAATCAGAATTCTTTAAAAAACTGCATGAAACCCTATTGGACTATTTGGATTACAATATAATTTTGATGGGAGACATGAATGGTGTAGTGTCTACAAACATGGATAAAGCCCAAAGACAAACAGTGACGAAAGATGGTAGACTACCAAAGACATTTTTTGAAATGACTGACAATATGGACCTTGTGGATATTTGGAGAATAAAGAACCCCTTGGAAAGAGAAGGAACCTTCTTCTCTGAAGCAAAAATGACATGGACAAGAATAGACCAAATTTGGATAACCAGGGGACTGGCCCCTAAGACAAAAAAAGCGGTAATTTGTCCTAAAATCTGCTCTGATCATAACCCAGTAAAGATGGAAATGATATTAACGCCAAATGGAGCTTTCAGATTGAGGATGAATGACTCCTTGCTTAGGAATGAGGAAATCATTAAAAAGGCCCAGAAAAACCTGAGAGACTATTTTGAGATAAATATGAACACTACGACTGAGAAAAGAGTGATTTGGGATGCTAGTAAAGCGGTGATGAGAGGATTTCTGATACAACAAAATGCAATTAGGAAAAGACACCAAAATGAGAAGAGAGAAAAAATTTTGGAGAAAATTAAGGATGGAGAAAAAAGACTGAGGGCGAAACCGAATTCACAGGAGATTTTAAAAGAGATAAAGTTATACCAAGTACAATATATGAAACTGATGAATCAGGAAATAGAATGGAAGATTAAACAGATGAGACAAAAGTCATTTGAATCTGCAAATAAGTGTGGGAAATTATTGGCATGGCAAATGAAAAAAAGACAAAAGCTTAACACTATTACGAATTTGGTAGTAGAAGGGAAGAACATACAGAATCCTGGGGAGATCCAAAAGTGTTTCCAGAAGTACTTCAAACAGTTATATACGCAGGAGATCCAGAAAGAAATAGACATTGATCAGTTTTTGAAAATAAATGGATTACAAAAAATATCTCAAGAGAGTAAATCAATATTAAACTCTACAATATCTGATCAAGAGGTGGAAGGAGCTATTCAGGACATGAAATTGGGCAAATCTCCAGGGCCAGATGGTCTGACTGCAAAGTATTATAAATCTTTGAAAGAATGGTTAATGCAGCCTTTGAAAGAAGTTTGCAATGAAATACTACGGGGAGGAAAGGCACCCGAGTCGTGGAAAGAAGCATATATTACACTCATACCGAAAACAGAAGTGGAAAAGACACAGCTGAAGAACTACCGTCCCATATCCCTACTTAACGTGGATTACAAAATTTTTGCAGAAATTATGGCTAAAAGATTAAAAAATGTATTGGTGAAAGAAATTCATAAAGACCAAGCGGGCTTTCTCCCGGGGAGACATTTGTCAGACAATACGAGGAATATCATTAATATTTTAGAAAAATTGCAAGTTAATATTAATACTAAAGCAGTTTTAATATTTGTGGACGCGGAGAAAGCCTTTGATAATATTTCTTGGAATTTTATGAAGAAAAATCTGCAGGGGATGGGGGTAGGTCAAAGTTTTGAAAACGGTATAGGTGCAATTTATTCGGAACAAAAAGCTAAGTTGATTGTAAATAACGTAGTTACAGAAGAATTTAAGATAGAGAAAGGAACAAGACAGGGTTGCCCAATCTCCCCACTGCTTTTTATATCGGTCCTGGAGGTTTTGCTTAACATGATCAGGAAAGACCAATTGGTCAAAGGTATACAACTCGGAGCTAAACAGTACAAATTGAAAGCTTTTGCTGATGATTTAGTTTTGACACTACAGGAGCCAGAATCCAGTACAAAAAGAGTATTGCAATTAATTCAAGAATTTGGTCAAGTAGCAGGTTTTAAATTGAATAAGATGAAAACTAAGGTATTAGAGAAAAATCTTACAGAGATTGAGAAAGAGAGGTTTCAGAAGGAGACAGGATTAACATTAGTTAAGAAAGTGAAATATTTAGGGGTTCATATGACTGCTAAAAATGTGAATTTGTTTAAAGATAATTATGAAAAATGTTGGTTAGAAGTAAAGAAGGATTTGGAAATATGGTCAAAATTGAAGCTATCATTGTTGGGCCGAATTGCTGCGATAAAGATGAATGTATTGCCTAGGATGTTGTTTTTGTTTCAAACATTACAGATTTTGGACAAAATGGACTGTTTCAAGAAATGGCAGAGAGATATTTCGAGATTTGTATGGCAGGGCAAAAAGCCAAGAATAAAATTTAAGATTTTAACTGATGCTAAAGAAAGAGGTGGATTTGCCCTGCCATACAACTTAAAAAAGTTTAAAACATATCTTCAGAATCACTGTAACATAAAAGAATGTTAGAAAAGGTTGGAGAAGAAATATTAGACCGTATTGGCAGACAGAGTATAATGGAATTAAGTAAATATGAAGTGTAAAATAAAAGATAGAGGAGAATTAAATATTTTTGAATGTTAAAATGTCAAAATAAGTAAATGAAAAGAATGTTTGAAGGATTTGCTGGAGATACAATTTGAATTAGAATACAAAGCAGAGAAGTGAGGGAAGTCACGGAAATAAGTAAATGGGAAAATGGTTCTAATGGTTTAATTTGAATTTTTCTTTTGTTATTTCTTATTGTGATTTTTTGTCTTGTGTATTTTTTCTTGTATTGTGTGTTTCTCTTGTAAGATGTATGTGATTGGTTTTTCTTGCTTTACTTTTTCTTTTTCTGTAATCTTAAAATTTGAATAAATATTATATAAAAAAATATATATATATATAAAGATGCATTACATTAAAATAAAGCAAAAATTAAACCTTTACCTAACCTTTTTTCCCTTTGCTTATTTCCATGACCTCCTCTCACCTCTCAGCTTTGTATTCTAATTCAAATTGTATTTCCAGCAAATCCTTCTAACCTTCTTTTCATTTACTTATTTTAACATTTTAACATTCAATAATATTTAATTCTCCTCTATCTTCATCAATTTCCATACTTCATATTTACTTAATTCCATTATACTCATATCTGCCAATACGACCTAATATTCTTTTCCAACCTCTTTCTAACATTCTTTTATATTACAGTATTTTTGAAGATATATTTTGAATTTTTTCCAATCTTCTTCCATCGACCCTTCTTCCTGGTCTCGAATTCTGCCGGTCATCTCAGCCAGTTCCATATAGTCCATCACTTTCATCTGCCATTCTTCCCGAGTAGGCAATTCTTGTGTCTTCCAGTATTTCCCAATGAGTATTCTTGCTGCTGCTGTCGCATACATGAAAAAAGTTCTATCTTCCCTTCGCACCAATTGGCCGACCATGCCCAGGAGGAAGGCCTCTGGTTTCTTCAGAAAAGTATATTTCAATACCTTTTTTAATTCATTATATATCATTTCCCAGAAGGCCTTGATCCTTGGGCACGTCCACCAAAGGTGAAAAAAAGTACCTTCATTTTCTTTACATTTCCAACATTTATTATCAGGCAAATGATAAATTTTTGCTAGCTTGACTGGGGTTAAGTACCACCTGTAAATCATTTTCATTATGTTTTCTCTTAAAGCATTGCAAGCCGTAAATTTCATACCTGTGGTCCATAACCGTTCCCAGTCAGCAAACATAATGTTATGCCCAACATCTTGCGCCCATTTAATCATAACAGATTTAACCATTTCATCCTGTGTATTCCATTTCAACAGCAGATTATACATTCTTGACAAATTTTTAGTTTTAGGTTCTAACAATTCCGTTTCCAGTTTAGATTTTTCCTCCTGGAAACCAATCTTTTGTCTAAGTTAAAAACCTCCCTTATTTGATAATAATGCAGCCAATCTCGAACTTTAGTTTTTAATTTGTCGAAGCTCTGCAATTTTAGTTTATCTCCAACTTGTTCTAAAATTTCACAATATTTTGGCCAGTTTGTCTCCATATTAGTTTTTTTCAATGCCTTTGCCTCCATTGGTGACAGCCACCTTGGTGTTTTACTTTCCAACAAATCCTTGTATCTCACCCAAACATTAAACAATGCTTTCCTGACAATATGGTTCTTAAAGGCCTTATGCGCTTTAACTTTATCATACCATAGATATGCATGCCATCCAAAGACGTTATCAAAACCTTCTAAATCCAAAATGTCCACATTTTCAAGAAGTAGCCAATCTTTCAGCCAGCAAAAAGCGGCTGATTCATAGTAAAGTTTAAGATCTGGCAGGGCAAATCCCCCTCTTTCCTTCGCATCTGTTAATATCTTAAATTTTATTCTAGGTTTTTGCCCTGCCAGATAAATTTGGAAATGTCTCTTTGCCACCTCTTGAAACAGTCCATTTTGTCCACAATTTGTAATGTTTGAAACAAAAACAACATTCTAGGCAGTACATTCATCTTTATCGCAGCAATTCGGCCAAGCAATGATAACTTCAATTTCGACCATATTTCTAGATCCTTCTTCACCTCTGACCAACATTTTTCATAATTATCTTTAAACAAATTCACATTTTTAGCAGTCATATTCACCCCTAAATATTTCACTTTGTTAACAATTGTTAATCCTGTCTCTTTCTGGAACCTCTCCTTCTCTATCTCTGTAAGATTTTTCTCTAATACCTTGGTTTTCATCTTGTTTAATTTAAAACCAGCTACTTGACCAAATTCTTGTATTAATTGTAGCACCCTTTTTGTGCTAGCTTCTGGCTCCTGTACTGTCAAAACTAAATCATCAGCGAAAGCTTTCAATTTGTACTGTTTAGCTCCGAGTTGTATACCTTTAACCAATTGGTCTTTTCTAATCATATTGAGCAAAACCTCGAGGACCGATATAAAAAGCAATGGGGAGATTGGGCAGCCCTGTCTTGTTCCTTTCTCTATCTTAAATTCTTCTGTAACTACATTGTTCACAATAAGCTTAGCTTTTGTTCCGAATAAATTGCACTTATACCATTTTCGAAACTTTGGCCTACCCCCATCCCCTGCAGATTTTTCTTCATAAAACTCCAAGAAATATTATCAAACGCTTTCTCTGCATCTACAAATATTAAAACAGCTTTAGTATTAATATTGACTTGCAATTTTTCCAAAATGTTAATGATGTTCCTAGTGTTGTCTGACAAATGTCTCCCAGGCAGAAAACCCGCCTGGTCTTTATGAATCTCTTTTACCAATACGTTTTTATATGTCTAAGCCATAATATCAGCAAAAATTTTGTAATCCACATTTAACAGGGATATGGGACGGTAGTTTTTCAACTGTGTCTTCTCCCCTCGGTTTTTGGTATAAGTGTAATGTACGCTTCTTTCCACGACTCGGGTGCTTTTCCTCCCGTAGTATTTCATTACAAAGTTCTTTCAACGGTTGCAATAACCATTCTTTCAAAGTTTTGTAGTACTTTGCAGTTAGTCCATCCGGCCCTGGAGATTTGCCCAATTTCATATTCTGAATGGCTCCTTCCACTTCTTGATCAGATATAATCGAATTTAATATTGATTTACTGTCTTGAGATATTTTTTGTAATCCATTATTTTCCAAAAATCGGTCAATGTCTAAATCTTTCTGAGTCTCCTGCGTGTATAGCTGTTTGAAATAGTTCTGAAAGCACTTCCGAATCTCTCCAGGATTCTGTATATTCTTTCCTTCTACAACCAAGTTCGTGATTGTATTCAGCTTTTGTCTTTTCTTCATTTGCCAGGCCAATAACTTCCCACATTTATTTGCCGATTCGAAGGTCTTTTGTTTCATCTGTTTAATCTTCCATTCTATCTCCTGATTCATCAATTTCATATACTGTACTTGGTATAGCTTTATTTCTTTTAAAATCTCCTGTGAGTTCGGTTTCGCTCTCAGTCTTTTTTCTCCATCCTTTATTTTCTCCAAGATTTTTTTCTCTCTTCTCATTTTGGTATCTTTTCCTAATTGCATTTTGTTGTATCAGGAATCCTCTCATCACCGCTTTACTAGCATCCCAAATCACTCTTTTTTCTATCGTAGTATTCAAATTTATTTCAAAATAGTCTCTCAAATTTTTTTGAGCCTTTTTAACAATTTCCTCATTCCTAAATAGGGAGTCATTCATCCTCCATCTAAAGGCCCCAATTGGCATTGATGTCATTTCAATCTTTACTGGATTGTGATCGGAGCAGATTTTCGGACAAATCACTGCTTTTTTAATTTTAGGAGCCAGTCCTCTAGTTATCCAGATTTGGTCTATTCTTGTCCATGTCATATTTGCTTCAGAGAAGAAGGTTCCTTCTCTTTCCAAGGGGTTCTTTGTTCGCCAAATATCCACAAGATCCATATTGTCAGTCATTTCAAAGAATGTCTTTGGTAGTCTTCCATCTTTTGTCACTGTTTGTCTTTGGGCCTTGTCCATATTTGTAGACACTACTCCATTCATGTCTCCCATCAAGATGATATTGTAATCCAAATAGTCCAAGAGAGTTTCATGCAATTTCTTGAAGAATTCTGATTTTCCCTCATTTGGTGCATATACACCTAATATCAAGAATTTCTGTCCTTGGAATTGAATTTCAATTGCTATATATCTTCCTTGATCATCTTTAAATATGAATTTTGGTGACAGGCTTTCCTTCGCATAAAGTACTACCCCTCTTTTTTAACATTGTCCGATGAAATAAATTCCTCTCCCAATCTTTTATTTATCAAAATTTTCCGATGCAGCCTTGTCACATGAGTCTCTTGTAAACAGATCAAGTCCAAATGTTCTTTTTTCAATGTATGAAATACTCTTCCCCTTTTAGCCGACGAATTTAGACCATTAATGTTCCAGCTTAAAATTTGTAGTGTCATTTTGTAACTACTCTCCTTCTCCTCCAGCAGCCCCAAGAAGATTGTCTATGTCTGTCGGTGGCGTTGGTTTCCCTTTTTTTTGCTGACTCTTGTCCGGTATCGCAATGTCTTTTCCCAGTCCTTTCAGTAGGTCTTCTTCGTATGCACTCAGGAACTTGTTCTTTTCCTCCACTGATCTGATCTTGGTCTTTCTTCCCTTAAAACTAAAGGATAGGCCTTGGGGAAATTCCCACCTGAAAAGAATTTTATTTTTTCAACAAGTCCACCAAGTCTCCAAAATCCTTTCTTAAATCAAGAAGATGTTTTGGTATATCTTTAAAAATTTCAACTTTTGATTGTATAATTGTCAAGGGTTTTCATAATGTACACCCAAAATTTTGTCCCTTTCTTCCTTAGATCGAAGAGTAATCAAACAGTCCCTTATTTTAATCTTTCTTCCTCCTTTCCCCAATCGAAAGGCCCTCACGATCTTAAAATCCTCTTGTTTCAATTCCGATTTCCAAAAGTCCAGAAATTCTTGTGTCAAAAAGTCTATCAAAGTACCTTTCTCCAACTCAGGAACAGCTCTGATTCTGAGATTCGTTTGTTTGTCTCTGAGGTCTATCATAGATAACGTTAGCTTATGTTCTGCGATCTCTTTCTGTATGTCTGGTACTTTTTCAGTTTCCAACTGCCCCAATTTAAACTCTACAGCAGCAGTTTTTTCCTGTATTGACTTTGAGTCTTGCAGCAATTTCTGGATAGATTCCGTATTGCTGTTTACTTTTTTCTCCAAGTTGCCTAATGTTTCTGTATTTAGGTCAATTTTCCTGTTTGCAATATCCACTTTCTGACTGGTCTCTTCCACCTTCCTGTTCGTCTCTCCCACTTTTGTAGATAGCTGCTGTATTGAATCATTAATCTTAGACAGAGCACTAGCTAAAAATTCCTCCGACATTCCACCAAGCTTAGATTGTGTTGCCGATGTAGGCAGACCAGCAGATGATTGCCTTCTATGTGTCCAAGGTTTCCCTGATCTCAAGGTTGACTGGTCCTTAAAACCATCAGCCATAACAGAGTGAAGGTCAGGTTACTTTCCCACGTCCACTCTTCCTGTTTATACTTGGAAAATTCCTTTCCTTTCCTGCAGTTACAGAAAGTCCCACTAGATGGACACTGTTGCCACTTAACAAGTTACTGTCTTTTAAAACAACAAGGGAAAGATACTAAGTAAGAGGAGAAAAAGAGTCCAAAGTAAAAGCCACAATATAACTTTTCAGTCTTTTCCAGTCTTTTCTCAGTAAAATTGGCCACTCTGTATCTCCTTTGCAGCCAGCAAACAGCTTTAGCAATTTTGACAGCTTTGACAGCTGAGTGACAGATCACTCATTTAGTCTTTCAGTTTAAACAATCCTGTAAAATCAAAAGTCTTTCCCTTAACTCTCCTAAGGGTAGATCCCTCCAAAGTCCTCAGGTCAGAAGATTACACTTATTTCAATTCAGCTCTTCACGTTTAGCTCCAAATCTCTTTGCTTTGTTCTTTATACAATGCAGTGAAGCCGACTTCCTGTTTAAGCTTCCACCGCGGTAGCCAATTCAGCCATTTTTAAAAGCTTTAAACTTTTCCGCTTTTTGCCAAAGTTCCAAATTAGTCCAAATTCTACTCTTTTGTCCAATTCCTCTACTCACGGTTAGTTTTAAGTCCGAATTTCCCAGGAATAAGTCAGCGCTCTCCAGCAACGGCAACGCGGCTTCGCTCAGCGGGAGCAGCGATCCGCTCGCAGCACCGCGCTTCTCTCCCCCGCTCCCTTCCGAAGCCCCAAAAGGCTTCTTTTCAGGTTGGGGGCGCTTCAGGGTGCCCGCCGAGCCTCCACGTTCGCAGGCGTCCGCGCCTGCGATTTCTGAGGGTCCCCGCTTCGCCGGAGCGCACAGGACCCGATCTCCCGCTGAGCTACCCCCTCCGAACTTCAAAGGAGGTCAGCCATTGCTGCTGGCACCAACCGGAAGTCTCATCTTTATTTTTTTGTTAAGTCTTCTTTACTGTTTGTTTTTTGTTATTTGCTTATTTTATTTTGTATGGTTTTTCTTTTCTTCTTTGTAATCCTAAACTTGGAATAAATATCATTTTAAAAAAAAAATCGTCACACAATAAACTCTAATCACCTTCACTTCCATGAGGAAATAGGCCCCATTCACCTCCACTGGATCACTGCCACTATGCATCAACTGGAGGAAAATCAGTTTACGCAAGAAGAGAGTGTTACATCACAGCCACACCTGCCTAAAAAAAGACACACACCCCTCCATACACACACATGCACAACTGCTTCTGGGGCTACTCCCACACTGTTTACCTGAAGTGCAAAATAGTCTTTCCTCTTTCCTGCTTCTGCCAATATGAGGCCAGGTGAGGTGAACTTTTGCCTGTATATGAAACGCTTGATACTCATTATTGATTTACAGCATTCCACTTGCTCAGTAGCTGCAAACATGTCCAGAACAGCTTTACGTAACAGCGGCAAACCAAGAGCAGAGCAAAGAGTCCCCACTCACAGCCTTAAAATCTCAAAAGACAATCCAAAGGAAAGGGGAAAGAAAACCCATATGTAAAGCTTCAAAGATCTGAAATTGATTACCAAATTGTTTGGGAAGAAGAGAAGTGAAATGAAGAGGGTCCCTCAGCAGAGGCATTGCTCTCCCTTCTCTCTCAACAGGTGGAGGACTGCCAATAGCAGACAGTTCAGGGAGGAGAGGAGCCAGGAGGAGCAGGTCTCTCAGAAGAGCCAGTGGATGGACCTGTTGTCCTGTCTTTCTTCCACTGCTACATTTATAGAATATAGCAGTCAATTTAAAACCCATGCATGTTCCAATCTGGAAAAGGAAAGAGGGAATCTGGAAAAGGGAGAAGGCAACTGGGGAAGAATTCATCAAGGGAGAAAAATGAGGTTGAGATGATCTGAAAGAACGTAATCAAACCTTGAATACAGGAAGGAAACAGGAGCAGTCTTTATAATTCAGCAGCTACTGGAGCATCCTGTGGGTCTGGGAAAGATACTTACTGTGTGAGGAAACCTTGCAAAGAGTCTGCAGTAATATCAGGAAGCAGGAGGAATGAGGGAAACTTCAGCAGGTATATTTTTCTGTCAGCAGAAGATCAACAACTCAGCATAGCATGCACTTCCTACATAGATGAGATGAAAGTGCGAATGAACTTTGGATGAAACCACTGCCAACCAGAGAGGGGAGTTTCTATTCCAGACTAGGCTTGCTTCTGAAAGACACAGGCCATGCTCACTTCCATTCGAATCTGGAGCTTCCTTCTTTTCCTGGCTCACAGAGCAAGACTTAAACATTTAGTCAAGGGGGAAGGTGTGTTCTCTCCCCCCCCACACACACACCTCCCACATTCATAGATGGGGAGGGGGTTCGATCCTGCTAGGAGAGTCACTTGCGAAGGAGCATTTTCCAGCCCTCCAGACAAAGTCCGCTGCTCACCAGCTGTTATGCAAGGATTCAGCTCTGCTCAGACCTGCTTCCTCAGCGCTTTCACTGAAGAAACTTAGGGGTTAAGAAAACTGGTCCCTGCCAGTGGTGCAAAAATCAAGTACCAGACTATGGAGTGGATAACATGTACCAGACTATGGAGTGGATAACATATATGTGTCTGGTGACACGAAGCTGCTGTTTCTGTCAGTTCATACGTAAAAGAAGCTTACCGTCCTTCTCACTCCGCATGATAAAGGCAATTTGAGGAAGGGTGCACAATTAAGCTCCTTGGGGATCACTCTGAAATCCTGGGCTGCCTCAACCTGACTCAGCACAGATCCCTGCCCCCCCCCACCCCCCGGTCACTGGAATAGGCCTGAATCAGCCTGCAATTCAACTTGTGAAGAACTTTCCACCACTGGCTGCCTCTTCTCCTCTTTTTCTTCTGGTCTTTGCTCTTCCCACTTTTCTTCAAGCAGCATGCCAGCTGAGAATAGCTTTTGCCCCAGTCTATAGCATGTCCACTGTAGTTCACGCACTGGTACCCTTGAGGCTAGATTACTGTAATGTGTTCCTTGTGGGGCTGCCTGTGGGTCTGGTTCAGAAACTCCAGCTGCTGCAGGATGCTTCAGCCATATTGCTAACGGGAGCTTCTGGTTGAGAACATGTGACCCCACTGTTAAAACAGCTGCACTGGCTGCTCATCTGCTACTGAGCCAGGTTCAAGGTTCTTGCATTGATTTACAAAGCCCTGAACAACCTGGTCCAGGATACGTCCGGGATCACCTGAAACCTTATAATCCAGCACAATCACTGAGATCATCTGCAGGAATATCTTCAGTTGTTTCCTGAGTTGGTGTGTCTCATTTGACAAGAAACCGAGCTTTCGGTGTCATTGGCCTTGCCCTGTGGAACCCCTTGGCAACAGAGATTCAGTAGGAGCCTTTTGTGCCACCTTTTAAAGGCCTGCTTGAAAATTCTCTGTTGCGCCAGGCCAGTGCAGGCCATTAAGAGTACATTTCCTGCTATGGTCTGTTGCTGTTTGTTTTTAATTATTTTTTGTTTGTTTTTTAACTTGTTCTTAGCTTTTTGTGATTTTACTGTTTAGTTTTATGATACAGTGGTATATAAATATTTTTAGGAATGAACAGATAAATATTCATTTAGCCAGTCTCTAACCCATTATATAAATTTATTCAGTTTACCCTGCTCTTTAGCATTCAAAGAGGAACTTTTCTAACAGCAGTACATGCATTTTAAAAAAGAATACAAACAGGATGAGCCTCATATTGAGGATGAGCCTTCATATTGGATGGACCTGGGCATGTTTTCATGGAAGTAGAAAATCATCTTGTGAAGCTTAGGTGGACATCCTATCTTGAGCAGTGTGAAGAGTTTGAAGGCCATTATCTGGTCTATGAAGGCGATGTACAAGGGATGTCTCAGTCTCAGCTGACGCAGTGAGACCTCTGAGCTCTAAAGCCACATTGTGATTTAGTAAACAAAAAACAAATAACAGCAACTGTACCATTCCTGATCAGGTATCTGTTTATTCAGCAGAAAATACCCAATCCATCTGATACATAAGAATGTGGAGAACAGCAGGAGCAACAATCTGGGATTCTTCAGTCCCATGGGAAGGTCATATTCACACCACGCATGTTCTCCCAATAAGCATGGTCAAAGCGTTCACTCTGCGCCACTGTCAGGTGGTTCTTCCAGTCTCCAGAGATCCCTGGAACAACACAAGAGCAAATGCCAACCACAAACAAGTTCACCTGAAATTACTTCAGCTCAAATTAGAGCTTTTCTTTCTCATGCTCAGGCATTAGTAAGCAGTGCTGAGCTGTAGAGCTACAATGTCTGTCCCTTAAAAGCCTATTGCCCTCAGGTAAAATGGAGGACACTGTTCTTTCGCTGTTTAGATGCAGCAGCAAATCCCGTCAGCATCTGTATGTGGAATGAAGAACTGTAGCCTTTCCAGCACATCTGGCAGAAAATGCAATGGGTCCTGCTTGCTCTCTACGCATTTACCACTTCTGATTATGAGGCAAACATGCCATCTCTGGCATGGTCCGTTCTTGTTAGAGGACGGTACCACCTCAGATTGCACATGACATAAAAGCTTGCCTCAAGGACCTCCATACCAAGCTTTCTCTCATGAACAGCCACCAGTCAATGAGGGCACAGTGGGGCACTTTGTTCTCACATCCATTTTAACCACTTTGAGGTGAAAAACCATTCAGTTAGGTTCCCTTTGCAGCTTTAGAGATGGAGAACTCAGACTCTGTGGCCCTATAGCATAGGACTCAGGAAAGTATACGTGCAGAGATTTGGAATGGTTTAACTGCTGAATTTCTGCTTGCTTTCCAAATAAATGTGAAGGGCACATAATATGCTGACATTAGGGGGGAAAGAACATGCCCCCTGACTGCTTGCCCTGAGCCCCTCCCCAACCATTCCCACCCTCCTGATCTGGCTTTCCAGCAGCACTAATGCATGCATGTTGGGTACCTGGACCAGCTGGGTGTCTCATCCAGACATGTTTTCTTATTGCACCACAGAGAGCTCCATGAACTGTGTGCCTGTTGCTCTGTCTGCTGAATTTCTGCTTGCTTTCCAAATTGATGTGAAAGGCACAGAATCTGCCAAATCTAGCATAAACAACTCTGAGGCAACTACTGTTTCTTGATGGCCTAGAGAATCTGCAACCTATATTCAGGGAGTCCCCAGCATTATCCAGGACTCAAAATCGTGCAGAAACACCCTTGTTCTCCAGACTGCCTCTTTCAGAATAATTTCTTATTTAGATCTGGACACACATGAAATAGATAGACGTAGATGGGATGTTGCACAGAGAGGAAGGTATACAATCCTGCAAACTGTACCCCCTTCGGGACCTGCAAACTGTGTTCACAGTCAGCTCTGACTCTACGCTCTATTGACTGGTTGCTGATAGACTTTTTCTGTGAGACATTCAAACATCCACAGAAAAAGAAGAGGTTCTTCACCCCTGGCATGCAACATTGTGGCCTTATTCCTTGGCACTCCAATGTTATTACCTTTCCTCATGAGCGTTGCTTTTGTATGGTCAAAAAGGTTCTCTGGTGTTGTGGAAAAGTTGGACATCTTGTTGTCCTTCATCTTGTGGAAGGAGGCGTTTTCCACCACAGATTCAATTTGTTGGCTGTTCAGCTCCTTGCCAAGAAAATGACAGATCTTCTGCACGCTGCCTCGAAGGTCCTGCAGAAGGGAAAAGCAAATGGCTGTGAATCCTCATGTGATGTAGAGAGCTTGCCCTTCATCAGGTGGCACACAGAGAGCATGAGTACCAGTATGCAATGTGCATTGCATGGCTATTCCCGCCTCCCACCAGTTGGAATAAATGAAGACACAGGACACCATTAGTTTAGGTTAATGGGCAAAAAATGACCACAACTTTATTGGTTACAGGTAAGAGCGGTATTGGCTTTAGGCATTGGTCCTATCAGACTATCCTGCTTCAGCCTGTTAGCATGAAAACCGTAAAGGGTTAACATCAGTAGGGGGAGCCCTGAGATGTACACCACTAGGAACCCTGAGGGGTCACCGCTCAGGGGCATGCTTTAGGCCCTGACCTCCATAGGTTTTGGACGAGGCAACGCCCCCCCAGAAATCTTTACCGGAATGCGAGGACGAAAAGGGGAGATCCCGGGGCCGCACGGGAATTAAATGACCCAGGCCACACCCCCGGGGCCAGCCGATTCGCTGGCCCTGGGGCTGACGCGGCCCAAGGATTCCCCAGGTCATGTGGGGCTAAAGCCGGCCCCGCACAGTTATTGGGGTCGTGAGCCCGCAACTGCACCTCCTCCTTATGTCGGAATTGGCTTTGGGCAAAATGAATGTCTTGAGGATGTGGAATTTGCTGTTATCACCTTGCAGAAGCCACTCTGTCTCCACCTCTCCTCAGCCAGTACCGAATACAGGGGGCACCTGAGTTACCAAGAGACATTACCTTTGCAGCAGAAAAGCAGGTTATTGTCACATCTGCTCCAATGTAGAAATAAGGAAATGTACTCTGCACATGATATGCAGTGTATGTAGAGGTAGCACCGAATTTTGCACATGCTCAGAATCCCTTTCTGGCCAATATTGGTAGAATCTTTCAAAAAAGAAGGCACCTTCATGTGTGAATAATATCAGAATAGGGGCTGCAGGTCAACACAGTTAAAACTGGACCTTTACCTGCTGTAGTTCTTCATAGGTGATAAAGAAGATGTTGGCTCTCTCCTTCATCTCCACCCAGCCTTTCACATGGTCAAACCAGGAACCATAATCTACTGGAAGAGCAAAGGGGAAGCAAGGGTGAAATGTAAGGAGTTGTGGGGAGGAGTAGAGAATGCTATTGTAGATGTAGAGGAAACATCAGTCAGGAACTTGGAAAATAACTGCATTATCCCTTAAGAACAAAATCAGTAACAGGAGACTTCAATGCTACCCTGAGTCCAATGCCACCTGCTGACTGATCTATCTACTGACATTATCCACATACAAGAGAAGTAAAGGTTTGAATGAGTCAACAATCTTACAATTTAATGGGCTTTCTCCATTAAGGTTTCTTTTTCTTTCTGCCAGCAGTGAGAAATGTCTGCTATCATCGATTCTGATCTATTGTCTTGTTGGTGTTAAGGACTTTCCTTAAGTTTCACCCTATTCTCATTTTAGTGCCTTTCTCGCCCATTTGAATGGGCATTTATTGATTTATTTTGAAATCAAATAACAAATTTAGGACCTCTCCCCATTTCTCCCCTTCTCCATGTATCCAACTGGGAATTATAGTTCTCTGATAGGACTGTTGCGTTAGCTAAAAATATATACATTCTGATATTCCGTATCACTGTTGCTGGGTCACACCAAACAGGAGTGGCTGATTTGCCTCCTTCCATACTTTCCCCACTCAGGAATCTCTCCATGAACTCTTCCAAAGTCCCAGCATCCTTCCATTCTTTGAAGCCTTTGATGAAGTGGTAGCTTGAAACCATCACATCTCTAGGGTTACGCAGAGTATAGATGACCTGTAACAAAGGCAGGGCCACATTTAGGGAGGGCCCAGGCAGCCCAACGCTAACATTAGGCAGATTGTGGCAGCAAACTGAAGGCATTATAAATAAAACCTGACATGGAAACAAGGGACGCCTCCAGTGAGGACCTGGACTGACTATGCATGTGGACCATGTCTAATTCAAGTTCTTCCACAATCACGAAACTTCTAAGGAGATTCCCAGTACTTCTCCCCATTCTCTAGTACAAAAAATAGCATCCTCCTGTAAAGAGGCTGTGTCAAGTGTTCTCAAATCCCCCACATCTGTGTGTCAAAAAGACAGGAGTCAAAGGCAGTCTTGATGTGTCCATTGTTCCTCTCTTACCTTGGCCTTGGAGTGGAGGAAGGACTTGGGGAAAAGCTGGAATGGCAGGTGAGTATTCAGGATCCTTGGGGAAGGATTTTTCAAGGCAATCTTCAAATGTTCGTCCAACTCAATCCAGGGTGCCCTTTCCCACAGTGGTACCTTCTGAACCCATGAAGGGTCCCCTTGACTCTGGATTAAGCTCAAGATCTCCGACATCCAATGAGTACCTAGGAGGAAATCCACCAGTAAGTCACTGTGCGTTAATCTTTGGCCCTTGCAAAAGCAATTAGAGGAACATAAGAATTTGAATGGATCTTCATCATATGCTAGCTATTCAGCACCCTCCTATGGGGCAAGATCCCCAAAATTTTGGAATGGTTTACCGTGGTGAAATTGACTATATTTTTTTGTTGAGTGTGGCACAAATGAGAACAGAAGAATAGCCTTCTGGATGATGCCAATGACCCATTGAGTCTGGCATCCTGTTTCTCCCAGAAGCCTATGGGAAAGTAGAGAGCAGCATGCTGTTAGCAGCAGTTTTATTTTCATTCCGTTCCTAGTGATCACCAGCATGGAATCTGCTTTTCTCACAACCACTGCACACTGGGTCAACATCTTCCTTGAGCTATCGAAGATGACTCCAAGGTCTCACTTGTGGGGTGCCTCAGGGTTCTGTCCTCTCCCCCATGCTCTTCAACATCTATATGCAGCTGCTGGGAGATATCATTAGGGGGTTTGGGCTGGGTGTCCATCAATATGCAGATGATACCCAGCTCTACCTCTCTTTTAAATCAGAACCAGTGAAGGCGGTGAAGGTCCTGTGTGAGTGTCTGGAGGTGGCTGGAGGATGGATGGCGGCTAACAAATTGAGGTTGAATCCTAACAAGACAAAAGTACTGTTTTGGGGGGACAGGAGGCGGGCGGGTGTGGAGGACTCCCTGGTCCTGAATGGGGTAACTGTGCCCCTGAACGACCAGGTGCGCAGCCTGGGAGTCATTTTGGCCTCACAGCTGTCTATGTCTATTCTGTGTCCAGGACAGCTGTCTACCAGCTCCATCACGGACTATCTTGTCAGAGTGGTGCATGCTCTAGTTTTCTCCCACTTGGACTACTGCAGTGCGCTCTACGTGGGGCTACCTTTGTAGGTGACCCAGAAACTACAACTAATCCGGAATGCAGCAGCTAGACTGGTGACTGGGAGCAGCCGCCAAGACCACCTAATATCGGTCTTGAAAGACCTACATTGGCTCCCAGTGCATTTCCAAGCACACTTCAAAGTGTTGGTGCTGACCTTTAAAGCCCTAAATGGCCTCGGTCCAGTATGTCTGAAGGAGCGTCTCCACCCCCATCGTTCTACCCGGACACTGAGGTCCAGCACCAAGGGCCTTCTGGTGGTTCCCTCCCTGCCAGAAGCCAAGTTACAGGGAACCAGGTAGAGGGCCTTCTTGGTAGTGGCGCCCACCCTGTAGAAAGCCCTCCCACCAGATGTCAAAGAGAACAACAACTACCAAACTTTTACAAGACATCTGAAGGCAGCCTTGTTTAGGGAAGCTTTTAATGTTTGATGTATTTTACTATTTGGTTGGTAGCCACCCAGAGTGGCTATGGAAGCCCAGCCAGATGGGCAGGGTATAAATAATAAATTATTTATGTATTTATTTAATTAATTATTTTTTAATTTTTTTATATATGATGATGATGATGATGATGATGATGCAGCTACATGGTGGTTGTTCATGACTTACCGTACTTTTCTCTCTATAACACACAGATTTTTTCTCCTAAAAAGTAAGGGAAAATGTCTGTGCGTGTTATTGAACAAATGTGTGGTCCCTGGAGCCGACTGTCCCGAGCGCAGGGGCAAAAATCAGGCAAAAATCTGATCGCGCGAGAGAGGAAGCTGTTCCTCTCCGTGCTCCAGTGCTGCTGCGTCCAGGGAAGCATTTTAGGGACTCGCAGGCAGCTGGAAAACATGCAGGTGGGAGAGAGAGAGAGAGAGAGGGCTGGCTTGGGTGGCTGGGTGGGGGGAAACTTTTGCCTTTCTTTCCTTTCTCCCGTTAAATCCCTCTCCTGCATTCTTAGCCAGCTGCTTCTCTGCACACCCCTCTTGTGCTCCTTGTCCCTTCTGTGTTTTTCCTTCCCTCCCCACTTAAAACGTGGTTACAAAGCACGGATCCATATGGATCCTCAGGATCTTTGCATTGGGTCACCCCAAATTCACCATCAGATCACATTACATGTCCATGGCTACAGCCTGCACCAAAAAAATCACGCACCCACTGTTGCCTGGGGCTGCAATGGTGCAAAAATGTGGTTACAAAGCATGGATCCACATGGATCCTCAGGATCTTTGCATTGGGTCACCACAAATTCACCATCAGATCACATAGCATGTCCATGGCTACAGCCTGCACCAAAAAAATCACGCACCCGCTGTTGCCTGGGGCCACAATGGTGCAAAAACGTGGTTACAAAGCATGGATCCACATGGATCCTCAGGATCTTTGCATTGGGTCACCCCAAATTCACCATCAGATCACATAGCATGTCCATGGCTACAGCCTGCACCAAAAAAATCACGCACCCGCTGTTGCCTGGGGCCACAATGGTGCAAAAACGTGGTTACAAAGCATGGATCCACAGGGATTCTCAGGATTTTTGCATTGGGTCACCCCAAATTCACCATCAGATCACATGTCTGTGGCCACAGCATGAGGCACAAAAATGATACATCCACTGTTTCTTCAGAATTCCCCCCCCCCTTGTTTTCCTCCTCTAAAAACGATGTGCGTGTTATGGTCAGGTACGTGTTACAGAGCGAAAAATACGGTATGTCAAAAACAAACATACCTGGCAGGCTTAGTGGATACTTTAAGTCTAAAGCAAAAGTCTGTTTACCTAATTGCACCACTGACCTGACTTGGGGTAAGTGACATTCACTATATCATCATCCAACAGTTGGAGTTCATTTTCCACATAGCTGAGTGTTTCCACGGACACCAAAAGGTGAGCAAATTGGAACCCCTTGTATTTGAAATAAGTCATTGAAGACACTGAAAAACTGAAGATGAGAGAGAGAGAGAGAGAGAGAGAGAGAGAGAGAGAGAGAGAGATTATGTCACATCCAATGAACTCGGTTTTGAGTGCACATCATATCAGACTTCCAAATCGCAGTAACATATTGGACACAAAATAGTCACACAATAAACTCCAGCCACCTTCACTTCCATGAGGAAAATCACCTTCATTTCCATGAGGAAATTCACCTCCTCTGGATCACTGCCACTATGCATCAACTGGAGGAAAATCAGTTTACGCAAGAGGGGAGTGCTACATCAAAGCCCCACCTGCCTAAAAAAAGACACACACCCCTCCGTACACACACATGCACAATTGCTTCTGGGGCTACTCTCACACTGTTTACCTGAAGTGCAAAAGAGTCTTTCCTCTTCCCGGCTTCTGCCAGTAGGAGGCCAGGTGAGGCGAACTTTTGTCCGTATATGGAACCCTTGATACTCATTTATTTGTTTACAGCATTCGACTTGTTCAGTAGCTGCAAACATGTCCAGAACAGCTTTACGTAACAGTGGTAAACCAAGAGCAGAGCAAAGAGTCCCCACTCACAGCCTTAAAATCTCAAAAGACAATCCAAAGGGGAAGAAGGAAGAAAACCTTCAAAGTAAAGTAAAGCTTCAAAGATCTGAAACTGATTACCAAATTGCATGGAATCTGTTTGGGAAGAAGAGAAATGAAATGAAGCGGGTCTCTCAGCAGAGGCATTGCTCTCCCTTCTCTCTCAACAGGTGGAGGACTGCCAAGAGCAGACAGTTCAGGAAGGAGAGGAGCCAGGAGGAGCAGGTCTCTCAGAAGAGCCAGTGGGTGGACCTGTTGTCCTGTCTTTCTTCCACTGCTGCATTTATAGAAAATAGCAGTTAATTTAAAACCCATGCATGTTCCAGTCTGGAAAAGAAAAGAGGGAATCTGGAAAAGGGAGAAGGCAACTGGGGAAGAATTCATCAAGGGGAGAAAAATGAGGTTGAGATGATCTGAAAGAACGTAATCAAACCTTGAATACAGGAAGGAAACAGGAGCAGTCTTTATAATTCAGCAACTATGGAGCATCCTGTGGGTCTGGGAAAGATACTTACTGTGTGAGGAAACCTTGCAAAGAGTCTGCAGCAATATCAGGAAGCAGGAGGAATGAGGGAAACTTCAGCAGGTATATTTTTCTGTCAGCAGAAGATCAACAACTCAGCATAGCATGCACTTCCTGCATAGATAGGATGAAAATGCCAATGAACTTTGGATGAAACCACTGCCAACCAGAGAGGGGAGCATTCCAGACTAGGCATGCTTCTGAAAGACACAGGCCATGCTCACTACAGTTGAGTCTGGAGCTTCCTTCTTTTCCTGGCTCACAGAGCAAGACTTAAACATTCAGTCAGGGAAGAATGTGTGTTCTCCCCTCCCCCCACCTCCCCAATTCATAGATGGGGAGGAGGTTCAATCTTGCTGGGAGAGGCACTTGAGAAGGGGCATTTTCCAGCCCTCCAGACCAAATCTGCTGCTCACCAGCTGTTATGCAAAGATTCAACTCTGCTCAGATCTGCTTCTCCAACGCTTTCATTGAAGAAACTTAGGGGTTCAGGAAATGGTACTTAGGGGTACCAGACTATGGAGTGGATAACATATATGTGTCTAGTGACATGAAGCCGTTGTTTCTGTCAGTTCATACATGAAATAAGCTTTCCACCCTTCTCACACTGCAGGATAAAGGCAATTTTTGGGGGGAGGGGTGCACGATAAATCTCCTTGCCAAGGGCACAAGGGACCCTAGTTACGCCTCTGATTCCCTCCGTGGAACATCCTAGCAAAACAGACCCCTCAGGCTCCCCACCCAATGCCACATTCTGTAACAGGCCTGGATCACTCTGAAATCCTGGACTGCCTCAACCTGACTCAGCCCAGATCCCTGCCCCCACCGTCACTGGAATAGGCCTGAATCAGCCTCCAATTCAACTTGCTCTTCCCACTTTTCTTCAAGCAGCATGCCAGCTGAGAATAGCTTTTGCCCCAGTCTGTAGCATGTCCACTGTAGTTCATGCACTGGTACCCTTGAGACTAGATTACTGTAATGTTTTCCTTGTGGGGCTGCCTGTGGGGCTGGTTCTGAAACTCCAGCTGCTGCAAAATACTGCAGCCATATTGCTAATGGGAGCTTCTGGTCGAGAACCTGTGACACCACTGTTAAAACAGCTGCACTGGCTGCTCATCTGCTACTGAGGCAGGTTCAAGGTTCTTGCATTGATTTACAAAGCCCTGAACAAACTGGTCCGCCACTGGCTGCCTCTTCTCTTCTTTCAGTTTAAGGTGTGGAACATGTTAAAAACAGAGATTCAGTAGGAGCCTTCTGTACCACCATTTAAACGCCTGCTTGAAAATTCTCTGTTGCGCCAGGCCAGTGCAGGCCATTAAGAGTAAATTTATTCATTTTACCCTGCTCTTTAACATTCAAAGAGGAACTTTTATAAGAGCAGTTCATGAATTTAAGAAAAGAACACAAACAGGGAAGGCATCTGAGGATGTGCCGTCATATTGGAAGGTGTCGGGCATGTTATCATGGAAGAACACAATCATCTCGTGAAGCTTCTGTGGACATCCTATTTTGAGCAGTGTGAAGAGTCCTTTTTGGCTGACGAGGTTGAAGGCCTTCGTCAGGTCTATGCAGGCGATGTTCAAGGGGTATCTCGGTCTCAGCATTTCTCCTGGAGCTGCTGCAGTGAGACCTCCAAGCTCTAAAGACACTTTGTGATTTGGTAAAAAAATAAAGAACAACTGTTCCTGATCAGGTATGTTTATTTAGCAAAGTGATAGCAGAAAATAGCCAAACCATATGATACATAAGAATGTGGAGAAAATCAGGAGCAACAATCTGGGATTCTTCATTCCCAAGGGAAGGTCATATTCACACCATGCATGTTCTCCTGATAGGCATCATCAAAGCGTTCACTCTGCGCCACTGTCAGGTGGTTCTTCCAGTCCCCGGAGATCCCTAGAACAACACAAGAGCAAATGTCAACCACAAAGAAGTTTGCATGAAATTACTTCAGCTCAAATTATAACTTTTATTTCTCATGCTCAGACATGTGGCAGCTCCCTCAGATGGCTGATGTTATGGAAGTAAACAGATGCCCCCTAGCTGTTTGCCCTGAGCCCCTCCCCAGCCATTCCCACCCTCCTGATTTGGCTTTCCAGCAGCACTAATGCATGCATGTTGGGTACCTGGACCAGCTGGGTCCAGCCATACTTTCTTATCGCACCATAGAGATCTCCAAGAACTGTGTGTCTGTTGCTCTGCCTGCTGAATTTCTGCTTGCTCTCCCAATCGATGTGAAAGGCACAGAACCTGCCAACTCTGGCATAAACAACCCTGAGGCAACTACTGTGTCTTGATGGCCTGGAGAATCTGCAACCTATTTTCAGGCAGTCCCCAGAATTATCCAAGCCTCAAAATCTTACAGGCATACCCTTGTTCTCAGAACATCTCTTGTTTTGATTGGGGCATCCATGCAACAAAGCTAGACATTGGTGAGATGTTGCACAGAGAGAACCGTATGATATCAGGCAAACTGTCCCCACTTTCTGGCCTAGTTGGGGATTGGCTTTTTCTGCAAGGCAACAGACATCCACAGAAAAAGAAAAAGGTTCTTCACCCCTGGTACGCAGCATTATGGCCTTATTTCTTGGCTTCCAATGTTTTTACCTTTCCTCATGAACTTTGCTTTTGTGTGGTCAAAAATGCTCTCTGGTATTAAAGAAAAGTTGGACATCTTGTTGTCCTTCATCTTGTGGAAGGAGGCGTTTTCCACCACAGACTCAATTTGTTGGCTGTTCAGCTCCTTGCCAAGAAAATGACAGATCTTCTGCACGCTGCCTCGAAGGTCCTGCAGAAAGCAAAAGGAAATGGCTGTGAATCCTCATGTGATGTAGAGAGCTTGCCCTTGATCAAGAGGCACACAGAGGTGTATGTGATTTGGGCAAGATGGATGCCATGAGGTGTGGAATTCACTGCTATCACTGTGCAGAACCCATCCTGTCTCCAGCTGCTCCTCAGCCATCACAGCACCCAGGAGGCATCAGAGTCAGCAAGAGACATTGCATTCAAGGCAGAAAAGCAGCTTATTGTCATACTAGGGGGTGTTGAATTTTTCAGCATTCCATTTCCCAAAAAAAGAGGGCTACTAAAAAGTTGTAACATGACTTGAAAATGCAAACATATATTGGTTAAATTAATATAGTTTTGTTTCGCTTGGTAAACAAAATGTGTGTAGAATTGCATATGAGTCATTAAAAATGATTGCCAATTACTTGCTATTATATTTTTTCATTATGATTATGATAAAGTACAGTTGTACCTCTGGTTACGTAAACATTGGGATATGTAAGCAGCAAACCCGGAAGTATATTTCCAGGTTTTTGCCTCATGCGCATGCGCAGAAGCTGTAAACCATGCCGCGCGAGTGCGCAGAAGCAGTCCTCCGGTTGCAAAAACTTCAGGATATGGCCGGACCTCCGGAATGGATCCCGTTTGCAACCAGAGGTATCACTGTATTACCTAAAATTTTCAGAAGATAAAATTCTTTGGTTTTCTGAAAGCAATTTATGTGTTTCCTCATTCCTATGTGGTCTTACCAAACTAAATGTTGTCCAATCACGAAAATAGTAGATTTGAAATCCTCACACCCAAAAACCTGTTTTTAAGGCACCTCACTGAATAAATTTGCAAAAATTTAGTTTTCACATCCCTGAAATGACACAGCCTATTGACATACCTGCTCCAATGCAGAAGAAAGGAAGGGCACTCTGTGCATGATATGAGGCTGTTTGCCTTTAAATCCTTTTAAATCCTGAAGGAGCATCTTCACCCCAATTGTTCAGCCCAGACACTGAGATCTAACACCAAGGGCCTTCTGGAGGTTCCCTCACTGTGAGAAGTCCACTCACCTTTTCCGGTGGGCGGATTTGCAGCCAGGTATCCTGACCACTGCAGTGATCTGGCGGGGGCAGAGATTGACAACCCCCTAATGCCATCCTGGCTGCGTCACCGGCGTTGGGTGGGGCCATGCCCAGGGTTGCCCCGCTGTCCAATCAGTGCCAGTTGGGGGTGTGGCCATGGGTAATTTAATCTGTGGCACAGCCAGGTGGCCCTCCTCTCTCGTCCTTTGCCAGATCTCCCAACCCACCTGCCTTCTTTTTTATGCTTTGCTATGACATGACCTTGCTATGGACAAATGTCAGCTGCCATATTGTTGGGGTCGGGTAGGGGTTTTTTTCACTTGGCAAATTGGCACCAGCCATTTGGTTTTTGCCTAACTTATAGCAATCGTCACAACTTTGTGAGGTTAGGCATTGGGTAAGCCTTTGTTTGGATGGAGGGGAAGTTGTAGCCTCCTCCTGCTCCTCCTCATTAAGGGTATCCTGTTAAAGGGATCCGGGGGTGTGGATCCTATCCAATGCCCGGACATGGGCTAGGGCCATGCCACGACCACAACGGGGAACTGTTGGTTGCCCCTATTTGATGTAAGTCATAGGTCTCCCCCTATTGGTGGTTTGTCCTTAGCTGGACTCCCTGCAGATGGGTGGGAGTTGAGTGTCACCCAGTGCCTAAGCCAAACCACTCACATCTGTAACCAATAAAGTTGTGGCCTATTTGAACCCATAAGCCTAAATACTTTTGTCCATGTGTTTATTACCCACTAGGGAACTGCAAGTCACGGGGCCTTGGCACGCAAGTGAAACTACAGGGAACCAGGCAGAGGACCTTCTTGGTAGTGGCCTCACCCTGTGGAACACCCTCCCATCAGATATTGAGGAGATGAGTAACTATGTAAACTTTAGAAGACATCTGAAGGCAGCCCTGTATAGCGAAGCTTTTTAATGCTTAATGTTTTATTATGTCTTTATATGTGCTGGCCAGAGTGGCTGAAGCAAGCCACCCATTTGAATGGGTACAATATTATTCTTATTTTCTTCATAATTCTTGTAGGGGTAGCAAGGAATTTTGCACTTCCTCAGAGTCATCTGGCCAATAGTACCAGAATCTTTCCAAACAAAAAATTGGCAACTTCATGCATGAATAATGTCAGAGTTGGGCCCGTAACCTGGTAGTGCATGAACACAGGCAAGCTTGGACCTGTACCTGCTGCAGTTCTTCATAGGTGATGAAGAAGATGTTGGCTCTCTCCTTCATCTCCACCCAGCCTTTCACATGGTCAAACCAGGAACCATAACCCACTGGAAGAGCAAAGAGGAAACAATGGTGAAATGTAAAGAGTTGTGCAGGGAAGAAGAAGAGTTTGGATTTGATATCCCACTTTATCACTACCTAACAGTCTCCTTTCCCTTCCTTCCCCACAACAAACACTCTGTGAGGTGAGTGGGGCTGAGAGACTTCAAAGAAGTGTGACTAGCCCAAGGTCACCCAGCAGCTGCATGTGGAGGAGCAGGGAAGCGAACCCAGTTCAGCAGATTATGAGACTACCACTCTTAACCACTACACCACACTGGCTCTTCCCTGAAGTGACAGGGAACCAGGCACCCTGTGGAATGCCTTCCCATCACTGGGAAGGGAGAGAATGCCATTGTAGATGTAGAAGAAACACCAGTCAGCATAGGTGCCAGCTCCTGGGGGCTGAGGGCCATTTCCAAGGCTAAACATACCCAACTCCCTCAACTGCTCCTCATAAGGTTTGGTTTCCAGACCCTTGATCATGTTGGTCAAGCTCCTTTACACACATCCCATCTTGTCAATATCCTTCTTAAATTGTGGTGCCTAGAACTGGACACAGTATTCCAGGTGTGGTCTGACCAAGGCGGAAGAGAGTGGGCCTTTGACTCCTCTTGCTCTGGGCACTATACTTCTGTTGATGCAGCGTAGAATAGCTAGGTGGGGTTTATTCAAGTTGGCCTGTCAGGGACTTAGAACGACTGCATTGTCCCTCAAAAACAAAATAAATAACAGAAAACATTGACTCTGGCGTATGTCCAGCGCCACCTAGTGACTGATGTGTGTAGTGACATTATCCACACAAAGGAGAAGTAAAGGTTTGAATGAAGCTTTCTCTGTTAAGGTTTGTTTGTTTTTGTCTCTGCCACCAGCGAATGTCTGTTATCATCCACAACACTGAATGTGAGGTTTCACTCTATTCTCATGTTGGTGCCAGTCTTACCCATTTGTTAAGGACGTTTATTAATTTGCTTAAAAAGAAAATGACTAAAATAGGACTTTCACCCATTTCTTCCCTTCTCCATGTATCCAACTGCAACTTATACTTCTCTGTCAAGGCTGTTCCATTAGCTAAGAAGAGAGCCTTTCTGGTAGTAGACATTGTGCTGGACCACAACAAAGGAGACTGGCTGATTTGCCTCCTTCCATACCTTCCCCACTCAGGAAACTCTCCATGAACTCTTCCACAGTTTCTAGATCATTGCAATCTTTATAGCCTTTCCTGAAGTAGTAGGCTGAAACCATCACATCTCTGGGGTTACGCAGTGTACAGACTATCTGTAACAGATACAGGACCACATTTAGGGAGAGCAGCCATCTTGGCCCTAACATTAGGCAGAGTGTGGCAGCTGACTACTGTCCCATGAAAGGGTAACAAATTGCTATTTAATTTACTGTTACTGAATGTATCCAGTGTGACATCTACTCAGAGTGGAGCCACTGAAAATAATGGGCATAACTAACATAGGACCATTAATTTCAAATGGTCTGCTCCAGGCACGTCCAACAGGTAGATCACTGGACATCTGTGGTAGATAGATCACCGTTAGATCACTGGCACCCCCCCCAAAGAAGCTCAACAACTTTGGCTCCCCTAAAAAAAGCTCAACATTTTAACATTTTAGCCCAAAGAACAGTGCTTTTCTCCTCCAAAAAGGGGAATTAGTCTCTTCTTTAAGGACAATGATGTGGGCAAAATAACAACCCCCCTCCTTTGGGACACAATGAAAGCAGTCACCAGAGGAGCTTGCATAAATTGGTAAATTAGAACAAGACATTATGACTCTCTCATCACACTACAAACAAACAGGAGCCAAAAAAACAACAACCCATCTTAAATTCATGGAACAAAAAAGAAGGGGAATTGACTGTCTAGAAATCAATAATAAAACAACCATTTTACGAATATGGAGGGAAGGACTCCAGACTATTAGCAAACAGATGCAGGAACAAAATCCCTCAAAACTAGAATACACTGTGTCACTAAAAACTGTAACTGCCTTACTAGAAAAGCTAACCAATAAACTGAAACTGACACGGGAACCAATAGAAAAGGACACCTTCACCCCAGTGTGGCTCCCATTTATCACATACACAGCCCAACAAAATAACAAGAAGAATCCACCAACAGCATAAGAATCACTCTGGTTTACCTGACCCAACAAGCACTCCCCCTCCCCTCACAAATGCAAACAAACCGCACTGCAGCCACCCATAGACAACCAACCCCACCCTGACCCCCCATACCTCTCACTACCAAGGAAATGCAATAAATGAATAGAAAGAGAACCTTCCCAGTTGACGCTGACACAAAACCTTACACGTACACTATACAAAAAATATTAGCCTCACCACCCCACCCCTCCTCTCCCCCTCTTCTTCCCCAACCTTATACAGTACTCAACACTAATATCTGTAACTGATTTGTAAGAAAGACTATAGAACCTGAAAAAAGAAACAATGCATGTACTTTTGTAAACCAAGAAAATCTTTAATAAAAATTGTGATGGGATGATGAGCTGCTTGTGCGTAAAATCGTATCCCCTCAGAGTTTGTTCAAGTCCACAAACCTCTGTCTGTGACGGAGCCCCTCAGACATGGCTCCTCTAGTCACTGGCAGATTCCGACAGTGGTTGCTTTCGGAATTTCTTCCAACATAAAAGCTCCTTAACGGAAACACGTCTTCTGGACTCTCTGCGTGACAGTTTCCGGCGAGGAGTGGGTGTCCCTACAGGAGGTCCTGAAACCTCCCCACTGTTTTCGCTGGAAGTGTCTCTGAGCCATCCCTCCAGCTCACTTTCCCTCAGCTCAGCTCCTCTCCCCTACTGGTTCCCTCTTCAGCTGCTGAGTCTCTCCCAACCTGTGTGAGCCCTTTCACCTCCCTTCCTTCCGATGGCAGTTCCCTGACATCCACCTCCCCTCCAGGGCCCCCTTCACCCCCCTCTCGCCCCTCCTCTACGGGCGGTGAGGAGGCAAAACCCCGGAATGAACTTCCTTCATCTTCCGATGTCTCGAACACTTCTCTCCACCTGTTGCGGTTCCTGGTCTCGAAGTACTCCTCCTCCTCAGAGTCCATCTCCCCTTCCCCTTCCGAGTCCGGGAATCCTTCCCACTCCTCCTCCTCATCAGTGGTCCCAAAGTATTCCCTCCGGAACCTCTCCACAGGCTGAGGTTTCCTTGGGAACCTTTGATGGAACGTTTCTATCAATACCTCGTCATTGATATCTTCGGCCATTACCCAAGTGTTTTCTGACTCCGGTTCTCCTTCCCACGCTACCAAATACTCCACCTGATCCCCCTTCCACCTGGCGTCGAGGATTTCTGCCACATGGCTGCTGCATTCTCTTTCTTCTATGACCGGTCCCCGAGTGGCCATCCCTTCTCGTCCCCCCTGGTACGGTGACAGTAACGACCTGTGAAATACTGGGTGCAGTTTCATGTGGTTGGGTAACCGGAGCCTGAAAGCCACTGGGTTGACCTGTTGAATGACCTCAAAGGGACCCAACCTCCTGGGTCTTAATTTCTTACAACCTCCTTTGAACGGCAACCCTTGGGTTGACAGCCACACCCTATCTCCCACCCTTATGGTTTCACCTTCCCTTCGGTTCTTGTCTGCCTGCCTCTTGTATTCTTCCTTCGCCCTTTCTAAGTTGAGTTGGAGCTGACGATGGATTGCTTCCATTTCTTCTACAAAATGCTCGGCTGCCGGGACGCTCCATCTCTCCCCTTCTCCCCCTGGGAAAGCCCTGGGATGACACCCATAATTGGCCAAGAAGGGGCTCATCCCTGTGGACACATTCTCGGCATTGTTGTAGGCAAATTCCGCCAGCGCCAACTTTTCTACCCAGTCATTCTCTCTGTCATTGACATAACACCTCAGGTATTGCTGGAGGACACCGTTTGCTCTTTCCGCCTGCCCGTTGGTTTCAGGGTGCCGGGCAGTCGAAAAGTTGACCTCCACCTGCAGTAAGCTCATGAGCTTCCTCCAGAACCTGGAAGTAAATTGTTTTCCTCGGTCTGAGACCACCCTCAATGGCACCCCGTGCAACCTAAAAATGTGTTCTACAAATAACTTCGCTGTCTCTTCCGCCGTGACTGCATGCGAGCAAGCTACAAAGTGGCACATCTTTGTTAGTAGGTCTACCACCACCATGATGGCTGTTTTCCCTTTGGACTTCGGCAGATCAGTCATAAAATCTATCGACACTGCCTCCCAAGGTCGTTCTGGGGTTGGTAAGGGTTCTAATTGGGGGGCCGGCGCCCTCCTTTCCCCTTTGGCTCGCTGGCATTGCTCGCACCCTCTTACATACTCACGTACATCTTCCCTCACCTTAGGCCACCAAAATTCCCTGGTGACCAACCACATGGTTTTGTGTTGTCCAAAATGCCCCGCCGTGGGGCTGTCATGCAACTGCTTGAGTACCCTCCCCCTTAAGTCTCCTTCAGGGATATACAGTGCCCCTTTGTAATACAAAGCTCCATTTCTTTCCTCTAAACCCCGTGGTTCCTCTCCCTCACCCCTACGACCTCTGAGCTTATTCTGGGCGTATTCATCATTCTCTGTTTCCTCTACCAGTTCTCTTTGTCCCACCAATGCCGCCCCACACACCCAGCGGTCCTCTGGAATGACATGTCTCTCTTCGGGTGCTCCCTCCCTCCAAATACTCAGGTTTGCGTGAGAGAGCGTCCGCCCTAATGTTCTCTGGGCCTGGCACGTAACAAATCTCAAAGTTAAATTTGGAGAACTCCTGGGCCCATCTCACTTGCCGTTGGTTGAGCACTCGTGCCGTCCTCCAATACTCTAGGTTCTTGTGGTCAGTGCACACTTGCACCTTATGTTGTGCGCCAATTAGCAGGTGCCTCCATCTCCGGAACGCCTCATGAATGGCTAGTAGTTCTCGGTCATACACCGTGTAGTTCCTCTCGGATTTGTTCAGCTTTCGCGAAAAAAGGCACACGGTCTCCACTCTGACTCCTCCTTCCCTGGCTGCAGAAGCACCGCCCCAATCGCTCTGTCTGATGCGTCAGTTTCCACTCTCATCGGTTTTTGTAAATCCACATGCAGGAGTTGTTGTTCCGAGGCGAAGTTCCTCAAATGCTCGCTCCGCCTCCTCAGTCCAAACGAACTTCTTCTTACTGCTGAGACAGTCCGTAATGGGCGCCGTCAGGTGGGCAAAGTTTCGGATGAACTTACGATAGAAGTTCCCAAATCCTAGGAACCTCTGCACATCCTTCCTTGTTTTGGGTGTTTTCCATTCCAGCACCGCCTGGACCTTGCCGGGATCCATGGTCAATCCCTTGTCCGACAGGCGATACCCCAGGAATTCCACCTCCTTGGTATGAAACTGACACTTCTCCAGTTTCACCCACAGCAGGCTGGCTTGCAGCCTGCTCAACACTTCTCTGACGTCTCTCACATGCTGCTCCTCATTCTCAGAATACACCAACACGTCGTCTAAGAAGGCCACACAATTCTTGTAAAGCAAAGGCCCCAGGACGTGGTTCATAACGATTGAAAGCATGCGGAGCCTGCTTGTAGGCCGAAGGGCATAACCAAATATTCAAATGCCCCTAAAGGGGTGAACATGGTGGTTTTCCATTCATCCCCCTTCCTTATTCGTATCAGGTTGTACGCCCCCCTTAGGTCCAGCTTTGTGAAAATCTTTCCCTTCCGCACCCTTGTCAAAATGTCGTCAATCCTGGGCATAGGGAAGGCCACTGGTTCTGACACTGCATTTAAGGCCCTGAAGTCACACACCAGCCTCGGCTTGTTCGAGTTTTTCTTATCCAAAAAAAACACTGGGCTGACCCCCACCGCCCTGGACTCTCTGATGAACCCTCTCTTCAGGTTCTTGTCAATGAACTCTCTTAGCTCCTGCATCTCTCTGTCTGACATGGCGTACAGCTTGCCTACAGGGAGCTGTGCCCCAGGGAGTAAATTGATTTGACAGTCAAAGGGTCTATGCGGGGGTAGTTGGTCAGCTTCCCTTTCGCTGAAGACGTCGCGGAGATCTGCGTATTGTCGTGGTACCTGCACGTTCTCCGTTACTTCAGTCCCTGCTAGGGTGGCTTGGGCCCCTGCCAAACCCTTTCCCTCTTTGCAATGTTCTAAGCAATGTGCTGAACCAAAAGAAACCACTCTCTGATGCCAGCCCACCAGCGGATCATGTAACGCTAGCCAGCTCATCCCCAATATAATGGGAGCTCCTCCCAAGGTGGCCACATTAAACGCTATCAGTTCGGTGTGCCTTGCCACCTTCATTATCATTGGGACGGTCTGCAAGCTGACTTCTCCTCCCAACAGCTCCCTGCCATCGATCGTGGTCACCTGCAGGGGTTGCTTAAAGGGATCGTCTGTATCTGGTGTTCAGCTGCAAACTCTTTGCTCATGAAATTGCAGGAGCTGCCTGAGTCCAACAGCGCCTTTATCTTTAGAGGGTGTCCGTTTGGCAGCTCTAGCGCCACTTCTATCACTAGGGCGGGTTTAGGAGGTTCTGGCGTGGGCACTCTCACTGCTCTTTGGCCTGGCTGCTGTGCCCCGACGGTGGCAGCCAGGCGTTGGCTTTACTTGCTCCGGTATTTCTTCCTCTCTTCCCTCCACAGCTCCTACCATCCCTTGCCATTCCTTCCTCTGGGGGCAGACTCTGGCAAAGTGACCTGGCTGTTGGCAGAGATAGCATTTCCGGGCGCCTTTTCGCTCCTTCTTTCCCCCTCACTGGGCTTTGAAACTGCGCGCGCGCGCTGTTCCGATTTCCATCGGCTCTGCCGGCGGGAAAGTTGGCTCTGGAATGTCTGGAATGCGGAACTCCTTCCAACGTTCCCCCTTCCCTTCCCGCCTCTCCAATGCTCGCTCCGCCTCCTCGCGCGCTCCTATGGTCAGCGCTGATTTGGTCAGCTGGTCCATAGACTCCGCCCTGGGCGCCCGGGAAAGTTCGTCTTTCACAGCCGAAGAAAGCCCTTCTTCAAAGAGCATTTGAATGGGTTCCGCCGATAAGTCCCACCCCAATCTGTGAACCAGCATGGTGAACTCAGTCCAGTACTCACGGACAGATCGGCTCCCCTGTTTGCAAGCCATTAACTGTCTGCGCACCACTCCCTGTTCAATATCGCTGGAAAACATCAGATCCATGGCGCGAAAGAACTTCATCGTGTCCTTTAGGACGTCACTATTCGCTGCCATCAGGGGTCTAACCCAGTCTCTCGCCCCTTTTCAAGATGCCCAATCACGAAAGCCACTCGTGATTCCTCGTCAGGGAATTCATCAAACTGCAGATTGAGAGCATATTGCATCTCTGTCCGAAAGCCATGATAGTCTTTGGGCTCCCCCCCAAACTTCTGCACCAATCCTGGTACCTTTCTGGCGAGCTGGGTGGCTTTCCCTTTTGTCTGCATCCTGAGCCCTCCTCTCCTCAAGCCTCGCCGTCTGCAGCGCTAGCTGGACCTCCAACACCCGGTACCTTTCTTCCAGGCTTGGACCCGCTCCAGCTCCTGCTTCTCCGGTTCCGGCTGGGTTGCTCATGATGCCTTCTCCTGCACAAGCTGCTTTCAAAGACTGTCGGAATGCTGTGATGGGATGATGAGCTGCTTGTGCGTAAAATCAGTATCCCCTCAGAGTTTGTTCAAGTCCACAAACCTCTGTCTGTGACGGAGCCCCTCAGACATGGCTCCTCTAGTCACTGGCAGATTCCGACAGTGGTTGCTTTCGGAATTTCTTCCAACATAAAAGCTCCTTAACGGAAACACGTCTTCTGGACTCTCTGCGTGACAGTTTCCGGCGAGGAGTGGGTGTCCCTACAGGAGGTCCTGAAACCTCCCCACTGTTTTCGCTGGAAGTGTCTCTGAGCCATCCCTCCAGCTCACTTTCCCTCAGCTCAGCTCCTCTCCCCCTACTGGTTCCCTCTTCAGCTGCTGAGTCTCTCCCAACCTGTGTGAGCCCTTTCACCTCCCTTCCTTCCGATGGCAGTTCCCTGACAAAAATATTTTTTAAAAAGAAATAAATAAAATCATGCCATTTTGAAAAAAAATGGTCATTCAAGATTTGCCCTTTAAATACTTTTAATTTGTGAAATATATAATCCACAAAGCATCACATAATAAAGCCTGACATGGAAACAGGAGAAGCCTGCAGTGAGGACCTGGGCTGACCATGCATGTGGACCATGACCAATTCAAGTTCTCCCGCAATCGGGCAACTGCTAAGGAGCTTTCCAATAACTCTCTCTGTGCTCTAGTACAAAATATGGCATCCTCCTGTAAAGAGGCTGTGTCAAGTGTTCCAGAATCCCTCACATCTATGTGTCAGAAAGACAGAAGCCAAAGACAAGCTTGATGTGTCCATTGTTCCTCTCTTACCTTGGCCTTGGAGTGGAGGAAGGACTTGGGGAAAAGCTGGAATGGCAGGTGAGTATTCAGGATCCTTGGGGAAGGATTTTTCAAGGCAATCTGCAAATGAACATCAATCTCAATCCAGGGTGCCCTTTCCCACAGTGGTACCTTCTGAACCCATGAGGGGTCCCCATGACTCTGTATTAAGCTCAAGATCTCCGCCATCCAATGGGTACCTAGGAGGAAGTCCACCAGTCACAATCTTCTTCTGTGCATTAATGTCTGGCCCTTGTGAAATAAATTAGATGATCACAAGAAATGGAATGGATCTTTGTCCACAGCTAGCTACTTAGCACCTTCCTGTGCGACAAGATCCCCAAAATTCAGGAATGGTATAACATGCTGAAGTTGATGATATTATTTTGCTGAGTGTGGTGCAAATGAGAACAGAAGAGTAGCCTGCTGGATCAGACCAGTGGCCCATTGAGTCTGGCGTCCTGTTTCTCCCAGATGCAAGTGGGAAACCAGGGAGCGAAACATGAGCACAAGAGCCTTCTCCCCTCCTTTGGTTTCCAGCCAGGAGTCCAAACAATTTTGTCCTAAGAACGTCTGTGCAAAGAGAAGGTGGGTGATGTTCTGGAAGGCGGGTGCTGACTTAAGTTGCCCAGATAACTGTGAGAAAGAGGGGTGGGCACAAGGTAGGCTGTGGTCCGTTTCCAGACTATTGGCCATTGTCAATGGGACTATGTGATGTTTTCTGAAAAACCCACAAATAATTTTGGACAATTTAAACAAGTATATTTCTATTAAATAAGTTTGAACAGTTCCCTTTGACATAGATCTCTTCTGCCTTCATTGTTAAGGTATCCCAAGAATGCAAGTTTGTCATGGTGACCTCCATTTTCGTAGGCAGCTACCTAGGAATCAGGGCTGTTTTAAAGAAAAACTGTCTGCGATTTTTGAGTACAAAGCATGAGCTGCTGCAACACACCTGTCCTTTTTGCACAAGTGCGCACACATCATCATCATCATTTTATTATTTATACTCCACCCATCTGGCTGAGTTTCCCCAACCACGCTGGGCAGCTTTATCTAAAAATATAATGAAAACAAGCATTAAAAGCCTTCTGATACAGGGCTACCTTGAGATGTCTTCTAAAAGTTGTGTAGTTATTTATCTCCTTGACATCTGATGGATGTTCCACAGAGTGGGTGCCACTGCCAAGAAGGCCCTCTGCCTAGTTCCCTGTAACTTCGCTTCTTGCAGTGCGGGAACCATCAGAAGGCCCTTGGAGCTGGACCTCAATGTCCAGGCTGAATGATGGGGGTGGAGATGCTCCTTCATGTTTTGTTTAGTTGCTTAGAGTTGCATTCCATGGCATGTAGATGCCTACACAGAGTGGGGGGAAACCCTCAGAACTGAAAGTTTGACATCTAGAGTAAGGTTACCAGACGTCCCCGTTTCCCGGGGACAGTCCCCGGATTTACAAATCAGTCCCCATAGAAAATCCACTGAATTTTAAAAGTGTCCCCGGATTCAAATCTGGTAACCTTAATCTAGAGTGAAGAGGGATCTACCTACATATCTCTCTGAGTTTAATGTGTGGATGAATCTCACTGCAGTGATAAATCTGGCTAGAAAATTTCTCTCTTTGAAGCTCAAGTTCAATTATCTTTTGCAGTGAAATTTCCAGGCACAAATGTGTCATGTATAGTTCTGTATTTTTATTATTCCCCACCCCCACCCCTGTTCTTTTCTTAATCTGAGATAACTTTTCTTTGTCCTGACATTCATGGAGCATCACAGTTGTAAAGTATCGAAAGAGTGTGGGGAGGGGATATTCTTTGTGAGCTTCATATTTAAAGTTAGTGACGTAATAAATATTATCATCCAAAGTGGTACCTCACTAAGCCAACTAAATCCAGAGTCTATCTATTTACTTAATCGCACAACTGACCTGACCTGGGGTAAGATACGACCACAGTATCATCATCCAGCAGTTGGAATTCATTTTCTACATAGCTGAGTGTTTCCACTGAGTGGAACAGTGGAATAAAAAGGATTTCCTTGTATTTGAAAAAAGCCATCGATGACACTGAAAAACTGAAGATGAGAGAAAGAAAGTTATAATGCCACATCCTTAGTAATTTTCAGGTAGCGACTGTTTTAGAGCCCAACTCTGGGGAAAACTGGGAAGCAGGAGGAAGGGAAGAGTTCAGGAGGTGGAAATGGGCCAAGAATGGATATTCAAGTCGTGCCACCAGGCTGGGTGGGGGGGAAATCCAAGGAACGCAGTTCTGAATACATATCATATTAGCCTTTCAAATCTCAATAAGATTATGGGCACAAATTAGATGCACAATTAACTCAAATCTCCATCACCTCCATTAGGAAATAGGCCCCATTCACATCCTCTAGATCAGGCATGCCCAACTAGTCAATTGCGATCTACTGGTCAATCAATTTTTGGCTCCCCCAAAGAAGCTCAGCAAGTTCGGCTCCCCCCAAAAAGTTCAACATTAGCTCCCCAGAAAAGCTCAACAACTTGTGCTCCCCCAAAAAAGCTCATCAACAGCTTTGGGTCTTCCTCCAACTTTCGTCAATTCAATGGGTAGATCACTGCCAGTTTTTTTTTATAGTGGAAGTAGATTGCAGTCTCTTGGGAGTTGGACGTGCCTGCCTCAGATTACTATGCATCAACTGAAGGAAAATCACTTTAAACAAAGAAGAGAATGCAGCACCATAGTCACACCTGCCTAAAGCAAGGCACACACCGCTCCATACACACACATGCATAACTGCTTGTGAACCTACTCACACACTGTGGCTTTGGAATTAGAATTTAGAAGACAGCAAAAACATACATTAACTTTTTGTCTACATACAACATGGCAGGCTTAGAATCTGCATCAGGACCTCCAAATAAGAAGTTCAAAAAATGGGGCTTTTGTACACTAGAGGGCACACATTTGGTTCTTTGGGGCATCCACAATCTCCCACCCTTATGGACCCCAAAGATCCACCGCCACCACGTACCAAAGAATTCTACCTGTACTTAAATGCATGCAAGTTAAAACCCAGTTAAAACAATTAAAATTAATTAAAGCAGTTAAAAACTTTAGATAGCTGGGGCCATGATAACAACACCGAAACCAGCATACCCCAACCCAAAGGTCTTTTCAGCCAGCTCAGCTTCCAAAGCTACAGTCAGTCAGTCAGTCAGGACCCACAGACAAGATGGTATTCAAGGTGCTGAACAGCCTCCGTCTTTTCTAGCTTTGGTCAGTCAGGGCCCCACCCTCCTAGGTGAGGGGGAAGAGGCCTGACTGCTAGGCAGGTTCTACAAGACTCACAAGATGCACTCTTTACCCTAGTGAAGGCATTTTTGTCTACATTACTTGGATTCAGAACTGCGTTGCAAAATTCAGGAAAGTGCCCGTTTGCGAAAAGTGTGAATTTTGTAGGCTCACCTTTAAATCAGAAAAGGATTTGATTTCTTACCCCTCCCTGCTGCTAATGGGAGCTATCAATGCATGATGTAGCTGATCAAGGAGACTTTGGACAAATCTGTCGGCACCGAACAGCATGCTACTTTAATAACCTGCTTTACGCAATATTTTGCTTTTGCAAATTTCAGGCCGAGAGGGTGGGTAGAGGAGTTTCATCCCTCCCAGACACCTGCTGTGGTCCTGATCATGACCCAGAACCAGCTTTTTGCATGAGGAGAAGTTCTGATTAGACCGCAGATGTACTGAGACAACACCATGGTTGTCATGGAGGCCATGAAGTCCCCAGCTGGTCCATTTGAGGAAGCCTTGGCATTGATATTGAAGTCCCACAACATTACCCCATGAAAGGATTCACCACATCCAAGACTGCCTGCCTACCAGCTGGAAAGGAAGATCCTTGTGTGCTGAAGCTCTCTTATTTTTTTTTCCTTTCTGGATTTCCTTGCTTTTTCTTTGGATTGAATTGGATTTGTTTGGCTTCAACTTACCGTATTTTCTATGTTTTCTTTATCTTGGAGTGCTTCTCGACGACAGTTTCCCAAACTCCCACTCTAGATGTCCCTTTCTTCTTTCCCCCTCCATTTTATCAGGCCACTACCCTAGAGGATCGGGCTCTTGGGGAACTTTAACCTTTTACAACCTCCAAAACAGCCCTTTAATCCTCACCTTTCCCCAACCAAGCTAGGGAGGAAAGCTTCCCCCTTTGTTGCACAAACTAAATTGCCACACTGTAGTTGCTGTGCACGGTAGCACATCAGCAGTAAGAGACTTGTCACATCTTCCTTAACTAAAAAAGTCACCTTTTTACTGAAATTGCTCCACTGCAGCCCTGTGCTTTGCAGGTAAGCCCAGCAAGGACTTTTTTGTCATTGCAGACCAGTGAGAGGGAAGAGTCATCTCTTGCTTGTTTTATTTCATTTTATCTTAATTTATTTTTTAAGGCTGAATGTGAGGCGGGGACCATATAGCATCCCCGGTAGCCAATCGTTTGTTCCCATGTTCATTCCCTGCACTTCTTGTGAGTGGAAGCGAGACACGAATCTGTACATCTGAGTGTTCAGTGGGGTGACAAACAGATCCACGACTGGTTCTCCGAAGTCTTCCACTATCTGTTGGAAGTCGGCGGGGGTGGAGTTTGCATTCCACCTCTGAGATGGTTTGCCGGCTGAGCCAATCTGCCTCCTCGTTTTCCATCCTGGCGATGTGTTCGGATTTGATCGACAGAATGTTCTTCTCCGCCCACTTGAATAGGTGTTTTTCTGTTGGTTGGTTGTTTTGTTCTGTTCTGGTGGGATCTCTACACTGACACTTTCAAGAGCCTCTGGGGAACAGCAGGATGGATAGAGTACTAGCAACCAGGGCTCACCCAAGACATTTTGGCGCCTGAAACAAATTAGAAAATCGTGCCACCGACAATCATAGTTTGCAAAGGCCACTGCATAAACTGTCCTGCTGATGTATGTAGTGCCTCTCTCATTCGATATACACTTCAATACTCACCAGTGTGGGAAAGCAGCAACAGCTGGAGATACAGTGGCTGCAGCTACAACAACCACAGCAGCCGTGGGGGCCACATTTGCTGTCCCCCATGGATCCCGGGGGGGCACATGACATCACTTCATGGGTGAACCGGCCCTGCTAGCTAAATCTCTGTTCTGTCTCTCTGGCTTAACACTCACAAACACAAACAGTCTCTGACCTGGAATGGTGCTTCAGCAAGTCCGCTGGTGGGCACAGCTGTGCTGGCACAGAGCCACCCAGTCCATCCCTTTTGTGCCATCCCAAGCAGGCAGGCTGGCCTTTTAACCCTCCCTTCTCCAGCACCAGTGAAAAGCAGGTGATCTATAGCCCTGGTGGGGCCTAGTCCTTAAGGAAAGTACCTCCCAAAGCAGTCTTTTAAAGACAGCTGCTTCTACAAGGGGGCAGGGGCCTGGTGTTAGCCTGTACATCTTCTCAGCTAGCTGTGGGCCTCACAAAACCTTTCTCCATCATCTATCCGCCCAGCTCCTGCCATCGGCAAACAAATCCCATGCAGAGCCATAGCTAGGTGATCTTGCAACCCTGGCAGAACCGTCCAGATTGCGCCGCTTATCCATGGACAAATTATCTCTTCTTTCTGCCTCTCCTCCAACCCACCCACCCCCCACTCATTCAATTCACCCTCTATTTAAAACCTTTTCTTATGAGGCAATAACCAATATTTTTATTTATAGACATATTTATGGACATATTTTTAAGCCGATTTTGCGCCCTCCCCCTCATGTGCGCCCCTGGCAGGGGCCCACCTCACCACCTCCTAGCTAGGGCCCTGATCCCATGCAATGGTGTTCAGTTGTGATTTGTTTTCTGGTGCAGAATGGGGAATTTTCTCCCTCTATACAGTGGTACCTCGGGTTACAGACGCTTCAAGTTACAGACTCCGCTAACACAGAAATAGTACCTCAGGTTAAGAACTTTGCTCCAGGATAAGAACAGAAATCGTGCCACGGCAGCAGCGGGAGGCCCATTAGCTAAAGTGGTGCCTCAGGTTAAGAGCAGTTTCAGGTTAAGAACAAACCTCCAGAATGAATTAAGTTTTTATCCTGAGGTACCACTGCAAAAGCTTCCCTCCCACTACTGTGAATTAACACTTGCTGCCCATCCTTCCTTGCAGGATACTAGAGCAACATTGAATTTTGCAGGTATTCAAAATGGTGTATTTTGCTGGGGGGAGGGGACTGTGGCCCTCATTCTGCACTCCCACAAACAAGGGACACAATACTGATGTGCAAGTCAGGAGGCTCCTTGTTTAGGCCTTGGAGGGGGATCCTAAAATGTCTGCCAGATAATCCAAGAGCCATCTATAATCAAAACAGGTTTTATTTACTGTAATTGTCATAATTACACAAATATATACAAGCTAAGTGAACTGATCCATGGTCCCAAAGGACAGAGGGGACCCAACATAGTTATCTATTTACAGTATCAGAAGACATAATAGAGGACTGTTCTGGAATACTTCCTGGCCCCAGATGGGTTATTACTGTATGTAGGCAACTCTGTGGAGGATAAGGCCACAATGGCTGTGCTCCTCCAATGCTGGACAGCAGCATGCCTCTGAATAACAGCTACTGAGAATCACAAGTGTAGAGAGCACCATTGCCCTCAGGCCTTGCACATGGGCTTCCCACAGGCAGCTGTGTGGCCACCATTAGAGAAAGGCTGGATGAGATTGGCCCTTGACCTGAGCCAGCAGGGCTTATTCATATGCTCCAGTGGCACAATGGGTTAGTGCATCTGGCTGTCAACCAGAAGGTTGGTGGTTCAAGCCTACCCAGAGATGGCAGTGAGCAGGATTCCTGCATTGCAGGGAATTGAATTAGGGGACACTCGGGGTCCCTTCCAACTCTGCATTGCTACGATTCTATGACAGGCGAACCACATGTTTTTATTTCAGCTTCTTCTTTTTTGGTCACGGCATCAAATGTATCTGATCAGCCCAGCCAGTAACTTACAAATTACCACCAAATCAATAAGTGTGAGTGTGTGCATGGCTATGCTAAAGATGTACAGTTGCTTTTGGACAGCTGGGTGCTTGTTCATTCATCAGAATGTCAAGAAAGTGAGAAGTTACCCTTTGATTCCAACAGCCTTCCTCAAGCTGGTGCTCTGCAGATGCATTGGACTAGACTACAACTCCCATCAGCCACCAGGGGCATTGGGCTCAGGCATGGTGGGAAATGTAGTCCAAAGCTTATGGAGGTTATCAGGTTTGGGAAGGCCGGTGTATCACTTGTGTGCAGACCCAAAATAATCCTTAATGGAACTTCTAATACGAAACTGAAGCAGTTTCTGGTTCTTAATTTCCCAGTGCATACAACAGATTTTTTTATCGTGGGGATGCAGAGATAGAGTACACCCATTCTGTATGTAGACAATAACAGATTAATACCAGAAGATTAGTATCTGTGCTAGGCTTTTTTTTTCCAAGTCTACAATGTGCGTGTGATGGAGGAAAACCGTCAGATTCAACATTATTGGTGGCTATTTTCACCTGTGGACAATGCTAGGGTGGGGGCAGCAACAGATCCTCAACGGAATATACAAACATAACTCTTAAGTCTGTACTGGAGGGCTAAAAGTACCCTAATAAAGCCCTCCCCAAAATGTACTCAATCTTGTTAAAAGGACAGATGGAAAACGCACAGAACAGCTGGTCAATCCTTCCTGACATCTTCCCATCCAGAAGGGAAACGGGAGACTGGCGGAGGGTATCCAACCCTCAGTAATATCCTCCCTGGACTCCAAATGAGGCTCTTTGGGTCAGATACTGATATTTTGCCCTCATATAAAACGTGGGCCCGCTTTCTATTGGTCCTGTCAGTTTCCCTAAAAATGCTTGCAAACTTCAGGTAAGTGGAAGTAAACTCTTTTACTCAGGCCCATGTCTGAGGCCTGGGGCGGAAGTCTTGAGTCATCAACTCAAACAAAACAGCAGCCAGTCCCTGGCAGGGGGAGGGGGGTGGCACTGGCTGGCTTATCCCTCTGAGACCCAGGGCAAGGGAACCCAACGCCCTACCCCCTCTGCATGGGTCTGCTTCTATTGTGTTCCAAATTTGCCCTTAGCAAACTGCAGTAAGGGAGTATCTCCTCCTCAAGACTTCCTGTCGTCAGTTCAACTGTTTCCCCTTCTAGATCTGAGCCCCCTGTGGTAAGTTCTGTTATTCATGGTATAACACAACACATATGCTCTCCAAGTCTGTCTTACGACATTTGCTCTTTAAAACCCCTGAACAATTTTTTAAAAAAATATACGAAAATGGTGGTGGTATCACTTGCACAACCAATCTCATCTTAGGGTGCAACCTACCATTTGGAGACCAATGACCTAGAGAAATCACCTGACAAAATCACCTGAGAGCCAAAGATCCACAGAACAAGGCTTGGGGCATACCCTCCGATATTCCTCAGATGGAAATCAGGGCATTTTCATCTGAGGAATGCAAGGCGTTTCTGGCTGGGGGGGAGTGGGAGGAGGGGTAGAACTATGCATGTGTGCATTCTGTACATGCTCAGAGGCACTGCTGCCACCTCGCAAGTTACTGGGCGGGACCCTAGCCCCGGGCACCAAGCCCTCCATTCCTTTTCCCACCGAGCTCTTCCCCACCCTGCTAGCAGCTCAAGACTCTCCCCCACCGCTGCTGGCTCCAATCTGCACCACAGCCCTTTTAAGCCCATGCTCCGCCTCTCTGTCTCTGTGTGTGTGTCTCAGCTTCCAGCGGCATCCTGGGAAATGACATCATCAAGCCGCGCTGCCAAGCTCATAGCTGGCCGCCATGTTGCAAGGGGCGGGGAGGCAGGATCTGCTGCTGGGGCGGAACTGGGAAATCAGGACAATCAGGACACCCCAGTTTCAAGTCAGAAATCATGATGGTTTCATCCATCCTGAGTGTAACCTGGGGTAGTGTGAGAAGTTGCTGTGGGGGTTCCCTTTAAATGCAGCTTCTGCCCTTGTTCACAGCTGGGAAAAACTTCCAAGGATTGGGCCTTTGCTTTTGAAATTCTTGACCTGCCAGAATTCAATACTTTAAAGTGATAGGGTCTCACGTTCGTGTGATCTGGGTAATGAGCCACACCAAAGCAACCACAGATTAGCCAGTCGCAGGTGTCCTGGGAAGCAAGGCCGACCCTCACTCCTAGATGGGCCATTAAAGAACCAGAAGCACCCCTTTGATAAGCTGGCAAAGCAAAGGCATCATATTGGCAGATGTTTAAAGGGCCAGCGAGGAACTGCACAGTGTAGAAGGGCTCCCCTGCCCTATTCCACGAGGCTATGCCAGAGCACACAGTCGGATGGGACAATGTTTGTTCTCTGTAAAATGTCATTTCTGCCCCCCCACCCCCATTTTCTTTAAAGCAGCAGTCTCACACTGGAAGGGGGGGGGAGGTTGGCGAGGCGGAGGCGGCTCAGCATCGCTCTTCCGGGGCTTCAGTCCTGGATCACCATTCCACTGGCATGGGAGTGAGTCTGTAGGAGGGGAAACAAAAGGAGAGGCAGGCTGTGCATCTTTCTGGGGCCTTCAGACAGACAGATGTGCTGGGAGGACAGGAGAGGTGTTCCCTTGCGCTTCTACAGCAATGCACTGGTTATGTGCTCACTTGAGATCTTTTACATTGGACACCAGTTAACCAGTGGGCGTTGTAACACAGGGGTTTGGAACCCCCAACTGGCCTAATCAGGCCCAGTCTGGGTCTTCGGTTTGGCCCACAAGGCCATTTCCCCTCAAACCACACCAACATGCCCTACGCTTGACATTTTATGTGACATCCCAGGACGTTTCCAAGCACAGTTCAAAGTGTTAGTGCTGACCTTTAAAGCCCTAAACAGCTTCAGCCCTGTATACCTGAAGGAGCATCTCCACCCCCATCATTCAGCCCAGACACTGACAACCACCTCCAAGGGCCTTCTAGCAGTTCCCTCATTGCAAGAAGAAGAGTTTGGATTTGATATCCTGCTTTATCGCTACCTGAAGGAGTCTCAAAGCGGCTAACATTCTCCTTTCCCTTCCTTCCCCACAACAAACACTCTGTGAGGTAAGTGGGACTGAGAGACTTCAGAGAAGTGTGACTAGCCCAAGGTCACCCAGCAGCTGCGGGTGGAGGAGCCGAGACGTGAACCCAGTTCACCAGATTACGAGTCTACCACTCTTAACCACTATACCACACTGGCTCTTCCCTGAAGTTACAGGGAACCAGGCACCTTGTGGAACGCCTTCCCATCAGATGTCAAGGAAATAAACAATTATCTGACTTTTAGAAAATATCTGAAGGCAGCCCTGTATAGGGAAGTTTTTAATGTTTGATGTTTTACCATGGTTTCATAATTTGTTCAATCCTGCTCAGAGTGGCACAGGCAACCCAGTCAAATAGGTGGCATATAAATATACGATGGTGATGATGTTGGTTGTTTGGCAGGTAGACAGGTCTTCCCAGGCACAACCAGGAGCCTTAAAGCGCATCCCCAATTGTGCAATGGCAAGGGAGGCAGTCAGCTGATTGAGATCAGCCTTCTGGGATCGGCTAAGCTGCCAAGATACCTATCAGAAACACCAAATCACAGCTGACACCTGCCTAAGGCTGGGCATAGCAAAAGTCATCACCTTCAATCTTGCTGAACTGGCTGCATGACCTGACTTCCCACTCACTAGTGCAACTGATCCCTGCAGAAAGGAGGCTTGGAGTCACTGCCTGTCAGCCAATTGCCTCCGTTCCCATTGCACAAGCACCAGCCCCCAAAGGCTGCCAACCGCTGAATTAACTTTTAGGGTGCCACAAGCCTCTCCCTGTTGCTTTTCCTGCAACTGATTCACCCAACTGCCCCAGGTGCCCTTTACCTTCATGGCACGATAGATCCACCCTTGAAAGTCATTGACCTTTGTGTAGACCCCTGGTTTATTGGCCAGGGCGCAGCCGGTGCCCCAGCTCACAATGCCACAGAGCCTCCAGCGGGAAGTCCGAGAGATGCCATCCTCACACACAAAGGGGCCGCCACTGTCGCCCTGCCAGGCAGAAGAAAGCAGGAGTTACAACCCTTGCTCATTCCACCAGGCTCTGGTTATCTCCCGCTTAGACTACTGCAACGCGCTCTACGTGGGGCTACCTTTGAAGGTGACCCGGAAACTGCAACTAATCCAGAATGCAGCGGCAAGACTGGTGACTGGGAGTGGCTGCCAAGACCATGTAACACCGGTCCTGAAAGACCTACATTGGCTCCCAGTACGTTTCCAAGGACAAGACAAAAGAGTTGGTGTTGATCTTTAAAGCCCAAAATGGCCTCGGCTCAGTATACCTGAAGGAGCATCTCCACCTCCATCTCCATCATCCAGCCCGGATACTGAGGTCCAGCTCCGAGGGGCTTCTCGCAGTTCCCTCACTGCGAGAAGTGAAGTTATAGGGAAGCCCTCTCGGTAGTGGTGCCCTCCCTATGGAACACCCTCCCATCAGATGTCAAGGAAATAAACTACTGTCTGACTTTTAGAAGACATCTGAAGGCAGCCCTGTTTAGGGAAGTTTTTAATGTTTGATGTTTTATCTTATTATTATTATTATTATTATTATTATGTTGAGAGCCACCCAGGGTGGCTGGGGAAACCCAGCCAGATGGGTGGGATATAAATAATTTATTATTCTTAATATTATTCTTATTATAATTATAGTATAGCACTCTAACTAAAAATGTGGACCAGGTAAGGCCAGGGTGCTGAAGCAGAAACACAGGCCAATCAAAGCCCACAGCTGTGGGTTGGAACTGCAGTGGTGCCTTTGAGGGCAAGAATTAAGTTCTGGAGGGACAAGTTTCAGCAGGGAAATGGCACAGGGAAAGAGTAAGCCCCTTTCCCCCATCATTCATGTTCCCCAGGGATGTTATATGCCTCATTCCAGCTCCAATCAGGCATTTGTAACCAATAAAGTCATTTAGACTATCATAATAATCTCCTGCTTCCTATGTGTGCAGGTCTGATCAACTTGTACATGTGCTACATTTTTTAAACCTAATCTCTAATTTTAATGCGCTGTCACAACCCCATGATCCTAATCTGAAACCCTCATGGCCGCCATTATGGTTTTTGGTTTTTTTCAAACAGAAGAAAAACATTCCCATAGTAAACATTTTGTCCCCTGCAGGCCAAAGTTCAACAGCTAGGGCACACGAGGGGAGAAATTCTGACTGAGCCTCTGTTGCTCTTCACAGGAAGAAGAAGGGGTTTAAAAGCCCTTTGCCCTCCATTCTAGCGGGCAGAGAAGCCAACTGGCAGGACCAAAACTGGTTGTCCTTTACCTCTTGCTCATAAAACACACACATTAGAAAAAGCATCCAAAATTATTTAAGGGATTAAACCTTGTGGGGAAGAAATGTGAGTTGTTGGCCCAAGCCCCATGATATTTTTTGCCTGGGTCACTTTGTGTCTGAACAAATTCACCATGCATCCTGCTCTGCTTTGCTGTTCAGCAAATAATCTACTAAACACTAAAGATGAGGGAATCTGTGCCACCCCAACCCCCCAGGATTCCCGTCAGCTCCAGCCAGAATGGCTTATGGTCAAGGATGATGAATGATGCAGACCAGCCAAATCTGGATGACCAAATGTTCTCCACCTCTGCCAAACACACACCTTGCTCTCTCTTTCTAAATGCAGTCCAGCACACCTCGCCCACCTTCAATAACTTATATTCCCTTGCCTCCCCAGCCCTGCCCTTGCCCACTGCCCAGCACAACCTACCTGGCAGGCATCTGTTCCGCCGGCAGCAAAGCCAGCGCAGAACATCCTGGGCCTGATCTGGCTGCCATAGTAGTCGGGGCTGTTGCAGACACTGGTGCTGATGATGGGCACGCTGGCTTCTTGCAGCACGTCAGACTGTTGCCCTACAAAGTGGAAGAACCGAGTGCCATAGGAAAGCAGGCTTAGTAAACAGGTTGGACTTATCTGTCCATTGACCCAGTGCAGTCAGCTCTGGCTGGCAGCAGGTCTCTGGTGCCTCTGGCAGAGGTCTTTCCTGTTGCCTGCTCCCTTGATCCTTGGAGATGCCAGGGTTTGAAGCCGAGGCCTTCTGCACACGGAAAGTGTGCTCCACCACAGAGCGACGCTTGCTTCCACAAGGAAGTGCAATGTGCAAAGGGGTCAATGTGGAGAACGTAGGCAGAGAGAAGTTTATCTCTCTTCCTCACAGTACAGTGGTACCTCAGGTTACAGACGCTTCAGGTTACAGACTCTGCTAACCCAGAAATAGTACCTCAGGTTAAGAACTTTGCTTCAGGATGAGAACAGAAATCACGTGGTGGCGGCGTGGCGGCAGCAGGAGGCCCCATTAGCTAAAGTGGTACCTCAGGTTAAGAACAGTTTCTGTACTGGAATACAGGGCATTGTTAACACTATGGGATTAACTCCCAGTAGAAGCAGCAATGGCTGCCAAAATGGGCAGCTCAGAGTGATGCAAGGGGCTGCAACTGGAACACCACTTTTCATCTCACCCGCTTTTAACCAAAGCTGTATGTCATCTGCATATAAGCTGGGGAATAGTCAAAATTACAGGGATTCTGTATCATGGCAGGCTAAGTTCCGCAACCTAAAAGACACGGGAGGGGGGGAAGCAAGCAAGCCCACATCTACTTGCTTTGTATTCTGCTTTTATTGGCCCTTACATCAGTTCTCCCTTTGGCTTCTGGGTTGTTGTTTTTTTTAAGGAATGGCCCACATCAATTAAACCTGCCTTGAAGTCTCACAGCTTTTAAAAAAAAATGAACCGACAGAATTCTGAGGTTATCAGGTGAATGATGCAGCCCACAGCCATTTCTGTACTTGCATAAGAAGCGGGAAGGATACACAACACAGCTTGCAAGAGTTGCTGCCATCTTAGCAGTGGCAAGAGGTACTTACCATAGTACTGGGTGTTGCCCCAGCCAGTAACGATACAGATCTTGCCGTCCACCAAAGGCTGGCCCAAAGCTGGCAGGCAGATGGGCTGGATATATTCTGTGGGGAGAAAAGTATTGTCGAAAGGCAAATGAATTTTTTCATCCTGCCTCCTAGCTTCTGGGTCACTCACATCCATGGGTTTTTCTTTTCTGTCTCTCACATGCACACTCAGAAACATGAATATTATGCACTGGGCTGATTCCTCTTTTTTTCCAGAGGGGGAAAGGGAGTTTGGGGAAGGCACAATCAGTCTCCCACAAACAGACATACTGCAGAAGAGAGAGCAGGTGATGGTGGCTGTTGCCTCTTCTGACAGCTGTGGTTGCTCATACTGTCACCCATCCACTCTCCTGAAAGCCAAAAAAACTCAGCTGGCTGCTTGGCACTGCCAGTGTGCAGGTGCCCAGGCCCATCACCCATTAGATGTTGAACCCCAACACTGGCTTTGAATGCAGAGTTAACTTTTTTCTGCTGTGGTTGCCCCAAGTTGAAGCTTGGGCACAACCTTCACCTTACTTTGAAAGGCAAGTTCTGCATTGCGGTACATCGCAGCCCCATAGGACATGCAAGCGTACATTCCTTCCTTCCTCGGATTTCTCCCTTACCTTTCATCATAAGGTTGCAAGGCAGGTGACATGCTATATAATCATGCTAGCAACCTCATAACCGGCGTGGCTTGGGAATCGTATGGATGGATCTCAACACTGCGCTATTATGATCGCTCCATCAGCACATTTCTTCCTGCCCAACTTCCCTCTCCCCTCCTCCCTGGGTGGATTTTGGGGAGGCCCAGGGGGAGGAGGAGTCCAACAACCAGGGCTCACAGATTCCCCACCCCTGCCCCACAGGCTCTTAATAACTCTTTCCCCAAACCACCTTCCTGACACCACATTCTCACCGTTAAAGGAAAGGGGCGTTGCCAAGTGCATCAGGGCGATGTCGTTGCTGTTCTCCTCGCTGTTGGGATCCAGGAAGGGGTGGTAGCCACCATGGTACACGACGCTTGTCACACCCACCTGCAGCCCCTTAGCAGAGCGCTGGGAAATGGCTCCCACAAACACCCGCCACCTGCTTGGTGCTCGATTCCTCCTGCAGAGAGATGGGGGAGACTTGTTGAAATCAAAATCGAAATTAATCATAGAGGTGGAAGGAAATGCAAGGGCCATCTAGGCCAATCCCCTGCAATGCTGGAATATTTTGCCCAACGTGGGGCCTCGAACCCATGGCCCTGAGATTAAGAGTCTCATGCTCTACCAACTGAGCTATCACCCTAAGACACAGAAAGAGACTGGAGGAGGACAGCTATACAAAATTTGCCAGGGTTGATGGTGGCCTGTGGGTGGGTATGCATGAGAAGAGGTTGCTGGATCAGGCCAGTTGCCCATCTAGTCCAGCATCCTGTTCTCACAGAGGCCAACCAGATGCCGATGGGAAAACCTCCAACAGAACAAACACATTTGTACACCTGGATTGACAATAGTACATGTGAAAAGGATCTAGGGGTCTTAGTAGATCACAAGCTTAACATGAATCAACAGTGTGGTGCAGCAGCAGGAGCAAAAAAAAAGGCAATGCTATTCTGGTATCCCAATCAAGGGGAATAATAGTTTCACTCTCTTCCACCTTGCTCAGACCACATCTGGAAGACTGTATCCAGTTTCTGGGTGCCACAATTTAAGGATAGCGGCAAGCTGGAACAGGTGCAGAGAAGGGCAACCAAGATGATCAAGGGTCTGGAAACCAAGCCTTATGAGGAACGGTTGAGGGAGTTGGGTATGTTTAGCCTGGTAAAGAGGAAACTGAGAAGTGATATGAAAGCCATCTTCAAATATCTCAAGTGCTGCCACATGGTAGATGCAGCAAACTTGTTTTGTCCTGCTCTGGAGGCTAGGACCTGAACCAATGGATTCAAGTTACAAGAAAGTAGATTCTGACTAAACACCAGGAAGAAATTTCTGACAATAAAAGCTGTTCAGCCATGGAATGGACTCCCTATGAAGGTGGTGGCCTCTTGGTCATTGGAAGTTTTTAAGCAAATGTTGGATGGCCATCTGTCATGTATGATCTAGTTGAGATTCCTGCATTGCAGGGGGTTGGACTAGATGACTCTTGGAGTCCCTTCCTACTCTTCAATTCCATGATTCGTTCATTTCTAATCACGTCTGTTTTGGAACAAATTAAAACTGAAGCCAACTGAGGCCATTCAGTTCAATTTTTCATGTTTTCTGTTGTTATTAATATTAATAATATATCACCCATTTGACTGGGTTGCCCCAAGCACTTTGGGCAGCTCCCAACAAAATATTAAGAACACAGTAAGACATCAACCATTAGAAACTTCCCTGAACAGGGCTACCTTCAGATGTGTTCACACATCCTAGTAAACACCCTAAAACATCAGGGCAAGTCCTGAGAGGAGCAACTTTACCAAGCTGGGAGCCATCACAATAGCAAACACAGATATGGCAGGGACTTACTCTGGGAAGCAGTGTGCAGCCGTGATAACCCACTCATTGGAGATGATGGAGCCACCGCAAAGGTGCGTCCCATCATAGCGCAGGCTGACTTGCCATGGCCATTTGCCCAAGCTGGCGTCCTGGCCTCCCACAATGCGGTCCACGGACAACTTTCTACGTCCACAATCTGCAAATAACACAACAGGAATGAGTTCTTCGAGGGGCAGGATCTGTCTAGAAACACCTCAGGTGATCAGGTAGTGTCACTTAAAACTGGGGGCCATTTCCCGGCTACCCTCTAGGATTTGAGATACATTTTTTTTAAAGAGTCTATCCCATTTCCACAATTGCTGCAGAGTAAAGAACAAAATCAGATGTATGGGTTTGAGCTGAGTTTCATACCTGACCTGCAGAATACTGTCATGAACATGCACACCAACTTTGATTCCAATGGCCTAGTAGCTAATGAAAGCCTTGTAAACATCCCCAATTTCATCTAATCCTCTCTTAACGTAATCCTAGTTGGTGGTCATCACTACCGCCTGTATGCTAGAGGGAAGGTTCACACAACTCTTGCATGCCATCAAAATAATTCACAGACCTGCCCCAGTCACAGCTCTTCTGCCCACAAATGAGACATTTCCTTATTATTCAAGTGTTTCAGCCATCTCCACATGTGCCGATGTGAAGGGAGCAGACCCTGTTTGGACCAAGCTCCTCCCTGCCCTTACCTCGGTACACGCCAACATATCTGTGGCAGAAACCAGAGTAATCTGGAAATGGCCTGTACCACATCAAGTGTTGTGGGGGTTTTTTGGGGAGGAAACATTTTTTTAATGCTAAGCACATAAAAAACCACAACATCCCCACAAGCAGAAAACTAGTACAACCGGGAGCAGCTGGGTTAGAAGTTTTCTCCCTGGTGGGATAGGCCTGTGTTTTTGTTTCCAACTTGCCATCTCAAGCTTTTATTTCAGGGAGCATTCTTAAGTGGTACCCACCTCCTGCTGCCTGAAATAGTACAATGCAAACCCCTGCCTCAGAATCCTGCCACCTCATTCTACTGCATGAAGAGAGTGCCATGGGCCACACAGGGGCATAGGGAGTGCGGGGGTGCAGTCCACCCTGGGTGTCACCCTGAGGGAGGTGGCAAAATGGCAGGCAGCACTCACCGCGGGGCCTGCAGCATGCCCAAGCCACACATCTCAGGCGCCTGCAGGCTCCGCACTGTCCGCCCGCTGCCTCCCCCCCAGCTGTAGGGCAGCTGAGCCCCGCGGCACGCCCTGTCCTAAGTCATGGTTTCCCACAGAGAATTCTAGGCCCTGTCGTTTGTTGAGGGTGCCGAAGAGTAATTAGGAGACCTGCATTCCCCCTCAGAGAACTACAGCTCCCAGAATAGTTTAACCATCAAGCCCTCTTCTCAGGGAACATTGGGAACTGTAGCACTGCTTGGCAGAGTTACCACACAAAAGGCAAGCAAGCTTAAAAACGAAATGCCAAATGGCCAAGTTTATTGGGTGGACCAATAAACAGAGGCCATGTTTTCTCTGCCATCTCAGGGTGTTGACTGCCATCCCTAAGCTTCACACAGTATTTCCTTAGCCATTCCTCGATAAGAGGCAATGTAGGTTTCTAACATTTACTGGCAACTAATGAGTCCGTAGATTTCTAGAACCTTTATCCAGTCCCAGCTTCACCACACAGCTTTTGGGGGGCAGTTACTGGGGTTCCTGGCTGGGCTGAGTGTCACCACCTGCCCTGAGCTCCCTTTAATTTCACGCACACACCGATTGACTGGCACTCATGATTTCCATTTCACACAAGGTCATCAGAGCCGTCAGGGGCATTGTGGGAAATTTAAATGGCTGCTGCCAGGTATTGACCCACTCCTAATGGGTAAACCTGCTGGCAACAGAGGAGCCCACCAGAGGACATGCTACAGATGGCTTCCTCAAAGCTAGAGCTGACCTTGCCTTTCTTTCCTCGTTCTGATGCAAGTTTCTGTCTGCTTTCATGAGATCACATTCGCATTAGCACCAAGGCCAGTAAACTAAAAAGGCAGTGATGGCTGGTGCTTGTTGGGGCTGGTAGGGTGGAAGGCAGGGAGTCCAACTGTAGGTGGAGCCAGAGAGCCAATGTCAGTTGTGGTTTTGCCCCTGTCCTCCCTGATGATTTCTACAAGGGCAGCAATGAGACTGAGGAGGGGGATGCTGGCCGCTGGCAGTCAGGGCCACCTTCTGGACTTCCCGGTTTGGTTGGAAATAAGAAGGCAGGCAGGTGGGGGCTTGCTGAGGCTGGTGGTGCGTACTGTATTTGCCCTAACAGACCAGCCTCCACTGTCCCAAGGGGTGTTTAGGTGTGAGCAGGTCAGAAGAAGAAAATGAAAAGCTGTTAATGGCATTTGAACAACAGAAGGAGACTTGGGAAAGAGTTAGAGGAACTTCAAGATAGCAGGCAGAGAGAGAGAGAGAGACCTGTACGCAGGCAGGTGGATCAAGACGGTGCCCTTGGGAGGGTTCGGGGTTTCCATACCTTGGCATAGCGTTGCCAGGAATCGGCCTGTCGGGCATTCGCTGTGAGAGAAAGAGAAAGAGGAGAGGGCTCAGCTGCAGAAAGGAAGGAGAGCGAACCTTCATCAGGAACATGTGTATTCCAGGTTCCTTGCAAGTTGAGCTTTCTGCCAGGTGGGGAGTTCATGTTCCTGAACATCTCCACCTGCATTTGATTTCCAAGATTCTAGGCCTTATGACAAACCTGGAGGCAATGGTGCAGTTTCTCGCTAACTTGAAAGCTGGAATTCACATTGAGTAGGATTTATAGTTGCCCTAAAAGTCCCTTGTGTTCCCTGTGGCTAGCAGGGGAATGATGTAAAATAGGCACATTAAGGATATTTTCACTTATTTTAATTCACACAGTGCCTTTTCCCAGTGCAGAGCTGGGTGGGGAAGGTGTTGTTTTCAAAAGCCTAGCTTACACACAGCCCCCAGTATCATTATGAACGAAATGACCTTGGCCATGTCAATGTCACACATTTACAGTGACTTTAAGCCAGGCAGATGTTTTTGGCCTGCAACTCACATGATCCCTAGCTAGCAGGACCAGTGGTCAGGGATGATGGGAATTGTAGTCTCAAAACAACTGGAGGGCTGAGGTTGAGGAAGCCTGCTTTAAGCCCTTATTGGGTTTATTGCAACGGTACCTATTCCTCTCCAGGGTCAAACTCTAAGCAAAACCCCAATAACTCATGCTTCTGCAAGTATACAGCAGAAGCCAGCTGTAGGCAGCAGATGAATGCATGCACCCATGAGCATTCATGAGATGCTTTTTAAAATGAACAAAGAGACAGGCAGGCTGCCCAAACAGCAGAGGATGGGGTAAGGCTGAGCCAACATTCAGTTTATTGGTATACGCATATGGTGATGAAGCTTCAGACAAAGGGTGAACATTCTGGTGATGGATGTGCTTTTCCTAGTATGTCTGTGCTCACTCGAGTACAGTTACAGCTCATCCAAGACACATCTAAAGTACATGACTTCCCCCTAAAGAATCCTGGGAATTGTAGTTTAACCATGTGCTTTAAGTGATCTGCCATCAATGTCACCCACACCTGGGTCAGTCCCAGTACCAATTGTTAGGGGAATAGGGCAAGTATTTAGCAGCTGAGAGCAGCAAAAGGGGGCAGAATATAATCCAGTCACCAAGTGTTGGGATTAAGTCTGTGAGATGCACCATATGGGACAAAGTTGGCGAGTGAGGGGAGACAGTGACCAAGCAGGATTGAACTCCCCATCCGCTGATGGGTGGAGCAGAAGGGTTTCGACCCTGATTTCTGCTGCAATCCCCTGCGTCCATCAAACCCACCCATCAAGGTGATGTCACCTGGTTGACAGCGGGGCATGGCTCCACAAAAACGGTCTTGCAGGCAAATATGGAACCCTTGGTGAGTCAAGAATGGCTCTGGGAAGGGTCCCCACGCCTGCCCTAACTGGTCCAAGTCTAGGTCATCCTACAAGGCCTAGGTCAGGGCAGAGGGAACTGTTGGCCTCCCATCAGCCCCACCCAGAAGGGTCAAAGGTGTCAGTTTGCATTTCTTAGTGCAGAAAGCATTGATCTGATGTGTAGAGATCTTTCCTGTTCTAATTCATTCAAGAGGGTTCTGGAACCTTCTCTTTGTGAAAGAAACAAGATGAAGGTTCATGGTCTTTGGGTTATTCCTTCAGAGAAGCTGAGTACAGCTGGCTTAAACTGGTTCTCTTATCTCTTTCTGTTAAGGTCATGCTGACTATAAATATAGGCCAGAAGGGGCCTGGGGCTTACTTACTTTCTCTTTCTATCTCTCTTCCTTCTGGTGTGGTGTTCTGTACATAGTATGCTTAGTGTTAAGTTTTAGTCTTGTTATAAGTTTACAAGTTTTTGTAAGTGCTGCAACTGGATTTCTTATGGACTGTGCCAATTCTGAATGTATTGGATTTCTGACCATTATGCTCATCTGCCTTCAATAGCAGTAAAGCTCTGATGGATGATCTATTTTTTGGGAACTCTGCAATGTGTTTAAATCCCCCCCCCTCCCCAGTTCGACAAAAGGTCAGGGGTACTGTGGAAACCTAGCCTAGTGCTTCTCAGCCACCATCAGGGTTTTCGGCTTTGATTCTGTGGCCTTCCAGACATTTCTGGATTTCAACTCCCACCCTAGTCCATCTTGTACTTTACCACACCACAATGGCCTCGCTCAGCCTTCGCGCAAAAGGTAGGCGGGACTCGTCCACGCAGAAATAGCCCGACGTCCCATTGGCCCCTGCTCTGTCAGCAGCCAGAACTGAATGGGAGAGAGACCTAAAGGGCAGGCAAACACAGAGGGGGTCAGTATCAATGCAACAACCATGCCTACATCCCAGCACCAGAACCGAGAGAGATCTCCCCCGCGCTCTTAGTGCATTTTCAAGGATTGTTTTTAAAGGGCAATAAAAGAGGTTGCCTTAGAACAGGCATAGGCAAACTTGGCCTTCCAGATGTTTTGGGACTACAACTCCCATCATCCCTGACCGCTGGTCCTGTTAGCGAGGGATGATGGGAGTTGTAGTCCCAAAACATCTGGAGGGCCGAGTTTGACTATGCTTGCCTTAGAAGGGCCCCTGAGTGGCCAGGATCACCCATGTGACCACTACAGGAAGCATTGCCCTGACTCTAGATTGAGTCACCCACCTGGGCAGAAGACTCTCTCAGCCCTGTTCTCCAATACCTCTTGATGTTCTCCACGTGTTGTTGAACTCCAACTCCCATCATCCTTGGCCACTGGCCATGCAAGCTGGGGCTGATGGGAACTGGTGTCCAACAATATCTAGAAAGCACCAGCTTACCACCCTCTCCCCCCATGGCTTCCATAGAGTTGGAAGCCACCCCCAAGGAGTCATCTAGTCCAACCCCCTCCAATGCTAAAGCTTTATAGAGCAGAATACGGCTGCTCAATACTGGCTACTTTCAAGCTAAATATGCCAGGGATTCATCCTGCCGCCTTCTGCACCGAAAGCAGGTGCTCTGGCACTGAGCCTCCCTTCTCTGGCTCAGGGGAAGGGCATCCTGCAGGTTGCTTTGATCATGCCCTGAACACCATCCACTCTTTGGGGTGAGCAAAACAAGACTCAGACATGACCATTTGGTTCAGCCCAACAGTTTGGGGAGGAAGCATGTCCAATCCCATCCATTTTTCAAGGCTCCTTAGACCGGACCATTCCTACCTACATCTCTCAACTGGTCTCACCTCTCACACAAGTTCTACCAGTGGCCAGTGGCTCCAAAGCCCTTCTCACACACTGAATGTAGCCACAGTTCTCATGTGCAGAAACAGGGGGATCTGTCCTCAGTGTCTATGTGATCAGTGTGTCCATCCGCAAAGGGAAGCTCTCAGACTCCTGAGCTAAGCGCAGAGCTGGCAGGGGTTGCAGTGCTGGGATGCAGTCGATGGTACAGCCCTACTTCCCTTTCCACAGGTGAAAAGCCCTACATGCAGTTAATGCCTGGAAAGGGCTACAGACCCATGTGGGCATCGGTTATGTTGAATGCTGGCATACGTCTTAATCAGGTTTTTAACTTATCATTTACTTGTTTTTTTAAGGTTTTAAATAATTGTTTTTTACTGGTGGTTTTATTCTTTATTGAGGCTTCATTACAATAAAGCAGTGTAAATTATTTCTGAAATGAATAAAATTATGACGGCCAAGTTAAAAAGCAGAGGGGGTGGGCGGTCCTGTGTACTACGTAGAAGAAAGCATCTCAACTGGTGCAGGTTTTCTCCCTCTTATGTGACAAGGTGGGCTGACGAGGCTCCCTCATCTAAACTTCTGCTCCAAAAGGCCTCCTCTGCTGATGCTTCTCTCCCCCTTAGTCACCTCAGCCATTACCGTTCTCTCGAAGTACCTGACAAATCCCATCTCCTCGCAACTGAGGGTGGCCACTTGGGCATCGGAGGACGACGAACAGAGCAGCCTCCACCTCCCTTCATTCTCATCGTACACAGTGAGGCGCAGGTCGCCGGAGCTCACCTGGACTGCGTTGACCAAACAAAGGTGTGAGATCTTAGCAGGATATGCCCACACTTCACCCCACCTTTGCCACAGCCCAACACTGACCGATCCTTTCCTAATTCATGGTGACATCTCCCTCTTGCATGAGGCACCATGGCGCAGCCAAATTAGAAATATGACACGTTAATTAACAGCTAGTTTCTCCTCACAGCAGACCCACAGAGATAAATGACTCCAAGTTAGTTGTGCACATCAGTTTCAATGGGCAAGGACTAGTATTGACTTCACCCCTAAATTTCCTAGCTCGGCTTCTGAGAGCTCCCCCAAATACTCCTGTTGTGCAATGACGTCTACCTGGCATGATGAGCAACTATATAGGCATGTTTACAGTAAGTTCAGGCCTAGATTTCATGCTTCAGCTGACAGCAGATGGCCTAAATTATCCATCTTGAATGAATGTTTAATTTGGTGCGCCATGGCACCAGGATTTGGGGATGATTCAGTTGAATGGATTCTCACAAAATTCCCCACATTTACCTCAGGACTGAACATAGGAGGAGCCCTGTTGGATCAGACCAAAGGTCTTAGCTAGCCCAGTATCCTTTTCCCTATTGAGGCCAATCAGGTGCCTTCCAGAAGTCCGCAAGCCAGGCGGAAAGACAACATCTCTCTCCCACTGCTGTTTTCAGAGGCCTGCTGCCATTGATAGCATATCCTCAATGAGTTTGTCTAAACCCCTTTCAAAACCACCCAAATTGGTAGGCATCACTTGTGGGAGTGAATTGCCTGATTTTAACTTTGGCCCCATTCGTGCCTAAAGGGCTATGATACCATTTTAAACCATCATGGCTTCTCCCAGAGGATTATGGGAGGAGGAAGTTTGCTAGGGGTGCTGCAAGCTGTTAGTAGACCCCTATTTCCATACCAGAGTTCCCCGTGAAGAGAAATTTATTGCTAAACCACTCTGGAAACTGCAGCCCTGTGAAAGGAACAGGGGTCTCTCCCAACAACGCTCAGCACCTTTAACAAACTAAAGTTCCCAGAATTCTTTGGGGGAAGCCATGACTGTTTAAAGAGATAGTGTAACACTTTAAAGTCATGATGTGAATGTGGCCTGTGCACTGTTCCCATCAAACCTCTGCTGAAAAATTAGGCCTTCAAGGTGCAGGAAAGAAATATACCGTATTTTTCGCTCTATAAGACACACCAGACCATAAGACGCACCTAGTTTTTGGAGGAGGAAAACAAGAAAAAAATATTCTGAATCCCAGAAGCCAGAACAGCAAGAGGGATCGCTGCGCAGCGAAAGCAGCGATCCCTCTTGCTGTTCTGGCTTCTGGGATAGCTGCGCAGCCTGCATTCGCTCCATAAGACGCACACACATTTCCCCATACTTTTTAGGAGGGAAAAAGTGAGTCTTATAGAGCAAAAAATACAGTAATACTAGCCTGCCCTACAGGGTTGCTGTTGGGGGTGGCTGAGAAAAGGCAAACCGAACACGGGGAAAGCATTGTGTAAGTAATTAATATGATCAGGAATTTAGAGAAGACCAGTAAACTGGACCCTATGACATGATGCCGTATGTAAAAAGAGAGGCCACAGCTCTCTTGCAAACACTCACCAACATACAGGCTTTCACCTTCACTTCTGAGCACAGAAACCACTGCAAAGGAGAAACAGGAGGGTGAAGTTAGAGTAGAGGTGGGAAACATTTTTATTTTTTTGTGAAGGGTCTCATTCTCTTGGGGGTAATCAGTTTGGGTCCCCGTGGCAGTAGTGGGTGGGGCTAGAGTCAAAAGTGCAAAGGGTACCCCATTTTCTCTCTCTTAGCCACTCCCTTTCCCACCCCCCTCCTTGTATTCACATGAAGTTAGGCTGTGGGCCATAAGTGGCCCTAAGGTCGTAGGTTGCCCACCCCTGAGATTGAAGGGGTGATTCATCTTAAGATAGGAGTAGGGTTGCCACATTTGTCCAAAATTTCCCAGACATAGCCGGCAATCGGTTGTCAGAAATAGTGTCCAGACGAAAGCTGTTTCAATGTCCGGGAAAATCCAGACATATGGCAACCCATGTTAGGAATGTTGGTTGTGGTAATTTCCCTTAAAAATATAAATGTTCCATAAACAAATTTTCTGTCCAGATTTTCACTTTTTGAAATATGGCAACCCTAGATAGGAGGCAATGCTAGGCTCGGTAGATTCATCTTCTTTCTTCCTTCCTTCCTCCCCCCCCCCCTTTTGCCATTTTATACATTTTTATTCTTCTCATTTACAGGACAGAGTGACAAAAGCTCATCGGGGCACTTATTCTAACTTGATCAGTTCATTATGCAGAAAAGGCTATCATTTAACCATCAGCACTTTATGACGTAGAAATCTGTGGTTACTGTAGGGCTCCTTCCAGCTTCTGCTTGTTTGCTTCAGAGAATCCATGCACCTTTTGGTTTTTCTTGTAGCACTGGGACGTTGGCCTGCATTTCACATGGCAGTAGGCAGCAATGTCTTGAACATCATCCACAACAAATTCAGTTCATCTGGATACTTTCCAGTAAGACTGTGGAAGAACGGCTTGGTCCTTTTACATAGTCCATTACCATGTGGTGGAGAAGTCAACAAGTATCAGCTTTCTGTCTGAAGCTCAGATATGGTGTGCCATAGTCTTCACCATGCTTGCAGGTCCTGCTGTGGGTTCCTTAGGTGTAGTACTATCAGGTTCCAAACTCAAAGCTGACTTTGCCTCCTCAATGGCTTTGGGAGCGCTCCAGCAGAGCCATCTCTACAGGAATTCATACCACTGGGATACTGCTGCCCGCTCAGAAACTCCCTTACACTATGTTGTTGTTGTTTAGTCGTTTAGTCGTGTCGGACTCTTCGTGACCCCATGGACCAGAGCACGCCAGGCACTCCTGTCTTCCACTGCCTCCCGCAGTTTGGTCAAACTCATGCTGGTAGCTTCAAGAACACTATCCAACCATCTTGTCCTCTGTCGTCCCCTTCTCCTTGTGCTCTCCATCTTTCCCAACATCAGGGTCTTTTCCAGGGAGTCTTCTCTTCTCATGAGGTGGCCAAAGTATTGGAGCCTCAGCTTCAGGATCTGTCCTTCCAGTGAGCACTCAAGGCTGATTTCCTTAAGAATGGAGAGGTTTGATCTTTTTGCAGTCCATGGGACTCTCAAGCGTCTCCTCCAGCACCAGCCTTACACTATAGGGTTTGCCATTTCTCCAGAAATAGCCTGGCATTGAATCTGATACATTTGCCCTGTTTTTTTACCAGTGGTTTTCAGCTGTATGTGATTCCTACTCCTGGATTTGTTCTTACCCTGTTTGGTGTAGCATTTGGTGTTAAAATTACAGCTGTTTCCTACAGCGTGCTTGAAAAGAGATGGAATCTTTTATGGGAAGAGTTTTGGGGCAACTACTGAAAGGCCTCCTGGGCTGGATAGAGTTGGATAGAGTGCCCTTTCCTTGCACACAGAAACATACATATAAAAGGCACACACACCCTGCAACTGGGATCACTGGTTTTTAATGTGCACCGTGTCTTGTGAACAGCCTCTTCCAGCCCTGCAGAGACTCTCACCTATAGCCCAGCTCCCAACTCCGATCGCAGCCAAGAGAAGGAAGCCGCTGGCTACTACAGCCACCACCTTAGGCGAAGTCCAGTTGCGTCGTTTCAGGCCCCCTGGAAGGCAGAGAGAGATGGTTAGACAGCAGAAAGGCAACCACAAAACCACAGATGCATCACTCGCTGGCAGGCAAACTTAACAAGAGTGAAACTCCATGTGCTTGAAAGAAGTTTTGTTCCCAGCCGGATGTGTTTTGCAACAGATTGCACCTTAAAGGCACACCTGCAGTAGCAATTCTCAACAAGCGCATGGGGCACTGTAATAACTGGAGGCCCTTGCCCCCACCTCTTTTTCACTGGTTAGGAAACAGAGCCAGGAGCCTCTCCCATTATCTGGCAGTACCACTGCCCGGGACCTACATACCACTTGGAAAGAGCCGAGGTACGAGATGGCTTGCAGCTATATTTTTTCTGTTTCCTGCTGCATCAGAGCAGCAAATAGGGAAAGAGGAGGCACACCCTTTGGTATTTTCAAGTACCATACCCTGGAGCTGCTATTAATTGCTCTAGAAGCAGGAATTGGCTGGACAACCAGGGAAACATTCTTAGGTCCTTATTGTGCATGCATTCCTGCTAGCTAGTTAGCTATAACCTTAACACCTCTCCTGAAGTTATGCAAACTGGCACCTGCCTGTAATTTAGGGAGGACTGCAAAACTGCAGCAGCAGGATGTGGTCAAAATCACTTTGACTTCAGCTTAGGCAAGCTGTTAGAACTGAAATCAATGAGCTTCACATGCAGGTAATCATTTCAGCTTCAAATGAAATAGAAATCAGGTTTTCATTATCACCTGGCTCAATGGGAGACCACTACTCATGTGCCTCTCTGCTTTGCCCCCAGACTAAGAAGAAAAGTAGTGGGGTTGCAGGAGTTGGGAATTGGATCTGTTTTTGCGGGACGCATCTCCTCACATGCAGGGCCAAATTTATCAATCACCTGACATCGCAATGATGTAGGGAGATCCTTTTCTGCCCATCTGGTTTGAAATCAAACGATGGGGGCAAAAGCTTTCAAATGCACTCTGCAAGACCTTACAATCAGCTGGTTGTTCGGTCTTGTAGAGGCTTTGCAAAGGGCTCTGGATAATTGCTTGCCATCGCAAAGTTCTCCACCAGACACCACTGGGCAGTCCTTGCAGACTATGCTCTGATTGTCAGTTCTTGCGAAACCCCTTGCAAAATGCTCTTCAGAGCTGATTGGCGGTGCCCCAAATCCCCTTTTGGCTGAGCCATGTCTTTACCTTCATCACATCTGACATCGTAAGTAGTGTCAGGTGTAGTGGAGGTGGGTGGAGCCAGAGCCGTCTTTCCCATTGGGCTTAGTGGCGCATTGTGCCAGGGTGCCAGCCTCTCAGGGGTGCTCCAGCGAGTGGGGAACTGCACAGCTTTGCTGGCAGCCTCCCCTTTCCCTGTACGCCCACCAGCTGTGCCTCATCAACCATATGGCTGGCGGGCGTGCAGCTTCCTTCCCAAGCCTCCGCGGGAGGAGAGCGATCCCCACAGAGGCGTGGGAAAAGGTTGACAACTCTGGGAAATGGGGGGCGGGGCGTGCGGAGGGATCTTTGCACCATGGTGCCAGATATGCTTAAGACGGCCCTGGGTGGAGCATTGTCCAAAAGTCCTTGCAGGCCAAATGGGGTGGCCTGGGCAGCCTTATTAGGCTCAAGGACTGAAGGTTCCTCGCCGCTGCTGTAGTGGCTTCTTTCCAGTGGGTCTGGCAAACAGGTGACTCTCCAGACATTGCTGGACTACATAGGGCAGTATACAAATTTAAATAATAATAATAATAATACATTTTCACTCAGCTACCCACCACGATGATCACTCACAACACCAATTAAAATTTACAGCAAAGGTGGCAAAGCCATTAAACTAACAGCAACAACACAGATATGGAGTTGGTTTTCTAAAGCCTTGATAAAGAGAGACATTTTCACTGGCCAGTGTGTAAAAACACACCTGAGGTAGCTCCACCCTCTTAAAACAGGTGCCACCACTAAAAAGACCTTTGTCAGAAAATCAGGCTCTGGGAATCCAAGGAGCCTTCAGTATGGATGAAAAAGGTCGCTACTGCTCAACAGTCTGTCTGGCTTAATACATAGAAAGGTATGAGTCTTATATACTGTCACTGGTGGAAGCCAAGGCAAGGACAGGGGCGAGTAAATCAGAGCTGGATAAATCTCTGCTCTAAGGACTCTATAGAGGCTCACAGGCGTCACTTATGAACAAGAACAACAAACACTCTTTGCTGCAGCATAGAGTCACCTGCAGCAAACCTAACACAACTCACCCTGTGGAATTTGCCCACCTCCGAACGGAACAAAAACCTAGAGAGAGGGTGCCAAGAGGTCACTTAATGGGCACATGACCTCACTGCCTTTCCCAGGGCAGCAGGAATCAGCCAGAAATGTTAATGTTTAAGTCCTGCTCTGGCTGGCTGAGGGGTGGGGGTGCTGGGGAGGAAAGCCTGGAGTTAAATGGAAAAAGGCATGGGAGGTTCTAGGGCCTTCAAAAAAAATTGCAACTCACCATCTTTTTCAGCCATTTCAGAACTGGTTAATCATCAAACCTGCTGGATCCTCCTTTCCGAAATCCAGGTCCTCCAGGAGAGGAGGCCTTTTTTAGGGGGATGGGGGGAGTCTGGAAGCCCTGTAGACAACAAAAGATGAATATAAGCCTCAAGAAACCTTGAACCCATCTGCCAGGGCTGAGTCGAGAAGGCAAAGCTAGGCACCTGCCAGGACCCTGAGATCAACAGAGAGCCTGCTGACCTAACAGGGCTGCCATAGTTTGCACAGAGTAGTCAAGAACATCAGATATACCCAAGCAGATTCTCAAGTTTGCATGTTCCAGCTCTTACAGGTTGCAAGGCTGTGCTGTGGGTGCCAAGACCAAGGGCCCCCGAAATCCTGGAGCCACAGCACCGCCAACCTTTCCATTGAGCATGCAAAGAATGTAGTGGTAGTTCAGAGCCATATACCCACTACATGGAAGTTAACAACAAGACAACAAAAATGGATTTTACGTGCTCTAAAGGTAGCCAAGAAACTGATGTTGATGAACTGGAAGAATAAAGACCTGATCTCCCTTAATCGGTGGTTTGATAATATGATAACACTTGCAACCTACGAACGGGCTGCTTACAGACGTAGACTCCACTTCGATAAATACAGTTTTTGGAATGAATTCATACAAAATGTAGCAGGCTTTTAATATTTACATTAGTATTAGGATAACAATACCAAGTTTATAAAAGAATGTATGGGTTAGGGTATTTTGGTATATACAGTCGTACCTTGGTTCTCGAACAGAATCCATTCCAGAAGTCCATTCAACTTCCGAAATTGTTTGAAAACCAAGGCACAGCTTCTGATTGGCTGCAGGAGCTTCCTGCACTCAATCGGAAGCTGCATCAGATGTTTGCCTTCCAAAAAACATTCGCAAACCGGAACACTCACTTCCAGGTTTGTGATGTTCGGGAGCCAAAACGTTCAAGTCGCAAGGCATTCGCGAACCAAGGTAAGACTGTATTTGTATAATGGTTTTTTTCCCCTTTACACAGTTGTGTGTTTTGTTCTTTTTTCATTTTGTATCACTTTATTGCTTTATACCTAAAAAAAAAATTCAATAAAATATCAATTTGAAAAAGAAAAAAAGAAAAGAAAGTAGTGATCAGAGTATCACCATCACACACGCTGACTCTACTTCTCCTCCGAGAAACAACGGGTGGCACATATGGGTCCCCCGTATTATTTCCACAGGTAGGTTGAGCTGAGAAAGTGTGACTAGCCCAAGGTCACCCAGGGAGCATCAGGACCGAGTCGGAATCTGAATCCTGGTCTCTCCAGCCTTCACCCACTGAACACTAAAAATGCTGAACACTTAGGCAGCATTCCCAGCTGCCTGGGGGCAGGGGAGCATGTACGCATGTGGATCTCTCAGCTGGTGTAGGGAAATAATGGTGGACTGATGCTACATAGAGAAGACTTGGCCCTACAGGAGGACGCAGCCTCTTGTAAGAGAGATGTCAACAGTAAGCTCTCTTGACTTAAGACATATAGAACTGGTTTGCACGACAACAACGTCTGACCACTGTTGGAGATGCAAAGCTGCCAAAAGTACTGTGAGGTGATCAAAGACTTCTGGATGGAAATTAAGCAAGAAATTGGAGAAATAGTAGACACCCATCTACTTTTAGACCCTTTAACGATGGTATTGGCAATACAGAACTCCAGGTATTAGCCAAGGTTCTTTTGCCCTGGTCTCTCAAATGCTACTAACTGCTTGCATTTTAATTGCAAAGCTGTGGGAAAAGAGGAAAGTTTCACACTTAATGATTGTGAAGAAGAATAAGAGATACAAAATATAATAAACAGATATTAGCAGCTATGAGAAGGAAAGATCCAATCAGTGGGGAAAAAATGGTTACCATCTTCATTGCACAGCAATCAATATGAAACAAATGAACCTGTAATTATGGCTATATGAAGTATGAGCTAACTGTAAAATTACATGTGATTATTGTGTATTATAGAGTGGGGAGTGGGGTTTAAAAGGACTGGGCAGTAATGTGCTGCACTTTTATTTCATTTTCTGGCAGCTCTGCAGAAATGTGTTCCAATTTTTTGGTTCACCTTTACTTCACTCCGATGAGTCACTTTCCAAACAAGGACATCAAAGATAAGTTCAATTTCCCAGCAGCGCACCAATGTCCCAGCCGCAAGCACAAAAGACTGTTTTCTAACCCCTCCAGAAATGTCCCTTGTTAGAAATGAGAGTTCAGTCTAGAACCCAAGAGGGAGCATCATACAGTTCAGGAATTCTAATCCCCCAAGGGAATCTGCAATACCAGGAACAATGTTATCAAAGTAACTTTCTGCAGGCACTTTCCTATAGATGATGTTCACCCATGGGAACACCCAGAAGAAGGTGCTAGGCAGGTGTGGGGGGCATGTGTCCTACTTTAAAGAAGACACCATCTTCTATTTGAAGGGCTTTCAAGATGACAGTCCTCTGTTTCAGGTGTAAGGAACCTTTTTTTCTGGGTGAGGACCACATGCCCATCTGCATGACCTTCTGGGGGCCAGAGCAACCAAAGTTCATTTTACCTTTGCACAGCAGGCTAATTTCTACACACCCCTCGCTATCCTCCATCCAGGCTAGCAAAGAAGCATTACAGAGCTCAAAGACACATTCCAGCCAGGCAAAACCCCTATAGGGTGTGAAGCACAGCCGGTGGAGAAGTGGCAAGGAGAGAGTCCCAAAGACCAGGCAGAAAGACCTAGAGGGACACATGCAGCCCCCAGGCTTGAGGTTTCACATCCCTGTTCTCTTCTGAAAGCATCCTGTTTGAAGGACTGTCCTGTCCGAGACTGGTTGAAAGACAAAGATCTTTTTGTTCTTAGTCCCAATAACTAATTGAGGACCATGAGTTCACCATCCCTTATAAGTCCTCCTCCCATCAATGCAGAAGTGCCCAGTACCTCCTTTGGTTTGGGGTGTTCTAGGCTGATAGGAGTCAGGGCGGTGACTGTGTCAGCTTGTCTTCCCTGATTCAGAGATCCCTGGCCTAATACCCTGAATAGGCAACAATGAGATCTCTCTGTGTATATCCATCAGTTTTCCAAATGAAAATACGGTCTCACCTCAGCTCCCAAATGCCTTGGGAGTCAAATATTCCAGCTCCCGAATGACTGAAAACTGGAAGTGAGTGTTCCTGTTTTCTAACATTCTTTTGGAAGCCGAATGTCCGACGGGGCATCCGCAGCTTCTGATTAGCTGCAGGAGCTTCCTGCGGCCAATCAGAAGCCATGCTTTGGTTTCTGAACGTTTCGGAAGTCAAACAGACTTCCGGAACAGACTCCATTCAACTTCCGAGGTATGACTGTAGTTATTATGCAGGTCCCCTACTCAGCGTTGCTGGCCATATGACCAGAGTTGGTTCCAGAGGAGCAAAAAGCTCAAATTCACACACACACACACACACACACACACACACACCCTTGCAATACATGTTTACGGCTAAATTGGGGTATTCGAATCCCCATCAGGGACTGACATTTCCTGCTCATCCTGTTTGTATCGTACCCATCTTCCAGTGCACAGAGCTTCCATTCTTACAACAACCACCGCAATGAGGTATACTAGGGCTGTGAGAAGTGGACTGGCACAAGTCAACATCGTGGCCGAGTGGGGAGTTGAAACCTGGTCTTCCCAGTCGGAGCCAGCACTGGCACCCAATTCCTTGGGCAGCTGTTTCGGCCTCACACCCCATTAAGACTCACCGCTGATACATGTCTTGGCCCTCTCACGTTAAAAAAAAGTCTGACCCACTGCCCAGGCAGTTTTGAGGCCCCATCTGCAGTATCATACCACTTTAAACAGTCAACTCTTCCCCCCAAACACCGTGGGAGTTGCAGTCTGTTAAAGGTGCTGAGGGTGGCTAGGAGACCCCTATTCCCCCTCAGAGAGCTACAATATCTAGAGTTTCCCATAAAGAGGGATTGATAATTAAACCACTCTCAGAATTGCAGATCTGTGAAGGGAATAAGGGTCTCTAACAACTCTCAGCACCCTTAACAAAAGCTATATTTCCCAGGGTGCCTTTGGAGAAGCAGGGACTGCTTAAAGTGGTATGAGGCTGTTTCAAATGTACCATGCCAGTGGGGCCTGGGTCGAGCCACCATTTAAATTTCCCACAATGCCCACAAGGTAGCATTGCTCCAGGGCATTGTGGGGAATTGAAATGGCAAGCCGTCTCAGACAACTGTGCCCCCCACCTGCTCTCAGTTCACCACAACCCCACCACCAAAGGTGGAAGCTCACCCAAGGGTATTGCTCAAACTGCCCTGTATTATCTTACTCAGTTAGGAGAAGGCAGTGAATTAATTAATTCAGAAAAATTGTAATTTGTTAATTCAAAACACATGGGATGTGGCAAGGGAGTAATTTATTATAGCAGGATGTTGAGAAACAGTCTGGAGCAATCTTTCTAGTAAAGAATTACAGGATATTAACAATGAGATATACATGGGGGGTGGGGGCAGCTGCTTCCCTAAATCAATAAGAATACATAAAAATACATAGCTAACGGAGGTTCTGCCCCCCCAACAAAAGGCCTGACACCCCCCCTCAAAAATCCTGGCTACACCCATGGAGATAGAACATTCCTCAATCCCTAATCCTTCATTTAAAAGGGGAGGAGCACACTTTGGGTTGCATGCAATACTAGCCCTACTCAGGGTAGACCCATTGAAGTTAACGGGCATGACTAATTTAAGTTCCTTCAGTTGGAGGCAAGCCAGAGATTTTAACATCTAGATATCCACAAACCTGTCGGACCAAGTCAACCCCAAACAAATAGCGTCACGTTCAGAAATTCAGAACAGGCCAGAGAAACTGTTCAGATCGAATGCGATAACCCCAGAAAAAGTTAACTGGAGGGTATATAGCGGGAAAGCAAAGTAGGCAAATCGAAATGTGGTGCATTCTGGCCCAAACTGGAACCCACTGTGAAACGGCAAGTAGCCCATGGAAATATTTAAAAAAAATAAGAATATCAATGTGATCATATGCCAACAAGCCCGGGGGTGGGGGTGGAATTATGGGGTGTCCAGAAGGAGGTGGAGGAACACACGGGTTGACAAAGCAGGGCAGCGTTCAAATTCTGCTCCCCACTTCCCTGTGGAATGGGGTTCGCGAAGTAGCAACCGCGGAAGGGAAAGAAGCCCCTCTTACCTCGCTGCTCTCACCGGGGTACTTGCCTTCCCGCTAAGGGGGGCGCGATCTTCATGGCTGAAGAGCCAGAGACAGGGCAGGTCTCCCGGGCTCAGAAGTGCTTCCTTGCGCAAGGCAGCTTCCCCACCTGGGGCGGCGGGAGGAGGAGGAGGAGGAGGGGAAGGGCTGGCAACCCGGGAGGAGCCGGGAGGGGGGACCCGGGCGCGACGGCCCCTTCGCAGCTGTGCAGACACCTGCCAAACGGAGGGGCGGTGGGAGGGAAGGAGCCGGGGGGGGGTGGGGAGGGGAAGAGAACACGCGGTGGGTGTGGCTAACAGGTGGGAGGGGCTTGACGCGTCCGGATCCCATCCCCAGCTAAAGAAAGCGTGAGGGTTTTTTTAGGGCTGGAGGGGAGGGAAACAGCCTGACAGACAGAGAGAGGGAGACGGTGTTTGGGGTTTTCAGGGGAAGGGGGAGACCCGGATTCCTGGGATCCATTCCCAACCTTGAAAGTGAGTTCTTTAAAAAGAATTGGGGGGAACCATGACCGGACACCCGGGGCCCTTTCAAAAATGGCCCGGGATAGTGAGGGTTAACGGATATAAAGACCTGTTGGATCAAAGACCTGTTGACGGATACAAAGACCTGTTGGACCCACCTGTTGGATGGGTCCGTAAGTCCAGAGTTTCCCAAACTTGGGTCTCCAGCTGTTTTTGGACTACAATTCCCATTGTCCCTAGCCAGCAGAACCAGTGGTCAGGGATGATGGGAACTGTAGTCCAAAAACAGCTGGAGACCCAAGTTTGGGGAACACTGGAAAGGATGGGGAACCTGTGGCCCTCCAGATGTTGCTGGAGTCCAACTCAGCTTCAAGCCAACGTGGCCAGAGCCCAGGGATGATGGGAACTGTAGTCCAATAACATCTGGAAGGCCAAAGGTTCCCCATCCCTGACCTAGTTCGGCGCCGTTTGTGTCTCCAACGGCGACCAACCAACGATGTTCCTGGCGTCTGAACTGCGACGTTTGTGATCAGAAGTTAATTCCTTTGTAGAAAAAAATATGCTGGGGCTAAAGTCGGCCTGGAAGCAACATATCTTCTTCTTCTTCATTGTATCACCTTCCAGCGGTTCTCAACCTGTGGGTCCCCAGATGTTTGTTGGACTACAACTCCCATCATCCCTGAGCTCTGACCTTGCTAGCTAGGTGTGATGGGAGTTGTAGTTCAACAACATCTGGGGAACCATAGGTTGAGAAAGGCTGTAAGTCCTTCCATCCCTAACCGCTGGGGATTTTCTGGAGTTAGGGAGCGGTCAGGGGAATGCACTCTGCACGCCCTCAGGAGTCCCCTTAGTCCAGGTATCCGTCCTACATTTGCAGCATTAAGCCCTGGCGGGAGAAATGGGCTTGTTCGGTGACCAAATGACGATATTGAGACGGTGCGTTTGTGCTTTACAGTGGGCCACCCTCCCTTTTCATTCTTTTTCCTCCTGAGAGCACGCTCGCCTGCTATTATCCTGCAGGGAGGCGCGAGCTTCAGCCTGAAACAAAATCCGATGGCGAAGAAGATCTCTCCAAAGGGTTTGAATCAACGGAATGCGGTGGTGTTTGAATGGATGTAAAGGTGTTTGTAAAGGGGAAAGGCTGCTCTTTTCTAACTCGGCCCTGCGCTCTAGCTTTTGGAGATCGCCAGACCCGAAGCTGGCGCGCCGCTTCCCCGCCCCCATAGCGCGGCCTCCTTTCTCAAAGCGCCCATTGTCTGCGGCTCACGTCGCACCTGCGACTCAGGAGCCTCTCCAAAAGAGAAGAGAATCGCTCTCTCTCTGTGCACACACACAAAGACGCAGGAACAATCCCAGCCCCCAGGCGCAGGTTCATCAGGACCTCCTCCTCTTCCAGCCGCTTCCCTCGTGCCTCCACGCTCCCCCAGTTCCAGCAAACGTCGCCCAGCGAGGAAAGTGAAAGCAAGCAGGCTGTGTGGGTCAATGGGATGGAGCTTTGATCTGGGTGAGATCAGGTCAGGCCCAAGACACGTCGGAGCCTGATGTAAAATATCCAATTGGAAAAGGAACGCCCGTCACGCTAACTAGTAAGGACCCCAATTCTTTCTTTATAGAAAAAGGTCTTGGCAATCTTTGTTACAGAATTATCACTGTGTGCAATATTTCAGTACTTTAAAAAACCACATTAATGAAGAAAAATTAACAATAAAAAGAAAAATACAAAGGAAAAAAGGAAAAACAATTAAAAACAATTTCATCTTTTCCTCACTTCTTTACATTTACTTGTTTCCCGGACCTCCTCTTACCTCCCTTTTTTGTATTCTAATTAAATATGTTAATCCAACAATTCCTTTCCCTCCTTTTTAATCCTAATCTTTAATCTTGATATAATATAACGTTAAATTTTAGATTTTACATATTAAAACCAATTTTTCCATATTCTTTTAGCCTGTACAGCTAGAAACCCCTTAACTTCAATTGAACATCATTCTAACATTCATTAATTTTGCAATATTTCTGTAAATAGTCTTTGAATTTCTTCCAATCTTCTTCCACCGACTCTTCTCCCTGGTCACAGATTCTGCCAGTCATTTCCGCCAATTCCATGTATTCCATCATTTTCATCTGCCATTCCTCCAGTGTGGGTAGATCTTGTGTCTTCCAATACTTTGCAATGAGTATTCTTGCTGCTGTTGTAGCATACATAAAGAAAGTTCTGTCCTTTTTAACACCGATTGGCCGACTATGCCCAGGAGAAAGGCCTCTGGTTTCTTCAAGAAGGTGGATGTACTCCCCCAAAAGCAAGCATTCATTTTGCCCATTGTGAAACATGATACATACCTTTACAGCAGATTCAAAACACGCCCCCACACCCCAAAAAACATCATGGGAGCTCTAGTTTACCCATCGCAGCTACACCAGATGTCAAAGAGAAAAACAACTACCAGACTTTTAGAAGACATCTGAAGGCAGCCCTGTTTAGGGAAGCTTTTAATGTTTAATAGATTGTTGTATTTTAATATTCTGTTGAAAGCCGCCCAGAGTGGCTGGGGAAACCCAGCCAGATGGGCAGGGTATAAATAATAAATTATTAGTATTAGTATTACAATTTCCCAGCATCCTTAACAAATTACAGTTCCCAGGATTCCTTGGGGCGATGTGCCAATGGACCACCTTAATGTTGCTGAGGGTCTTGGCGGACCACTTAATAAATTTTATTGCAGTTGTAGCAATTGTAATATGCTGTATGATTCCTTTTTTAATTTTTATTAAGTACAAATTAGAAAACATACATATTTACAACAAAAGAAAATACAAAGGAAAAAGAAATTACATATAACCAAGGAAAAAAATTAGAGAATACTTTGCCTCTTTTCATATTTACAGTTATTTATACCTCTATAAAATGCTATTCACAATAAAGGAGTGTGATGAAAGATAAGATATCAGAAAAAAAGGGGGAAAAAGAGCAAAGAAATAACAAAGAAGTAAAAGAAAAGGATCATAGGTGAAAATTTTTAAAAGTAGATAAGTATTCACTATACATAGCCGTTTCCCATCTATATTTATATTCAATTGTATAATTTCATCTTGTCCTTATCTGTATGATTCCTTAATTGTATTTTTCTTTGCTTCTTTTACTTCCATAGTATTCAAAGTGTAATACAATAAAATACAGTATTATAATTAATTGTTGTTGCCACCCATCTGTCTCAAGAGGCAATGGAGTGTGCCTCTCCACTCCACTGTCCCTCCCTGGGGGTCACTTTGTGTATATGGAGGTTCTGGGCTGCCCAAATTATAAGACACCACCATGCTGCCTCCCTGATGTGGTCCAAAGGAAAGAAGAGCAATCCATTTGGCACCAGTTGGGCTGCAGGAGTCGCCAGAAGGAAGTGTGCAAGACACTATCCAACTGTCTCAGAGACTCCACTCCTGATTTGTGTTGAGTTTACTCCCTAGCCTTTTCTTCTCCCGAAGATTTCCCTCAAGACAGTGGAGGTTTAGGACCAGAGATTTCTTTCTCCTAGATGGGCTACCTTCCCAGGTTGATGAGCCCCATCTACCCCTCACTTCACTGTACAGCTCATCCAGAAACCACCTTTGTGGCCGTTGGACCCACTATTGATATTTTCTGCTCAATCTGCTGGTGCCTGTCTTCACCTGCAGCAGAAATCCCTAACTCACTGAGGACATCACTCATCCAGGTTAACTCAGTCTCTTACCACCGCACAATTAACCGTGCTGATATAGCTATAGATTCAAAGATTTTAAATCACTGACTCATCTAAAGAACATAACCATAAAATCAGATGTAAATTATACAACTCCCTTTTCTCCTCTGGAATTAATCATCTGTGTCACGTATAAATTTAACTATATATCTGTCTTAACCTCTTAGCTGTTCTGTGTTTTTTGTTTTCCCACTGTCTATGCGACATTCTGCGGTGTGTAATAACCAAGTAGGACTTTCATCAGGGGCTGGGTACAGACCAGAGGGAGAGACTGCCAAAACAAATGGGTCACTTAGCTCTTGGTACAGGCAGCCAGCGCAGGAGTGGGGGAAAGGGAAGGGGGAAAGGCAGCGGATCACCCAGCTGCCTGCTTTTCAGAGGAGGCTCAAGTGCAGGTGGGGGAAGTCTTTGGCCACACACACACACACACACACACTTGCACACGCTCAGTTACTGATTACCTGGTTCTCTGCACCACCACCCTGAACTGGATTGGGACAGTGGGGCGGAAGGGGGGGAGAGAGATCAGGCCAGGAATGGGCAAGAGAGCAGCTGCTCCCACCATTGGCCCTTTTCCATCCCCGCCCAATAAGAAAAAGCACAAAGGCAGCTGAGTTCATCCTCAAAGACACATTGCAGCTCTTCTGTCCCAGAGACAGGTAGAATGGTGGAGGCCCTTCCCTGTCCGCTGCTCATAGCTGTCAACTTTCCCCTTTTTTTAAGGGAAATTCCCTTATTCCGAATAGGATTCCTCGCAATAAAAGGGAAAAGTTGACAGCTATGTCCCTGCTTGAAATCTCGACCTGCCATTCTTTGCTGCAGCAGGGGAGGCCACATTTTGCTAGCTGAACACAGTATGCTGGGAGGCAGCTGCCAGCATAAAATACTGGCTGGTAGCTGGTAGTTTTTTAAATTAAACTTTTATCAATTCTATTTATTCCAATATATTTTTAGACCATCTCTTGATGCAAGTAAGGTAGCTAACAACAAGAAAGTAAGGTAAGTTTACCTTTACCTTTTACCTTATAATTTGTTATTCGTTTCTTCAAACCTTTTCACAATAACCTTCAAATCAATGGGAAGAGCACCATCTTGTCCTCAGGCACCATAAGATGCTGCCTTATACTCAGGCCGCTGGTCAATCTAACTCAGTGCTGACTACACTGGCTGGCAGTGGCTGGCTGGAGACAGAGTTCTGTCCCAGACAGTCCAATCTGGAGATGCTGGGGTTGAACCTGAAACTTGAGTATAAAGTTTGCCCCCTCTCCCTTCCTTCACCTCCGCCTCACACCCACTAGGTAAAACAAAGGTAAGTATTTACATGTTCCTGTTTCCCAGCCAAGTTAAGCACACCCTTTCCTCTTGACCAAGACCCCAATCCATTGAGGCTGGGTTTGCTATTGTGATTGGGATGACTACCTGTCTGGCACTCAGATGCCAGGATGCCAGGGATTATCACCCAGGCAGTGGGGCTGTTGCGTACATGGTCTAACACTTCAGGGATTATGGCTGCCCCTAGCCCACTCCCAAGCTCCTCTTCTGGTAGCCATTTTCCTTCCAATTAGAACGTTGGAATGGTGTAAATCCATCACTGGAGCGATTTTACATGACTCCTAAAGTTTTCCCACTGAGCCAGTACATAGATGCATTTATCAGTTTGCTACATTTGGTAATGTTCAGCGGAGGCTTTTTGTCTTTGCCTCGTAGTGTGGAGAGGCAAGGCTTAGGGGGGGTCCACCCCCCTTCCAATTTCCGGTAATGCTAAGCAGGAAGATGTCTCGGGACAGCCCTCAATGAGGCCCTCATCCATATGTCCATCCTGTTCACATCAAAAATGTGGTGAGTTGCAGGATCATAAAGGTAAAGGGACCCCTGACCATTAGGTCCAGTCGTGACCAACTCTGGGGTTGCGGCACTCATCTCTCTTTATTGCCCGAGGGAGCCGGCGTACAGCTTCCGGTTCATGTGGCCAGCAGGACTAAGCCGCTTCTGGTGAACCAGAGCAGTGCACGGAAACGCCGTTTACCTTCCCGCCTATTTATCTACTTGCACTTTGATGTGCTTTCGAACTGCTAGGTTGGCAGGAGCAGGGACCGAGCAACGGGATCTCACCCCATCGTGGGGATTCGATAGAAGAGCAACTGGGCCCTCGCCTCAGTGCCATTTTTGAGGTTTGGGTTGAGGCCTGTCCATTTTGGATAACTAAAGATGGCGGGCGGCCCCTAAGGATGTTAGCTGAACTGAGGACCTTCCACCCACCACTGCAGTAGCCTCTGGGGAGCTGGTGAGGAGCGGCATTACAGCAGGACTGGGCTGGCTAGGAGCCCTTCTGAGCCAACTGCTGGTGCTGAGCCTTAACATTCAAGCGCTGGATAGGAAGCCCCCAGAAGTCAAATTGGCACCCTGGGCTGCCAGTAGTAGCTGCTGATCCTTGTCATGACCTTCCTTGTAACACACATCAGGTAACTCCAGGATGGAAGGAACGCATTTTGGAACCTGTCAGGATTTTCAGATGCCTCATACAGGATGATTCTTGTCAGACGCTGGCCTCCTTGGATCATGTTTCTGTTTTTTTATCCTCCAAACAAAGCTCACTTCTTGCCTTGTTCCCTTGGCAGCCAATGGCGTTCTCTCTACAGGCATTTTCTTCCAGCTCCGTCTGCCTCCTATTATGTTACACACACACACACACACACACACACACACACACACACACACCTGTGCAGATTTAAAAATTTCCTTCTTGCCTTTAAAGCTGCAGAAGAAATTTTTCCCATCCTCCCACCTATGAGGGAAACTATAGGCCACCAACAAAACAAAACAAAAGAGGGTTTTTTTAAGAGAGAATCCATTCTTTGGAGATGGAAACGAAAAATGAAGTAAGCTCCTGAACTACATGTTGTTTGTCGTATGAAGTCTAACTATTTGTTATAACCTGGGAAGGTGATGTTAACATGTACCTGAAGCACTGGCAGTGGTAAAAGCAGGGAGGTGTTGGGGCACAGGTTCAAGGGGGAATCTGGCAGATAAAGAATTAAACACTGCTTTTACACACACACACACACACACACACACACACACACTCCCCACAGCAAAGCTTCACTTATTGGGGACACTTTGTGTCAGATAAAGGAGGGCCACTTGGCCACCCTTAGCACACATCTAGATAAAACAATGCCTCAAAACCATCTCAAAGGTAGGCCTTATATAGCAAGCAGCAGCCAATAAGAAAGAGGCAGGTGTCAGCTGTCGTAAGAGAGGGGAATAAAGGAAAATGACCCTACCAATATCAGAATTATAGTGTTCTACCTTAAAAGCCCCACAAGAAAATAAACTGTGCCTTGGAGAATGCATCGTTTGAGAATAAATCATTTTGCTGTGTCTTTTTACCTTCTTTTGCCAACACTGAAATGTATCAGAATGTATGCTGCGTCCTTTTCATGTATCATTGAATGTATCATTATGCTGTGTCTTTTTTACCTTTTGCTATCACTGAAATGTATAAGAATGTATCTGAATATATCCTTTCTGAAATGTATCTCTTTTTCCATGAATGTACAGTGGTACCTCAGGTTAAGTACTTAATTCGTTCCGGAGATCCGTTCTTAACCTGAAACTGTTCTTAACCTGAAGCACCACTTTAGCTAATGGGGACTCCTGCTGCTGCCGCATCGCCGGAGCACGATTTCTGTTCTGATCCTGAAGCAAAGTTCCTAACCCGAGGTAATATTTCTGGGTTAGCGGAGTCTGTAACCTGACGCATATGTAACCCGAGGTACCACTGTACCTTTACAGAAATGTAATGCTGCACTAGGCTGTATTTTTCTGAATGTATCCAAACTGTAGCTGCCAAAACACTCTCCACCACACTGCCATCTACTGGGTCTGCAAATAATGCCATGAATACACACAAATACCAGCTCGTAGTTTTATTTTCCAATAAGTATGCAAACATCAGACTATCACACCCAAGTTGGTAGGAATGCAGAGCAGAATCTCACATTAACATTTAAGCCATTTCCCGAACATCCAGCCTCACGATCTGCATGCTGATTATCAGCAACTACGGAGATTTTTCCTGTAGATAAAGGAAAAGCCATTAAGCAGATCCAGAATAAATGAGAGGAAGCTCAACACATATTATCCCAGCCCGCCAGCAATATTGACACCTCCCAAAGGTCTTACAGCACCCTTCTTACCTTATGTTAATCCCCTCTTCACGCCATTCATGTCACTTCCTGCCATCTCAGTTATTGATCTGTATGGAAACCAAAAGGTCTAAGAGTCAAGGCAGCTCTTCTGTTTGGGGTCTCACTCCATTTTATTACGTGAGCAGGGGGACCCTCACGTTTTGTTTTTTCTCTGTTCTTTCAATAAAGATCAGACTTTGCTTTTTCTCAAATCCTGGTGTGGTCTGTGTCAATTCCTGACCTGTACGGAGGTCCCAGTCCTCCTTCTGAGGCAAGGACCCCCTTGGGGGGGGCAATTAATTATTTATTTCACAGCCAACCAGAAGAACCCCTTCCATAAAGCAGAGCCAATAGGAAATGATCTCTCTTATGCTGTTAGTACTGCTTCCTTTCTGCCTTCTTAAACTTGTATATAATTGGTTTCATTCTGGGCTCTGGCAAGAGCGGGATTTTGCACAGGCATTGGCTTCCAATTGTGTTAAGCAACACCAAAGCACACAATTGTCCTAAGCACTGGTATTTTTGGTTACAAATAAAATAAAAGAGGTGCTAGTACTCATATATTGATAAAAGTACTGTTGGTACAAAAAAGATGCTGGTAATCTGTACCAGCGGTGAGCCTTGCCACAAAAAACAGCTCTGGTCCTATGTCTGTAATGATAGTGTTGTAAACAAAAATTGCCCTTTTCCCTTATGGGGTATCCAAGAGCCCATATAAAGTCCTTACATAGGTTCCCTATTGGTAGGAGAGAATAACAGAGGCCAACCAGAGAATATTGAGAAGCAAAGCAGCTAGTAAGCTTGATCTTTATTGATCTGTTGCAACAGGGTGCTCCCCTCACCCGCAGGAGAGGAGGAGGAACCCAGAAAAATGGCGCGCAAGGCCTTATAAAGACTTTTGAAATTGCTATTATGTAGATCAAGACCACCCCCAGAAATATCATACATACATCACAGAAGGGGTGTAATCTAAGACCACCCCTCAGATACATCATACCTACATCACAGAAAAGGCGGTCTAAACAGAAATTTGAATGTTGCTTTTCTCCTGTCCTTGTTTATCTCCTGTCTGGCAGGTTACTTGATTGGATTGCCTGGGGAGCCTGGCCAATCTTTTGTAATGATAAATACTTAGTTCCTGGGCCATGTCACAGGCTCACAAACTATTCAAACACAGACATACCCTTAAGACAGGATTTGTGAAGGAAAAGACAATGGGGAGGCTTTTCCACTTTGACTTTGCAGAGAAAACATTTGCTCAGTTTAGGAATCAAAATGGCTTCAGGTCGGTCTTCCTGTGCTGATCTATGTACGTGTGGTTATGAACATTACCATATATCTTTAGACCACAAAATTCCTAACACAATAGAAACATATCAGCTGGTATATGTGTGTGTTCATGTTTGTTCATTTTTTCATTAATACAATTACTGCACAGAGCCAGTCAGCAGCTACGTTCATGTAAAAGGGCCCTGGGGCCTAGCCCTAGGCCTGCCCCACATTGACTGTGCCTGGTCACAATGGAAGGGGTAGCACTGTGGCATAATGAGGACTAGGCAAACAGTGGCCTTTTTGGGACAGGCCTTCAGACTCATAGCCTCCAATATGCTAGTGCTGGGGCATCCTGTGGGCGGTAAGTCAGCTCCATGAGTCTGGAGGCAGAGGCAGAGCTAGTCTGGACAGCAACAGGGCTAAAACACAAGGGGTGGCTGCGAGGGGAGTGAGGGAAAGTGGCAATAGGCTGGGTACCCAGCATTCAAGCTTGTTTGCCTGGCAGTGGCTTTCTCTGGACCTTGGAGTTTTATATGATGCCCAAGTACAGGGCCGCGGGTGGCGCTGTGGGTTAAACCACAGAGCCTAGGACCTGCCGATCAGAAGGTTGGCAGTTTGAATCACCACGATGGGGTGAGCTCCCGTTGCTCAGTCTCTGCTCCTACCAACCTAGCAGTTCGAAAGCACATCAAAGTGCAAGTAGATAAATAGGTACCGCTCTGGCGGGAAGGTAAACGGCGTTTCCGTGAGCTGCTCTGGTTCACCAGAAGTGGCTTAGTCATGCTGGCCACGTGACCCGGAAGCTGTATGCCAGCTCCCTCGGCCAGTAAAGCAAGATGAGCGCCGCAACCCCAGAGTCGGTCACGACTGGACCTAATGATCAGGGATCCCTTTACCTTTACCGGGCATGACATAAGGAACCATGATTTGCTCCTAGAAAATTAGAAACCTCTGTAATGATTCCATGTAGGGCGGCTCCCATCTTTGTTTTGAAGGACCAGGACAGTGTCAGTAATTTCTATACAGCATCCTTGCAGTAGTAATTGTTGTTGTTGATTTGTTGTTGTTGTTGTTATACCGTTCATGTACGTGCCACTTTACAGACTTTCGAAAGCAAAACACAGACAGAAGCTTACAATGAAAAATCAGTGATGAGGAAAATGACAGCGCAAGGGAGATAGGATAAAAATGAAGTGTCAGCAAACATATTTACATTCCAATCCTATAGACGAGGGAAATTGTTGGACTATAATTCCCATCATCCCTGACCACAGGCCACTCTGCCTGTGGCTGATGAGAATTGGAGTCCTGCAACATCTGCAAAGCCATAAAAGTTTAGATTTTTGTGTCTGTGTTTTAAGCTTAATTACATCTGGGAATGAGTACTGAGCCAGAGTCCTCATGGAAAATGTTTCCTTTTAGGGAGCAAACTGATGGAAGGGGTGGCGGCGGCACCACAGACATGTTTAGGGAAGGGATTTAGGATGCAAAGCAGAAACTGAGTGTGAGTGGAACCAGAGAGGCGACTTCAGCAGTTTGGGAAAGTCAAGGGCAGGGATGGGAAGCCTCAGGGTCTTGGGCCAGATGTGTCCCTCCAGACTTCTCTTTCTGGCCTTCAGAACTCTCCCCAGCCCACACCCCTTTCTAACCCTGCTGCTTTGCACCCTCCTTGAATGTTTTTGCCTGGCTGGAATGTGTCTTTGACCTCTGACAATGCCTCTTGCTTGTCTGGATACAGCAGGGGTAGCCAACCTTTTTATACCTACCGCCCACTAATGCATCTTTCTTGATGGTAAAATTTCTTTACTACCCACTAGTGCTTGATGGAAGGAGGATTCAACTTGTGCCGTAGAACCCCCTACCTTCCACCTAGAATCCTGAAATACCCACTAATGGGCGGTAGGGATCAGGTTGACAACCCCTGGGATAGAGGCTAGAGAGGAGTACATGTGAGTTTGTGTACAGAGGCGAAAGTCACATTGGTTGCTCTGCTCAGTTTTACCTCTGGCATGTGGTCCCTGGAAAGTTGCCTAGAAAGGAATGAAGCCCATGGATTGAAAAGGCTTCCCTGCTCCTGGTTAGGGGTTTTGGCTGGATTTGGAAGCAGAACCCCCAGCTCAGGTGCGAAGCCAAGTGCATAACCTGTCTGTTCCATCAAGGTAAACATCTCTGTTCTTCCTCTTCTGAAGCTGGGGAAATGGCTTCTCTTCCTGCGTTTTTCTGAAAGCAAACAAAACAAAAAAACCCATATCCAACCAAGCTATGTTTTGTTTTGTTTTCCTGCAAAGTTAGCAAAAGGAGTTCTCTGCCTAGGTAACAGCAAGGAAGACTGGGTGGAAGTCTTGCTAAGGAAGTGCAAGGGTGACAGAGGTGGATTTTGGGGAACACGACTAGTTTGCCCACACTGGGCATTGAGTTCAGAGGGCACCGCAACAATGATAAGAGGCTGGGGCAGAGGGCGTCAAATTTTGGCGTTGCGGAGGGATTTATTCAAATTCAAAAGCCTAAAGTCTGCTGCTGGCTAAGCATCCCTTTGCCGCATGCACAAGTTGGTTCCTGGGCAGACAAGTTTCGATGTGGAAAGGGTTCTGCTCCTTGCAGCTGGAAGCTTTCCGAACCTTGCGGCTCAACAGATGTGTGGACCTATTTAATCCTGATGCACTCAAATCCACCCACCCCTCCATTCCTGTGAACAGATGCAGCCTTAAAGGTGCAAGTCATTCATCACCACTCATCATATCTGCCACAGAGAAGCCTCGTCAAGTCTCTCCTTCCCAAGGGCATGACCTCTCCCCTGCTTGAAAATGGTAGGTGAGGTATTTCTCTAAAATGCTTTTTTTTAAAAACCGCTAATGTGGACCATCAACAGGGAACCAGGCATCCCAGAAGAAGGGAGTAGAGGGTGCTAGGACCCCTCTGAGACTGGGGGACTGAGGCCCACCTACCCCTACCTCCCCCATCCCTGGATAATCAATCTACAGCTGCTATAATCAAAGCTAATTCATAAGGAACCCCCAAAAAAGCTAATTCAAGAGGGAAGGGTGCAGCCTAAGGAGATATTTGGTCATATAAATGAGGAGTAGGGAACCTTAAGCCCAGGGAGTGAATATGCCCCCCCCCCCGGCATCTCTGTTTGGCTCTCAGAACTGCCCCCAGGCCATAACTGGACCTGCTCCATGCCCCCCCTCGAGTGCTTTTAACTGCTGGGATGTGTCTCTGATCTGTGGTGATGCCTCAGAGGATGCGTAGGGTAAGGGGGACTGTGTGCAGAAACATCTGGATTTTGTGTGGCTGTGGGCTATTGTACAAAGGCAGGAATCGCGTCCATTGCCCTGGCTCCAACTTACACTGGCATGAGACTGCCAATGGAAAATGAAAAAAGTTCCCCTGGTGGGAACTGGAGTCCACCAATATTAGGACCATGTTTTCTTCTTCTACTGTAGATGCTACGAGTAGTAGTGAAAATGAAGACCTTCCTAGGTTCTATTGATGCTTGTTAAAGTATTGTCAGTCATCTGGAATATATACATCCTTTCAATAAATGGGAAAACATTGGAGTATGAGGAGACGAATGGGGAACTTGCAGCCCTCCAGGTGTTGACGGATTCCAGGTTCTATCATCTACAGCCAGCATGCCCAATGGTCGGGGGGTGGAAATTGTAGTTGGAAATTGTCAACATCTGGAGGGCATCAAGTTCCCCACCTCTGGCTTAGGAGAAAATGAACGAGTTCTGCAAGCAGGTTTCACTCAGGGGTTGTTTGGGTGGGTTGTTCCTCTTTTAATTTAGTTTCAGCTCTACAGAAATCACTCAAGCCTTCCCAGTGAAAGCAGTGACACATCCAGCTCTGGCCTGGGCAGCATCATCGAAACCCCCAAACACATCCTCTACTCAGCTTGCAGTTTACCTCACACCTTGGATGACTTGCTGGCCGGGCTGTCAGTTCCGAAGAAAGCCCCTCGCAGGCCCCCGCCAAGCCGCCCTCGCCGCAGCAGCAGCCCCAGCGTCCCTGTCGACCTGGACATGAGCGACGGGGAGACCAGCCTCTCCGACAGCGGCTCGGAGTCTCCTGTGTGTGTGGAACTGCCGCCACAGCCCTTCATCCGCGAGCACACCGTCAGCAGCACCAGCGCTCAGGTGGGGCCTCCTGACACAAAATGGCCTCCTCTGCATTGCTAGGTTACTGTGACTGGAGAGCCAGGTCTCTCTTTGAGCCAAAAGCTGAACTCCTCTTCAACTACCCCACTGGGTAAATGGGGGTGCAACATTTGAGCATAGATAGATCACATTTAGTGCACCTCTGAGGAACCTATATTGTTACATGCACCCCAACCCTATGAGACGTGAGAGATTTCGGGGGCTCCAGTGCTTGTCTAAGTGTCTGTGGAATAAGGTTTGAGGAGAGTGACTGGAGCCTTGTATCAAATGGGTTGTTGTTGTTGCTGCTACTGCTATTTCGATTTATATACTGCCCTTTATCAAAGGATCCCAGGGTGGTGTACAACATTAAGAACACATTTTATGGAGCATAATAATTAAAGCATCATAAAAAGCATCATAATAGGCAGCATCATAATAAAATCATCACAATAGCAGGCTATTTATATCAGGGATGGGTCCATATGCTACTAAACTACAACTCTCATCATCCCTGGCCATTGGCCATGCTGGCTGGAGCTGATGGGATATGGAGTCCAAGAACTTCTGTAGAGACTACAGATTCCCCATCCCTGATTTATACACGTACACAGGTTGAGCATAGGTGGAAAATACAGAGGTCCCAGGTGCAATGCTCCCCATCAGATTTCTAATGGAACTGCCAGAGCCTTTTACAGTGCCTTTTACAGAGAGCAATTCAGCCCTCTGTATCCTTTTGTCCATTGATTCTCCATCAGTCACAAAAACATCTGCAGGTTGATCGCTTCCTTCTCTTTTAACCCCTCTCCCTGCTTACTGGGGTTGGGGACAATAAGGCTTAGTCATCGCTCTTCATCCTTTTTCTGAGCCATCTTAACTCCCATCGAAACACATCACCTGACTGCCACCGGCTATAAATAGTCTTCTTTCAGGCCTTAAGACGTGTTGCCTCAGGATAAGCCACCCTTGACAGCTCTGCTCACAGAAACCTTAAGAGCAAAAACTTCACACAAGGAATCCCAGTGGGTCATCCAGGCCAACTGCCCTCCAAGTGCACAGCAATAGTCTTCAGTTTCAAGTGCCAGGAAATTACTGTGTTTGGAATATAGCTTGTATTGGACAGTGGCATGGTTTGCACATAAAGCTGAGCTAAACCATGACTGTACAAGAAGGAACGAGTGTGCCATTGGTATTCATAGCAAAAATCACAGCTGCTTCATTCCTCTCCCTGCTGCTGCTGCTTCACTACCAGGAGCAAAACTATGTTTTGGCTTATCATGGCATCCAAAACCAGGCTTGTAGTTTGTCTGCCCCCAAGACAAACAATGAGTGGTTAGCCAAGAACTTACAACGCGGGTGGTGCTGTGGTCTAAACCACTGAGCCTCTTGGGCTTGCTAATGGGAAGGTCAGCGGTTCAAATCCCAATGACGGGGTGAGCTCCTGTTGTTCTGTCCCAACTTCTGCCAACCTAGCAGTTTGAAAGCACACCAGTGCAAGTAGATAAATAGGGACCACTGCGGCAGGAAGGTAAATGGCATTTCCACACGCTCCGATTTCCATCACTGTGTTCTGTTGCACCAAAAGCGGTCTAGTCATGCTGGCCACATGACCCGGAAAGCTGTCTGTGGACAAACGCTGGCTCCCTTGGCCTGAAAGCGAGATGAGCACCACAACCCCATAGTTGCCTTTGACTGGACTTAACTGTCCTGGGGTCCTTTACCTTTACCTTTTTTTTAAAGCCAAGAACTAACACTTGGCTGCAGGGTCCAGCATTAAGCCGCACACTGCCAAATTCAGGTTGCACAGTTATAGTTGATTGGGAGGTGTTGTGCAACCAACTCGCTTCCCGGAGAGACTGGACATCTTGTGCTAAGAGAAATGTTGGGGAAATGCACTGGAAAGTGTGGAGCAGCACTTGCTAACCTCCCTACAAACAAGTCAGGGTGAATGTTCAATAGACAGGCTGCCTGGAAGCACCCCTAGTATTTTCTGCTATATCAGAGAAGACTAAGGCTACCTCTTGGTGAATGTCCCTTAAGGGCAGTGGAGGCTGGTTGTTGTTGTTGTTTAGTCGTTTAGTCATGTCCGACTCTTCGTGACCCCATGGACCAGAGCACGCCAGGCACCCCTATCTTCCACTGCCTCCCGCAGTTTGGTCAGACTCATGTTTGTGGCTTCGAGAACACTGTCCAACCATCTCGTCCTCTGTCGTCCCCTTCTCCTTGTGCCCTCAATCTTTCGCAACATCTGGGTCTTTTCCAGGGAGTCTTCTCTTCTCATGAGGTGGCCCAAGTATTGGAGCATCAGCTTCAGGATCTGTCCTTTCAGTGAGCACTCAGGGCTGATTTTCTTAAGAATGGATAGGCTTGATCTGGTTAGGAGGCTGGTACATTAGGGTAAAGAGATCACTGCCCAGCCAACCTCCATCTGTCTTCAACCAGCCACCACCTGTCCACCATCTTCCTTACAACCAGCCCCAGGGGTGGCCCTGAATGCCAGCTTCCTCCTCCTTACTTCCTGCAGAACTCAACAGGGTAGAGGATGGGGGACAAAACTAGAATCAGCTGGGTTTGTTCTGGCTCCACTTACTACTGGTCTCCTTGTTTTCTGTCCCATAAATCCCAATGGGCACCAGCCACCACGGTTCCTCCCTGCACCAGTGAAAGGACCCCTTTAGCACCCACTTCCCTGAAGATGTTGGGATCAAGTGAAAGAGCTCATCTCCTAGCTTTCTGCATGATGCCCTTTTTCTCTCCTCCATAGGTTTCTTGGTCAGGCCCACACAACGGGGAGTTGATTTCCTTCTATGAGCTGCAACTGCAGGAGGCCAGGCTGGATGGTCAAGGCAAGAACATCCATTGGTTTTGCTCGCAGACAGAAGAGCACCTGGAGAATCTGACTCCTGGCACTACGTACTTGCTCCGCGTGAGGTCTCTCAATGTGGCAGGTGCTGGGAGGTGGAGTGCACCCTACAAGGTGAGCACAGTCCTCCTGGTGGGGAGGTGGGTGCACGTACCATAGAGTTGGGCATCCAAAGAATGTAGAAAGGCACACCCGTTGCACTTTCACCCAAAGCCCAATTCAGGGATGCTGACCCTGGTAGAAAAGTCAGAACCATTGATAACAGCAAAAAGGCACATCAGAGGTAAAATGAAATAGAGAATAAATGGAAGAATTGTTCATATTTGTAGCATTTTGATTTTTAAAAAAATTAAATGTGCAGGAGGTACGGTAAACAAGTGCTTTTTAAGACACAAACAGACAGACAGAGAAACCTGCAGGCTTTGGTGAATAAAGCACTGTCAATGAATTATATGCCAGTTTTAACCTTTGGCACTCTGTTTTGCAAAGCCCTAAGCCAATCCACATTTTCAACTGTAGTTAGGGGAATCCGGTAAATAAATAAATATTAGTAGTACATGTTAGAAATGCATAAATATTAGAAGTACATGGATTCACTTCTTTTCAGTCGAATCTGAACTACAGTGCTCCAACTTATTTAGAGTAGATGCAATCCCCAAAATGTAACCGCCGCATAGGTTGTGGGCTGACTATTGTTGTGACTATTTCAGCAGTCACCTATAAAATGGCATGATTGAAGCTAACTACCCCAGCAACCCTTTTACTCTAACCCCAAACTAATGAAGCACCAATGTTCATGCATCTCCAGGATATTTTTTATTATTATATTTTTATCCTGCCTTTCTTCCCAGGAGTTCAAGGTGGCATGCATGGAGTCGGATCTAAGAACTTAGCTGAACTTTGCTGCTTTTGAAACCACAGTCACAACTAGTTTTTCACATTGGTTTCAATTGGAACTAAGTGCAACTAAGTAAATTAGCCTGGACCCAAATCATAGTCCTTTTCCCCATTCCACCATCTCCATATTTTACCCTCACAACAAGTTTGGTTGAGCTGAGAGGTAATGGATTGGCTCTAAGTCTCCTGGTGAGTTTCACAGCTGGACCTGGGGTTTCCCCAGTCCTAATCTAACACTCTAACCAGTACACCTCACTGCCTCTGAGGGAAATTGGCTTTGCCAAACATAATATGCATGGTCATGTTTCAAGATGCAAGCAAGTCCACTTTTGATGTAGAAAACACCCTTGCAAGATGCATAGCTCTGCTGCTAACCGCTGCAACTTTAGCAGATTTCTAGCGTGCTGTTTTGCATTTCGTTGCCTCCCTGTAACAAGCTCTTCCCCTTTGCTTCTTCCAGTTTGGCACGATGCCTTCTGTGGCAGGAATGCCTCTGGACCCGGCTCCTGTCACTGTCACCGTGCGGCGGTGCAGGAAGCCTCAGAAGAAGACGATCTTTATCCCTGCCCCCTAAGAGGACTGACAACATGGAAGTAAAGGATGGCACCTCCCACTTGCCCCTGCATGTTATTCCACATCTCCCCATAACTGCTGTTTGGTACCTTGGCAAATTTTCTGCTCACAAAAATAACTTCTAGCCAGGCAAAGAAGGTCAGGGGCTAGGTGGTGGGAACCGGGCATATAGAGATGTCACAGTTCACAAGTGCATTTGCAACTATTTTGCTGCATATGGTGGGAATCTGATACGTAAGAGCAAGGGAAGAGGCTGAAATTATGTGACTGCAGCCTCCTGCCCTACTCTCTACTGCCCCCTTTTGCCCAGGTTCTGTAATGGCAGCCTCTTTGCCTGCTCTCTGCTGCCCCCTCTTTACCAGGTTGCCAAGAGGCAGCAGAAGGAAACAGGGATTAAATCCTGCTGTTACACAGCCTGGACAATAGTAGGCAGCAGAGAGCAGAGAAAAGGGGCAGCAGTTACACAACTTGGCCAACAGGGAGCACAGCAGAGAATAAGGGACAGGCTACAGTTGCAGTACCTGGCCAAGAGGGGGCAGCAGAGAGCAAGGAAAGAGGCTACGGTAACACAACCTGGCCAGCAGTGACCAGCAAATAGCAGGGAAAGAGGCTGCAGTTGCAGGACCTGGCCGATGGGAGGCAGCAGAGAGTACACCATTCATAGAATCATAGAGTTGGAAGAGACCACAAGGGCCATGAGTCCAACCCCCTGCCAAGCAGGAAACACCATCAGAGCACTCCTGACATATGGTTGTCAAGCCTCTGCTTAAAGACCTCCAAAGAAGGAGACTCCACCACACTCCTTGGCAGCAAATTCCACTGTCAAACAGCTCTTACTGTCAGGAAGTTCTTCCTAATGTTTAGGTGGAATCTTCTTTCTTGTAGTTTGGATCCATTGCTCCGTGTCCGCTTCTCTGGAGCAGCAGAAAACAACCTTTCTCCCTCCTCTATGTGACATCCTTTTATATATTTGAACATGGCTATCATATCACCCCTTAACCTCCTCTTCTCCAGGCTAAACATGCCCAGCTCCCTTAGCCGTTCCTCATAAGGCATCGTTTCCAGGCCTTTGACCATTTTGGTTGCCCTCCTCTGGACACGTTCCAGTTTGTCAGTGTCCTTCTTGAACTGTGGTGCCCAGAACTGGACACAGTACTCCAGGTGAGGTCTGACCAGAGCAGAATACAGTGGCACTATTCCTGTCCCAGGTCCTTGATGAAAAGTGCAACCTCTGAGCTTTTAAGGTTTTGGGGTGAGTTTCATGCAGCTGTACCCTACACATTTACTTTACTTCCCCTGAGCTCCATGAGATTTAATTCCATGTGGCAGTGCATACGTTTGTCAACAACTGGTGTGTTGGTTGGTTTTTCCAGCGAAATACCATTGCCCTTTGCGAGTGGTCCGAGTGCCTGGCGATTTGCTTGCAACATTCACTCATGATGAGGTTGGCTGGACTTGGCAGTGCAGGGTGGGCAGCGTTTGTGTGTCCGCCAAATGCTGCTTGACTACAAATCCCATCACCCTTGGCCATTGGCCACACCAGCTGGGACTGGTGGGAATTGTCATCCAGCAGCATCAGGAAGGTAAAAAGGTAAAGGTAAAGGGACCCCTGACCATTAGGTCCAAACGTGACTGTCTCTGGGGTTACGGCGCTCATCTTGCTTTATTGCCCGAGGGAGCAGGAGTACAGCTTCCAGGTCATGTGGCCAGCGTGACTAAGCTGCTTCTGGCGAACCAGAGCAGTGCACGGAAACACCGTTTACCTTCCTGCTGGAGTGGTACCTATTTATCTACTTGTACTTTGACGTGCTTTTGAACTGCTAGGTTGGCAGGAGCAGGGACCGAGCAACGGGAGCTCACCCCGTCGCGGGGATTCGAACCGCCGACCTTCTGATCGGCAAGTCCTAGGCTCTGTGGTTTAACCCACAGCACCACCCGCGTCCCATCAGGAAGGTACCAATACCATTTCAGCCTGCATATGAAGTGGTACGTAGCGGCATTAGTGTGCCGTATATGACTTTAAAGTGTAATTTGAGAAGTTGCCACAGGATGGTGCCAGAAAACTATTCTGCAGCTGTACATAAGGTACAAGGGTCTCAGCGCCACTTTTGAGTACCTGTTGGCCCAAGAGAGCCAACATGAGAGATGTTTACTATCTTCCAGCCTAAACTAGCTCACGGGATGAAATAAGGTACCTCATAATGGGGTGAAGGAAGACACAGCCGTGTTAAACTACTTGGATGAAGATTCTGATACCAATATGAGGAAGAGATGGACTAAAGTATAGACTAAACAGTGGTACTTCAGGTTACATACGCTTCAGGTTACATACGGTTCAGGTTGCACTCCGCTAACCCAGAAATATTGCTTCAGGTTAAGAACTTTGCTTCTGGATGAGAACAGAAATTGTGCTCTGGCAGTGCGGCAGCAGCAGGAGGCTCCATTAGCTAAAGTGGTGCTTCAGGTTAAGAACAGTTTCAGGTTAAGTACGGACCTCCGGAACGAATTAAGTACTTAACCCGAGGTACCACTGTTGTTAGATATGAGGGAGAACTAGACCATTTACTGACTATAGTTTAAATATGAGGGAGAAATGGATGGTTTAAATATATACATATAATAAAAATAATAAACTAAGACTACATTTTGGCAAGTCAGTGAAGAAGACTTATACCAACTCAGACCATTGGCCAATGTTGTCCAGCAATAAGTCTCCTGGCTCTCAGACAGATGTTGTATTTTTATTACAGCTTTTACATTGATAAGATGTACTTGTTTTAATTTTGTCCTAATCCTGTTTAAAGTTTTAATAATGAAAAGTGCACTGTTTGTGGGCTTCTGCTTACATTTGTTTTTGGAGTTTGAATGTCAGTGGACTATTAATAAACTTGTTTGTATGGATTTGTTTATTGCTGCATGTACACCCTCCTTTCCCTCCAAACTCGACAGTGTGCAGTTCCCAGCCTCCACCATGTTATTCTCACAACAATCCTGTGAGGGAGATCAGGCTGAGATTAGGCTCCAGTGTGCAACACGATTGTTGAGCAAGGATTTTAACCTGAGTCTCCCCCCAGCTTGGCCCTCCTGAGATCTTTTTAACTGCAGAGGCTGGTGATTTTATCTGTACGTTGAGTATATATGCTCTAACACATACCGTAACTGCATTCCCTTTGCATTCCTGGCAAGAGACACACTTCTCAGAAAAGGTATCTGGATCAGACGCACCTTAGCAACTATGCAATTACTGTGTACAGTGGTACCTCTGCTTACGAACGCTTCAGGTTATGAACACCTCAGGTTACAAACTCCACTAAACCCGAAGTAGCTGCTCCTGGTTGCAAACTTTGCCCCAAGATGAGAACGGAAATCGCGCACCAGAGGCCCCATTAGCGAAAGCGCGCCTCAGGATAATAATGATTTCAGTTTAAGACCAGACCTCCGGAACGAATTAAGTTCATAGCAAGAGGTACCACTGTACAATATACCTCCCGCCTTCCCCCTTTAAAAAATCTAAACTCATTTGGAAAGGGATTAATGTGGGAGATAGGAGGCATTTGAAGTGAAAAGTCTTGGGATGCTTCCAGGCTGTCTCTATTTTGCAGTGGGGTTCAATAACATACCGACAAATTCAGGAAAAGCGATTACAATCTAACCTCCCTGCAGACAAATAAGCGTTCATTAAATAAGCCAACATTGTCTAATATCCCTGCAAACAAATAGGAATGCTCAATAAACAAGCAAGCATCTGCCTGTCTTCCAAAACCCTCACCTGGGCTCAGTTTAAAGTGCTGGATTTTTACCTTTTAAAGTCCCTGAATGGCTTGGGGCCAAGTTACCTGACACATACGCCTTCTTCCATGTTTCTATCAAAATCCTAAGATCCTATTCACAGCTGCTGCTCTGGGTTCCTCTACCAAATAATAATAATAATAATAATAATAATAATAATAATAATAATAATTTATTTATACCCCGCCCATCTGGCTGGTTTCCCCAGCCACTCTGGGCGGCTTCCAACAGAACACTAAAATATAATAACCTATTAAACATTAAAAGCTTCCCTAAACAGGGCTGCCTTCAGATGTCTTCTAAAAGTTTGGTAGTTATTTTTCTCTTTGACATCTGGTAGGAGGGTGTTCCACAGGGCGGGTGCCACTACCGAGAAGGCCCTCTGCCTCGTTCCCTGTAACTTGGCTTCTTGCAGCAAGGGAACCGTTAGAAGGCCCTCAGCGCTGGACCTCAGTGTCCGGGCAGAACGATAAGCAGAAAGGGCCATTTCAGTCCCGGCATTCCCATTACAGAACTGTCTTTGCAGGGAGATTCACCTGGCGTCTTCCTTATGATGTGAGGCAAAGACCTTCCTCCTCACCAAGTCATTTGAGTTACTTACATCTTACAACTTACATCAGGGGTGGAGAAGTTCCAGCCCATAAGCTGCATTTGACCCAATGCAGGTCTCAAAGCTACAAGGTTGTTTCACCTCCAGCCACTCTCACGTGCCCCACACCTGACCTCATAGGTGATGTCAGGTTTGAGGCAAGCAGAGGCATGACTAGAAAATAGGTGCTTTGCCAAGAGTAGGATTGGCAAAGCCTTCATGCTGCAATTCCCAAACATCGGACAAGCTATTGGGTGCTTGGGAGTTGCTGCACAAGCAGCTCCGACAGGTGGGTGGGACAACCCACCTGTCAAAATTGGCCCACTGAGGTGGAGAACCTACGGATCAGACCTGCAAAGCCACAAATGTTCTCCACCGCTGACTTACCTAGTCTGAGCCTCTCAATTATTAAATCTGTGTTTTAAGCTTGGGGTTGCAATGAGTTGACTGTGTTGTGTCTGTGTCGCTTTTGGTTTTATGTCTTACTGGTATGTATTTATTTAAAGCAAAAACTTTAAGGATATAGGGCGGCATGCGCACGCCGCTAGTGATTTCTGCAATGAAATAAATGGAACCCCATCGTCCACGCAAAGTGTTATCTGTTCCATGGTTGCTTTTCCACACACCTGCATCTCCTTTCATCACAAGAATGACTCGCTTCAACCAGAGCTGGTGAAATCCAATCTTTTTTTTATTATTTATTTATGAACAAACTCTATTCTATTATTGTGATGGTGGGCAGCTGGTCCCTGGGACCAGCCCCGGGGTCTGAGGAGAGGGGAGGGCACAGTATTCCCCGATGAGCCAAAATGGCCTGACTGGGTGGTGATGGATGTAGGAAATGGAAACGTGAGGAGGGGGAAAGGCATGAAGGCATCGTGGGAGGAACTGATATGCGCCTGGGGCGAAGATCGGGAAGCGAATTTGACAAGACGCCAGGAAGGGCAGAACAGTAACAAAGTTCGGGGACACACAGCCAAAGGAGCAACGTCTGGATCCAGGCCCCCTGCACCAATCGAATTTCTGCTCTGCGGCATCTTCCTTTTGCAAGATCCCTTGAGCAAAACCTTCCGTCAGGGGGACACCCTTGAGGGAAATCCTGTCAAGACAATAAAATGGCGGGATCCTGCCAGGGCAGGCCTCTGTATTGTCACAGTTCATATATCCAGATCTATATCAGATATTCACCCCTCAAAGGTATTCCTAGATTAGCGTCCCCATCTTAAGGTCCTCTCTAAGGGTCAGGCCTTGTGTGGCGGCCATCTTGAATACCTTTCTCCACTCCAGTTCCTTGCCGGATGTGGCTGCCCTGGGAGCAGAGAGATCAAGGCAGAGGCCTAACAACATGACAATGAAAGGAGGGGGGATGTCGGGGAGCCAGGCAATTGCAAACCGCAGGGGCCTCCTCTCCTCAGACCCATAGAAAGTGCTGGTAGCGAAGTAACGGGGGGGACGCGAGGGGGAAGCGCAATAAATGTGCAAAAAACCAGAAAGCGCAAGTGCAATTGCTCTTAAAGAAAAGAGGCCTCGGGCGGCGCAACGGGGGGTCACAGCAGCAAAGGGGCCCCAAGCTTTGTGTGTGTTTGCGAGCAGCCATATCGCTTTCTCCTCATGCATCGCGGCAGAGGCGACCCTTTGCTCGACAGAAGGCGAAAAGGATGTGTCCTTGAAAAAAAACAGCAAGGTGCCTGCCGGAACGAGCCGCCCCCTCCCCATTTTCCCCTTCAGAAACACACGTCGTCTGTCCCTGGGTAGCCGGGCCAGATACATAGCTCTCTTTTTTATTATTCTTAAAAAATAGCATGCTTGGTTAAAGGGGGAGGTGGGGGAGGGGAGGCCGTGCAGCAGGGTGGGGGAGCGGCTGCTTGGCTCCAGCTCAAATCTTCTCAGGGGCTGCTGATGCCTCTGCTGAGTCACTTTCCCTCTCCGCCATCGTCCTCCTCGTCCCTGGAACAGCGTTAACAAACACAGGAACGTTAGATAACTGCCACCGCATAATGAGAACCTGAGCTCAGGCTTACCGCCTCCCTCCCTCTCTCTTTTCTTTTCTCTCAGGCACCAAAGTGGCTCAGGTCCAGCACTGAGGGTTGGCACAATTGGGTTCCTGCCATGCCTCATCTGAGGTGGGAAGTGGGCACAACTGCCAACCCTAGAGACCCCTGCCCCCTTGGCTGCCTCTCCTCCTTGCTGCCGGGGCCCGTTCGCCCAAGCAAGAGAGTTGTGAGGAGAAGGTACGGCAGCTTATTTTTTGCCCGCCTCGGCCTCGCCCTCTTGGCCAGGGGTGGCCAAGCTTTCCAGGCGCATGGGCACACAATCTGGGGAAATTTCAGTGGGCGTTACATAGCCAGACACACACCGCAGCCTGTTGGCTGCAATGCTTCTTCCAAGGCTGATTTCTGTGGCGTGGGGAGCATGGGTGCAGGAGAGAGCGGACTCTGCGGGCACCAAGAAAGGCCCATAAGGGCCCACGGGTGCCCTGCTCTAGGTGCCCATGCGGACTGAGCCCAATGGAAAAAGTGCAAATGAAATAACCTAGAATCGGCACTGGATTTCCGGGCCCTTTGACAGCAGTGTGCTGGAGGAAGTCTCAACAAGGGCCAGTTTCCCCAAAGTTGTGCCACAGTCCAGGGGAAAGCTGCAACCCCCCCCCCCCCCGGATTCTTCCCTTGCCACACAGCTGTTAAAGGCATGCAAGTGCCCCTCTGTAGTCGAAGTTGGCAGCCCTGCCCAGAGACAGAACTTTTCTCCCTCTGTATGTCACACCGTCTCCCCCTGCTATTTAATCTAAAACAGGGAAGTGGTAATAGAATGCTAATTAACCTTTTCCCTCAGAAGCCTGCCAAAATCACTCTCGATATTAGAAGCCGTTAGAGCGGGGAATATTGAGTGCAATCGCCATCCACTAGAGGTGGGTTTTTTTTGTTTGGTAGGCCCCATGGCAACAAAGCTTAATTGCTCATAACTGCATTTGCCTACATTTGTCCCTTGCTAACCTCTTGCCTCTTCCCATATTTCCCTGCCCGCCTCTCCTTCCCATCTAAGATTTCAGCAGTCATTTCCTGGGGAAAGGGGCATCTTTTGCTGATGTCACTCTTGGAAAACAGGGGGATGAAGCGGCAATGTTCGCAATACATTACCTGCCAGCCAGGAAGTCCTGTGCCCGCCAACAGCCCTACGTGGGCTATTCAGCTACCTGCACCCCTGTACAGTTTTCCTTACTTTCCGACGTGATGGCCAAGTATTCAGAGCTATCAGGACACAAGAGAGAAGCGGAAATATGTGTAAGGTGGGCTTTTGCCCCGATTCCCCACCCTCCATAACCAGGGCTGGCACAGGCACACAGCAGCTACAAGAGCCCCAGCGTGGCCCGTTGCTGGTGCCTATCCTGGGCCCTTCTGTAAAATAACTGTGTTTTCTTTTCTGGTGCTGAAGCAAACACCAAATGGGTGGGTCTGGGAGCTGCCTGCCATTTTAATTTCCCAGAATGCCCTGAAGAGATGTTACGCCAAGGGCATTGTGGGAAAACAAAATGGCCCTGGTGCTCATCAGGGCATGGCTGCTGCCTATCATTGTTGCCAGGTTAGCCTGCCAAGGCAGCCTCAGGCCTAGGTGGGGGTACATTTTGACAAGACCCCTCCTCAACAAACCTGGAGCTGGCCTTGTTCCAGGTTCCATTTAGTGGCTTACAAGTCAGGTTGGGTCTGCCAAAGCTCTCTAACCAGCCCCTCAAGTACACGTGAAGGCCTCTTCACACATTAAGTTTATTCTGGGGGAACCATCAAGGATATTTTAAGTGTTTGGCAAAAGCATGCCTCAAGTGCAATTTGAGGACAACAGTTGAAGGTGACAACGCTTCTAAATACCAGTGGCTGGAAACCACAGGAGTGCTCTTGTGGGCTTCTCACAATGGGCATCTGGTTGGCCACTGTGAGAACAAGATGCTGGCTTAGATGGGCCATTGGCCTGATCCAGCAGGGCTCTTGCTATGTTCTTATGCGCACAGCCAACAGGTGTCTCAAGGACTTGTTTATTCTGCAAGGAGAGCTTTGAGGTAGGCAATGAATAGCTTTCAGCTGAGCCTGCAGCTTCTTGCCAGGCTAACAAGCAGGATTATAACAGCAAAAAGAAAGGGTGAACCTGGCTTTGCCACCAGTTAAGGCATAAAACCACTGCAAGACACACACTGGAAGTCTTCCACTGGAAGGGCCTTTGGCCTGCTTCCCAGCTCCCTCTGATCCAGTAAGACACACGGTCCAGTCCAGATGTTTTCACTTCCTGTGTCCTTCCCCTGCATCACCCTGTGTTCTCCACCTTCAGCAGGGCCAGGGCCAACATCTGGCATCCTCAGGCAGCTGCTGGGGCCTTGGCAACACCAGAGGGTCCACTGTTGTCGGCAGCCCTGGGCTTCCTATACCAGTCCAGGAGCCACCTACCACTTTAAATTACCCATATTGCCCCTGACGTAAAGCTGCCCTGAGGCACTGTGGGAAATTCAAACAGCAATGACCCTGTAGCAATGCACTACAACCATGTCACTCCCCTGGAGGGAGTTCTGCCTATGTAGAAGCTGGCCCAGCAGAGGGCACTTTGGCCAAGGTGGATCAAAGCTGGAGCTAGCACAGGTGTCCTGTTGCTCTTTCTTTTAGCTTCTCAACACGTGTGCGCGCGCACACGCACAACTCCCCTCCTATTGCCACCCACGCTTCTTACGCATTCTCTTGAGCAGCTGCCTCCGTCGCCGCGGCGATCTTCTTGTAGCAGTAGACCATCTCAGCCACCAGCCAGATGGTCAGGACGACGATGAGAACGTACATCATGATCTCAGAAACGATGGATGCCATTTCCCGGTTTTCTGTGAAAGGAAGAACAGAGATAAGGATGTGCAAAACAAAACAGGCACACACACACCCCTAATGCACGTTTCTAGCTGCATTTGCTCTCCGGCTCCAGATTTTGAGTCATGTTTGTCCTGCCATGCAAATTGGTCCTCCCTTTAGCTTGGGTGTGGGGAGCCTCTTACCATTCTAACAATTTTAACAAGCAAAAGCTCCCTGCATCCATGGTTGTTAAAACTCCCCCCCCCCCTTTCAATTCCTATTACAGCAACACACCAGAACCAAAAAAGGGCTTCCAGATATAAACATGTGCCCTTAATTTTCATCCCCATCCGGTACAATAGGCTGCCGCCGATTAATCAGCTACAGCTCTAAAGTCAGTTTATCTGTTGCTTGGACAGATTAAAGCTGGTAGCTCTATGCAAATGACTGAAATTTGCAGACTTCCCGGAGGCGTCTGGTTAGCCAATGTGGAAAACAAAAGCTGGATGAGATGAGATGGACCTTTGGTCCACCAGTGCTTTTCTTCTGTTTTAAACCAAGCACAGAGAAATGAATCTGGCCAGCACACACATGAAGGCCAAATCTCACAGGTGGGTGGAGCTGACCACCTGCCAATCACCTGAAATTACTGTGATACCAGGTGACCCATTTTTGAAATAAAAATTCATTGGGCAAAAAAAACCCTCCCACACGCAGTACATGGGGCTTCCTTAGCTTATTTTCAGCACTGGGGAAACCCTGAGTGCAGTGTTTTCCCAACCCTGACTATCAGCTGATTGTCAGGGCTTGGGAAGCCTCATCCCCAGCAGTTCCCAAGCGCTGACAATCAGTTGCTAGTTAGCACTTGGGAAGTGCTGTATAAGGGGCTTTGCAGGCACAATGGATCAGCTGGGACTGCAAAGCCCCTTTTGTCCACACCCTGCCTTTACCTGCCTCACACCTGACATCATATACAACATCAGGTGTAGGGAAGGTTGCTGTGGCTTGGCCAAAACGGCCTGGTGGTCTAACAAGGCCTCTGGGCTGAAGGAAGGATCCCCCGTCCCTGTCTTAAGCTCACCACTGTTTCACAGCCCGCCAAGAGTCCCCCACCACCCCAGCTTCTTCCTCCACTTCCCCTTAGCTCCAAGCTTATACTTACGTTTGTCTACCACCGTAACATGGATGGTCTTGTTGACCATGATGTTGTGTGTGAACTCCGCCGCGAAAAAGAGCGTGCGGTTGACAGTGCAGACGTATTCACCCATATGGTCAAAGGTCACATTAAGAATGAAGATGGAGAGATCCTGCAAGTCCCGGATGTTCTTGGTCCCGTTCCAATGAACCAGGCCCTCAAAGCGAGGATCCATCACGTTGAGCCTCTCATCTGGGTCATAGCGAAGGATCTGGAGGACAGGTGAGGTTCAGTCCACACACAGAGAAGCCTGGTTGGCAGAGGTGGCCCTACTATAAGGCAAGACGTACTCAACTCCAATCTTGAACTCACTAGGTGGAAATACGCAAACCTTTCCCACTCACAGCCTCAGACTCCCAACACCAATCTGGAAGGGAATAATACAGGCTTGCATATAGGGTTGTTGGCTCCGAGCCCGCTTTCAGGGATGATGGCGGGTCTGCTAGGAGAGATTGGGACTGGTAGGGTGGAAGACAGGGAGCCCAACAGTAGGTGGCGCCAGAGCTCATAACAGGCAGAGCCAACTCATTCTAGTTTTGTTCCCATCCTCCTCCTGCAAAATTCTGCAAGGGCAACACTAATGCTAAGGAGGAGAAAGCTGATAGCCCTTGGGCTGGTTGTAAGAAGGCAGGCAAGTGCAGGCTGGTTGAGGACAAAGTGAGTTTGGTGGGGCAGTGCCCCATCAGTCCATCTTCTGCCCTACCAGTCCCAATGTGCGCCAGCCTCCCCTACCCCTGTTCCCTGTCCATCGGCCACAGTGGCTGGGGCTGATGGGATTTGGAGTCCAATATCTGGAGGGCCATAGGCTGCCCACCCCTGTTGCAACTAAGTGAAGTATATGAAACACTTTGAATGCTGGAAAGCACAATGCAAATGTTGTCCTTTTATATTATGATGGTGACCACCCTGTAAAAGCCATCTAAGGTCCACCAGCACGATTTTTATGGGCTTTGTTTACACCATCCTGCCTCTATCCTGTTCCCAAAAGTCTTTTGCCTGCATCTCTGTCTTCTTCTTTCTCTCTGAGACCTCCTATACATGCAGGTGCTCCTAAAATGGTTAATCATTGATGTAGTTAATAAAAATAGCCTGGGGAAGAGCTCTCGGGAACACCAAGTACCTTGGAACTCACAAATCAACAAAGCCATTTCAAAGGAACAAAAGACACCCAATGGGAGTCTTTTGGGAGGTCCAGCACATCAGACTATCTGCATTTAATTGCAGTTGGTGTACGAAGAGTGTGCATACTCCATGCGTGCCCGTTTCATGTATAGTTTCCAGCATTTAGTCAACTTATTTGTTAGATTAAAACAAGTGCCTGCCACCCTGGGATCAATCAGTAGAGGAGAGCATATATATTCAATAGAATATTCTATTGAATATTCTATTGAATATATTATTCAATAGAATTGGAATGCTAGAACAACAAAAATTCCTCTAACTAGTTTTCAACAACTTAAAATACTTATTAAAATATTGATAGGAACAAACATTTAATAACAAACTATATAAAAGATGTAAAATATAAATACAATCAGGGATTTTTTTTAAAAAAAAACCACATACTTTTAATTAAAATAAAATGCTCAAGTTATATGCCTGGGTTGGCTTGCTGAAACAAAAGAGTTTTTAGCAGGTGACGAAAAGAAAACAACTCCTGCCTAATATCAATGGGCTCCAAAGAATGGGTGCTGTCCCACTAAGGGATTGATTTCTTACAAAAGCAGAACAAACATTACTTGGCACTTGCAAAAGTACCATATATATTCCCTCCATGGTTGGGGGGAGCCCAGCCCCCTGAAAAAATACATTGAGGGGGGTGGAAACTGGCTCAATGGGAAAACTTTAGAAATTCATAAGATATCACATCGTCGTATCAATCTTCTCAGTTCCAATGGCATTTAGGTCCCAGGGAAGTGAAGAATAAGGGGAGGGGTGAGTGAGCCCACCATAATTCCTGAGACGTACAGTCATGGCTGAAATCCTGCCCCAAGAGTGTCAGACAGATAACCATCTCAGTCACAGTGCCTACCCACCCCATAGTGGGATGAAGCCCCCAACAAGACAAAGGGGTGTATTTGACTTGACTAGGGGACTAGGGAACTGTGAATGTGAAAGACTATATTTGAGTGACAGAGGCATGCCTGGATCTCAGGTTCCACACCTTTTCTCTGACATACAGTATCTATAACGTTTTGATGATGCTTCTGGAAATGCATTATGGGAAACTTTAAAATACTGATGTAGCCACTGTTCGGGGCTTATTGCTGCTTCGTCTTTGTGGTAGTGGGAAGTCTTGTTGCAATAATAAAGATGAGGCCTGCAGCCTGCTGTTTTGCTTCTGTCTCCTGGCTGAAGTCTCTTGCTTGTAAACCCCCAACCTGAATGTATGGGAGCCAAGGTTAGGCAATTGTGAGGTGCTCCAATGACTCCCTTACACCATGCTTCCAGGCACTATTTTGCACTTGCCTTTGATTGATGGCCTTTGTAGTCCAAAGGTGGGATTAGGGCAGATCCCACAAGCTTATTCTAGATCTGTGTATTTATGATGAAGTTGATTACAACATTTCCTGGTCCAGGGAGTGAACAGGCCATTATTTCACCTGTCCCACCGCCCCCTCCACACAACCGCTTGCCCTTACATCGCCACGGCACACACCTTGACGTATTCTTCCTCCCCCTTCTGCTTGAAGAACCACTCGGTGAAGGCCTCCGCCTCCGTCTCGCTGCGCTTCTTGCAGGAGATGCACAAGATCTGGAAGCTGTTGCCGGCCACGGCCTCGGTGTACGAGTCCACCTCCACGCAGCCACCCTGGCACAACGTCACTGCGAAGGGGAGGCGGGAGAGAAATCACATCAGAAAGGCAACCAAAGCTTCTCACATGTCTCCGGCTCCGGAACGATTGGTTTGTATCCTCTCACCAAGGGCGGCCATCTTTGCCTCCCTTCCTGGCAGCAGCATTCTTCCAGGGGTTAAAAGGATTCTAAGGTCTCAAATATAGAATAAATGTTGATAATTGCAAGCATACGTAAGTATATAAACCACATGACTACAATAGTACAAGAGAACAATCCAAAAGCCATCTTGGCTCCCCTAAAGACTCCAAATATTTCCTCTGCCTCCTTAATCCCTCTTGCCTGAGACCACGTAGGCAGGTAGCAATGAGGGGAAGTTCCTGAAGCGATTCCTCTGCTATATCTATGAACCTCCTTTGTATTAGTTGTCATCGTTTGCCCAGATGCTCTGCACTGAGGACATCCTGACTGTCTTATCAAATGCTAATGTTTTGTGTAAACTGTGTCTGGAACTATGCAAAACTTGCCAAATCCTCAGGAATATCACACCTTGGCCTGCCTGAGCCACAGCAACCTCACCTTATGTGTGATGTGATTTCTGACTGTTTGTAAAGGGGATGTCCTTCTTCACCACACCAAAATGAAAACCCTTAAAAGAGATGTATCTTCTTGGTTCTGAGTCTCTCTTTGCTCCTTGCTAGGTGGGGAGGGAACTCTGCTGCAACAGAAAAATAAAGATCTGCCTTGCTTTCACTGCCTCCTACCTCCATCCATTCATCTCAGACCGATCATGGACTTAGGAGACTCAGTCCCTTGGGGAGTTGGGCAGCAAAAGACAACCAGCCCTATTTTTCCATATCACAGACACTGCTAGCTTTCAGTTTTGGGGACCCACACTGAGCACAGAAACAAAGCCTCGTCATTTTAATATTTTGTCACCTGCTGAAGACGTTTCTGTTTCACTAAGCATGTTCAGATGAAGTATACCTCTGGCTTTTTAGGTACACAACATACATTTACATACCAATGAAAATAAGGGACGCCCCCTTCCATAATGATAGTTTTACTATTTATACCCCACACATCTTACTGGCTTGCCCCAGCCACTCTGAGCAGCTTCCAACATATTTAAAAACATAAGAAAACATTAAACAAACTTCCCTATACAGGATTGCCTTCAGGCGGCTCGGGGGTTGGATAACTCCATACCCTCCAACATTCTTTCAATGAAAATAGGGACATCCTAAGAAAAAGTGGGACATTCTGGGATCAAATCAAAAACCGGGAAGGCTTCTCTAAATCAGGGACGTCCCTGGAAAATAGGGACACTTGCAGGGTCTGCGCTGAAAGCACATGAATCTCACCCCGAAAGAATTCTGGGAACTGTAGTTAACAAACTACTGTCCCCAGGATTCTTTGGGGGTGATTGCCAGGGATAGTAGCTTGGTGAGAGATAAACGAGAGCACCTGGGGTTCTTTTGAGGAGAACAATGTGCTTTCAAAATACAGGCAGTGACCATTTTAGCGATATGTGCACAACTGCAAACGCACACTGAACCCGAATGTGACCCGAAAACATCACAAAAATGGGCGGAACAGAGACAGGGTGGGAGCAGAACAGAGTTTCTGCAGGCTTCTTCAATGGCATTTCAAATATACGCGGTTTCACTTAAACACGTGGTGCCTTAGAACATAACCTCCGCGTCACATGGGAGTTGCCTGTATTTAAAATGCATGGTGTGTATGCAGCCTGAGTTAAATTAAATGCTTGAATAAATAAATACATTTTGCATTTATAAACATCTAAATTGGCATATGTAAATGTGATCTATATCCTCTTTTTCGGTGGCATATAAGCAGCCACCGTAGCCTTGAGTACTATATATTTGGGGTTGGGGGGAAGAATATAGGGTGACCTGATAAAAAACAAGATAGGGCTCCTACACCTTTAATGCTTGTACTAAAGATGTAATTTCTCCTGCTTCGATGCCTGATTCCATACCACTACGGAAGCCCTGTCCTTGATTGGAAAGAGATGTCTAGAGGAATGCCACCTGCTGCTCAGCCTCAGGTAGCAAAAGACCCCAGGTGCCTAGATACAAAAAAAACAAAAAACCACAACCCACAAAGGGCTGTAGCTCATTGACAGAGCATTTGACTTGCATGCAAAAGGTCCCAAGTCCAATCCCTGGCATCTCCAGGTAGAGCTGGGAAAGTTGTTTTAAACTCTAGAGTGCTGCTGCCAATCAGTGCAGACATGGACCAGTAGATGGACCAGTAGTCCGACTCAACATAAGGCAGCTTCCTAGGTTCCTGTTCCTGCACCTTTGATAGCACAGCAGGAGAGGGGGTTTCAGCAAGTGTAAAATTGCAATATGCTGTCCTTTGCCCCTTTGTTGGCTCACGCAACCCTGGAGAAGGCCCCGGTTTTCCCCCCTCTCGTCTTTCTGTGCATTCTGTGCATCAGCAGGCACTGCTGGGAGCCAGTGTGGCATAGTGGTTAAGAGCAGTGGACTCGTAATCTGGGGAACCGGGTTCGCTTCCCCGCTCTTCCACATGCAGCTGCTGGGTGACCTTGGGCCAGTCACACTTCTTTGAAGTCTCTCAGCCCCACTCACCTTACAGAGTGTTTGTTGTGAGGGAGGAAGGGAAAGGAGAATGTTAGCCGCTTTGAGACTCCTTAGGGTAGTGATAAAGCAGGATATCAAATCCAAACTCCTCCTCCTCCTTTCTGCAAGGTGTCTGCTAATGCCAATAAATACAAATGTAAGTCGACGGTGCGAGTTCTGACTAATGCAGCCGCAACAGACACTGCCAGCTCCCACCAGCTTCTTGTGCCTGCCATGATGACCCTTGGAGCTCAGCCTATGGTTGGCGGGAGGAGAGGGCCACGGGTCTACAGGAGTCTTCCCAGAATGCCTTGGGAGGGGTGGAAAGATGCCCAGTGGGGCAGGAGAAGCTGGAAATGGGACAAGTTAAGGAGCATGGAGGAGGGGCCAGGGCCAGCTGCAGACATCTTTCCACCGAAGAACTTCCTCTAAGGAGATAGAGAGCCTCACAACAGCTTTTAGGTTGAACAATAGCGAATCTTCCCGAAGGCCGTCCTCAGAGCTTCATGGCCAAGTCTGGATTTAAAGCTGGGTTCAAGCTCAATGTTCTAACCACTAGGATTGCTGACCTCTGCACCAGCTCACGGTATGTGGCCCTTTAACGGTACTCTGATCTGGAGCAATCGCTGGAGCACCCCCAAATACAACTTCACTGAAGGTCAAACCAGACATGATTTCAAGGACATGATTCACATGCTTGTGACCAGGGCCCTGTCTCATTTATTTACAAAAATTACTTCCTTCCTTTTGTTAGACTCTGCTAACGAAATCACCATCAAAGTGGCAAAATTCTGTGCATCAGCAGGCACTGCTGGGAACCAGATGATTAAAGCCCTCTACCAAACACACCAGCACTCAAAAACTACCGTAGTTCTAGTTTAATTGTGAACAAAGCATACACAATGCTTTTTGTTATGTTGTTAATCCCAAAAAGGCTTTTGCCTGGAAACTGTAAAATTGCATGTGTTTAGATGTATTCTAGTGGCTGATCTGAAATCGTAAGAATATTGATTGATAATCAAGTCCCACAGATTTGAATGGGATGACAATTTTTTCTCCCTCAGCCTTGCCCCACTTCCCTGCTGAAAACCCCATTTCCAGAAGCTGTCATTTGGTTCAAAACATTACAAGTGGGGCAATGGACAAGCTCAGGAAGCGATTTTCAGCAGGAAAACAATGCAGGAGGAAAGGATTAACAGCCTCTGTCAACTCTCATTGACACTCTGACCCTGCAGAATCCTGTTGACTCAATTTTAATTTATGAATACTTGCTTTTGTCATATGCGAATTATTGTCCAAGTGCATACAAAGGGCATTAATTGTATCCTTCTGTTTTGTATTCTGTTATCTCTTATTTCACTAATTAAAAAAACAATATTTCAACACACACCCACACCCACAACCCTGCATGGCATGATCCCAATCCACATCACCCTCCACCCCTGCCCCAACTTTCTGGGTTCTTTCTATAAACAAAGGGATGTCAGAACTCATAAACACAACGGGTTGAGGGTGGGGAGAAGTTTTGCAAATTAAAACTGGGGCAAATAGCGGCTGGGGGCACAATTTTAATTGGCGGGGAAGGCTTTTTATAAATAGATGTTGCTAGATGCAAACATACAACTCTACGACCTGATTTAAGTTCATGCCTGAGCCAATATGGTCCAGAGCAGGGATGCAGGGCCTCAGGCCCAGATGATGCCCTCCAGGCTTCCCCATCTGGCCCCCGGGGTTCTCCCCAGGCCACACCCCCTCCTGAGCTGGACCCTCCCCAGCCCTGCATTGGAACCTCCTGGACTGTTTTTGCCTGGCTGCAATGTGCCCTTCGATTCCTGGTAATGCTTCTTTCTTGCCTGGATGGAGGACAGAGAGGGATGGATGAGCATGAAGAAACTGGCCTGCTATACAGTGGTTTTAGAAAAATAAATAAATCACATTTGTTGCCCCTCCCACTTTTGTCTCTGGCCCCACCCACCAATTGCATGTGGCCCCCAGACGATTGCCCAGAAGCGAATATGGCCTTTGGGGTGAAAAAGGTTCCCCACTCAAAGTTCAGGGTTGAAACGTGAGGCAAGAGTCTCATCAACCGGATAGCTCAGTTGGTTAGAGCATGGTGTTGATAATGCCACGGTTGCAGGTTCAATCCCTGTATTGGACAGCTGCATATTCTTGCATTGTAGGGGGTTGGACTACATGATCCTCAGGGTCCCTTCCAATTCTACAGTTCGATGTTGATGATGATGATGATTTATTATATATATCCCGCCCATCTGTCTGGGTTTCCCCAGCCACTCTGGGCGGCTCCCAGCAGAACATTAAAAACACAATAAAACTTCAAACATTGAAAACTTCTCTAAACAGGGTTGCCTTCAGATGTCTTCTAAAAGTCAGATAGCTGTTTATTTCCTTAACATCTGATGGGAGGGAGTTCCACAGGGCGGCCCCACTACTGAGAAGGCCCTCTGCCTGGTTCCCTGTGGCTTCACTTCTCGCAGTAAGGGAACTGCCAGAAGGCTCTCGGAGCTGGACCTCAGTGTCCTGGCTAAATGATGGGGGTGGAGACACTCCTTCAGGTATACTGGGCTTAGGCTATTTAGGGCTTTAAAGGTCAACACTTTGAATTGTGCTCGGAAACGTACTGGGAGCCAATGAAGTTTCTTCAGGACTGGTGTTATGTGGTCTGGGCGGCCACTCGCAGTCACCAGTCTAGCTGCCACATTCTGGATTAGTTGTAGTTTCCAAGTCACCTTCAAAGATTCAATCCAGATCCTACTTTGCCATGGGAGTTACTGAGAGTGGTCTTGGGCATCCGTCAGTTCCCCTTCTGTAAAAGGAGAATAACTCACAGGATCCGCAGGCAAACCACTGGAACAAAGGACACTGCCGGCTATTCTGTGGAGATCAGCTGCATCAGCAGGAAGAACACAGCTGCCATCTGTTAAGATTGAGCTCCTGCTGAGGCACCGGCACTGCATATGTTACAGTGCACTGACTCCCTGAATCCAGAAAAGTCGGAGGCAAAACTGAGCAAGTCTGAGGCAAAATTTACTTACAGGAGTAAGGCCCACTAAATCCATTTGGATTTACTTCTGAGTAAGCATAAGCTTTTGCTGTACGTGATAACGACAATGATAATGCTACAGCAGGATTGGTAAACCTGTGGCCAGATGTTGCTGGGCGAGGACCTGGGAGACCAGGGTTCAAATCCCCACCCAGCCATGAAGCTCACTGGGTAGCCTTGCGCCAGTCCCTGCCTCTCAGCCCAACCTACCTCACAAGCTTGTTGTGAGAATAAACGTCCGATACAAATATCTCACATCCCTTCCACTATCCCCACTTCCACCTCAGGAGATTCACTTGGCACCTGCAGATGCCACAGTTCAGGTGGGTTTGTTTGACATTTGCGAAGTCGTATCATGGTCTCATTGCACTGCTATTCAGAGGCGGAGGAAGGGGGTGCGCGGTCCGCCCTGGGTGTCGCCACTCAGGGGGGTGACAAAATGCTGGGTAGCACTCACTGTGGGGCCTGCAGTGCACCCGAGCCACACGTCTCTTCTGGGAGACACAGTGGCTTGGGCACACGCAGACTCCGCGCTGCCCAAAGAGTCCAACCGCTGCCTCCCCCCCCCCCAGCTGTAGGGTGGCTGAGTGGGAGAGGCAGGCAGACTCCGGAGACCCCTGTGGTGCACCCTGCCCTCGCCCCACCCCTATGGTGGCTCGCCCTGTCCCAGGGCACACTGCCCCAGGCACCCGAGGGGCTTCCTCTGCTGCTGTTCAACTACCGTGTGTCTCATTCCCATATTAGTGGGGCAGGAAAGCTGCCCCCCACTAAGTCTCCTGATGTATATTTTGCTCTAGGAGGCTTAGTTTGGTCAGAATCGAGGATAGACCTCCAGAGTTAACACTACATACATTACTTCTGCTAAATGAGCCACCACAAGCTGCTAGAGGGCTGTGAAAATTTGTGTCCCGGGCTTCTTAGACTCGTCTACCCATGTATTATCTGAAACCAAAGGGGCGCATTGGTTGCCAGGTATGATTTTTTCCCCCAGCTATCCTACCCCATTATACAGTGGTACCTCGGGTTACATACGCTTCAGGTTACAAATTCCGCTAACCCAGAAATAGTACCTCAGGTTAAGAACTTTGCTTCAGGATGAGAACAGAAATTGCGCAGCGGCAGTGTGGCAGCAGCAGGAGGCCCCATTAGCTAAAGTGGTGCTTCAGGTTAAGAACAGTTTCAGGTTAAGTACGGACCTCCGGAACAAATTAAGTACTTAACCCGAGGTACCACTGTATAGAGATTTGACAGTTTTTACCTCCATTTTTTTTTAAACTATCTCTTTTTTTATATATACTTTTCAGGTTTATACATTTCACTGATTTTACAATCATTTTGACATTTCAAAACTTGACTTCCTTCCCCCTTTTTCTGCGGTTCCTTAAATTTATTTCTAATGTATTCTGCATATCCTAATTAACTTAATTGGCTCATTTATTCATCTTCTTTAGATATATACTCTTACAAAACTGCAGGTTATTACAATAATCCTGCCGTTGTTTTTAACTGTTCACAATTTATCTGTAAATATTCAATAAACCATTTCCATTCTTTTATTTTTTTAAAAAGTTTGTTATCTTGATTTCTTATTCTTCCAGTAAGTTTCACCATTTCTGCATATTCCAGGAGTTTTTGTATCCATTCTTCCTGTGCTGGGACACCTGTGCAGGGGCGAAGGAAGGAGAACCGCCACCCAGTCCGGGATGTCGGGGGCGGGGCAAACCGCCCGGTGCGCATGCGTGCGCACTGCTATGTACAGTGCATGCGCCACTAAGTACCACCCATGTGAGAGCGCCGTACGGACGGTGGCGGAGGGTGCAGCTGCAAGTGGAGGATCTTCCGCATGCGGCGGCGGCATGATGGCGGCAGCTCGCACCGCCGCACCCGGGGTGGCAGGGCAAGTCCCTCGTGGGGTGCCTTCTTGTCACCCCCTCAGAGATGGCACCTGGGGAGGACCACCCCTGCCCCCCTTCCTCCGCCACTGCACCTGTGAGCTTGGGCCCCAGAACTGACCAGTAAGATCACCTCACCCCACAAGGAATCCTGCCTCTTCCTTGGGAGTAGGAATGAAAGCGTCAGAGTGGGAAGCCTGCAGAGATCAATTACTGGGACTGCATCATCATTAAGTGTGACTGAGCACCCGTGGGCGAGTAATTGAGTAGGTGTGACAACATTGTCAGCAAAGGGAGGAACGCATGTGCGCATGTTTGTGGCTGCAAAGCGTGTCAGCACACCAGTGGGCGAGAGCCAGCGTCCTCCGGCAGGTCATTTTCTTTCTCCCCGCTTTTCATGCATCAGCAATGACACCCTGCTGGCTCGAAGGACAGAGCTTGCAGAGGGAGCTTTGCTGACTTCAGCACACAATCAGTAGCATCTGAAGCACCAGCGGTTCTTTTGCAAAAGTCTTAGCTGCTGACCAATCCTCAGCACTCTCCTGCTTGAGAACCAGCAGGACATGACGTTCAGCCTCTGCGATCTCATGCCAGAAACCCCCAGGGCTTTAAAAACAGGCTTGTAAACAGCTGCTCGCCTAGGGTTGAGTCAGAATCTGGCTCAAGGTGACCAGGTAGGGAAAATTATGAAAGTTACTTTTTCTTGAGGGTTTGGCCCCAGGTTTTCCTAGAGGGGGCAAGGGCTTAACAAGATGCCTTGATTCCTTCACATATACATGTGCAAAGTCTCCTTCCACATGGCTGCTAGCATACTTGGAAAGGGCAGGTACAAAAAGAGTGGGAAGGGACCTCAGGGCTCTGGAAACATAGGCAATTGTTTCATTCCATCTAACTCAGCAGCACTAACAGGCAACGAAGGAGAAATGTGATTCTGTTTGCGTTTAACAAGAAACTACCTTACCTACACTTTTCAAACCAATATGTGAACCAAACCGCAGCTCTTCTTCTAGGAACGGCTAAGGGAGCTGGGCATGTTTAGCCTGGAGAAGAGGAGGTTAAGGGGTGATATGATAGCCATGTTCAAATATATAAAAGGATGTCACATAGAGGAGGGAGAAAGGTTGTTTTCTGCTGCTCCAGAGAAGCGGACACGGAGCAATGGATCCAAACTACAAGAAAGAAGATTCCACCTAAACATTAGGAAGAACTTCCTGACAGTAAGAGCTGTTCGACAGTGGAATTTGCTGCCAAGGAGTGTGGTGGAGTCTCCTTTTTTGGAGGTCTTTAAGCAGAGGCTTGACAACCATATGTCAGGAATGCTCTGATGGTGTTTCCTGCTTGGCAGGGGGTTGGACTCGATGGCCCTTGTGGTCTCTTCCAACTCTATGATTCTATGATTCAAAGTTTGCACTTCTCTGAATTTTGCAATGCAATGCTTGGACCAAACACCATATACCAAAAAATGCACATATAGGGGGGTGGATGTGCATAAAACATAGGGTTGTCTCCAATGTCAGCCCTACTCAGAGTAGGCCCAATGAAAGCAAGATATATAAATTTACAGTCATTCAATGGGTCTACTCTGAGTAGGACTTAGCTTATTACAAGCCATATTTTAGTGAAAATAACATACAAAAATGTACTTTTTCCAGGGGGAACTGATTGCAAAAAATGTGTAAATGTGCATGCTTTAGTTTAGATCCCTGCATTGCAGGGGGTACAACTAGATGTCCCTTGGGGTCCCTTCCAATTCTACAATTCTATTATTCTATGTAAACTGTAACATGTTTATCAGGAGAAATTGGCATAGACGTGTTGATGAATTTTCATGAGGATTTTTTTCCCCATCGCAAGTTGCTGTGGAAATGTGGAGAATTTAAGTCTGGAAAATCAGCGGGCCACCCCTTCTGCAACTCATCTCCTTCAGCCTGAATTAGGGAACGAATATATATTTTAAGGAGAAGAAAAGGGGGTGAGATTGGGAGGACTAGATGCCAGCTTACTCTGTCTGGGTTGTGTTTGTATGCGTGAATATAAATATTATTTTAAATAGGAGGTGCCAGCTCCAGGTTTTTGGGCCAGCGGAAATCAGTGCACATGCCCAATCCCAAAGGAGAAAACGCCGCCCGGGAGAATGTTCAAAGTGCTTTTCCTCTTGCCGTTGCAGAACCAGAGCCAACATCTGAGGCTAAGAGAATGGGCTCCCAGGACAAAGGTGGATGCTTCCCGATAGCACCTCTCATCCATCCCTCTAATAGCAAACACAGAAGGTAAGTGCCAACAGGACTGTAGCCAAAATGTGGCCATTGAGAAACAAGAGGGAGATATCAGCATGCCTGGAGAACTCAAAAAGGGGAGCTGTGTTTTTTTGGGAGGGGGTGAATTTAATGGATCAGGGAAAAACAAACCCAAATGGGGACTGAAGAGGCTCAACGGCTGCAAAACACTGAGTATCTGGTTGAAGGAGAACGGTCATGCGATGGAAGAGAGGAATGAAACGGGAGTATCCTGAAAGAAGCTGCCGGGTTGGCTGGAACACTGAGCAGCTAAAAGGCACGCTGCAACGTTGTGTTGCAGGTCCCACTCGTTTCATGCGCTTCTGACATCAAAGATGCTTGCTGCGAGAAAGCCTGGGAGATCACTGCGGCCCACCAGGTGAGAAGATGGGAGCAGAGGCCGGTGGCCAAGGTTTCTGCAGGCCTTAGCAAATGCCTGATTTCTCTCCACGCCGATGCAGACCCTGGGAATGCATGGGTCTTGCAAGGACCTTGCCGACGAGTGTCAAGCAAGCTCGGGGAATGTCAGGAGGCGGGTGGACTGTATCTTCCTGAGCACTGCCATTTGGCCACAGCCCCACGATCAACTCTGCAGCACTCGAGCAAGAGCCGTGAAAATTTAATGATTAGAAATGGGCCGACCATTAGTTTTAAGTAGCGTCCAGAAACACAAACAATCCCCAGATGTACAGCTCCTTCTATTAGCATAAGGTAAGAGCATACCTTTAATATTGTTTGCAAATTATAACATCACTACTCCCCCACCTTTAAAAACATACAGTTTCCTCCAGGATGTCTTGCTCCCCTTTGCTGTCAAGACTGGGAGAATTTGTCCATTTCTGTTTCTTTCAGTGTCTCATCCTTTCAAGAAGTTCAGTTCTGCATATTCCCACATCGGTTTGCAATTAAAAACAAATAAATGCAGCAGCATTGCTACCCTCAGTTAAAATGGGTGGGGGACTTCAGGCGCTGGGGCTGAATGCAGCCTTGCAGGCCTCACTGAATGTGGCCCTTGGAACTCTCTTCAGGCCACGCCCCCTCTCCAAGCCACGCCCACACCTCATTAAATGCTCTGGCCTGGCCAGAAAGTGTCCTTCAACTGTGTGTTAATGCCTCTTGTTGGCCTAGATGGAGCATGGAGAAGTGGATGTACAGATATCTTTGACCTTGGGGTGGCTGGAAGGAAGCTTTACTGTCCTAAAGAGTCAAATCTATTGCTCCACCTATTTTGGCTTCTGGCTCCACCCACCACTGACATGCACACACACAGCACAGAAGGTAATGTGGTCTTTGGGTGGGAAAAGTTTCTCCGCCCGAGTTAAAAGGAACAGCTATCAACTGAAGTGAAAAATCTCTGCCTGAAGCCCTTGATGGACAAACAGATTTAATAACTTGGGGGAGGCTAGCAAATTAATACCCAGTGCAGTTTGGCCATCAGCTTAGATTGGGTTCCCGTTTTAGCACCACATTTTTTCTTGGCCCTGGTTGTAAATTAATGGGGTGACTTGGAATGCTATCCAGGTGCTCTCTCTGTGCTATTGGTTAGCAGCCAGAGGCCCTGGTATGAAATCTGACCAACTGCATAAGACCACTTGGCCCATCTGTTGCCAGACCATGGCCAAAAGGGCAGAGAGTGTGGCATCTGCAGCAGAACAGAAATTTGCAAACGAAGGAATGCAGTGCTTTGGGGGAACCAGGGGATCTTCTTGACCCTCCACCCCTGACTCTGTTCTAGCCCTCCAGAAAATCTGGTTGCTGACGAGGGTTGTACACCCTTCGCACCCCAATGAAAGCATCCTGCCCAACAGCAGAGGTGAGTCCAAGAGGGCCACACCTGAAACAAATATGTAGCTACATATTTAAAAAGGTGTCATTTGTATGTCATTTGCAAAAAAAACACAAACCAAGGTCAGTGCAGCTCAACCACAGCAAGCAAGCATGCAGCTTCCCTTTTGTAAATAGCTTTTCTTTGGGATTAAAGGTAAAGGGACCCCTGACCATTAGCACTCATCTCGCTTTACTGGCTGAGGGAGCCAGCGTACAGCTTCCGGGTCATGTGGCCAGCATGACTAAGCCGCTTCTGGCGAACCAGAGCAGCGCATGGAAATGCCGTTTACCTTCCCGCCAGAGCGGTACCTATTTATCTACTTGCACTATCTACTTGCAGGTTGGCAGGAGCAGGGACCGAGCAACGGGAGCTCACCCTGTCGCGGGGATTCGAACTGCTGACCTTCTGATCGGCAAGTCCTAGGCTCTGTGGTTTAACCCACAGCGCCACCCTCGTCCCTATTTCTTTGGGATTACAGATCCCAAAATGTGATAATGGCCACCAATTCTGATGGTTTCGAAAGGGGTTCTCACCATTTCACAGGTCATCAACAGTAGCTACTCTTGATGGCTATTTCCAGGACCAGAGTCCTGTCTGTCGGCTTTTTGTAGGGCCAGCCGGCCCATGAGGCGGACTGAGGCAGCCACCTCTGCCGGCAAAATCCCACAGGCCAGCACCCTGCCCCCCCCATCCTACCCACCTGGGCATGTAACCCTCCCCCCGAAGGTTGTCCATAAGGGCATAAAGCCCCCCATAATTTCAGTTTGGGTGCTGAAAGAGTTTTCCCTCACTTGTTCAAGTCAGAGAAGTGAAGAAATTGTTTGAGGAATTTAGAAGTAGTGGTGCGCAAGGAACAAACGGTTTGCGAGTTCTGCTCTAGAACCCTAAATTCCTGTCAGCTCAGATGGCATGAGTAAAACGTGTGACACATTGCGCAGTCGACGCTACCACATCGGCGGCCACAGATGTCAAAAATGTTCCACTTTCCATTTCACGGTTTTAACGTCATTCCACCCGTGCGCCTTAATTCAGCACCAGACAGCTTGTGAAATACAGCTGGTTCGCAAATTTCAGGATTTAAAACAGATCAATCTGTATGCCTTTTGTATAGCCCACTGCTATGGAGACTTTGTAAAAGTCCCTTATTTTGGATTGATGAAGATATACACAGGAAGATGACAGATCAAAGATCAGGGGCCCAGGTGCGAGCTGGGAGGGTCTACTTTTCTGTATATGGAGAAAGGGATTTGATAAAATTCCAATAGAGGACTTTTGGTATTCATTCTTTTTATTTTTCTCCTTCTGCCTCTCTATTTCTTTACCATTCTCTCTCTTTTTTATTTAGGTTATTCTTTATTCTTTTTCTTTAGATTAGTTTGGCTTTTCTTGTATGCAATGTAGAAAACCTTCGATAAAAATATTTACAGAGAGAGAGAGAGAAACTGACTTCAGCATGTATTGCTAAATTATTGCTGATTTCTGAAAAAGCACTTCAGTGTTAGGAATCTCACTTCTAATGATCACGTTCTGAGATCCCGAGAAAAGCCCATATAATAAATAAATACAGGTAGACACAGATGGGAGGAGGGCCATGACATCACCCACCCATTCCACTAGAGAGATGTACTGTTGACATAACAAAATACAGCGCACAAGCCTTGCCAAAGTGTAGGAAGGATGCAAGTGGGGGGGTGGAGACCGGGAATAGATTCATCCAGTACTTTCCAGAATGTGGAAAATAGGCATGGGTTTTCTTCCATCTGCAAAGCATCCAGAGCTTTTGATTAAGACAGGCTTGCAAATAGCAACCAGCCCCTGGGGTGAGTATATTTTTAAAAAAATCACTTCCAGGCTACCAGGCATAGGACAGTTTTTTAAAAATTGGAAACAAATAATTATCTTATTTTAGCTATACATAAATATGTGTGGGAAGGCAACCAAGAAACTTTCTTTCCGGGGGCAGGAGGCATCAGTCCCTTTGCTGTGTGGTATAGTACTGGCTTGTTGAGTCTTCTTTGTTTTTTTACTATAACCCCAAGATCCACAAACAGAAGTTAGGTGCAAAATATATACAGTTTAGAATTAAGGAACGGGGCAGGTTGCCTCTTGAGCACATTCTGAGCCTGGGATTTTGTCTTCATTACCAGAACTGAACTGAGCTCATAATCGTTTCACATTAACAATCCACTCTTAGTGAGCTTTCTTCATCTCAGTGGCCTAATTTAGGAGGGAAAAGTTCTTCTGCAGTTGCAATTGTTGAATGACTAGGAGTAAGGGGGGGAAGGAGGGGACCACTCTTGCTGATCTACTGCAAATCATCCTGAGAGCTAGTAGATCCCAATCTACTTTCTGCCCACCTCTGGTGTAGCAGACTAGGAATCGGGAGACCCAAATTTAAAACCCGCATTCAGCCATAAATCAATCTTCGTAATCTTGGGGGGTCGCCACTGGCTCTCGGCCTAACCTGCCCCACAGGGCTGTTGTGAAAACAACACTGAGATGGAGAGGAAAGCATGCATGTCGACCTAGCTCTCCGGAAGATTACAATGAGGTGGATAAATAAACTGGTGTCAAAGGTTTTGCAATACCTTCCTGAATTATGTCTGTCCAGCCCTATATTTCTACATCCATTCCAATGGGTTTTATTTCAGTGGGCAAATGGTTCTTTATACTGAGGAGCTGTTACAGCCTTATGCTATGTCATGTTGCCCATTTGCTTTAATCAGCTATTTTAATATTTCTGGTTGTGGCTGCAATCCCATGCACGCTTACCCATTTTATACAGTGGGACTTATTCCTGGGTAAATACATAGGATCGTTCTGTGTATTTAATGCAGCTTCTTCTTTTTTTTCTTTACGTTTTACTCCCCTGGGTGATCCGGCAAGCGAAAAAGCAGAGGCACAAATGACTGGAAATAAATAAATTGCTAAGTAGTGGATTGATCTGCATGTCTGCTTTGAAATTCCCGCCCCCACCCTCTATTCTTCCTGGATCCAGGGGGCTGTGTAGTACGAGAGCAAATATTGCTCTATGGAGTCCAATTATTTTCACTATCCTGGATCCGCGAGGAAACCAATGCGCACAGAGACATTGGCTCGGGGTCGTCGTTACTGTGCTCAGCAAGGTAGGAACACCTAAAGGCACCACACACACACACCCTGTGTACTTTGTGAAGTCGGGGCATCCCACTGGGTCAGAACAGAGAACCCCAAAGCAAGGGTTGGCAATCTCCACAGATAGATAGGCAAGATTTTGCTGGACTAGTTGCCACTGACGACATCTGGAGGAAGGCCACAAGTCGCCACAGATGCTATCAAAGATGGTGGGAGAGTTTTCATAGAATCGGAGAGTTGGAACGGACCACTGCCAGCAGTTCTCAACCTGTGGGTCCCCAGATGTTGTTGGACTACAACTCCCATCGTCCCTGAGCTCTGGCCTTGCTAGCTAGGGGTGATGGGAGTTGTAGTTCAACAACATCTGGGGACCCACAGGTTGAGAAAGGCTAGCCCAACGCCCTGCAATGCAGGAATCTTTTGCCCAGCATGGGGCTCAAACCTACAACCCTGAAATTAAGAGCCCCATGCTCTACCAACTGAGCTATTCCAAGCACCTTTCTCCTTTTCCTCTGCCTCCTCCAAAGCCATACTAAATCTATGGGGATGAACCGGAAGATCCTGGCACAGGAAAGCACAGATATGGAAGGGAGAGGATAGAGACCAGGCAGCACAGTCAGGTTAGGACTTGAGGGCAGCAGTCCAGGGTCCCAGACTCTGAAGAATCAGGGTCCCCCAAGCAGCAGGGTTCGGGATGCCACGTTTTGAAGTCGAGTCAAACACATCGCCATCTAAAGTGTTTGGGAGTGGGGAGGATAGTCCAAGGTCTAAAATTACCTGATTGCACCACTGGGAAGATTTCTAAAAGCAAGAAGGTATTACCCTACCCAAAAACCCATCAGAAAAGGCTGCTGACATGCAGGAACAGAGACAGATGGAAGGGGACCCAAGAGGAGGCTGGCAGGAGGCAGGAATAGGTAAGGTAGGTTTTCTAGAAACATTTGTACTGGGCAATTTCCCCATGGAAATTAAGGGTAGTTTGCCACCGGGATTTTTCTGATGCCCTAGCACACTGCCTTATTTAGCATTTTTATTTTGCTTGTATTTAAGAAAGAAAGCTAGAAACTTTGGAAATGCCATGCTTGTCTAATTTTATATTAGCAGTTGGCATTCATTGTTACTCATGAATGCAAAAGAAGAAGAAAAATATGTGGCAAACTAAAGCACCGAAATATTTGGGGGGGGGGGGAGGCCACCCCAGATCATTGACAACAATGGGTGTGATCCTTCCTTAGTTTCTTTTTACCCTGTCCATTCCCCCCCCCATAGAAGTTTAGCAAGAGAAACACTTATATTTTGTCTGCAGCAACCCTTCCCCCCAAAACCCTCTATCCTTTCAACTGTACCTGCCTTATTTTTTCACACAATTCCCTGTTTCTCTTCTGCACACAAATGCACAGCCTGATCCTTCATTTGTAGATTCAGGAATAAATCCCACTGGCTTTAGCCGGACTCACTCAGACCCCTTTTGGAGAACATCTTAGCACACAAAAACTGGGGCACCTTCCTTGGGCTATTGTTCACTTAAAAGTCCATTACCTTTGCAGCCACTGTGACTACTCACTCCCACCCCCAAATTGCTATTACATTTGCAATCTGCTCCTGGTTCCTCTGAGATTATCCCTGCTGGGTTGACTGTATGGGGAGGTGCTACTTTGGGGCCCTTTGGGGAACAGACAAAGAAATCCTGACATGGATTTTAGAGGCCATGGAATGGACTCTGTGGGACCTATAAAAAAAAGTGCAGAAAAGAATTGAGTGGAAGTGGTGTGGCCTCTGTTCAGCCCTGCACAACATACACAAAATCCTGGGCCCTAAGACTGGGGTCAATATGCAAACCCTAATAGAGGCAGCGAAGAACTGGAGCTGGATTTCCAGCTCCCCAGGATGGACTGTTTGCACCCTCTCCAGAGAAGAACCTCTTTATAGGGCCAGTGAAAGCTCAGAGAAGACTCAGCACTGGGTTCACAATAGTGAATCCCAAGAGATTCAGATTCTATCTGAATCATGCCCCAGAAAAACAAAAACAGAAGCCCTTAGCTGAATTGAGGAGGGGGCAGGGATGTGCGTGTTTTGCACTGGGTTCAAGTCCCACGACACAAAATCTAGGAAGTGGGTTTTCTTGGGATTGAACCGGGTGCCTGCGCAGGCCCTAAATGAGCAAAGACCAGGAAGCAAGGAAGGACCCAGCTAGTTTTGCTCCCCCTGCACGTCTAAACTAGGCTTCCGCAACACCCCCACCGAGGTCCCACTCCGTACCCTTAGATCCGGATTCACCCCGTTGCCTCTCTCTCCCTCCCCTCGCCCCCACCCCCCTGTTTCTCCAACTCACCCAGGGCCAAGCACAGCAGGAGCGAGATGGGGCGCGGGGTAGCCATCCCGGGGGGTTCGGATCCAGGGTGCGCGCCCTTCTTGGCCTAGGGGGACAGACACAGCGCCGGGCTCCCCCCGCCCTTCCCAGCAACCGCCTGCGGTCAACAGACAGACGATCCTGGGGGAGAGTCTTCCAGGGAGGGTATTTATAGCCCGGGGCTGAGCTCAGCGCCCGCAGGAGAAAACCCAAGAGCGCCTTGGAATGCCGGAGCCGGATGCAGCTGACTCGGCCTCGGCCACTTGATCCCGCTCGGCCCCGAAGAGGGCGGCGGCGGCAGGGGGCGCTGCGCCGCTAGTTGCCCCGACGGCTGCCCCTTGCGCCGCGGCGCTGCGACGGGACGAAGCCGGGGACCGAGAGCTCGAGGAGATGCAGAAGAGGCAGCCGGCGGGAGGATCCATAAAAGTTGGGATGGGCCCGGAGAGCGCGCGGGGGTCTTTTCTCCTCCTCACCAAGCCAGGGCGAGGCGAGCCGGGGTGGCTTGTCCTGCCGCGGATCCCGCGTCTGGAGCTTTGAATTTCCTGCCAATTTTCTTTCCAAAAAATTTATTTGTTTGCTTGTTTCCCGATCCCAGGAGCCGTGTCCTCCTCACTCCGAGGTGCGCCGGCCAGGCTCCAGGCGCTCACGGCCTTGCTCCGGGTCCGCTGGCGGCAAGGATCCGCGAGTCACCTTTAAATCCGGAGTGCCTTCCGAATGGGCATCCTGTCTCTTTTTCTCTGCGAAAACACGGGCATGCACATACACACACCCCGATCTAACCAGGCAGCGCAGCCCGATTGGCAAAGCGTCTTCGGCGCGCGCAAGGAGGAGCTACCCGCCCCCACGAGCAGGTGCGGGACGCAGCAGGGCCGGATCCATGGCCGGTGCGCGGCGCCTCGGAAGCCCCTTCGCGGGCTGTACTTGGGACGGGGAGATGTCAGATCTTTTTAACCGCTTCCTGTCGCCGGTAGGGCTGGATCGAAGCGAGAAGGAATCGATTTTGGAGACAAGACTCTGCCTGCTGCAGAGGGATGGGAAGGATCAGGGTGTGTGGTGAGACGCTGCCCGGATGACCCTCCCTCCTTCCTTCTCTCTCTCTCCTTCCCGCCTTCCTTCCTTCCTTCAACTGGGGGCTGCGACGCGGCGATTTGCCCGCTCTCGCCTTGCCTAGCCTTCCCCGGCGGCGCGCACCGCTGCGGCAAAGCCGGCGCTGGCGGCGGAAGGCTTGGGCTTGCTGGCGCTGCTGCTGCTCTTGCTGCTGCTGTCGGAGAGGGCGGCTGGGAATGAATCAAAGCGTGCGCCAGTCGGAGGGGGAGGGCGCAGCGAAAGTTGATGCATTGCAGCAGCAGCAGCCCAAGCAACAGCGGGAGCCGAGCAGGGAGCCGCCACGCGGGGCAAGCCGGGGGTAGGCAGGCAAGGGGAGGGCGAGCTGGCTGGACGTGAGCGCCAAGCACTGCGCCCACCTGCCCACCCGTCCGCCTCCGCCTCCTCTGCCGTGTTGTGGGGAATAATCAACGAGGGGGGCGGGTGTGCAAGGAAGATCAGGACGGAAGAGGGGTGCGTCACACTCTGCAGTGGCTGCGGGAGCGGAGGAGCCCGGCAGCAGCTCGTCCCAAGTCGTGTCCCCCGCCCCGCCAGCGCGAGTCACGCCCACGGTGGGTCCTCGACCCCCGCGCGCCTTTCTCCCAAACGGCAGGCGCACCTCGAGATTCTAGTTACAAGAAGAGAAGGGACTGCCCCGAAAGTCTTGACAATGCCCCTGATCGGGCCCTGAAGGACACTTTGCATCGGGTCAGAAGCACTCTCGGCTTTGGTGTGTCACGTGAGTCGAAGCCTTGCAATAGGTCCCTGAGGATGAAACTCCTTGGCCTCTTCATTGGTTATCGGGTTTACAGTATTTTTACCCGCTCTTCATAAAATTCGAGCACAATCTACAATATAGTTATTTTATATAGTTATTTTATATATATAGTTTATATATATATATAGTTTTATATATAATATAGTTATTTTATATATATATATATATATATATATATAATCAATTAAAACTATGTTTGCTGCCTCCCATCCTAGTAAGAAAAGAGGTGCCACGCTCAGTCCTGTCTGTGGCTACTGGGTAATGATAGGGAAAGGCACTTTGCAGATACTCAGAGGCAGCCTCAGTTTTTATCAGCAGACCTGTTGCTCTTTGGCACTGAAAACAGATTCCTGGAGTAAACCCCAGAAAGTGATGCTTCACTTAAGCCCTTCTGCCTGATCCCAAGGAGAAAGACCTCTTTGTCTCTCCCCACCCCTAGTCCTAAATTGGGTAGACAAAAGCAGATGAAATCCCTTTTAATCCACACACAGTGCAGGCTACATATGTTGGAGAGGACACACTTCGGATGCTCTTATCCTGACAAAGTTTAGAACACCAGGAGATGCCCTCTACTTAATCAAATCATTGGCCCATGTAGCTCAGTACAATGGTACCTCGGGTTACATACGCTTCAGGTTACAGACTCCGCTAACCCAGAAATAGTACCTCGGGTTAAGAACTTTGCTTCAGGATGAGAACAGAAATTGTGTTCTGGCGGTGCAGCAGCAGGAGGAGGCCCATTAGCTAAAGTGGTGCTTCAGGATAAGAACAGTTTCAGGTTAAGAACAGACCTCCGGAATGAATTAAGTACTTAACCAGAGGTACGACTGTATTAGGCAGAGCCACACTGCACATTCAAAGCACATCCAAAGCACATGACTTATCCCAAATAATCATGGGAACTGTGGCCTGTGAAGGTTGCTGGGAATTCGTAGCTCTATCAGGGAGAAACCACCACTCCCAGGATTCCCATGTGCTTTCAGTGCCTGTTGGACGTGTTGCCCATGGGCGCAATGGCACCTTAGAGGTCTTCTGCTGGTATCTACACAGCTTCCAACCCTCCCGCTCACTGCCCCCATGGTGGTAAGGGAGAGTATGTTTTAATCCCTTCTAAAACTTTTTTTAATGAGTGACACCCGTTTCCCATTTCTTTGTTCAATCCTATGTGCTTTTCAAGTCTCAAATTAATTTTACTGGATCTGGCTTTATCCCAGATCCCTTGGAAAAGCAAAGTGTGTGTTTTTTGTATCCCCTATATTGGCAGGGGGCTGATCTGAGGAAGCGAGAAGTGACAAGAGGGGTGGCACCTATGATGCTTAAAATCCAGATGTTCCCTTGGACCTAAAAAAAAAGTTGGCAACACATAATACATAATGCATTGCTTGATCTATAGCATTCACCCTGACAAATGTAGTGAAACCTAAAGGTAAACGGTAAAGGGACCCCTGACCATTAGGTCCAGTCGTGGCCGACTCTGGGGTTGCGGCGCTCACCTCGCTTTATTGGCCGAGGGATCCGGCGTACAGCTTCTGGGTCATGTGGCCAGCATGACTAAGCCGCTTCTGGCGAACCAGAGCAGCACATGGAAACGCCATTTACCTTCCCGTCAGAGCAGTACCTATTTATCTACATGCACTTTGACGTGCTTTCGAACTGCTAGGTTGGCAGGAGCAGGGACCGAGCAACGGGAACTCACCCCGTTGCAGGGTTTTGAACCGCCGACCTTCTGATCAACAAGTCCCAGGCTCTGTGGTTTAACCCACAGCGCCGCCCACATCCCTAGTGAAACCTAGATAGCTTTAATAGGGGATTGCATTTGTGATCAGATTCCTGATGTCTACCAGCCATGATGGCTTCAGAAGTGGCTTACTTGTGAAGCACACAATTTGTACGTTGAGGTCCCTGGAGCAAGCACTCAGGTCTCCACTTGGAGGGGTTGGGGAAGCTGGTGATGTGAAATGCCTTTCTCTGCCTGAGACCCTGGAAAGCTATTCTGCCAGTCAAGAGTAGGCAGCACCGGTCTAGATGGGACAAATAATCTGATCTAGTATTCAGAATTCGCCAGGCACATTTTGCATCTAGCTATCAGCTGTGTGTGACCAAGTGAAGATGCCCGAGTGCCAGGATGTCACCTGACGTCTCCTCCATCTGGAAGTGTGTGCCTAGCGATCCTTGGGTCTTGCCCGTTTCCACACACTTAACATCACACCCTGTAGAATTCTACCCATGATATTTTATGTGCCACAATCAGAACAAATTTCAGGAACCAAAAAATACAACTTTCCAGTGGGGTCTGGCATCAAAATGGCAACTAGACATTCCATTTTGGCAACTGCAACCCTGGTTTAAGGAGCCATTTGGCTCCTAGCTTGTATATCTGAGTTTCTAACACTGGTCTGATCTGGGGTTAAGGCAGCTCCCTGTGTTTAATGCAAGCTAATGAGCGGTTCAAATTCTAATTTCTGAATGCACGCATGAAACCAGCAGGCGGCAGTTACTCGGGACTGATTTAATGAGCACTGCAGAGGTGCAGTCTTGTATATTCATCATCAGTCACAAACCCGCTCTCCCTTTCCTCTTATCATCTACCTGCCTCCCACAATGCCTCACCGTAACATTCCCCATCTCCCAGGCTCTGAGAGATTCTCTGATTTCAGCCTTATCTCCCAGTTCCCATAACAGGCTCCTGCATCATTCACTTATGCAAGGCTAATGGACACACACACTTGCCTGCCTGGGAGTCCGATGATGGAGATCCCTCCCGTTCCACTCCAGTGCCGCGGGGGTCAGCATCCACGCTACTCTGCCCCATTCTGAGCAGCAAGCAAAGCTTTCAAGGGCCTCTTTGACTCCAGCATGGTTCCTTGTCCCTTTGCCCTTCAGAGATGCTGTTTCAGCTGAGCCGTTAAGGTTGGTGAGGAAAGGCGTGTGAGCCTAATAGACTGTGAGGGAATCATAGAACTGTAGAGTTGGAAGGGTCCCCGAGGGTCATCTAGTCCAACCTCCTGCAATGCAGGAAGACTTGAGCCACACTGCCTATCAGAGTAGGCCGTACCGTGAGCTTACTTGAGAGACCCCATTTCTGGGAGTTCTGCTACCATTTGAGAAGAGAATCCCACAGGAAGTGAAGTTACAGGGAACCAGGCAGAGGGCCTTCTCGGCAGTAGCGCCCTCCCTGTGGAATGCCCTCCCATCAGATGTCAAGGAGATAAAGAACTACACAACTTTTAGAAGACATCCGAAGGCGGCCCTGTATCAGGAAGTTTTTTTATGTTTGACGTCTTACTGTTTTTAATATGTGCTATAAGCCCAGTCAGATGGGCGGGGTATAAATAATGCAATTATTATTATTATTATTATTATTCCTCTGATCCAAGTGATGGTTGTGGCATAAAGGACCGTCCAGTTGTTCCTACCTAAACACTGCTGAGTCTTCAGAGGTTTACAGCAACTTGCAGCAGTGTGAACCCATAGAAACCAATCCCCACACTACTGCTAGAGTGCCTCACCTGCACCCATGTTCCTGTTGTTATTCATAGAATCACAGACTTGGAAGGGATCCCGAGGGTCAGCAAAACACTCACAGCAACCCTCCAGGTGTCATATCCCAGTGGTAGGCGGGGTCAGAGGGGAAAGTGGGCGGAGCAATGGATGTGATCCTTTTCATATGCTGTAGGCTGTCTTTCAATCACCCAACTGTCCTTGGGTTCTGTGCCTGGGCATGCCTCTCTCCATCTTACATCCTGGCAAGGGAGAGGCATTGTCAAGGACACATTTCAGCCAAGCACTGTCAGGAACTGGCTAGATGCAGAGGAATGGTGCAAGGCACAAGCTGGGGAACCCCCAAGGAAAGAAGGCTCAGAGCCAGAGGACTGGTGGTGGGACGACCATGAGTGGTCAGAAGGAGAGGACTGGGAGGAGGAAGTGATGCCGGAAGCTGAAGAGGTCACAGGTCTTAGTGAGCAGGGAATCTGTGGCAGAGAGCAGTCCAGAATCAGAGTCAGAAGCGGAAGCAGGAGAGGAGAGAGGCCCAGAGGCAGAGATGAGTCAGGCTGGTGAAGAAACCAGCTCCCCTCCCTCCTGATCTCCCAGAACCTGAAGTGGTATGAAGAGGGAGATGGGCACGGTGGCAGAGTCTCAGATTGCTTGAGAAGGACCAGGGAGAGAAGGAGACTTAGGCAACTGTGGAAATGCCTCACAGGGGCAAAATCTACTGGGACAAGTTGCTGAACTAACAAGGCCTGGCCTCCCGAGTCGACCTTGTTTTCTTGAATAAAGAGTTAACTTCACTGATGCCATGTGATTTATTGCTGATCTGTTCCTGACACCCACACCTGACATGCACTCGAGGAGGGTGCAGAGCTTGGGAAGAGGGGATGTGCCCTGGGGATAGTGCCCAGGGCCAGACAAGAGTGGTGGAGGGTCCCATTCAGCCCCCTATTCTGAGGTTCCCCAGCCCTGCCTCAGGACATGCAAGCCCTCAAGTTTTGCTTGTGGATTTCCCCTGTGCCTGGGCTGGCCATTTTGCATGCTGGACTAGATAGGCCTTTGATCTGACCCAGCAGGGCTTTTTTTGTGTTCTTATTTCCTCCCCTATTCCTCCTCCCCAAAATGATGTCGCTCAGAACTATGAAGATGCAGGCAGCTCAGCACTGAAATTACAAGAGGCTTGCAGGATGTTGCTGTCTGCAGCGGATATCTGTGTCACAGCCTCTAACAATGAGATAACCTTCCCTGCCTGCCTCTCCCCTCTGATCACCTTCTTTGGACTTGCCTCCTTGGCTTGCTGGACCCAGAACAGCCTTGGTTCCACTGTCAGTTAGTGGCCAATTTTGCACCCTCAAAAAAACCCACAGCAGCAGAAACAGATCCTGAAAACCAAGGAGAGGAGAGCAACCATGTTCTTATCCTCCCTCTGCAAAGAAAGCTGAAGAAAGCTACTAAAAAATTTACCGTTCTGCTGCTGGGGGAGGTTGGAAGGAGGCGCACAGAGCCTGTGGGGAGCGAGAGGCCTACGAAGCACAAAAGAAGCATTTAATTATGTATCTCTTCAAACAATTCCCTTTCATTTTCTGATGTCGGTCAAAGAAAGGGGAAAGGAGACACAGGCATGGTGAAGTGAACTCGAGCAGTTCTGAAATAAATAAATATCGAAGTAAAACAAAATTAAACCTGTTATGGCTGACCTTGTACTAATCACTTCTCTAGCAGTGCTCCTTACCTGTAAACCAGGTTTGTCAGTAGGCTGTCTTTTATTAGTTTTCTTTGAAGCTTTTGTGGTGGTGGTGGTTGCAATGGTTGTTGATATACTACCTTTTCTTCCAAGGAGCTCAAGGTGGCGTACATGGTTCTTCTCCTCCCCATTTCATCCTCAACAACCCTGTGAGGTAGGATAGGCTAGGAAATGATGGCTGGCCCAAGGTCACCCAATGAGCTTCATGGCCGAGGGTGGATTTGAATCCAGGTACAACACTCTAACCATTATGCCCACTGGCTCAGAGTTTTAGAACTGCGTATGTAGATTTTTACTTGTATATGCAGCTCGGTGGGCTGTGGGGAATACAGTGAGTGTCCTGAACCCCTGGCTTACCTGGCTGCAAGTCAAGTTGAAAGTTCAAAGTCCAGGGATCAAGCCACACAAGCAAAGTCCAAAGTCCAGGATCAATCCAAGTAGCTAAGCCTGAAGTCCAGCAGTCAGGATACAGCCCAGAGTCAATCAAGCCCAAAGCAGAGTCCCGTAGGGGTCCAGGAGCATCCAAGTCAAGGTCCATCAACTTGGGCAGCTGAGCAGACACAGCGCTTGAGCTCTGCATCCCTTTTGTATTTTACATGCAGATTGCAGGCATGTGGAGCTCACCTGTTCTGAGCCCAAACCGGCTGAGGAATCACACCCCTCCTCCCAGAGCTAGTGAGCCCCACCTGGCCAGCTAGGGAGCTGGGCTGTGGGCCCTTGGATGCCTCAGCCTTCTGGAGCACATTGCCCGCTGCTCCCGACGTCTCGGAGCCCTCCATGTTTGTGGAGACAGGGGCCTCTTTGGCTCTGGGGATGGGTCCTACTGCTCTGGATCCTGCGCATTGACCTCTATGCCCTTGCCATCCCAGCTCTCTGCGAATACTTCCTTCCCCATCCCCAGCTTGCCCCAGTGTGTCCCAATCCTGGCTTCACTCCTTGCCAGGATCTTCTTCCTCCTCCCCATACTCCTGCCAGTTCACGAAACACAACAGGAAATTCACTCTGCTCCACCTGACTCCCATCACTTGTATCTGACTGGTGGGTGAGCTTCTGGGTTCTTAAGGAAAACAAACTAGATTCCGCAAGCCGTAGAGCGCAGGTGGGCAGACAAGCTTGTGTGCTGTACTTAGCTTTTTACTACAACCCCCCAGATCCATCAATCATAGCCTCGTGCAAAAGGGGAACTAAAGAATTCTGAGCCCAGAAGTAAACTGAGCTCCTAGTCGTTCCACACAAAAATCCACTCCTGGTTATTCCGAGTTTCCTCCATTTCAGCAATATAATTATGGCAGGTTGGGGTAGAGAATCATTTTGCTGTTGCTACTATGCACCATAAGGAGTCTGAAATCCTTCCCAATCTAACTACAGATAACCCAGAGATCTACCCGGTGGGTCCTGAGCTGGTTGAGGATTTGTGGACATGTTCTACTCTAGAGCATCCTCTTGGGTCCCACCTTTGTCTCCTACTGAAAGAACCACTTGCCAGTGTCTCTGGCACTCCTGAGACAATCTTAGGCTGGTGGCACCTGGGGAAATTGCCCTGTGGTGCCAACCTGACCTTGGAACACTCTCCCTCAAGGTTCCCTTCTGAGGAGCTTCAGATGTCAAGCCAAGACCATTTTACTTGTCCAGGCTATTAATGATTGTCTTTCACAGCCGGTTGAGGTCTTCTGTGTTATTTTTATCATCGTTTAACTGCTGCTTTTGTTTTATCGTTTTGTGGTCTGGATTCCTTTTTTGGGATGGGAGGATGTCATTTAAATAATTCATGGTTAAAACAAAAATAATGTGTGTGTGTTTCTGCAAGCCACCTAGAGAATCTTTAATTGTGAGGTGGGATGAGATATCTACCTATCTACCTACCTACCTACCTAGAATGATCTGAGAACATGGTCCAGATAACACACCCCTGCAACTTATTATTGCCTGGGTAGGGATGGGGGAAGGATGCCATCTTTTAGGGAAGCTTCTCCAAGAACACTGACAAAGAGCTTTACCCAACTCAGTTTTACTCAAGAGCAGTCATTGAACTCAATGGACCTACGTTTGTCATGTCCATTCATTTTAGCGTGTCAGCTCTGGGTGTGACTAGCATTAGATGCAGCCAAGGGGGGCAGGGGGGGCAAGGAGTAGCCTCACATGACAGGCTCCTCATTGTGGGCAGCCTTCCCATGCATTGTCCAGAACACCTGAAGGAAAAATCAACAACACAGCCCTTCTAGGAAGAAGCCGAGCTGAACTCCGTAGGTGTCAAGAAGGATGGAGAAGGCACTAGTGCATGGCTATGAAGTCATCAAGCCTTGGTTGGCAGCATCATTCAGGACCCCCTTGGCCATGAAGCTCCCTAGGTGAACCTGGGCCAATCTATTTCAAAGGATTCTTGTGAGGATAAAATAGAAACAGGGACTAGGCATGCTGTTTAAGCTTCTTGTGAGTGAGATGGGTTGTACATGTCATAAAAAATAAGCATAGACTCATAAGGGGACCCAAGAGTCATTTAGTCCAACCCTCTGTAAGGCTATCCACAACTGTCCCTAAGTGGTCTCAAACCACCAACCTTCTGGTTAACAGCCAGACACATTGACCCACTGCACCTCCTCAATGGAACAACAGTTTTTGTTATCCTTTGCCAGGATCTATTGGAATCATTAACCATGAAAGCAGATTTCCTTCGGCCCTCCTGCTATGGCTACTGAAAGGGATTGCTTGCTTTCTGGACCTCTGCAACTCCCCAATGCTACAAAGGATTAGGCCCAGCCTGGCCCTTTGTGACTTATGCCCCTACAACATGGATCACTCAAGCTCCCTAGTGACGGGGTGGAGGAGACACAGAAGATCACACACTTTAAAAACACTCCCCATATACACACAGAGAGATTCCGATCCACGGTCTTTATTCCGCTCCCTAATAAATAAGCCCCAGCACCTCTGTGGAACCTTGAACACAAAGGATCGTTAACACTGAACACAGCTACAAAACTGGGGGGGGGGAGCCCCCTCACCACAACCTTGGTGAGGGGGAAGAAGGGAGAAAGGGGGAGGTCAGAAACCTGGGCCTTCCAAGGTCTTGAGTCGGGAGTGGAGAACATAGGGCTGGCAGACACACACCCCTCCCCAGGAGGGGGTGGATTTCAAGATTAGAATCCCCCTCAGGCAGTATTTGAAGGGCACCTGGGGCCCTGACTGGCAGTGCAACCTCATTTTAAAGTGACAGTACAGCTAGGCCTTGGCAAAGCCCATTTGTTGCCTTGGAGACGGGCCTAGGAGGAATCGGGCAAAGGAGTCCTGGAGTCTAGGAGCGTGTTGCTGTCCACATGGGAGTAAAAAAAATAAAAATAAAACCCAGGAGCCCCGACTCTGTGGCCACTGTGCTGCACTCCTTCAGACTGCCCTCCTCTCCAAAAAAAAAAAGCTGCGTTTGGCATTTTCATTGCGGAAAATAACGGATTAGGGCAGCTGGCACAGCAGAAACCTCCCAAAGCCAGAAAGCTTTCGGCATAGACTGGGGTACTCCTGGACTCACTGCCCACCCCCACACCAGTGATGGAAATGCATAAATAGGATTACTGGTGGGTTTGACCCAGCTGCTTATCCAGCTGCCTTTGGCTCCCTTGCCTGGGCATGCTCTTAAGTCAGGGATGGGGAACCTGTGGCCCTCCAGATATTGTTAGACTCCAGCTCCCATCAGCCCCAGCCACCATGGCCAGCAGTCAGAGATGATGGGTGCTGTAGTCCATCAACATCTGAAGGGCCATCCCTGCTCTAGGTTAACTCTCACGTGGGCAAGGGGCACAGAACCCCCTCAAGGGTCTCAGAAGCTCTCCAACTTCTGTAAATCAGATTTCTGGCCATATAATGTTCAGGGCCATGCCTACCCTTTCCCCCTTCTGTCAGAGGTAATGTTGTCGAGAAGATCCCTTTAATAAAACAATCGGGCTCGCCAAAGGATGGAAACAGGAGAGGGAGCAAGGAAGGATTCAATACGGACTCTTGGTTTCCCTTCTCTCAACCACTTGTGTGTGTGAGAGAGAAGGAAATCGCAGATCGATTGCCCTCAACATGGAGGAGGAAAGCGGGTCCTTGCTGTCCCAGCTGTTGGGTGAAATCTCAACACAAGAGATACAGGCACCGCCACCTGTCCACTAAAGTTCCCAGTCACACACACTCCGAACAACAGCTGGAAAGAAGGTAGAGAAAGGATGCTGGAGCAGCAGAAGTCAAAAGCTCTCTGGGGTCCTGTGAGGAATATAAATAGCACTTAAAGGGGGAGGGGATAAAATGAAGTCACTGCAGAGACCCTCAGAGAGAAGAAGAGAGAAGGAAGATGCTCCGGGAGAAAGATCCCCGAAGCAGGAAAGTGGTGGCGGTGGAATCCATCACTGCGAGTGGCACTCTTGAGGCTAAGGTCCAGCTGTTGGTCTGGCGAGGAGTGGAATGTCGTCCCCTCGGTCGCACGCCGGCCACGGGAGGTGGGTGCCACCGACCCAGCAGCAGTTTCGGAGCAACATCCTTGGGAGAGAGGGAGCGCTGGGGGTTTCACTCCGGCTCTAAGGGGGGCTCGGCCACCGTGATGCCCTGGTGCAGCTTCTCGAGGGAGATTTTCATCTGGAGGGAAGAGGACAGTGTTAGCCCACCGAGTAAGGAGTGGTCATTGTTAGCAATGAGGCCCAGGAGCGGTTTTATTCTCAGGGCCTGTGGTAGCCGCAGGGTCTCCTTCCCAAACCCCATCTGTTGTGGTGCAAACAGCAGCTTCAGAGAGAGGGATTTCAACTGGGAAAATGGCTTGCGGGCGGCAAAGTTTAGGAAACCAACTCTGTCTCAGCACCATAATTCAAATCCTCCCCCCTTCACCTCACATCTCCTTAAGGCTGGAGGGGGAAGAGAAACACAGAGTAACTCCGGGGTTTGTGAAGACTGAGAAAAGGAAGCCCAACACAAATATTCCTACATTAGCACTGAAAAGGACTCAGTCCTTTGTGCATCCCAATGCAATCATGTGCAAAGGATTTGTGTTTTTCAAATGCTCCAAGCATGCAGAAAACACCATTGCCAGAGATTCCCCTGCTGTCTCCAAGGCCCCCAAACATTACCCAGGGCAGGAGAAGGGGAGCTGGTGACACAGATCCATCTGCCAACCAAAGAAGTGACTAGGACTAGATACGCCCCCCAACATCCTTTGTGGAAAAATTGTGCTATTGCCATTAACTTCCACTGGGTAGGGCTGCCTTGGATCAAACGGTGGGATGTAACATCACTGAAGCAGTCAAACACAACATTTCCTGTTTGCCCAGAGTGGACACACAGAGGAATGTTGATCCAGCCAGGAGGACTTCCTGTCGCATCCACTTCCTGTCTGGAGCATCCTCCCCCTGTGTGTGACCAGGTAGATGGGCATGACCCTAGCAGACCCTACAAATGGGCTGGTCACACAGCCACCTTCCCTTTTTCGCCTTTTCTCCATCTTGCCTTTTGCTGTCTGCTGGCTCTCAGCCAGCAGCGCATGGGCTCATGCCTCACAGAGGATGTACCCACACTTTTCTCTGTAACTGTAACTACAAGATATAGCCTGCCTTCAGGACTATACTGTGAACTGAACGTAAGTAAACCTTATCATTACTTTTAAAGGAAGACTGCTGTGTCATTATTGTTTTTAAGAGGGAAACTAAAGGGGATTTACCAGGAACAATCCAATCTGGACAAGCCAGACTGGATTGCTTAACTCAAATGATTCTCACGAATCCATCAACTAGCTTCCAGCAATGTACAAGGGAATGTGCTCTGCTACTAGCTCGCTAGCGTGAGTGAGGAAGGATAAAATTTAATCAATATATCCTCCCCTACTATCCACAACATTCCCACACAAACAAGAGTGTTCAAATTAGCTCCCCATTAGCGCCCTCGCGATACCCCAAGCTGCAGACCTCACCTCATCTAGAAGCTCCACGGAGGCCTTGAGGATCTGCTTCCACTTCTGAACCTCCACACTGTGAAACCGCTTCTGCAGCTCCAGGATCTCAGCCCATTCAGATGCCGTTTGTGGTAGCTTTCTGCCAGGGAGGAGAGAGTGTGTACTCTTAGCTGCAATCAACAGGGAAACGTCTTCAAAGCCCCCCTCATCTCCATGCCTTATGTGCTCCTCCACAGTGCTATTGCTCCTACGCCACAGACCAGTTCCACAAGGCCTCTGTATTCTTAAATGCAGCCCACTTTCCCCTCTCACCTCCTTTCTAACTGAATGTTGCCAACGCATTTAACAATTTTAACAATTGTTTCAGATCATAAAGGTAAGAAAAGGTCGCATTCTTCACACTTCTCTCTTGGTTCCTTACCCACTGGAGAGCGCATAGGCCTGCCATGATTCAAAGGTCCGGGCTGTGTGCTCCAGAGACCAGAGCCTGTAGAACAGCATCATGTTCAGGATAACCAAGACCACAAGGCTGGAGAGAGAAAGAGAGAGAGAAATGGCTTGGAAGGAGAAGGGACCACTTGGGCCAAGCTCTTGCTGAAGCAGCCAACCCGTGCCTGGTTCGAACCACTTCAGCCTCTACATTTAAAAGACAAACAAGTAGAAATTTATAATGTCAAAGAGAAGCATTATCAGCCAGCTTCTCCCTGACATGCTACTCCTCTACATGAAGGGATCTATCTACTTGTCTATATAACATATATATTCAACTATGGGCTTATCCACTTCTTCTTGTCCCACTGTTCCCCCCACCCCCCAGGAAAAACAGCTCTTTAGCGCTCAATCGAAGCAAAAATGACGTTTGCTCTGATATAATACTGAAGGGTGGATTTCCCCTGGGAAAGGAGCGGGGCATGAGGAAAATCGCTCGGATCCATGCCTAGAAAGTGTGAGTCCACAGGGCAAGTGGAAGTGTGGATGAGCCCCTGTGTTAACTCAGGAGTGGGCCACTGAAATCAGTGGACCTAGCCTAGCCAAGTTCATTGATTCTGATGGGTCTATTCTGAGAAGGTCTAGAATCAGAATCAGCTCGGTGGGCGGTATCCAACAAAGCAGTTCCGGGAGCGCAAGGGCTTCTGGCTGCACAGTGGAACTTCCCATCACCCTCCCCTCCAGGAGCATGCCCTGAATCTTTTCTCAAGTTTCCCCCAATCCTCCAGAGCATATCTGGGGAAGATGCAGGGGGTGCAAAAGAGGAAGTTCTGCTGTGCAAATAGAAATCCTTGAGCTAACGGAACTACTTTGTTAGGTACTGTCAGAGGCAGCCAACAAAGTACCCTCCAGATGTCATCAGCCCAATCAAGCTTGGTTAATGTTCAGCGGTGATGGGCGGTAGAATATCCTGGGGGGTGGGCACCATGTTGGCATTCAGCCAGGTGACACACATCCCCTCAAAACAGGTTTTTCAATTCAGTCAGAGGTTTTCTAGGCCACTGTGGGTCCCCCTGTCTAGTTATTATTGACTTACAAGGTGTTAGGAGCAAGGGGAAAGTCTTCCTCCTTATATCAGGTCAGGCTATTTGTCCATCTGGCCTAAAATTGTCTGTGGACTGGCAAGGTCTCAAACAGAGACTTTTCACATCGCCTGCTACTTTTTGCTTGCAATAGCACAGGTAGAACACGGGAACTTCACTGAGCATGTGTTTTGTAAAGCACATGTGCTCTGCCATGGAATTATAGCTCTTCTCCGTGTGTTTTAACTTTCTGGAGCTATCCACGCATGTACCAGGCACTTCTGGCTCGACTGCGGAGCTATGGCCCCTCCCCAGCTCCTTCAGCCTTTTTGCAAACAAGAGGACCCAAGTTCAGGCCCGCAATATTGCTCAGTTACATTTGGCTCTAAGAAAGAACGCACAACCCTTTGCAGCTTCCCTGCTCAGAGCATTAAAAATACAAGGCATGAGTGCCTATTAGTGTACGCTACGCTGAGTGGATGATGCCAGCATCTGACATCTCTCTTTGGGAAATCAATAGCATGTAGCTCATTAGAGCGCAGTATTTAAAGAAAGTAAATGCAGGGATTCAACACAGATGCTGGTGAGGGTGGTTGAGACAGAGCATGGGTCTGCGCCATTTAGCTTAAGTGGTAGCAAGCATTCTCCCCCTCCCCCCCTTGTTAGGAAAACAACCCGATGCGATAAGAGACAATAGTCTGTGATGATCCCTCCAGGTTAGTTTTTAAGTGATCAAGTGGAGGCTGCAGCGATAATATCGAAAACGTACAGATCATGTTGCAAATGCACTATGTGAACTCAGCCTGAGCTGAAGGACAGCAATATACAACAAGACTTGATCCCTGTTTAATCCATGATTTTGCACATTTTTTTAATATTGGATGCAAAATTCAACATGCCAGTAGTCTTCTTTCTCTTTTTCTCACTTTCTTTTGCATTCTCTTTGTTCGATTTTATTTCTTTTGCATTATCTCTCACTTTCTTACTTTCTCTCTTACATTCTCTCTTTCGCATTCTTTCGCACTGTTTTCTTTCTCTTTTGCTTTCTCTTTCACATTTGCTTGCGTTATCGCCTTCTCTCTTTCGCATTTTTCTCTTTCAGATTTCTTTCTTTTGCATTCTCTCTTTCACATGCTTTTTCTTTTGCAGCCTCTCTTTTCTTTCTCCCTCTTTCACATTCTTTCTCCCTCACATTTTCTCTTGTTCTCTCTCTTGGAAAATCCCTGGCTCACAGATTAAGCTTTGATCATGTGAAGGCAGAGATTGGGGGGTGAGGGGTCAGAAGCCACAAGGAAGAGAGAAGAGAAGGGCTAAGCAGGCCACCCAGCTGTCGGGGGACACAACTTTGGTGTGTCATGAAGCACTTTGTTCCTTGCCATAACTGCCAGGCACAGGCAAAGATAAGGAAGCAGTATGCAACTTCATATAATTTAGCCAGAGTAAAGAACTCAGGCTATCTGTCTATGGATCATTATTTTCCTTTTGCTTTGCTTTTAATTCAGATAAAAGCCCTGAGTACAAGACAACCAGTAAGGGAAAAGGGGCAAGCAGGGGAGGGTGCAGGGAGAAAGTGGAGGACAAAAGGAGTGGAGGAAGGAATGCACAGACGAGTGGAGGATGACAAACAGGCTCAGGGACAGGGAGCCAGAGGAGATGGTTGTGGCGGCAGGGAGGAGGGTGGCAAGAGCATAAGCGGTGAGGTGTTGGGGTGTTATCTGTCAGCATCCAAAGCAAGGGATGGTGTTTGTGAGTCAACAGCAGGGTCAGTGCAGGATGGGGTTCAGGTTAGGGGCAAGGTCCAAAGGGGGCCCGAGGCAGAAGCACAGTTGGGGGAGTGAAACTGGCATACGATACCTCACACAGATCCTGTGCGGAGGCAGAGGTGGAAGAAGGAAAGAAAGAGACGTGTGACGCTTTGCTCGCGCTTCCGGCCCGAAAAAAACACCCCAAACAAGCAGGGGATCCTATCCTGAGTCTCTCCCTTTCCCCCGCCACCCAAATGCTCACCATTACTATTAAACAAGCAAGGCCGCTGACCCTGCTCTTGCGTCTTTCTCACGACAGAACAACACACAGAAATGGGAGGGCGAGGTTTAAGAGACGCAGGAAGCTGACTGCTACCAGAAGAAGATCATGTGTCGATCTCATCCAGTACTGGCTGCTCATAAGAGGCTGCCGCTCTCTGGGGTCTCAGCCACAGTGTCTTTCTGAAGCCCCAGGGGCCAATCTGCATGCAAAGTGTGTGCTCCGCCCCTGAACCAGGGCCCCGCCCCTTACCCAGCACAAAGAGAGAAAGTGGTGAGTGAAAACCTTTGCTTCGTGCACTTTGAGGCATCGGGCTGGATGTGTGTAATGCACTAAACATGGCAACCGTGGGTTGTGGGCTGGTGCTCACCTTCAAAGCCCTAAACGGCCTCGGCCCAGTATACCTCAAGGAGAATCTCCACCCCCATTGTTCAGCCCAGACACAGAGGTCCAGCTCTGAGGGCCTTCTCAGCAGTGGTGCCCTCCCATCAGATTTCAAACATAGAAAGCTACACAACTTTCCGAAGGCATCTGAAGGCAGCCCTGTATCAGGAAGTTTTAAATGTCTGATATTTTACTGTGGCTTTATAATTTGTTGGGAGCTACTGGAGCAACCCAGTCGTATGGGCGGCATGCTGCTGCTGCTACTACTACTATTACAGTGGAACCTCTGTGTTCGAGCGTCTCAGAAGCTGAACGTTTCGGTTTTCAAACGCTGAAAACCCGGAAGTGAACGCTTCCGTTTTCGAACGCGCCTCAGAAGTCGAACGGCTTCCAAGGCATGTTTCTCCATTTTCTCCATTGAACTTGCAGCAGCCCTTTGCGCCTTGGTTGTCGAATGTTTCAGAAGTCGAACGGTCTTCCAGAACTGATTACATTTGACAACCAAGGTTCCACTGTATGTATTTTTATTTTTTAATTTATTATTATTATTATTATTATTATTATTATTATTATTATTATTTCCTATGCTTGTCCTACACAAGAACAGGTTGTGCTCTTACTTTGCTTCCCAATCCAGCTCACGTCTACACTGCACATTTAAAGCACTCTTATGCCACATTAGCAGTCATGACTCCCCCCTCCCCCCGCCAGCTTCCTAGCTGGTTGACGGTGCTGGGAATTGTACCCTTGCAAGGAGTCTCCTAACAGTTCTCAGCACACTCAAAACTACAGTTCCCAGGACCTTGCGGGGTCAAGACTATGAAAGTGGTGCTAGGGCACTTTCAGGTATGGTGTGCGGGTGCTTTGCTAGGAGATGAGCCCCACTGAACACAGTGGGACTCACCTCTGAGTAGACATGCCTGGGGCCGCGTCAGCTCCTAAGAGGCTCCAGATCCCACCCCAACACCCCTGCTCCCCATTTCCCAAGCCAGCAGCTGCCTTACACCAAGCTGATGATGAGAATCACGGTGGAGACGGTCTGGCCTTGGCCTTGTTCCGACAGCTGCTCCGAGAGCCGAGAGGTCAGGCTGCCTGCAGGGAAGGAGAAGGCCTGCAGGTCAAGGGCTGTTGCAAGCATCATGCCCTGCGGATCCAGGGAGACAGCCCAGTGCGGAAGGGAAGGGGACAGGCTGGACCCCGGTGAGAGGGGGGCCTACCTGAGGGACGGATGGTGCGGGCTGCCCCCTCACCGTCAGGCAACGTGGGGAGCGGGGGCTCGACGTGGGGGGCTCTCCAGCTCAGGGTGCGCTTCCGGCGGCGCAGGCCGGACAGGAGCCCCCGCGGCTCCTTGCCATGGCAGCTCTCTTCCAGCAGGGCCTTCTCTGCCTGCACCAGCGCCAGCTCTGCAACAGAGGGAGCAGGAGGGGAGGCTGAAAGCTCCACAGCAAACTCCCAGGGGAGGCTGCTCCTGCCCTGCCAACCTCTGTCAGCCCTCTGCCAACCCTCCACCTGCCTGCCTTTTTAACTAAAGGGCCTTCTCGGTAGTGGCGCCTGCCCTGCGGAACACCTTCCCATCAGATGTCAAGGAGATAAATAGCTATACAACTTTTAGAAGACGTCTGAAGGCAGCCCTCTATAGGGACCTTTTAACCGTTTGATGTTTTATTATGTTTTCATATCTGTTGGAAACCACCCAGAGTGGCTGGGGCAACCCAGTCAGATGGACAGGGTGTAACAACAACAACAACAACCAGCCCAGGGCCCTGGCTGTCAGGTCCCTTCTCCTTAGTCTCAGTTTTGCCTTTGTAGGATTCAGCAAGGAGGAGGGGGACAAAACTAGAATTAGCTATCTCTGCCTGTCATTGACTCTGGCGCCACCTACTGTTGGGCTCCCTGCCCCCCACCCTACCAGTCCCAATGAGCACCAGCTACCACTGCTTTCTCCTCCAAAGCATGAATACCCCCCACATGCCCACAGGTAAAGCAACCCAGACCCAGGGCCACTGAAACTACGGGGCGCTATGATCCCCCACATGGGACAAAGCACGGGGCAATCCCAGCCCCTAAGGCCCCTGGCGGTGCTCCTATGTGCTCAGATTTCTGGAGTGCAGTTCTGCCCTTTTGCTTCCCATACCCAAGTGCTGAAAGTATTCTTCCACGCCGCTCCAGGTGTTTTTCTCAATGAGCGTTTTCACCAGGTTCCATGGCTGCTTCCGGTACCGGATCTCAGAGGAGACTCTGCAATAAAGGAAATAAAAGCTTCTGATGAAGCGGCCTGTGAAAGCTCACTCCACAGACTCTATGGAAGTATTCAAGCAGAGGATAGACGGCCATCTGCTGGGGATGCTGTTATTATATTCTTTGTTGGACTGAACGGGGTGGGGGTGGGGTTAGACTACTCTGAGGTTCCCTCCAACTCTGTGACCGTATGGTTCCATGATAAACGCTCCTATGGCAGGGATGGGAAACCTGTAGCCTTTCAGGTGTTGCCCCGCCAGACTCAGCTGGCATGATCAAAGTACAGTGGTACCTTGATTCTCAAACTTAATCTGTTCCAGACTTTTAAAAACAACCCCTAAAACAGCAATTTAACATTATTTTTACTATCTAACAAGACCATTTCTGGGTTGGTTAGGGTTCATTTTAGGACTGGGTTAGTGTTAGGGTAAGGATTAGAATGAGGGTTAGGGTCGGTGTTGTTTTATGTTTTCTTGCGGTTTTGATTCATTTGCGGTTGGCTTGCTTTTTTAATTTGTTGTGTTGCTGCTTTTTCATGAGTTGCAAGTTTGTTGGCTTTGTGGTTTTCTGGATAGTTTCAGTTTTAATTTTGAATGTCAGCTGGGCAGCACAAAGCCTCTGCTTCCCAGCTGAGAGATCCCCCGCCTCGCTCCTGCTTGCACAGGAGTCGGAGCTGGATCGGGGCTGCTCACCTGGAGAGGTGCAGGCTCCGTCACACTTTTCCACTGAGGGGTGCGTGGCTGTGTTCACCTCAGCAGAGAAGTTTAAAAGAGCATCATGTGGCAATGCAAAAACAGCCTGACAGCTGCCTCAGCAGCAGTTTAGGGGCTCTCAGATGCAGCTGCCGGGCTGCCTCTACCTTTGCCATCCCAGCTGAGCAGCCTCGATCCAGCTCCTACTCCCGTGCAAACAGGAGCACTCAAAACAGAGGTGTGGCACTGAAAATGGAAGTGTAACACTCAAAACAGAACAGTTCAGATTCCGAAAAAAGTTCGCAAACCCGAACACCTACTGTTCACGGCGTTCGAATTCCAAGTTGTTCATAAACTAAGCTGTTTGAAAACTGAGGTACCACTGTACTGTTTTGGGTGGGCAGGTGTGGAGGACTCCCTGGTCCTGAATGGGGTAACTGTGCCCCTGAAGGACCAGGTGCGCAGCCTGGGAGTCATTTTGGACTCACAGCTGTCTATGGAGGCACAGGTCAATTCTGTGTCCAGGACAGCTGTCTACCAGCTCCATCACGGACTATCTTGTCAGAGTGGTGCATGCTCTAGTTTTCTCCCACTTGGACTACTGCAGTGCGCTCTACATGGGGCTACCTTTGAAGGTGACCCGTAAAATACAACTAATCCAGAATGTGGCAGCTAGACTGGTGACTGGGAGTGGCCGCTGAGACGACATAACACTGGTCCTGAAAGACCTACATTGGCTCCCAGTACGTTTCTGAGCACAATTCAAAGTGTTGGTGCTGAACTTTAAAGCCCTAAATGGCCTCGGCCCAGTGTACCTGAAGGAGTATCTCCACCCCCATCATTCAGCCCGGACACTGAGGTCCAGCTCCAAGGGCCTTCTGGCGGTTCCCTCGCTGCAAGGTTACAGGGAACCAAGCAGAAGGCCTTCTCGGTTGTGGCACCTGCCCTGTGGAACACCCTCCCATCAAATGTCAAGGAAATAAACAACTATCTGACTTTTAGAAGACATCTGAAGGCAGTCCTGTTTAGGCAAGTTTTTAATGTTTGATGTTGTATCATGTTTTTAATATTCTGTTGGGAGCTGCCCAAAGTGGCTGGGGAAACTCAGCCAGATGGGAGGGGTATAAATAATAAATTACTATTCTTATTCTTATTCTTATTATTAATGGTCAGGGATGTTGAGAGCTGCAGTCCAACATCACCTGGAGGACCACAGGTTTCCCACCCCTGTTTTATGGTGCCAAGGGATTCTCGCTGGTTTTGCCTCGAGAGATAAACTGGGTCAACATGCCAAAAGGAGAGGAAACCAGCCCTGAAGCCGCAGGGACAAGGGAGAGGAACCAGTACCTGAGTCGGGCCTTGCTCTTGGCTACAGCAGTAATACAGTATCGATGCGCTGTGTAGAAGTAGTCCTGGTATGGGATCCCCTGTGTGATCACTTCTGAGTCGACCACGCAGCCCCCGCTTTTGGAGCTGGTACGGAATAGAGTCTGGCCATTGAGAGAGAAAGGGGAGAAGAAAGACCTGTGAGTTCTGCAGTCATGCACACATTTTACAGAAGGGCAGCCGCCTTAACTTGCTTGCAGCAAACTTGGCAAAGTCTTGTGGCACTTTCAAAGCTTAAAAAAATTATTACAGCATAAGATTCCATGGACTAATGCGTATCTATCTATCTATCTATCTATCTATCTATCTATCTATCTATCTCAACACCCACAGCATACATTTAAAGCACATTTAACATGCCTAAAGCACGTGGTTTCCCCCAAATAATCCTGGGTATTGTAGTTTGTTAAGGATGCTGGGATTTGTAGCTCTGTGAGGGGTAATCTACAGTTCTCAAGATTCTTTGGGGGAAGCAATGTGCTTTAAATATATGCTGTCAATGTGACTATATGTAGGTTTAGATGCATACATATTGTGGTACGAAGGGGGTAGTAAGCAGTGACAGGACAGGAAGTTAAACTGAAGAAATACAGAGAGTGATGATTCAGAACTATACAAAGTAAGCCTGGTGACCCTTTATGACAGCAGCAATAGGTGGTAAAAGAATGAACTCGGGAAAGAGAGTTAACCGAAATCTGTATAGTGGTACCTCGGGTTACAGACACTTCGGGTTACAGACTCTGCTAACCTGAAAGTAGTACCTCAGGTTAAGAACTTTACCTCAGGATGAGAACAGAAATTGCGTGGTGGCAGTGGGAGGCCCCATTAGCTAAAGTGGTACCTCAGGTTAAGAACAGTTTCAGGTGAAGAACGGACCTCCAGAACGAATTAAGTTCTTAACCAGAGGTACCACTGTAGTGAGAAGGAAGGCCGTTCTCTCTGTTCAGAACCAAATGCACCAAGGAGAACTGATCAATGAACTGTGGGCAGGGCCGGCCAACCCATGAGGCAAGGTGAGGCAACCGCCTTAGGCGGTAGGATCCTAAGAGGCAGCAGATCCAAGGAGTGCATCACCTGCTGCTGCTGCCCCTGCTGCTGTGGCAACAACAGTTGTTGCCTCTACAGCAGCCTTTTGATGAAGAGGAGGCATTGGTGGTGCCCTCCCACCCTTGTTCCAGACGTGGATCTTTATTCCTCCCTTATTCCTGATGTACATCCTCACTCGCCCCTTCTTTCCTGGCCAGGGGGTGGGGACGCCATTTTGTGGTTTGCTTCAGGTGCCAAAATGCCTTGGGCCAGCCCTGACTGTGAGGACAAACACAGGGCGCAAACCGCCCTGCGCGAAAATCACCACAGAAATGACAATATTTATACAACCTGCAGGGGAACATTTCAGTTTATCTGGACGGTCTGCCACTGATCTTGACTTAGCCACACTCAAGTCCACTAATTTGAAAGGGAAGCTGTGGTACAAAACTGCTGAGCTACAATTCATCAAGGAGTCAGACTCTTCATTTTGGTCTGAATAGAGGCAATGGCTTTCTTTCCGATATAGGTGGTAATTAACTCAGATTGCCAAATGGGATTGTTTTATCACCGGTCATCTCTGGTGCAAAGGGTAACCTTGTTTATCTTGAATTTCACTATCTGTACTTTTTGCATTTTACTTCCCTCGGTACAGAAGAATCGCATCTTATGCCTGGGATCAGTTCCAGGGGTAATGTGTACGGTCATCCCCTCCCTTACGTGTGACTGGACTGTGCGCACATGCAGTGTCAGGAAAGAATTAAATAATTCAATTTAAATCCGGAAATGATGGGAGAGAGTTGGAGCCTGAAGAGGACAGCAGTGAAGGCGGAGGAAGCCTTGAAGAGGCACAGCAGGGCTTTGTTTATGCTGCTCAGCCTAACTGCCTAGCAGCTGGGGTGTGAGGTAGCACAACAGCCGCAGCCACTTTTCTGTGCGTCCTCCGGCCTCCTGCCCACCCCAGAGCTTCAATTCTGTTTGTGGATATTTTTGGATACAGTATTTTTAGTACGAAGAGAGCAGCAGGGAGGGTGTTTAAAGGGTGCTTAGAGGGTGCCCCCAATTTTACATAATTTCACTTCTGCGCACGGGGCCCTGGAACGTAACCCTCGCGTTAAGTGGAGGGACACCTGTGTATGTGAAAATCGCTCACAGACAAAGAAAACCTGTGGAGTTGACGTGTGGATAGCCAGTCAGCCTTCTGTAAGGTGGCTGGTGAGGAAGTAATTCGTGCTTGGCACATCCTTTGGCCGGAGGCACGCTGGCTCTCAGAAGTGATGAGCATCCTCTTGTGAGATCTCATAGGAAGTCAGAGCAGCCCCACCACGCCCAAGAGCCACTGCGCTGCTCACATGGCACACTGAGGGGGGACCTTGCTAGAGAGGAAAGGGGAGGAGCTTAAAAGCTCTTTTTGCATGTCCCTACCAGAGAAGAGGGACGTGGGTGGCGCTGTGGGTTAAACCACAGAGCCTAGGGCTTGCCGATCAGAAGGTCGGCAGTTCGAATCCCCGTGACGGGGTGAGCTCCCATTGCTTGGTCCCTGCTCCTGCCAACCTAGCAGTTTGAAAGCGCATCAAAGTGCAAGTAGATAAATAGGTACCGCTCCGGCGGGAAGGTAAACAGCATTTCCGTGCGCTGCTCTGGTTCGCCAGAAGCAGCTTAGTCATGCTGGCCACATGACCCGGAAGCTGTACGCCGGCTCCCTCGGCCAATAAAGCGAGATGAGCGCCGCAACCCCAGAGTCAGCCACGACTGGACCTAACGGTCAGGGGTCCCTTTGCCAGAGAAGAATGGCAGATCAAGTTGACAGATTATGCCGAAAATGGCTAAAATGACTGGAAGAATCAGAAATCAGGAACACCAAAATTTTAATAAGGAATGGGGAAAATTTATAACTTATCTTAAAGGCCACTGTAAACAGTTAAAATCGTTAGGAGGATTGGAATATCACTTGGGAGTTTAATGGGGCATTTTGGATACAATGGAGAGATAAAAGATTTGGATTATTATAAAAGATGCAGAAAGAAATGATTAACAATAAGACCCACAAAGGGGAGAAGGAAGTCCAAGAGATTCCTCGGAATCTTGTTTTTATGTTGTATGTTGGATATGTGACTGTAAAATTTTAATCTGAAAAACCAAATAAATAAATAAAAAATTTAAAAAGCTCTTTTTGCACCAGGTAACTCCAAGTGGACCTGGCACGAAAAGAATTTTTGAGCTCTCGGCCTTCCTTCCTTCCAAGGCAAGGCCCACTTGGTGTGCTCTCTGGCTTTTACAAGATGGTGCAGGAAATTCCCAGAAGCCAAGCAAGCCTTGCCTGGGACTTCAGACATTTCCCCTCAACCAGACTGCCTTCATCCACGTATGGTTGAAATCACGCAAGTCAAATGCACGTAATGTGTAGGTTCACTGTATGGTGGTACCTCGGGTTAAGTGCCGTATTTTTCAATCTATAAGACGCACCAGACCACAAGACGCGCCTAGTTTTTGGAGGAGGAAAACAAGAAAAAAAATATTCTGAATCTCAGAAGCCAGAACAGCAAGAGGGATCACTGCACAGTGAAAGCAGCAATCGCTCTTGCTGTTCTGGCTTCTGGGATAGTTGTGCAGCCTGCACTTGCTCCATAAGACGCACACACATTTCCCCTTACTTTTTAGGAGGGGAAAAGTGAGTGTTATAGAGCAAAAAATACGGTACTTAATTCGTTCTGGAGGTCCGTTCTTAACCTGAAACTGTTCTTAACCTGAAGCGCCACTTTAGCTAATGGGGCCTCCTGCTGCCGCCGCACGATTTCTGTTCTCATCCTGAAGCAAAGTTCTTAACCCGAGGAGTCTGTAACCTGAAGCGTATGTAACCTGAAGCGCATGTAACCTGAAGCGTCTGTAACCCGAGGTACCACTGTACTTACTATTCATCGAATATATATAACGAATATATATAACGAATGATTTTAGACTGTTGTTTATGCTGTACTTTTGTACTGTTTTATTGTTGTTAGCCGCCCTGAGCCCGGCTTCGGCTGGGGAGGGCGGGATATAAATAAAATTTAATTTTATTATTATTATTATTATTATTATTATTATTATCGCCCCCCCTCTTTGTTTAGTCAACGGTTCTGAGGAAGCAATTGCCGAAAGGCTTTTTGAAATCCAGTCAGCTCGCTATAAAAAGGGAACGCTCCCCTCCCGCACCGTCTTCTTTTTAAAAAAGAAGAAGATGCTTTTGCACATCCACACCTGAGTCTCCACTACAGCTGCAGCCTTGGGGCCCAACGGGTTGGTGATGGGGATTGTGTAGGAGATGATGCGGCTTTGGTGGCACTTGTTGTCGCCAGTCCACGAAGTCAGCGCCACATCTGCAGGAGAAAAGGGGACATATAAAGAGGAGGAATTCCTTCGTTATTGTGCTTTTGAAAAAAACGGAGTGGGGGAAACAGTATGTGAAAGTTTTAAGATCAATACACAAATCATGCAGTGCTAAGTTTTTTAAGAATCGCTTGCCCCCTGCCCTGTAGGTCCTGAAAGACCTACATTGGCTCCCAGTATGTTTCCGAGCACAATTCAAAATGTTGGTGCTGATATTTAAAGCCCTAAGCGGCCTCGAGTATACTGCATCTGAAGGAGTGCCTCCACCCAGCTCCGAGGGCCTTCTGGCGGTTCCCTCACTGCGAGAAGCAAAATTACAGGGAACCAGGCAGAGGGCCTTCTCGGTGGTAGCACCTGCCCTGTGGAACACCCTCCCATCAGATGTCAAGGAAACAAACAACTATCTGACTTTTAGAAGACATCTGAAGGCAGCCCTGTTTAGGGAAGCTTTTAATGTCTGGTGTTTTATTGTGCTTTTAATTCTGTTGGGAGCCACCCAGAGCGGCTGGGGAAACCCAGCCAGATGGGCAGGAGATATATATATATAAATTTCTCAGGACATGGAAGTGGCTCTGAAGGATTCCATTTAGGAACTTTCCCCAGCACTATCTAAGGAAGCTGAGGATTGATCCAGAGAACTTCTGTGTGCAAAACAGAGGCTCTTTGTTACTGAGCTGTGGCCCTCCCTCCTGTAAATTGGGATCGGGGCGAAAAGACAGTGTTGCAAAATGGATTTGGGTCTAAGTGATGAAGAATGACAGATATTGGCAGCATCCACTGTTTTACAGCTTGAAACATCCTCCCAAACCCTGCTCCTGAACGACAAGGGAGGATGTAGCTTTGCAGGCGTCCCCGTGCCCTCCTTACCTTTGAACTTGCGCTGGTCCAAGAAGCCGTGTATGAACTGGGAGTCGCTGAAGAGCATCTGCTGCAGCCTTTCGGCTCCAACATGATAAACGGTGTTGATGAGCAACCGCCCCGGCAGGTCCGAAAAGAAAGCGTCCACCTCAGCTTGAGGAGAAGGAGAAAAGAGTTTAATAATAATAATAATAATAATAATAATAATAATAATAATTTATTATTTATACCCCGCCCATCTGGCTGGGTTTCCCCAGCCACTCTAGGCAGCTCCCAACAGAATACACTCATACCTCGGGTTGCGATCGCTGCGGGTTGCGCCTTTTCGGGTTACAGACGCGCCGAACCCGGAAGTACCGGAATGGGTTACTTCTGGGCTTTGCGCATGCGCAGAAACACAGAATCACGTCACACACATGCACAAACGCAGCGCTGCAGGTTGTGAACGCTGCAGGTTGCAAACATGCCTCCCGCACAGATCACGTTTGAAACCCGAGGTTCCATTGTATTAATAATAATAATAATAATAATAATTAAAAAAGTGATTAAAAAATCAAACATTAAAAACTTCCTAAAACAGGGCTGCCTTCAGATGTCTTCTGAAACTCAAGATAGTTGTTTATTTCCTTGACATCTGATGGAAGGGCATTCCACCACTACTGAGAAGGCCCTCTGCCTGCTTCAAGTGCAGCAGGGGCACCGCTAGGTACTTAGAAGAGTCAGGGCACGGGGCCCATAACACAAATTTGCATATTATCTGCATACGACAATTCACACACACACCCCATTTAACATAGAGTGGGGGGGGGGAGGCTGCCCTCACCTTCATCTTGCGTTGAGGAGGAAGAATTGCTCATGTCCGTGGGGAGCTCCTCGCTGGGGAGTGGGTCCCCCTCCAGGGGGGACATTGGCGGCCCTTGTGGCAAATCGTCCCTGGGAGGTTCTGTTGCTGAGGTCACTGTGTGGCTGGAAGAGGCATCCACTTGGCTGTCAGTGTTCTCATCTGGGTCCTCTGCCAGCTGGAAGGAAGTGGATGGGCACAGTTAGTGACACACTTGAGGAGTTTGCTCTTTTTCGAGTGGGCAAAAAATTCTCCAGATGTTTTCCAGACATGGGAATACTGGTTGCGTATTTGGCATTGAGCATCAGCACCTGACATCTGGCGGGGGGGGGACAGCAGCTGATGCCTGATGGTATTTTGACAGCTTGCATGCAATAGAAGTCTGGATGGCATGAATTGGAATGTAGTACAGCTAAATTTTTGTACAGCTGCAAATTAAACGCAGATCATGGAATCCTACATACGAACAGCAAGCACGCTCTTTGGGAACCTATCCATTCTTATGTACCCAAAATTCAAAATCCATGCAGAGATATCAGGGGTTGGGGGACACAGCTAAAAGAGGAATGAGCTTGCTCAGTGCTGCAGAACAGCGACTGATGCTGGAGAGTGTGAAAACGGAAAACCAAGGAGTGGAAATGGAATGGAGTACCTTGGAAAAGGGCATGGCTGGGTAGCTTAAATCTTGAGCAGCTGCATTGAGCAGTAACAATTTCTTAACCGTTCCGCTTCCCTACCTCTAATAAAACTCATGTATCTCCTGTGGAATCCTGACAATCATTTTTCTTTCTGTTGTTTTTTTTAAATATTTATCATGACTGCTAACAAGTTTTATTGTGGCACCTGATAAAATGGACTCTAGCCCATGACACAATAAATCTGTTGTCTTTAAGGTGCCACAAAGTTCCTTATGGCGTTTGTTATTAACAAAGCTACCTCCTTTGGAAACTTTAGGTAGCATATTTTCTTACAGGCTCAGAGCATATCTAAACTACTAGCACATCAGTCGTAAACCAATCTTAGCCTCACGGCTTCATGCTAAAGAATCCCAGGAACTGTAGTTAGCCAGAGTGCTGGCCATTCTCGAGACAAGATCTCTAGCTCAGTTTCCTTTTAAGGGGAGGGAATGTGTTCTGAAGTAGTTCAAAAGCCTGTCATTTTCCTGAAACGTCTTACATTATCGGGAAGTAAAATCATAAAACTATTTTAGCAGGAAGTGTTTAGGTATGTCAACTTCGTTTTGAGGGCTCCCTCTGGATGCTATTCTTGGACATTTCCCAGCTCTGTAGGGCTTGACTAAACAACAATTACAGATACAGAGAGAGAGTCTTTTTGGCCGTGAAAAAAGCAATCTCACAGAACTGGACTTCTAAAAATACTCCAGATCTTGAAACATTTATCTGTTTTGGCAGCAAGCAGGGAAGGAACGGTTTTATTACGTGAGATAAAATCCCTTGATCTGATTTAATTTGCACTCATTTCCTGGACATGTTTTATTTTAATTAGTGAGGAAACTTTCCACGGTCCTCCACTTGCCTCTTCCTACACCTTTACGTGTATTTCAAGCTTCCTCAAGGAACCATTCCTTTGTTGCTTGGGCTACAGCAGAACCCTTGCATGTTGCAGAGCATTCTGGGGGAAGATTCCAGAATGTTCTCTGCTGCTCCAGAGACCAATGGGTGGGAAACACAGAGAGGCAGATTTTGGCAAAAAGGTACAAGAAGAGACGTTCAAATGGCCCCCATATCCGAACCCCGCCATCCTCACCGAGGTGGTCCCGTCACTACTGCTGGCCAGCGAGTTGATGCTCTGACTGGCGTCCCTTTTGTCAAGGAGGGGGCTGGTGTCCAGCTTGAGGTCCGTGCTGCAGCGGGAAGTCAAGTCGCTCAGGTCAATGACATCCCCAGTCTCTTTCGGGCTTCTGTTGGAAAGAAGAGCCAGGGAAATGTAGAGACAAGGAGGAGGGAGGGTTCAAAAAGAAGCCCTGGGCGAAAAAGGCTGGCCTAAAAAAAGGAGTCAGAATGCACAAGGGCCCCCGCCCATGTCCACAATCAACTTAGTGGCAACTTCAGCCACTGGGTGGGGCTGACTCAGCATTCCTGAGCCTGGGTTTGCCAACTTTTTGGGGGCCTATGGGCACATTTGCAAACTGGAGGAACTGTTGGGAACACCACACACAAACACAGACTGCAGTGTATTCTACTGAAGGGAGTTGCAGTCCAGCAAAGCCTGGAGGGCCACATTAATGGCCTCTACATTAATGGTGTGTGAATGCTCTCTTTCTCTTGCGCACACATTATCTTGGGAGAGAGGGAAGAGACTTTCTCTTACAAGTGAGAATGTGGGCAACGCTCGGACCATGCCTTGATTCAAATTTGGAAGGGGGTTGAGACAAAACTGCTGCACAAGCACGCCCAGGTAAGAGGCTTGGAGCAAGCAGAACTAGGAGAAGGATCCTCGCCTGAGACTCTGAAGAGGTGCTGCCAATCTGTGCAGCCAGCACTGGGCTAGGTGCACCCATTAGCCTGACTCAGTAGAATGCAACCTTGTATTTTATCCTATCTCCCCTGGCATCCTTGTAGTTACACTGCAGTTAGGGTGGGGACGCATTATGGTGTCTGCAGGGCAGTGTACACTCACCCCAAACCGTTGATATCATCGATGGGAGAGACGTAATCATCATCCTCACTGGTGAGGCCGAGTTCAGAGCCATAGCATTGGTGGACAATGTGCCAGAGCTCTTGAGGGGACAACGTCTGGGAGGAGAGCACAGCATTAGAAAAGAGAAAAAGCACTGCAGTTGAAGAGCTTGGATGAACAGGGCAAAATCAGTCCAGGCTTATCTGTTTAGTCCTGACACAGATACATGCAACACATACCCCCCCCCCAACACTAAACATCTGGTTCCTATTTTCAGAAACTGGGCAGAGGCTTCACTCACACAGAGACAGGGACATACAAGAAAAAATAAAAAATAAATGACAAGATCTGAAACTCCAGTGCTGAAATATAGCAAGGACTGAGCTTCAAGCTGCCGTATCCTAGGTTGTTTCTGCAGGAGCAATGGGTCCGTTCTTACCTTATCCAGGAGCGTATTCTGCCAGAGGCGGAAGATCAGCATGAAGCAGCGGTCACGGGCCCCGAATGAGGTGAAGAAATGCTGGGAACGGCAAGTGAAGAGAGAGCCTGAGATCAGTGCCCCAAGATCAGTGGGATCAAGGTGAATATTCATAGCTTCTACCTACAAGTTGAGCACATGCTGTCGTTGCACAGCAGGGCTGAGGAACCTGCAGTCGTTCAGATGTTGTTGGGCACCAACTCTCATCATCTGTGGCCACTGACCATGCTGGCTGGCACTGCTGGGAGCCCAACAACATGGGGAACCCAGTATGGGGGGTGCTGATAAAAGTGCAGAAAGCAAGTGTTGGTATCATCACCTATCAACCTCAAAGTTTTGCTTTGCTTGGATTATCCTTTGCAATACTGCTTGCCATGAGACATAGGGGTGGGTGGGAAATGAGTCGACGTGATACCATTTGATCAGACAGGTTATGGGGGTCCATTCACCTGCCAAAATGGCCCACCAGGGATCGGGGATCCCAGGATCTGGCCAGCCAGCTCATGTCTTTGTCTCATCTCAATGTCATTATCAAAGTTCACCCTTTTACTAGCCACACTTGTGCTCTGGACTAATTGCCTGCAATGACTACATCCTGATAGCTGTCTATCAACAGTTGATAAGGTGAGTTAGAATCCTGAAATCCACAGAGCACATGAAATGAACGAGACTTCCTGCAGAAGGTGGTGGACTCTCCTGCCCTGGAGGTTTTTAAGCAGAGGTTGAATGACTATCTGTCAGTAATGCTTTAGTAGAGATTCCTGCATTGCAGCGGGTTGAACCAGATGATCTTGGGGGTCCCTTCCAGCTCTACGATTCTATGATTCTACTGTTAAGTATAACAAAAGCAATTAAATGCTATTAAGAGGCAACTAGCTCACATGAACTGTTCCAGAGGCACACCCGAGAGTCACCCGATGTTCTTTTCCCTTTTGCTTTTGCGGGGCATTGCCCCTCTAGCTGAGATAACGTATCAGAAGCAGGGACATAGGAGATGTCTAGGAAAATAAAAGGCTGCACACTCTGCAAAGATTAATCTCTGCGGAGCACAGCCTGTCCAGACACTGATTAAACTTTAGCTGAAGGGTGGGGTGAGGAGGACGGGAACTGTTGGGTCAGGGTGCAAACCAGCAACTGTGGGCTGGAGGCGAGGCCTAGGGCTGTGAGCTTGTTTTGAACAGGAGGAGGCAACAAGGCTCATCTCTCACGTCCTGTGCCCTTGCACTTCTATGTTGCTGGGGCACAAAGGTTAGCAGGAAGCGGAGCACACAGATATGATTAGGATCATATCCACTGGCATGAGATTCACACGGAGAACAAAAGTCCAAGACCTTAGGGAGGCAGGTCAGAGGAGGAGGAGGAGGAAGAGGAAGCCGAGGGCAGGGCACTTCCTCACAGCTCCCCTTCACAGCTCCAGAAACCAGGTTTTCCTCATGCACATGTGCACTCATGCACAGCTTCAAAATGGCCATTGGAAACTCAGTAATGTTGGGAAGGGCACCATGACCGGAACTGTGCAAAGCAAGCTGCAACTATCACACAGGGAGCAGAATATCAGCTGGCACAGGGGTGAGCCGCCTTCCACCTTACCAGGTGGGAACACAGCTCAGTGGGAAAGTGCAAGCTTTGGATACAGAAGGTCCCTGGCATCGTCAGAAATAGCAGGTGGGAAATATTATTGGATTGGCTGGCCAGCAAACACCCCCATGGGCAAACACTGACAGGTAGATGGTGCTACCACAATGTTTACCATCTAATGTCATGATGATGCCGAGCAACTGACAGGTAGGTGGCTCCGCCCACCGGTCAAAGTTGACCTGCAGGGTGCGCGTGTGGAGATGGAGGTCTTATTTCAGTTTTGCATGCCGTATACCGTCTTACTGTATTTTGGTGGAAGTGTGGCTTGTGACTATTTAAGTAAATAATATAACAGCGTGTCATAACGTTTACAAAGCAAGAACGTACGCTGAAGATCTACAAACAGCTGCAACCCAAGAAATCTGTATTCGGTGGTCTTAGAGAACTGCATTCTTGGCTTAAGAATTTTAGAAATTATTATTGTCTGCTAAATGTCCACACCACCCTTTGTCTAAAGATCACTAGAAATGCCCAGCTCGATCACACCAAGGCCTACCTAGCCTAGAATTATTTGCAAGAATCCCAGCTGCTTTGCCAGAATTGGCCACTGGTCCTTTCCCGCTGGCCACTGTTGGAGACTCGAAAGATCTTTGGCCTGTTCCAGCAGGTGCCTCCTTTTATGTTCTAGGCACCTGGAGAGCCACAGGTTCCCCAGTCCAGATCTGGAATATGCATAACACGGGAGTCAGCCCAAAGCACACACACCCGGCTCACCTTCTCGGTCTCTGTGCAGATCTGAATCGCGTTGGGGATCAGCTTGGCCGTCTTCTCCTTCCTGATGCATTTCACCTCCTTCAGCTGGATGGAGATCTGTTGCGGACGAGTGACATAACAGGGATCAGTGGCAGCAGGGGGGAAGGCAAAGGGGCTCGCCTGCGTACCTGACCCATCTCTCCCTAGGCTACATTGCCAAGGCACTCACCGTGGTCTCCCATCGGAAGATGTTGCTGTAGAAGCAGATCCAGTTCTCCGATAGGTAAAGGCGCCCTTGAAGCAAGATGTCACGCTGCAGCGCACAGGAGTAATCTGAGGAGAGGGGAGACGTCAGCTGCTGAGAGCAAGTGTTTGGGTTCAAGGCAGAGTCGGGGGGGGATTGGGGGAGCAGCAGCAGGCTTGTGGGGAGACCAATCCTGTTGATAAGGGGGATGAAGGCCACAGCTGCTGGGCACTGACCCAAGGCTGCTCTGTTTTTAATTTTTTATTTGCTTTTCTGTTACAATTCAGCATTAATACATAAACTGTTACATTCAAAAAGAAATAATAATAAGAGTACATCTTTTCATATACTTCCCTCACCCTCTTTCCATGGTTTCCTATCTATTCCCCACCTATCCACGTCTTCTTGTTCTTCTCAGTTTTCTCTCTCTCCTTCTCCTTATCTCATGATATAACTGAGTTATTCTCACCCTGATAGGTTAATTATCTTGCTATAATGGTTTTTCATATAGTCTAATGGCCAATCCTCCTTGAACCTTTTATCATCTCAGTTTCTTATTATGTCAGTCATACCAGCTAATTCCGCGTATCCCGGCAGTTTACGCTGCCACTCATCTTTTGCTGCTCTGTTTTCATTTCATTTTCCAAAATATATTGCTCAGCCTTACTGTTTTCTTTTGGGATAGGTTGCAATCACATAAAAACACAGCAACACAGCGACTAAAGCTGCAGTAACAAAGCAGATGCAAAGCTTGGTTAAAAACAGCCCACGTCTCTAAAAAGTCTAGGTGAAGAAAAAAAACTGGTGCCTAAGCAATAACAAAGAAGGCATCGCCTCATTTCAAAGGGAGCTCCCCATGTGAGGCTCAGCAGCCAGAAACGCCCTCTCTGTGGTCACTCCCCTGCCTCACATCTGACATTGGCGCACCCAGAGGAGCGCGTGGGCAGGTGACCTGCATTTACTGGCAGGTTGATACGGGAGCAGTCTGTCCTTTAGAGCACTTATTCTAGAGACAGGACATCAGAATGGTTGCAGGTGACTAAACAGGACACTTCAAAACCAGAGGCTTTAACTGATTTAATAGTTGTTCCATTGTTCTGTGGATAAAGGACAACTGTTTTGTGAAGGACTCTCTAACCTAGGAGTGGGGAACCTTCTTTCTGCCAAGGGCCACATTTCCTCAGGGGTAATGTGCTGGGAGCCATGTGCTGGCAGTGGTTAGGACGACTAGAGCAAAAACTGGGTGGGACACCCCTTTTCTCCTTCTGCAACCCCTTTCTCGTTCTCTCCATCACTCCCCTTTCCCTTTCCTTATGCCACCTCCCTTCGTGTGTGTGTGTGTGAGAGAGAGAGAGAGAGAGAGAGAGAGAGAGAGATCCCATTTTCCCTGCCTCTCTCCTTTTCCCCATTTCCCCCTTTCTTGATACCCACATGAAATTAGGCTAAGGGTTGCATTTAAACACACACACACAACTCCCAGCATCTTCATCAAACTACAGTTCTCCGGTGTCTTGGGGAACAAGTCTACTCTAGACCATTAAACTGGCACTCAGCTCATTTGTAAGCTTTTTTGTGCTGATTGGCACAAAGAGGCAATTTATGAGGTGTCCAGAAATAGGAATCAGCAAGCCTGCTAGTGCAGAAAAAAGATATGTAGGAGAGATCAGGCTGTGAATAAAGCGGGGGTGTCACAATGAATTTCTCTTCCAACCTGTGAACGGGGCCAATTGGATCTATACTTACAGACGGGGAGGGTAGGGGCTAATCTAAATTCCAACTATAATTCCTTTATACATTTTGACAGGAGTGGAATCCTCAGCAAGGAGAACTTAAAGGATGGACAGGAAAGACAAGAGAACCTAAAATGCAAGAAACTGCAAGGAAACCTCTCTCGCATCCTAATCATGACAAATACGAAATTAGAAAAGAACACGTTCTACAAAATGATCTCTCTCACACAGCCAAAGGCTAGAGCCTTCAGAGACTAACTGCCTTTGAATGTGCATTATGTCAGGCATGCTTAAGTTTGCACCCTGGTTCTGGGCCAAGAGAAGTGAAGCGCACAATCTTTGCACAATCTTTTAAAAATGCTTGTCAGGTAATAATATTGCAAGGGAGAAAGATATTTCAATTTGCACTTAAAAACAACAACAACAAAACCATTTATCTCCCCTCCCTTGCTTACAACGGGACAAATGGATTTTGCCCTCCCTGTGCTTTCAAATTCTCCAGAAATCGTAACTCTGCACAGAGAAGCATCAAACCAGTTCTCAAATAAGTCTTTGGTCTCATCATGCATTTAAAGCATGTTGCTTCCCCCCAGAGAAGCCTGGGAACTGCTGTTTGTTAAGGGTACTGGGGACTGTCATGTGCTTTAAATGCATGCTGTGGCTGTCACCAACTCTGATCTCCTCTATCATCTACTGCAGCAAAGATAGAGTTTGTGGAAGCCCTCAAGAAGTTGCTGTCCTTCCATCTTCCTTGGCCCCATGGGGACTGATGGGAGTTGGAGTCCAACAACACCTGGAGGGCCACCACAGGCTCCCCACCCCAGCTCCACACTATCAACCATCACATGTAGGCCTGCTGATACACCTCATTCACCACCTACTTTGGATCCCACCGTTTGGCATAGCCTCCCTGCACCGCCCTTCTCCTCCTGTCTCTCACCTACAAGAAGCCGCTCCGTTTCAGGCAGTCCCTTGAAGATCCTGCGAAAATCCTCGTTGCGCTGCTTGTACGTGGGGCTCAGCATCTGCCAAAGACAACCAGGCCCATCAGGATGGAAGCGTTCCCTTCCTGTCCCTCCCACGGGACCCTCAGCCCAAGAGGCACCCAGCTCAGAAGAAAACTATCTATGCCCACTTCCAGCACCATGCAGAGAGCTGGAGGCAGGAGCTATTGGTTTAGCAGGGCCATCCTATGGCATGGGATAAGAGAGCAACTGGGATGACTTTTATTTTCCCATCAACGGCCTCGGCCCAGTATACACAAAGGAGCATCTCCACCCCCATCATTCACTGAGGTCCAGCTCCGAGGGCCTTCTGGGAGTTCCCTCACTGCGAGAAGTGAGGTTACAGGGAACCAGGCACAGGGTCTTCTCGGTGGTGGCGCCCGCCCTGTGGAACGCCCTCCCATCAGATGTCAAGGAGATAAAGAACTACATAACTTTTAGAAGACATCTGGATGAAGCCCTGTATGAGGAAGTTTTTAATATTTGACATTTTACTGGTTTTAAATATGTGCTTTAAGCTGCCCAGAGTGGCTGGGGAAACCCAGCTAGATGGGCGGGGTATTATAACCACCACCATCAACCCCTTAAAAAAAAGAATGCCACTCTTCCTACAAGGAGCTACAAACAGTATACACAGGCCTCCCTATTTTATTCTAACAACCCTGTGAGGTAGGTTACGTTGTGAGATTAGATGGCTCAAGGCCACCTGCCTGTGGCTCACAGCTGAGTGAGGATTTCAACCTGGCTCTTTCCTCTATTTTAAGTCCAGCACTCTAACTACTAAACCACACTGGGGCTGTGTAATTAGCGGCTTAAAACACAGCGGAGGTCATTATTTTCCTCAGTTTGGATCAAAGCTGGTTTGGGGGAGGGGGTGAATGGATCAAAATGCAGTATTTCGTAAGAAACAAGGGGGGGTGGATAGATAAGGCTTGTGGCTAACCTCATGCACACACCACTTCCCAAACCTGGGGTGGGAGTACACTAGATGCAGAGTAAACAGGAGTGTGTACACAGCCTTGCTATCTGAGGCTGCAGAGACCTGCTGGTTGGAGTGGAGGGTCTGGGTGGGGGTGGCAACTGATAACCTCAGGGGATGGACAAAGGGCCCCAGAGCTTACAGAAGAGCTTCAGAAAGGAAATGCACTGCAGCCAAGCCAAGCTGTTTAGGGGTTGATGTAGTAGAAGGAAGAGAGAGGAGCAAGGCAAGACCAGGCTGCGTTTTAAGCTGTGTACATAGACCCAGAGTGGTGTAGTAGTTCGACTACACGCACCCTGGAGGTAAAGAAGCAGAACCGAGGAAGGAGGGAGGTGGTGGGGTGCTAAGCAAAAGTCAAGAGAAGTAGGAAGAGCGAGGCATCTCACTTACTCTGTCCAGAGGGAGCGTCTTAACCCAGGGAGCAAGGGCAGCAGGCGAAGGAGGTTTCCAAGCAGCATCAGCGAGGGTTGCAGGGTGGGCGCACGCAAAGGAAGGCAGCAGCAGCGCTAGATTCAGAAAATTCAGCAAACGCACTGGCACAAGAATGGACAGGTTGCAGCGCGGGGTGGAGAAAGGGCAGCGCGCCAGCAAGAAGGCAAGGTGCAGGATTGGTGCGATATCATCAGCACAGAAAGCGGGGGTGGATGGGTCAAGAACGGGGCTGACAGTGGAATGGGGGGGAGAGCGGGGAGCGCGGCTGGCAAAGTGTCAGCGGAAGGATGGGGTTAAAACAGCAGAAGCACAAAAGAGGAAGATCGGAGAGAGGGAGGGAGCAGGCTGGGGCAAGGGGGTGGGGTTCTCGCAGGCGCCCCGAGGGTCATGGAAAGTGCTCGGGAGGAGGTCGGGGCGTGCTTCCTTTTTCGCAGGGGTCGGATCCCGAAGGGGAGGATATGCAGAAGGGCCGGGAGGAAGTAAAAGTGGGGGCGCAGAGGAGCTGGGGAGAGTGAAAGGAGGGCGGCGGAGGAAAGTTTCTGGAGCCCATCGAAGACGCGGAGAGGCCTCCCCCAGGGACAGCTCCGCAGCTCCTGTTACACCGCCCAGCCATTGGCTACGGGTGCCTGGGTGTCACTTACAGGAAACAAAAGGGGGCTGGGTGTCAGGCTGCAGTTAACCATCTCCTGCCCACGTGGGGGACTCTGCCCCCCGGCGAAGGGGAGGCGACCTCCGCCGGCCCGCCTCAACCCCGGCGCACCGCTTCACTTCTGAAGAATTCCTCTTCCGGAAGCCATTGCAAAACACACGGAGAGATAAAACTCAGCGGCGAGGGATTCACGCTCTGCACGTGCGCAGAGACACCGTCTTGGTCTTTCCCTATGTATTACTAGATTCCCGTCGGTTTGGTACTGAAAACAAGATTCCGAGGCTGAGCCTGCCTTCTTCGCTCGAAGGATTTTTTTTTTATCTCGCCCCCTAGAAAGGTTCCCAGGGCAGCTTACCCAAAGAAGTAGGAAGAGTGATAAGAAAAAAAATAAGACGCCGATTAAAAGATTAGGTACGAAACTCGGCAGCGGCAATGGCAAAACGGGTTCGATCCGCGTATGGGGCAGCGGCATATTCCTGCATTGCAGGGGGTTAGACTAGATGACCCGCAGGATCCCTTCCAACTCTAGGATCCTGTGATTCCCTGGCCATGCCCTCCACATCCGCTGCTCTTTGTTCTACGCTTGCTGCCAAAGCAGAAAGGGAAAATTACAGGGCAGAAGCAACTTACCTATAAGATTGGGGGAAGGAGGAATAAGAGATAAGATTGCCCCATCTTGCAGTCTTGTCTAGCTAAACCTTGTTCCCCACCACCAGCCATGCCCCTCCCCAGTGCTTTTTTTCTTTAAAAAATTGTTTAGGGGTACTCTCATTTTCCTACTTATTGAAATACTGCCCCTCAATGAGGCCAAACTTAGATTCACAAAATGTTTAGGGGTATGCGTCCCCCGCCCCCAGAGAAAAAGCACTGCCCCTCCCCTTTGCCACCCCTCAAATGCTTGTGCATTTCATTCAATGAGACTAGCCAGATCTGCTCATGGAGCAGAATGGGGAGTGGGCTGCAGGCAGGGGTACATTTGCACACCTCACATTTTAATGTCCCTACATTTGAGTGGGGGAGGAATATGCCACAGCTAGAAATCTACCATATCAATGAGACAGAAAGGTTCTAAGCCAGTCATCTTCCCTGCTGTGCTAGGTTTCCAACTGCAAGGAGCATTTGTTTGTTTACATACTCAGATTATTCCCATGCCTGCGGTCTATAAAAAAGTGCTCATCGTGATTAAAACATGGCTTGGGAATATAAAGAGACTCCCAGTTTAAAGCGCTGATTTATTTCCTACACTGCCTTTTAGGTTCCAGGATATCCTCTCCCTCCCTCGGGTTTGAATCCCCACTCAGCCATGAAGGGTCACGGGGTGAATTTTGAGCCAGTCACAGCAACCTCTCTGCCTACCAACCTCACAGGGTTGTTGACAGGATACAAATGGAAGGGGGAGGAAAGACTGCATGCACTGCCTTGAGCTCCAGGGATGAAGGGATGCAAGATGCTGATTCAGATAGGAACCACAACAGGGCACAAAGGACAGGGCTTTAGGGCAGACATCCAACAGGGCTGGCTTATGATGTGGGGCAGCTAGGACCTAATTTAATAACCTCACTGCAACACTGCCCACTGGGGTCCCAAATCTAGATTCCTCTCCCCACCATCACCACCAATGCAATGCTTGTTATTTAAAAATAATAATATTTCGATTGCTGTTTGTGTGAACGGTGTCACATTTAGAGTGGCCGTAAAAGTTTCATAAGACAAGGAACTACAATAGTCGTTAAGTAAATATTACTTAACGGTAATATTTACTTAATATGACTTAGTATTCGTAGAGTTTCTTTGTGAACCAAGGCTTTTGGCGCAGTGACACCAGGGATCGAGAACACTGTTCCTATTGAAACCAAGCACTTGCCATCCGGATATTTCATCACCAACTGGAAATGTATTTGTATCGCCAAGGACTTTTCATAGGATTAATGTAACTCAGTACTGATCCATGTGTACAGTGTTCTATGATTTTGTAATTGCAGTTTTACGACGTTTCAATTATCTTATTGTTCAATGCCTTGGTTTTTATTTTTTTTAATATACTTTAAAAATAGTAATGGGGGGGTGGAGGAAGTAAAACCATGAAAGCAAACCCATGAAATGCTGGCCACACTACTCCAAAGGTTTTGGACTGAAATCCTAATCACACATATTAGGGAGTAAATTCCATTGAACTTAATAGGGCAAACCTCTCAGTAAACAAGCACAAGGGAGAAAGTTCATTAAGGTTGCCATACAGATGGATTTCCCAATGACAGAATTAGCATCCGGGGGGGATTTTTGGAAAATCAGCAAAAAAAGTTCAACAACTTCTGGAAATATGGCTCCAACGTGCAATCCTGAGGCACACACACACACTCAGAAGCTGGCCCTGCTATGGGGCTTCTTAATAAACGCCGTGTTTAGGGTTGCAGTTTTACAAACGTATACACCAGGCATAGGTAACCTTGGCCCTCCAGATGTTTTGGGACTACTATTCCCATCATCCCTGACCACTGATCTTGTTAGCTAGGGATCATGGGAGTTGTAGTCCCAAAACATCTGGAGGGCCGAGGTTGCCTATGCCTGGTATACACTATACATTTAAAAGCACACAATTTCCCTCAAAGGACCCTGGGAACTGTTGCTGGGTTAAGGGTGCTGGGAATTGCAGCTCTCTGAGGGGTAAACTCCTGTTCCCAGGATTCTTAGGAGGAAGTCATGTGTCTTAAAATTACAGTGTGTGCGCAGCTTTAGTCACAAATAACTTCAAGCGGCATGAAGGCCGTGAACTGAGATGCGTGCCCTTTCCAGCTCTCTCTTTTTGGATGGATACCAGAAGGGCCTGCCTTTTCATACGTTGGCAATATTGCTGTGCACATTTAATAGCTTCTTAATGGCCCAAAGCTGGAGGCGTTCTATTCTTGTGTACACCCCAATGGAAGAACAAAAATAACAACTTACACTGTACCAGCTCTGCATTTTCTGAAAGAAAGAAAAGAGAGAGAGAGAGAGTTAGTGTAAGCCACATGTTAACCTGGGGCGATGGACTTTTTTTCAGCCCAAGCATCACATTCCCTTCCATGCAACATTTCAAGGGCCACATGCCAGTGGCCGGCAGGGACACAGGCAAAAGTGGGCAGATTAACTAATGCAAAGTTTGCCTTTATGCAGTAGGGCAATTCCTGCACACAGTTGCCCACCCCTCTCTATCCTCCATCCAAACATGTTCAAGGACACATCCGGGACAGACAAAAACACAAAGTGGGAGGACAAAACAGGGCCAATGAGGGGTGGGCTTCAATCAGGAAAGGGCCAATGTTCAATTTTATGCATGCCCATTAATTTTAATTACATAAGTATTCATTACACAGGTATAAGATGTAATTAATTTTAGTGTTTTAATTTCTGGTGTATGAAGAGCAGCAGGGGGAAGCCACCTTGTGCTAACAGAAGTCCTTGCACTGGTTTATGCTAGTTGATCAGGGCATCCTTATCAAATTTGCAGATGACACCAAACTGGGAGGGGTGGCTAACACCCCAGAGGACAGGATCACACTTCAAAACGACCTTGACAGATTAGAGAACTGGGCAAAAACAAACAAGATGAATTTTAACAGGAGAAATGTAAAGTATTGCACTTGGGCAAAAAAATGAGAGGCACAAATACAAGATGGGTGACACCTGGCTTGAGAGCAGTACATGTGAAAAGGATCTAGGAGTCTTGGTTGACCACAAACTTGACATGAGCCAACAGTGTGACGCGGCAGCTAAAAAAGCCAATGCAATTCTGGGCTGCATCAATAGGAGTATAGCATCTAGATCAAGGGAAGTAACAGTGCCACTGTATTCTGCTCTGGTCAGACCTCACCTGGAGTACTGTGTCCAGTTCTGGGCACCACAGTTCAAGAAGGACACTGACAAACTGGAACGTGTCCAGAGGAGGGCAACCAAAATGGTCAAAGGCCTGGAAACGATGCCTTATGAGGAACGGCTAAGAGAGCTGGGCATGTTTAGCCTGGAGAAGAGGAGGTTAAGGGGTGATATGATAGCCATGTTCAAATATATAAAAGGATGTCACATAGAGGAGGGAGAAAGGTTGTTTTCTGCTGCTCCAGAGAAGCGGACACGGAGCAATGGATCCAAACTACAAGAAAGAAGATTCCACCTAAACATTAGGAAGAACTTCCTGACAGTAAGAGCTGTTCGACAGTGGAATTTGCTGCCAAGGAGTGTGGTAGAGTCTCCTTCTTTGGAGGTCTTTAAGCAGAGGCTTGACAACCATATGTCAGGAGTGCTCTGATGGTGTTTCCTGCTTGGCAGGGGGTTGGACTCGATGGCCCTTGTGGTCTCTTCCAACTCTATGATTCTATGAATCCAGCCTAATAATTTTAAAAGAAAACCAAACAAGGGTCAACTAAACAATGCCAGCGGAAACAGAAAACCTTAAGTGCCTGAAAGGGGGCACCTCCCATGGGTGGTTGTTCCATAATCTGGGTGCCCAAGTTGAAAAGGCCTTCTCCTTTGTTCCACCAACCAAACCTCCTTCAGTTCTGGCACCCTAAGAAGAGCCTCAGAAGCTGAGCAGAGTTCCCCAAACAGGTTCACCTTCTCTCATCTCCCGCCACACATGCCCCCACCCATTCTACCTTGTTATTACGGATGAAGCTGCGCCCACTGAGGGGGTAGTTCAGCGGGGTGCTGGGCGGGTGCACTGCTTGAGGGGTCCGCTCTGCTGCATTCTCTGAGCCTTTCTCCACCATGGCTTCCGGGGTCAACTCTGGAGGAGGTCGTGGCGGCAACTGCAGCAAGCGCTTCCTCAGGGACGGGGAGCTGCTTGGGGTCGTACGTGGGGATGTGGTGCCTGTGCTGGAAGGAAGCAGAGAGACAATTATGAGCCAAGGCCCCAATTTAAACACTACCGTTCCCAAGTTGCCCAGGAACAAAACTCAAGATGATCTCTATGCCGTGTTTGCCTTAATACACAGCATTCCCCACCTTGGTCCTTCTAACCCTCTATCTTGCTTTCACCCTCCAAACAACATCCAGCTCACATGTAACCCCTAAGAGGACCTGTGTCTTTAAGAGTTGCGGAGAACTGAATTGTATTTATCAGGAAGGACAGATCCTGAAGCTGAGGCTCCAATACTTTGGCCACCTCATGGGAAGAGAAGACTCCCTGGAAAAGACCCTGATGTTGGGAAAGATTGGGGGCACAAGGAAAAGGGGATGACAGAGGACGAGATGGTTGGACATTGTTCTTGAAGCTACCAACATGAGTTTGACCAAACTGCAGGAGGCAGTGGAAGACAGGAGTGCCTGGCGTGCTCTGGTCCATGGGGTCACGATGAGTCAGACACAACTAAACGACTAAATAACAACAATCATTGAGTGCATTTATTTCCCACCTGTCCTGCATGGACCTCAAGATGGCATACAAAGGAGTTCTAAGCAGACCCAGGCTTGCTTAGCATCATCATCAAGGTGGCTGCAGCCACTGCCATATCTTGCTGGGATACAAAAAAACCAACAACCTGCCGCCATTCAGTTTCTCCCATCACTGAAAAACTATGGATGCTTCCAGACTGGGGAGATGGGGCAAACGGGTCACTGAGAAATATCTCAATGGTTGCTGGCAACACATTGTGGTGGTGGTTACTCAGCGCTTTTTTCCCTAAAAAAAATGTTTAGGGGTACTCTCATTTTGACTCAAAATCATCATTTTATAGTTCAAATTGGGAAAAATAAATATAGTAAATGGACAAAAGTACAAAGATTCACAAAATGTTTAGGGGTATGTGTACCCCTGCGTACCCCCAGAAAAAAGCACTGTGGTTACGCATCAGAAAGGATATAACCCAGATTAAATGAGCAAAAAAAATACAGGCTGGTGTTTTGATGCCAAAGACACCTGGTGGATGTTACCAAAAAAAGGGGGGGAGCTTTCCATGCATGAAGAGTACCCGTCTTGGAGCACCCTATAACAGGAAAATCCATATTCTCTGTACTATTGAACTTTTAAAGACACAGAAACCCTCTCTGCAGCTTAACAAATTTCCAAGTTGGGTTTCTTGATTTTGTTTTTTCATTTCCTGTCCGGCAGAAGCTATTACTAGAGCAGAGGAAATGTAAACAGGAAAGCTCCCAGCTCATGAGAAGAAACAGGATCCTAATCCCAGAGTCAGGTCACCTGAGGAACCGCCAGAGATTCTAAGAGACACTCAGAAGGGGAGTGAAGAGCAAACTGGAGTCAGATTTGTGGGCAAACCACCCTCAGCTAAGGACCCAGTTTGTATAACGGACCAGATACTCTCCTTCCCAAATCCACGGCGTACGAAATAATACGAGGCCACACCCAATTTGTACAGGTCTTCTCCTCCAAAAAAGAAAGAGTGAAAGGAAGTTGTGTATATGACTATCCATGCTTATTACCACAGTGTGTAGTTATCCCCCTCCAGTTTATCTTTGCAGCAACCCTGTGAGGTAGGTTAAGCTGAGAGACTGACTGGCCCAAGGTTGCCCAGTGAGCTTCGTGGCTGAGTGGGAACTAGAACCCAGGTCTTAATCCAACACTCCAGCCACTACACCACACTGGCTCCCCATCCATACTGCCCACAAGCCATGGGGAAAGGGATTCCCCCCCCCCCCGTTACTGTTCCTACTGGGCTCCCATCTATGTCCGTGTGTGAGCAGGTCCTGTGAAAAGCCTTTGAAATGTAGGATGGGAACACGAATGTTTGCCAGTGGCCTCCGGAACATGCCAAGAGAATTATTTTATAATGAATCAAAAAGTGAGGCCTGTAGCGTGGATTACTCCTGTTCCACCCTATTATTCCTTCCATTCGGTCATCTGGGTTATGCCTCCCAATAATCTCCCTTGCCACATGTTCTATAACCATGATTAGCAATTATGACATGCACTTAAAAAACAAAAACTAGGCATGTACAGGGATGCATAGCTATCAACCCCACAGCGCACAAGGCGCATTTTAAGCCTTCTCAGTTGCAGTCTTGCTAAAAAAAAAACTGCCCTCCTCAAATTAGCAAGTAGCCTTATGGGAAAATGTCTTTCCTTATGCAGATTGTTGCACAGAGGCAAGCAGTGATTTTTCAAAATCAAAACTGCATCTAGGAGAGAAGGCTTAAACCTCTCCTGCCCATGAGCTCTGCAGCCCCCTACAATTGGCATTTTGTTTTTTTAAAAACCCACAATATGACTGCTAATCAGGTCATTAATGTACCGTGTATCCTTGGAGCATGCTCAGTTCCCCTTGGGAAGTTTTTGGAAACCCCACCAGCAGCGTTTAGGTGTTCTCCCCGCTTGAAGATTGCTTCTACAAGCCGTGGGGTTCCCCCAAACCTGATACCTTCATCTTGTGAATGGGCCGTGCTGTTTTAGCGACATAAGCAACTGCACTCACCTATGAGCACCAGAACCAGTGAAGCTATGGAACATCCAAGCCATGCATTTAAAACATCCTGGGAACCACAGTAACCCCCCCACAGAGCTACCATCCCAGCGCCATTTACAAACTATAGCTCCCAGGGTTCTTTGGTGGAAGTCATGTGCTTTTAAGTGTTTGGCACAGAGTGACTTACAACAATTGTCTTATTTACTCCCATGACAGCCTTGTAAGCAAAGGCATAAGGAACCGAGACTAAAATAATACAACTTGCCAAAGGCCGCTCTGACAGCTCATGACTTAAGCAAGGATCTGAAACCAGGACACCCTGATCACAGGAAAACATGCATCACATCAAGGAATATTCCCATGCAGACAAATTTTCTTATGTTTTAATTAGGGCTGTCACTTCATTGGAGGAATATTAACTGAACGATTATAAAAGCGTTAACCGATAAATACGTTAGTTGAATCTGCAAAATTTGCTCATGAATAAAACAATCGGGGGGGGGGAGTTGGGTGGGAATTTGTTTTTCAACGGTGCATGACTATATCAAAGCATCATCATAGAAGAAGCATTCTCTCTTGAGTGAAATAATTCTTCCAAAAGAGAGCTGGTAGTTAAAAGGAGCTGCATTAAAATCACCTTCATTTTAAATAAAGATGAATTATGATTAAATAACAATGAAGCCTCATTGATCAGGAGGCTGTTTTAAGTTGCCCAACATGTTTTTACAAAATTATTTCTTTCATTGACAGCCCTAGCTTTAATAATTATGAGCATGTGAATAAAAGGAAGGGGTTAAACTGCATCACCATCTCATTTAGGGATGGAATCCTGAACAGTAACAAGGGCAGACTTTGCCAACCTGATGTGCTGGCTGGGGCTGATGGGAGTTGTAGTCCAAAACATTGGGAAGGCATTCAAGGTTGGCAAAGGCTGAACTAGGGGTAATGTTTCATTGGGCACAATGGGAATTACTTCCAAGCAAATGCACATATAGGCTTGTGCTGGACTCCATTTCCCCCCACCATCCTTGAAATCAGAGTGATCAGAATAGTCTGAGGCTTATTTATTATGTGCTGCGTGGCAAACGCAACCTATGTTTAAACTGTTAATTTAGTAATAATAATAATAATAATAATAATAATAATAATAATAATAATAAATTTATTTATATCCCACCCTCCCCAGGCAAAGCCGGGCTCAGAGCGGCTAACAACAATAAAATAAATACAACATTCTAAAATCATTTCATTATAAAATTAATTCAAATCAGATTAATGGCAACCATTGGGCTAGAGTTCTGTGAGGATTGCCAAAAGAGTTAGAGTTTAATCCGTGCTAGGGCTATAGTAAGGAAGAGTAGAGAGCTGAAACTGGTCAAGACAAAACCAAACAGAATAAGAGACTGACCCATGTGGACGCCCCATAAGCTGTACCAAAGGAATGGGGAACCTCCAGGGGCTGTTGGACACCAGCTCCCATCAGCCATGGCCAGCATGGCCAATTGCCAAGGAAGATGGGAGTTGTAGTCCAACAACAACACATGCAGGGCTACAGGTTCACCCCCGGTACCTCTTCAATCATAAATCTAGCAAGCAACAAGAATAAAACAAGGATAAAGGAAAGATAAACCAAAACTCCACCTCCTAAATGTGGAAGAATCGGGAAATCTGAAGTTTTTTAATTTGGGGCAGGCTGGCAAATACAGTGGTACCTCAGGTTAAGAACTTAATTCGTTCTGGAGGTCCGTTCTTAACCTGAAACTGTTCTTAAACTGAGGTACCACTTTAGCTAATGGGGCCTCCCGCTGACACCGCGCTATTTCTGTTCTCATCCAGAAGCAAAGTTCTTAACCCGCGGTACTATTTCTGGGTTAGCGGAGTCTGTAACCTGAACCATCTGTAACCCGAGGTACCACTGTAGTGGTTTGTTTGTTTGACTGCCTATAAGACTTGTCTACATGTAGCAAGGAAGCTGTGGCAAACTGGGAAAGAGCTGGTTCCTTTCCTTTCCAAGCCATCGGAAAGTCACAAATGGCTAACACTAGCTTCCTTTTGCAGACAGGGTAGTTGTGGTTCACTGTCTACAGGGCCAGCGTAAGGGATCCAAGTTATGGAGCTTGTATCCCACACCCAATGGGAGCATTCCCATTTCAGGCTCTCAAAAACCCTGTTGAGGTGGATGAGGCCAACACAGAAGCAGCCAGATCAAGATTACTATCTGTGCTTCAAGGCCGAGTGGGATTTGAATCCGTTCCTGCCCAGACAAAGCTTCAGACTCTGTCCGCTCTGCTGCATGGAATGCCAGGCACCAGTATCATGCGATTGGAGGCGATGTCAGGTTCTGCGACAATCTGCAAACAGCAAGGGCTGGGAATCTGGGAATAAGGCAGCGCCAGGCTCCCACAGACCGGGATACTGGGTGTGGTGGTTTCAGGAGACATGTTTCCTCACACTTCCACGCTTATCATCATGCACATACACACACACACACACACATACAGAGAGACCTGCCCCGATCCAGCAAGGAACTTACCGGCCACCCAAGGATCTGCCCTGTGTCCTGGTGCAAACGAGAGCAAGAAAGAAAGAGAGTGGAGGGAAATTCATGAGAACAAGAAATCAGGGTGGGGGGGAGAGAGAAAGGCAGAAAGAGAAGGGCACCCAAAGAAGATAAGAGCAAGATAAAAAGATCTGCGGAGCTGTTTGGGCTACGCAGCTCACACCATTATTTTGGCCCTCGCTCACCCGCATGCACACAAACCCCGCCTCTGTCTGCCCTTCCCGGACAGCCCCTTGCAGCAGGTGGCTGCTTTGCACTGAACAGCTGCAGGGGGAAACATACACACAGGCCAGTGTTTGGGAGGATGGCTGTCCCAAACGCTTTCTCTATCCTCTTCCTGCAGCACCCAAGCCTCTTCAGAGAGTGTAGTTCTGTCTGGCCAGCCTGTAGTCCCCCCAACCTCCAAAATCAGTATTTGTTTCTATGCCTGTAGTTGATTCCTAGAAAAGAGCACGACGTTTTTGATACCAGGACAAGAGGCAAAAGCCAAGGCAAAGCCGAGCCCCCTGGCTCTCTGCCCAAAGAGGTGAGGTGTAAACTCTGGTCTCCTTCCCCCGACATGTGCATATCCTGCCAAATCCCTTCTCAAACGCCGCTTGGGTTCCGTGAACTGAGTTTCCATTCCTTTCACTGTTCTAAAATAGGGCCTCACCATCACTGTGTCCGATGCCACGTGTCTGATTTTACAAGGGGCAACCCTGCTACCTGAAGGGCTGTTGGAGGGCACACTTTTATTTAAACCGAGTCTGGTTTAAACATAAAGAACCCTAAGAAGGGAGAGCAGGACGGGGCTTGATGTCGCCCATCAGCAGCAAGCACTTGTGCATAGATGTAGCAGACACATAGGTCGCCTGGTCACAGTCTTCCCCGCTATGGGGAGGTGCATTGTGTTTCTATTTAGATTGCAGCAAGTCATCCTAAATTTGCATTTATGCACGTCAACTTGCATGTGCAAATCACTAAACCTCTTTCATGCTCATTTTGTTTATTAAATTTATATACCACCCTTTATCAAAAGATCTCAGGGCGGTACAAGATAAAAGCACAACATAAAAGCACAAATAAATAAGTTTGAAAAATTTATGTTGAAGCCTTTCTTTTTTTCCTTTTTGCAATGTGCAATTGCCCATCCTATGCCCCTCATCAGCATCAAGCTTTATTGAATTAGGCTGGCCTGGCATTTGGGATTTAGTGAAACTTTTTAATCACTGCTACCACATGAGTGACCCTGGTGTTACTGGGACCAGCCTAAAAGCCATTCCAGGTATAGGCAGGTCTCTGGCAACCCACCCACACTCCCAAATACCCATTACACCCCCTTCCTGTTTGTATGCTCCCCCTACAACCTTCAAATCTGATATTCTATCCAATTCCACACAGTGTGGGTGTTTAAAACATCAAGGGTTCCTTGAAAGTATGACTGGTATAAATAATGTGGCATTGTTGCATTTGCCTTGTTTTGTTTTAAGTCAAGTCAGTCACACCTAAGTCTCCAAGCTAACACCTAAGTGTTCCACCCAGGACAACAGGATCAGGTCCAGAATGGTACTGGGTGCCCTGCCCAAAGCAGTCTTGTTTGAAATATATAATAACATAAGAACCCTGCTGTTATCAGATCAAAGGTCTATCCAGCAACCTGTTTTCCACAGTAGCCAGCCAGATGCTAAGGATCTGTACTGGGACCAATGTTTTTTAACTTGTTCCTCAATGCTCTAGAGCCAAGTTTGTAACGTTTTTTGGGCCTTTGGGCAGATATGGGGTTTTGAGCGAGTTTTCGTCACTTCCTTCCCCTCAACCTCAGATGAAACCCCAGAGAAAGCAAAAGAGAAAGAAAGAAAGAAAGAATACACTAACACATTTCACTCTTCCAAGGGATCGTCTTGGTAAAAATTACATACCGGTACATCTGATAGAATCAGTCTGAGCCTTGAAAGGCACATATGTGTTGAACAAGGAGATGGGAAAGAGTATCCCTTTTCCAACTTCCTTAGTCAGCTCTGTTTACTTTTCTAAGGAGAAAAAATGGTAGACACCAACAGCATGGGGGCTTAAAGACTTTGTGGCAACAGGGAAAAATCCCCATGGGTATCACTGTGCCCATGGGTGCCCTGTCTATAATTAGCGGGTTACCATACAAAAAATGGCATCCCCCACCGAAAGTGAGAAGTGGCCCATTCCACCCTGCCATCTTAGGATCTTACATCTCATTCTGTGGCATGTATAGACTAGGGCTGAAGGCTCAGCACCAGAGAGATTATCACCAATTGACAACTGGAGAAGAAGGATGAACCCAGCCCTAAAACTCAGGGTGATGTCAGGGAGAAAAAGCCCACCCCTCTTTCAGGGGTGAGAGCAGAATCTTAGTGAGGACAAATTTTGCCAAACCACCAAGGACTGCCAGAAGTTTTGGATCACTTTCCTCCAGTGAAGACAGAGTGAGGCCTCCGTACAGGATTCGTGGTGGCTTCCTATCCAGGCAGGCACATACTAGCCCCAGATCTGCTTAATTTCAGCCAAGGCTGCTGTGAGTGGCGGGTCTCTGGACCATGCCCTTGTACGACTCATAGGGTGTCAGATTCAGACACCAGGAAGCACACAGACCTGTGCGCTTCCTTAAGTGCTTCATTTTAAATTGAAGCGCTCTCAACTCTGCAGGGGGGAACCCTGTGTAAATGCACATAAATTCCAAATTTCACCAGAATATAGAATCCCACCTTCAACAGCAAAGGAAATGGCTAGACAACTCAAATAGTTCATAAGCATCCCTAGGAAGTGCTCATTGCTTTTCACATGCATTCTTAATAATAGTTGTTACTATCAGTATTATTATTTATATAAAAAAATTCTTACCCACTTTTCGTTACTGTATATTCCCAAATAAAATAACCGCATAAATTCAACCTGTCAAAATATGCGCTGAAGAGTCAAGTCATTCTTCCTAATTCCTGTTTGTCCTTGAATTTCACTTCAGAACACCAAGTTCTGGGTAGCATGTGGGAGGGCTGTGGCTCTCAGCCAATCGTACCATTTGACCCTGTTTTCTTCTCTATGGACCATTGCTTGGCCTTATCTAGGACCCGCAGCTGCAGACTCTGGAGGGAAAAAATGCACCCACTTCCAGCTGAGGGAACATAAGTCCCAGTGAACATACACACCATATATCTGAAGCAGATTTAAAGTACATCCCCAAAGAATCTTTGGTCTGTAGTTCATCCCCCACAGAACTACAATTCCCAGCACCCTTAATTAACAAACTGCAGATCCCATGATTATTTGGGGGGGCCACATGATTTTGGTGTCCTTTAAATTTATGGCGTGTATGCATCCCTAGTTGCATTTTGCAGAGCAAAATGGTGCAACAATCGGTCTATGGGACCAGGACAGCAGAAGATACACAAACATGCCAGCCTGCCTCCTCATCTAATTACACATCATGTAAAGATGGCCGCCAATTTGGACATCTTTTTTTAAAAAGCAGTTAAGACAAATTTGTGGATTACAAGGCTACTAGTCACGATGGTTACACATCACCTCCAGCATTGGAAGCAGCATGCCTCAGAATATCAGTTGCTAGGGAACAACCGTGGGAGGCATGCAGCTCAGCAGGCAGAGCACCTGCTTTGCATTCATAATGTCCCCAGGTTCAATCCCATATATCTCCAGGTAGGGATGGAGAAGACCCCTGCCTGGAACCTGGAGAGACACAGCCAATCAGTGTAGACGACACTGAGCTAGACAGGCCAATAAGGCAGCTTCCTGTGTCCCTATGTCCTGCTGATGGACTACAAATAGGCATCTGGGTTGGTAACCATGGGAACAGAAGGACAGGGCTAGACAGGCCTTTCCTCTGATTCAGCAGGACTCTTTATGTTCTCTATGAACCTCACCCCTGCCCTGCAACTCTATCCAGACAAAGAAAAGGCTGCCTGTGTTGATTCTGAGGCATCCCTAGGGGAAGATTCATTGGTGGCCTCACTGGTTATAAGAGGAAGGGGGACAAAAACCCAAGTTGCAGCCACTGGAGCAAGCCTTCCAGAATAGTATTAGGAAACTAGCAACCCACAAGTGCTATTTCCACAATATTCCCCAGGGCTCTTAGCCAGCTGCCTCCTGGGAATAAATGGCTCCTCTTTGTTTTGCCCCTGGGTGATGAGAATAAATAGCTGCCTCGTCGATATTCACTTACGCTTTATGGGAGCGGATAGAAGACACTGCCTTTGAACAGGGATACCTTGCCTAACAGTTTTCACCCAGGAGAAAAGGAAAGAAAGCTGGTGTTACGTTGCCCCTCGCGGCTGTGAAGCGCACGGGGAAGAGACCAAAACAGAGGAGAGCTCGTATGGAGAGGGAAAGAGGGGGGCTGGGGTGAGATCTGGAGTTCTTATGAGGCTGAGGATTAAAAGGAGCTTCTAATCTGCGCCCCATCCCGAGGGACGAGGGTAGGGTGAGCAAGGATTACTCACCTCCGTCACTGGTGTTGTGCAATGCCAGGTCTATAGGCAACAAAACCGCCACTCTGCGAGATTTCTTTACCTCGCAGGGGTTGACCTGGCTTGTGTGACGGAGACCTGGGTACGCGAAGGGGCAACAGTTACCTTACGAGAGATGGCGCCCCGGGTTTCTCCGTCCTCCACCAGTCACGGACTGTGGGCCGGGGGAGGGGTGGCATTATTAATCCGGGAAGATTGTCCTTTCAGGGCTCTACCATCGCCATCGATCCCCGGCATTGAATGTGTTGGCCTAGTGTGGGGCTCTGAGGTGAGCTTGGCTGTCTGGCTGGTGTACCGGCCACCTAGCGCACCAGCAGCCACCCTGTCAGGCCTGCTGGAGGCGGTGGCCAGCTGGGCCTTGGAGTTCCCTAACCTATTGGTATTGGGGGACTTCAACATCCATGCTGATGCCACTCCTCCTCACAGGCTCTGGACCTGGTGTCTTCCATGGCAACACTAGGGCTCTCCCAGTTTGTTTCAGGCCCCACACATCAAGCAGGCCACACGCTGGATTTGATCTTTGGCATAGGTATAGATGTGATCATGTCTCCTTCAATTAAGGTGCCATGGTCTGATCACTACGCTCTGAAAGCCAGGATTGACTTTCCACCCCCACCCTGCTTAGGTGGCGAGCCGATTTGGGCTCGCCCGCAGAGGCTGATGGACCCTGATAGATTCCGTCAAGCCTTGCGGGACCTTGCTCCCCTGGCGACTCATTGACTGAGCTTGTTGAGGGCTGGAATACCCAGCTCCTGGCAGCCATAGATGAGATCGCACCTAAGCGCCCTCTGCGACTCCGCAGAAACCGGGCTCCCTGGTTTACCGAGGAGCTTCGGAAAATGAAGCGGGACCTCAGACGGCTAGAGCGAGTATGGCGGGGTGCCCGTGACGGAGCCTCAAGAACATCTTATAGGGTTTTTATGAAAACCTATGAGATGGCGGTGAAGGCCGCTAAGAAGTCTTACTTCTCGGCCTCCATTGCATCCGCTAGCTCTCGCCCGGCGCAATTATTTAGTATAATTAGGTCTTTAACGTCCCTTGAAGGACAGCCAAATTTAAATAACAATTTGACACACAGCTGTGAGGCATTTGCGAGCTTTTTGCGGAGAAGGTCCTGTTGCTCCGCCATGACCTCCCTGCCAATTTGGATACAATAAAGGAACTGGAGGCCCCTCGACTGTCCTCGGGTCCAGTATTGGACCACTTTGATCGGATATCCCCAGCCGATGTGGACAGACTCCTCCGAGCTGGAAAGCCCACCACCTGTCCTCTTGACCCGTGCCCGTCTTGGCTGATTAGAGCGTGTCCAGACGAGGTGCGGGCCCCCCTGGGAGATATCATCAATTTGTCCCTTGGCACCGGGATATTTCCAGGGGAATTGAAGGAGGCAGTGGTGCGCCCGCTCTTAAAGAAAACATCATTAGATCCCTTAGATCTATCCAATTACCGCCCGGTTTCGAATCTTCCATTCCTGGGTAAGGTGATTGAGAGAGCGGTTGCTGAACAGCTTGGTAGGTTTCTGGATGAAACATCGGCTCTGGATCCATTCCAGTCTGGCTTCCGCGCTGGTCATGGGACCGAGACGGCTCTGGTCGCCCTAACAGATGATCTCCGCAGGCAGCTGGATCGAGGCGGGTCGGGGCTGCTGATTCTTCTAGACCTGTCAGCAGCCTTCGACATGGTTGATCACGAACTCCTGGACCACCGCCTTGCCGACGTGGGGATCCAGGGCACAGTCCTTCAATGGCTGCGCTCGTTTCTCTCCGGTCGGGGACAGAGGGTGGCGCTTGGGGGAATTGTCATCCCGCCACTCCTTGGTGTGTGGAGTGCCTCAGGGTGCGATACTCTCCCCGATGCTTTTTAATATCTTTATGCGCCCCTCACCCAGCTTGTCCGGAGTTTTGGGCTGGGTTGCCATCAGTATGCCGATGACACCCAACTCTATCTGTTGATGGATGGCCATCCTGACTCGGCCCCAGACACACTGACCAGATGTTTGGAAGCTGTGGCTGGATGGTTACGCGGAAGCCGGTTGAAGTTAAATCCTTCGAAGACAGAGGTCCTCTGGCTGGGACGGGACGATATGGGATTGGGGGGGCAACTCCCATCTCTTGCGGGGTGCAATTAGTGCCAGCACCGTCCGTTAAGAGTTTGGGTGTAATCTTCGATACCTCCCTCTCTATGGAGGCGCAGATTACAGCTATAACAAAGGCGGCATTTTTCATCTCCGCCAAGCTAAGCAGTTGGCCCCTTATCTCTCTCGCCCTGACCTAGCCACTGTGATCCACGCGACGGTCACCTCCAGACTGGATTATTGTAACTCGCTCTACGTGGGGCTGCCCTTGAGACTGACCCAGAAACTCCAGCGGGTGCAGAATGCCGCAGCGAGACTCCTTATGGGGTCTTCGCTGCGAGATCACATTCATCCGGTACTATACCAGCTGCACTGGCTCCCGGTGGAGTACAGGATCAGGTTTAAGGTGCTGGTTTTAACCTTTAAAGCCCTATACGGCCTAGGACCCTCGTACCTACGGGACCGCCTCTCCTGGTATGCCCCACAGAGGAACCTACGGTCTGCAAATAAAAACATCCTGAAGGTCCCAGGCCTCAGAGAGGTTAGGCTGGCCTCAACTAGAGCCAGGGCTTTCTCGGCTGCGGCTCCAATCTGGTGGAACGCTCTGTCACAGAGACTAGGGCCCTGCGGGACCTGACATCTTTCCGCAGGGCCTGCAAGACAGAGTTGTTCCACCAGGCCTTTGGTCAGGGCCCAGCCTGACTCCCACCTCCGGCAACCTGCACAGAACTTTGCTTAACGGTTGCCATTAATTTGATTTTAATTAATTTTATAATGAAATGTTTTAGAATGTTGGATTATTTGATTGTTTGATTATTTGTTTGTTGTTAGCCGCCCTGAGCCTGGCTTTGGCTGGGGAGGGCGGGATATAAATAAAATTTATTATTATTATTATTATCATTCAAGATTAGGGCTGTGCAGGAGAGGAAGACAAGCAACAAGAGGCAGCTTTGAAGGAGGATGCCCTCTCTGATCGGCTGCTTCAGGTGAAGGATGTTGTTGGTGTTTATCAGCCGCAAGCTTGGTTAGAGACAAAGGACGGGGCCACAGCTCATTGCTAGGGCATCCACACAGCATTCAGAAGGTCCCAGGTTCGATCCTCAGCATCTCTAGGGAGGATTGGGAATCACCTGTCGGAAACCTTGCGTAAGGCAGTTTCTCCTACGTTTCTACAACTAGATCGTGCTCCTACTTCTTCAGACAGCACACAGATATAATAATAATAATAATAATAATAATAATAATAATAATAATTTATTATTTATACCCCACCCATCTGGCTGGGTTTCCCCAGCCACTCTGGGCGGCTTCCAACAAAATATTAAAATACAATAGTCTATTAACATTAAAAGCTTCCCTAAACAGGGCTGCCTTCAGATGTCTTCTAAAAGTCTGGTAGTTATTTTTCTCTCTGAAATCTGGTGGGAGGGCGTTCCACAGGGTGGGTGCCACTACTGAGAAGGCCTTCTGCCTGGTTCTCTGTAACTTGGTTTCTCACAGCGAGGGAACCGCCAGAAGGCCCTAGGCAATGGACATCAGTGTCCAGGCAGAACGATGGAGGTGGAGACTCTCCTTCAGGTATACTGGACCGAGGCCGTTTAGGGGTTTAAAGGTCAGCACCAACACTTTGAATTGTGCTCGGAAACATACTGGGAGCCAATGTAGGTCTTTCAAGACCGGTGTTATGTGGTCTCAGTGGCCGCTCCCAGTCACCAGTCTAGCTACCACATTCTGAATTAGTTGTAGTTTCTGGGTCACCTTCAAAGGTAAAAACTACAGGATTTGCTACTGCAAGATGTGGTGGCAGCTGCCAACTCAGGTAGCTTTACAAGTACAATTCCCAGGATACCCTGGCAGACGAGACAGACTGTTGTGACTGCAGCACAGATATGCCTCGACAGGCCAATCGCAACATCTGGCAACCTTAGCCTAGAGCCCCAGAGGGCCTACCAATGCTGACACTAAAAAAATGGTGGACAGCTCACAGCTACCCACTGATTGTGGCACTGCAGCTGCTGCCTACTGCTGCATGTATACTTGCAGCCAAACACCTTCATCTGCCCCCACTGCAACAAAACATGTCTCTTCCGTATCCGTCTCTATAGCCACAGCAGGTGGTGTAACTCTCCGATGGTTTGACTTCACCTCCAAAGGCACACCCGTCCATTGTCTCCCGAGATAGACAGATGCCATCCATACTTGCTAGGAAGGGCCCACCCAATTTAACTGCAATGTTTTTTTAAATGGGATAGCTTGGTTGCATGTTTTAATTAGGAATGTTTAATGTTTCTGTCATGGGTTTTTTTTACTCATAAATGCCTTAGATGCCTAGTTTGCCATTAAGCTGTATGTAAATTAAATAACATCCACAGCAACAATAACTGTACCCAGCTTTGTGCCACGAGAAAGTGGGAAAGAAGAGAGAAACAGAGAAACGTAAATGGATGAGAAATAATAAATAGGCCCTATGTTGCAAAATACTTAAAGCGAGTGGATCCTAGGCCTGTAAAGAATTAACACTACAGATCTTTGAGGCTTGTGGAAATAATTCTTCCTACTTCATCCTTGACAGAGGTCACCCCAACCTGTCATTAACACCCTCCAAAATTAGTCAAGCCTCCAGATCAGCCCCTCTTAAAACCTCTCATGGCTGGCCCCAGATTTTGTATGCACTGTTTCCCTATTCATAAAGCACAAGAGGGGACTGTGCATGTCATGCTCCTTGTTCTCCCATGCTCTGTGTGGCCACAGCATACGCTCTAATGAAATGCTAATGCTCTCTCTGGGGCCGACCTTGGCATGGCATTGAGCAACCTAGTTCCCTCGCCTTGCCTCCCATCCACGTGCCACGCAGACCCCGGTGTCCAGAGGGAGGAAGAGGTCAGGCCTTCAGCAGATGGGGGCGGCTGTCACAGGAACCGCAGGGCTGACAGGGAAAGGGTCGACAGACAGAGAGCGACAGTTCATCCCCGCAGGTGGTGGGAGGCTGAAGATTCAGATCAGAGAGCCCTGTGCCAAGGCAGGAACCACATTTGTAGCCAGAATTCTGCCAGATTGGCAGGATGATGCCCCAGAAGTCAGGCATTGTGGGGAGAAGGAGGGAAGAGACAAGAGTTTCCTGTGAGCCACTTCCATTGCCTGGGCTCCTCAGCTCCAGAATAGGAAGGCACAGGGGCGGCTGTGCCCCCCCCTCCAAGGGCTCAAGCTTTTGTCACAGGGATTCTCCACACTTCAGGGTGTTTTCGAAACACCCTCAGTGTAGACTGCGGCTGATCAAAATTGCACAAGCAACTCAAGCAGCTGATTAGGGTAACAAGGTTTTCGGAGGTGCTGGCCGCACGTGATCCAAAAGACACACCCGAAGGTCACTTGCGAAAGGATGGTGGAGCCACACACATACAAGGAAGGCATCCTGAGGCCCACTTTACCCAAGCTGCTGTGGAGTTGCTTGGGTAGCCAAATGTCCTGGGGGAGGTGGGTTGGGGTCAGCCTTGCCCTGACATGCCTTTTTATGTTTTCCTGGCCTCCTGAAGGCGTTGCAACCGCCAGCAGCTCCCATGCACTGAGAATGCATAAATAACCCAGTGACGTGGCTGAGAGGCCTGATTGTAGAGGTCGGGGGGGGGGGGGGACCTGTGCGGCCCTCCTTCGTTGTTGGATTCAAATTCTCATCAGCCCTGGCCAGAGAGACCATTTGTCAAGGGTGATGGGATTTGGAGTCCAGCAACATGCCTAGGGCCACAACTTCTCCATCCCTGATGTTAAGTCTTTTCTATGGAATTAGAACTGCACCAGGAAGGGAGCACTTCTGATTCTGTGCGAAAGATCTGCGTGATTAGCTGACTGCCCGAGTGGCTGCACAGGAGCTGCTCATAAATAGTTTTCACGGGGCTGTGAGAATGTGTAAAAGACACCTAACTGTATAGCTGCGGAGGAATTCAGGGCTAAACCCTGTGGTTTTAACCCATGGTTCAAGTAAGGAAAGATACTTCAGAAGTTTTCATCTGGAGCCTCCCTGATAACTCGCTAATGTCAATGAGATCCATGGGGCAACTGTGACCTTCCTGTAATGTGAATGTCTTTTGACTACCAGGAGTTCATGTTCTGTGTGTTTTCAGGCATCCAAATGACCTTCAGATGGTACAGAAAGTATATTATTTATCCACACTAGAAATGAAGAGACTTGTTTTTTCCTGTGATGGGTGAAATGAACCTCAATCGATAGGTTTGCCTTTATGTTCAGGATCTAATCTATTTATTAGTGTGTATTTTTTTAAAAACACTTTCTTCCAGATCCATTTGGCTATATACCGCATTTGTTTATAGGGCTGATGTACGAAACTTGGCTCACTTACTTAAGTAACCTGTTACTACCTGGTCATCAGGAATCCTGTTTTCTGCTTGTGACACTCAGTGGTCTGGATCATCAGAAGACTCTAACCTATAACCACCATGGTGGTCTCCATATGCCAATGGGCAGGGCTTGTGGGAGTTGCAATCCAGAAATATCTGGATAGCACCATGTTGGTTACTCCAGCATGAGTTGAAAAACTTGTATTAGGGCCAAATGTAATATTTTATTACTTTCTTACCCCCTAGTCCTATAATCTCCATATTCTCAATATCCTAAGACTGGCCTTTAAAATATTGAAGTAATAAAATCAGAACTTTGTAAAACCAATTTGTAAAACCGCTTTAACCACAAGCACTTAAATTAGAAGCTTGAAGAAAACACAGACACACACACACACCTCAAGGGATTCCCTTTACTTTCCTGTACTCCAAAAAAAGTATATTGAAATTAAAAGATCCTTAGCTTAAAAGCCCAATCATGAAGAACCTCACACAAGCCTGTTCCTTTTACTAAAAAGCCACTGACAAATACCTCCCCAGAGTAAAGAAGGAATCACAGGAGATCCTGGTTCCAACTTTCCCCCATTTAATCACAAGGCACATGTGTGTGTGTGTGTCTGCTAGCACAGGCATTATTATTATTCGTTTATACACAAACACGCAAGCCCAAGAAGTCAGCAGAGGCCAGAGAATTATGTTCTAACTCCCAGATGGGCCAAGAGCTACTGCTGCCCATTACCCTTCCGCACAGCTGTCAATCCAAGTCTCGCCTTCATCGACCCCTTCCCCAAGGAGATGAAGGGGAGAACAACGGGCGACACTCTCCCTGCACCCTTACACTTTCCAGTATTGCGATGGAGAATATCAGTTTTTGCAGTGGGGGATGGGATCTCAAGCCCCCTCCTCGTTGCATCCATATGCACACACAAGCACACGTAAATGCGTGGAGGGACACGCGGAACAAAGGCTTCCCCGACGATGGCGCTACAAAGACCACGCTGCTACCACTGCTGAACACAGACTGATGTCACACCGTGAGAGAACTAGACGCTGATAAACACGCACCTGTAGCAAAGGGAGTGGGTGGGAGAAATCGGAGTGCAGCGGGGGGGGGGGGGCTGACCGATCTGAAACCTCCCCTCGCCCCCCCATCCTACAAGACTTTCCAAAAAGAGGTTGCAAACGCACGCACGCGCGCGCACCCCTCTCCCCCACCGCCTTCCGGAGATTAAGGCAGAGGAGCCGAGGGTTTTGCTCCTCCGCCTCGCCGGGTGTTTTGGAAGATCTGCACCTCCGCGAAGAGAGAGACAGAGGGAGAAAGAAACCCGTTTCCCGGGTCCCACGCAAACACAACCCTCCATTGCCACCCGCCCTCTCCCTCTTTCCCGGCAGCTCCTTTGTGTCCATCCCTCTGCCTCCATCCATCCTTCTCCGCCTCTCAGCTGACAAGTGGCCAGTCCGGCTTCCGAAGCGCTGGGAGAGCGGGCACAAGCCCGGAGGAGGAGGAGACGGTCGCCTGCTTTCCCAGCCCGGCTTGAGAGATCCCCGCAGCCCCGATCCCCCCCACCTCCCCGCCCCCTGCTTGCAGCCAAGAGCCGTCCTCCCTCGGCGCGATCCTGGCTCTCCTTCCCGCTCCCGACGCGGCCGGCATCGCTCGCCGCCGATCCCTCCCGCCCGCCGGCCATGCACCCCGGTCCCCCCGCGCCGCGCTTTCCTTACTCGAACATAGCCCAAGGCGGCCGGCGGGGCGGGCGGCTCCCCCCTCCCCGCCCGGCCGGGATGGAGAGGCGAGCGCTGGTCCCGGCCGGCGGCCCTGGTGCCGCGCAGAGGAAGAGGAAGGAGAGGCAGGCCCCGCGCTCCCTCCGTCCCTCCCCGCCCTCCTCCTTCCTCGGCGGCGGCGGCCGCCCCTTTCGTTGCGCGCACCCCCGGCGGCTCCAGCCCCGCGCAGCGCGGCAGCGAAGGCAAGCCGGAGAGGGAGGGGCCAGAGCAGAGAGGAGGCGGGGGGTGCGGGGAGCCGAGCCGGGACTCCTGGGTCCGCTCTATTCCGCGCACGCACCCCAATAAAGGGGGGGGGGGGAGCGGCCTAGTTAGGCTGGCAAAGCAGGCTGGGTTCTCGTGGGGTTCGTTTCTGGATCAGGAAGTGGATCTGGGAAGCTGGGTTCCTGCCCAGGGCCAGAGAAAGTTAGGGGTCTAGCGGACCGGGGCTGGCAGCCCGGACTCCTGGGTTCTTCCGCTCCCAAAACGTTGCGGGCGGGGGAAATGATCAGGCAGGCCTGGGGAGTCGCGTTGACCTTGAGCGAATCACTGGGACGGCAGCGCCTGTCTTCCTTCGGTGGAATCAGAATTCCAGGCTGCCTTTGCTGCGCAGCTCGGGAGAAGAATCCATTTTTAAAAAATAAATAAATCTTATGCTTTGGATAGTTGCCCAATTATGGAGGCTGCTGCAAGACTGAGAGGAAGACAGAGAGTATGTGCCTGCGCAAGGTGTAAAACTATTGTTTCTGGATAGTTAATGCTTAACATTAAAAATGCATCAACGAGATCTCAGATTTAGTTATACGGTAGTTAGAAGACCAGGTTTCAAAGCAGAAGCAACTCCTTGCCCTTTATTCCACAGAAACTGAGTCTCCAGGAATGGTTTGACACCAGCAATTAGCCACCCTCCACTGCCGGGAATGAGGTGGGTGTGGGTGACACATTAATTCCTTAGTCTCCATAACCCACTGTAACTAAGTGAAATAAATGCCTCTTTCACCAGTGAACCCCTCCTTTTAGGAAGCTGCCTTACACAGTGAAACCACTGCCCTTCATAGAATCACAGAATCGTAGAACTGGAAAGGACCACCAAGGTCATCTTGCCCAACCCCCTGCAATCCAGGAATCTTTTGCCCAACGTTGGGCTCGAACCCACAACCCTGCGATTAAGAGACTTATGCTCTACCAGCTGTGCCCTCCAACATGGTGCCCTCCAGATGTTGTAAATGAAAAACTCATTAGGCTACAACAGCATGATTAATGATCAAGGGTGATGGAAGCCCTAGTCCCAGCATCTGGAGGGCACCACATTGACTACCCCTGACTACTACTGACAGGTAGAGGCTTTGCAGAACATCAGGCAAGGGTCTCTCCCAGCCCTGGTACCTGGAGATGCCAGGGACTGATCACTGATGTTCGTCCGCTGAGCGTTGCCCCTTCCCCATTTCCCTCTTCCTCAGTTGTGAACTTTAATTGTAGACTCCTAGAAGCAGAGGCCTGTAATATAGTGCCATGAATTCGCAAATTCATGGCAGTATATAAATAAGTCCACAAATACAACATTTTCAGCATTAAGGATCAGCCATTCCAAATCAAACTTAAGATGCTACATTTTCCTCTTTTTTTTTTTAGTCTCAAAAGGAATGTAAACATTCTTTGCTAGACAATTGTATTGCTTCTTTAAGCTGTCATTATCCGACAACGGCCTCTCCTTATGTGAAGATGATGTCTTAAATGGAACCGGAACCCACATCCGAACCTACTTCCTCTAGCCATTGTTTATATGACATCACTGCACTTTCAGCATGCAGCCATGCACTTTGCGGTATGCACTGGATCAGCTACTGGTGTCCTTCCCTTGCCAAGCAGTTATGTACTCCTAGGAATAGTTAAACATTTTTGGTGCGCTATTCAAAACAAGCACCCTTTCCAAGACACACACAAGCCTCCTGACTCATTTCATGGTGGCAGACAAAAGCAGGGCCTTTCCAAATGATGGAATTTTAAAATGTGCAATAAATGTACAGTACTCATTCGTGGGAGAGCTGCCCAGACATTGTCTTTGAGGTCATTGTAGGGGAAGTGAATTCCCCAGCATTCAAATGGCACAATTTTGTTTCGGAACAAATAGAGCTCCTCCGCTACATACACAGGCACATGCATATACAGACTGGCACCTGCTTCCTTGGGTTGCTGATATCTGCTCTGGACTCCCCCCTTAAAATAATTTTGTGGCCTAGTAACTCCAAGCAGGCCAAGGCAACTAGGCCTATTTAAGTTTCCTACAATGCCCCTAGACTTGCAACATGGTGCTATCAGCTAAGCGTGCCAGAGCCTATTAACAAAAGAGGGGGGGTCCACCAGAGCACTTTGCCCAGAGGGTCTCCTCAAACATGGAGCCAGTACGTCATATACACACAGAAACAGCTTGTGCAGCCATTGCACTTTTTGAATATGACTGCCTAAGATGGGCCCAGAGGAAAGACACAAAGAGCATCTCTCTGAGGCAGGGCCCTTGCGGGTGATACGGTCCCCCCCCCCATTTATGCAGAGGCATGCTGGCACCATTTTGCGCTAGTGCCTCTTTTCATGCCCTTTCCGATGTGACAGCCATTTCGCACTTGTGCCCCCATGCCCGCAGCAGCCATTTTGTGCTACGTAACACCCACCCACCCCATGACAGCCATTTTGCAATGCACCAACAGCACTTTCTTGGAATTACAGATGTGCCTCCTGGTCGAAAAAAGTTAGCAGGCCCTGAAAGGCAACTCTGCCAACCAGGTACGTTTGCCATTAGAGGCCTTGCTCCGTGCCTCCTTTGGAGGTTGGGTTGTCTCAAAGCTTGCTACAAGGGCACAGAGTGGAGCCTATTGAGTATCAGCACCAGTGACACTTCCAGGCTACCTGCGTATTGAGCAGTCATGCTGATTTGTTTGCATGGAGATTACCGTATTTTTTGCTCTGTAAGACTCACTTTTTCCCTCCTAAAAAGTAAGGGGAAATGTGTGTGCGTCTTATGGAGCGAATGCAGGCTGCGCAGCTATCCCAGAAGCCGGAACAGCAAGAGGGATTGCTGCTTTCACTGCACAGCGATCCCTCTTGCTGTTCTGGCTTCTGAGATTCAGAATATTTTTTTCTTGTTTTCCTCCTCCAAAAACTAGGTGCGTCTTGTGGTCTGGTGCGTCTTATAGAGCGAAAAATACGGTAGGTGGTGTAGGTTTGGCGATGTTGCATCAGAGCAAGCTTTATCCCATACAGTTCCCACACTTTGACTTTTGGGGATGAGGGTTTGTTGCACAAGACCTTCTAAGCAACTATAACTACACAATCTGAATTTGACATCAGACGAACGCTCAGCCTCCCAAGGAGAAAAATAATATGCATGGAAAGAACAACTACAGTACATGAATTGTTTTGCCCTATCTCCTTTATTTATTTGGCTTCCACTGGCAGTGAGAACGGGATGCTGGACTAGATGGGCCTTCTTAGGTTCTTGAATGGCATTTTAGTTTGGGCTCCAGTATTAGCATTCTGATATCGACTATGTTTTATGCTTGTTTGTTTATCTTACCGTCCATTTTTTTAATGTATTGCAAGCTGTTGCTGGGGGGGGAGGGAGTTTTGCAGTCAAAAAGTGTGGGTAGAAATTTTAAAAATTAGATCATAAGAAAAGACCCTCCGTGTCAAGCCACAGGTCCATCTCACCCCAGCACCTCACATTCTCAAAGTGACTAACCTGATGCCCAGGGGAAGCCCCAATAAATAGATAAACATTTGAACAAATATAGGAGGTGAACAAACCACCAAAGTAGTTGGGGTTCTTTATAGCATATTTTTACACTTTGGGGGCTGAGCATCCACTTTTTTAACATTTGCAAACACCAGATCCTGTTTTCTTAAACAATTTTTTCCTGGATCTTGTGAGAGGAGGGAATTTTTTGAAGTGTTTCTTTTTATTGCTCACAACAGTAATTACTGATATTGGCAAGGGAGGAGAGTATCTCCATCAAGCACCCTTCCTCTGAGGATTATCGCTGCTTTCCAAGGGAAGACCTGCGTGGCAGGAGATGCTGTGTCCTCCTGACCTAGACATTGTCACCAGCTTTGCTCCTGGATGTGATCTAGTGGGGGCAGAACAGTGTTTCAAGGGAGGGGCTGCCCTTTATCAAAACTGCCCAAACTGCCACAGCCATTGGCCACAACTTCCAAAAAACTTGCACTAGAACTTGCTTTCCCCTCCTCCCTCCCATTGCCTTTTCCTTATGTGCCATATCCTTTTAAATTGTCTGAAAGCAGGGCCTGTCTTAGGACTGATTTTTGTAAGCTGCTCCAAAAGTCTTTTCTGCTAAAAGGTGTGTGTGTGTGTGTGTGTGTGTGTGTGTGTCTGTAAAACACTGTAAATAAATAAATCTCATTGTAAAACCTCAGACAGTGGTGCCGTCTGTGGCAAACGTCTAGGGCCCCATTCAGCAGAATGAGCAAGAACAACCCCCCACCAACACAAAAAAAACCCCAAAACAGTAAGCAGTGTTGAAGTGTCAGGCGCAGGAACCTTTTGTCCCTCCAAATGTTGTTTAAATTTTTATACCGCCCTTCACCCGTAGGTTCACGACAAAAAAATTGCAAAACAACAACAAAATGCATAATAAAAATAACAATGGCAAACCAATAATCCCCCCACTCCCACAGTACATTTAAAAGGGCATCAGATGTCAAATCAGCCAAACGCCTGGGGTTGTTGCTGAACCACAACTCCCATCAACCCGAGCAAACATGACCAATGGCTGGGGACAGTGGGAGTTGTAGTTCAGCCACATCTGGAGGGCAGAAAGTTCACCACACACCTCAAGTAAGGGGGAAAAACAGGTGTGGGAGTAATATCTCTAGGTCCAGAGGCTAAAGCAACAGGTGGGGCCTGTAGTAAAATACCTCACCTCCTAGTAAGGCTTGTTTCTCCTTCGTTGTGCCAGCTGCCCAGCCATCTCCTCCACTGGGATTACATAAACTGAAAGAGCTCAAGGCAACCATTCTACCCGACACCCACTCGTTTTTCCGTTTTCCTTTTCCAACGGACACTCTGCATTCTGTGGCTGTTGCCTTTGTGAGCTATGCTCATTCTTGGGAGTGTGCATCTACTTCCTTGATTTAAAAAAACAAGCAAACACGAAAGGCAAGGACAACCCTCATATTCTCGTCCTCTGCAAAAAAGGCTCCCTTCAAATCCACCAGTAACGCTTCCAGATAAAAGCAGGGGTAGCCAATTGGGGGGCCTTCCAGGCTTTGCGGATTATAACTCCCATTACCCTCATTTGGCCTTTCTGGCCTGGGCTCGTGGGAAATGTAGTCCGCGAAAATAAAAGGCATTGTGCAAGGACTTAAAAGAGAGGTTTGGGCAGCCTGTGGCCCTCCAGCTCGGGGGCTCCTGCTTCCCATCTGCCCCAGTCAGAATGGCCAATGGGAGTTTGGAGCTGGTGGTTAAATGCAGAATTGGATGAGCAGGAAGATCCTGACTCTGTTTCTGCCCGGCACGTGTCCCTTCAGTCCCAAAAGAAAAGTGAACATGGAACCATGTTTGCTTTGCAAGCCAATAAACCCAAAGTAAACACAAGTCGAGATTTGCCTGGAAGCTTATCAGACATCCATGGTGCACGGGCACACGTCATATTGGCATTACGCCAGCAACGCACCGTTTCCTCCGGGCATTTGACAGAATAGATCGACTTGTTTCCTGCCCACCCCCCCACATGTCCGTTAATAAATCACCCGCTGTTTGCACGGAAAAGGACGATTCAGGACAGGACAAAAGCAAGTATTTCTTCATTCTGTGCAGTTATAAACGATGGGATTCACTCTCACAAGATGTCTCGATGGCCACTGACTCGAATGGCTTTAAAAAAGGGTTAGATACACTCGCAGGGAATAAGGCTATCAATGTTTCTTACCTCCACTGTCAGAGAATTAGTAGGCCTCCTTGGGAATTAGGGCTGTTCCCCAAATTATGCCAAATTCCAAATCCCCAGCTGAGTTAGAAAACCCAATTTTCCAGGGTCTCCTGGAGTGATCCAGGAGTGTCAGGACCTTTTAGCCGTGCACACCTGCTCCCAGCAAGGGAACACAGGTACATTTGTCAAACCGAACAGGACTGAAGCTTCTGCTCAGCAGCGGGAGAACGCAGGGGGCAATACTGCAGGCTTCAGGGGTCTGCTTCACCACATGCCCCAGAGAACACGCTGGGGAGGAGAGCACAGCAGGATTGGCCCTGCTGCCCTTCACAGTATAGGGGGCGAGGAATTACAACAGAAGCTCCAACCCCCAAATTGATTTGGGGCTGGAACCAGGTTTGTGCGCACAGCCCTACGGGAACCACAAGAAGAAGAGGAGGAGGAGTTTGGATTTGATATCCCGCTTTATCACTACCTGAAGGAGTCTCAAAGCGGCTAACATTCTCCTTTCCCTTCCTCCCCCACAACAAACACTGTGAGGTGAGTGGGGCTGAGAGACTTCAGAGAAGTGTGACTAGCCCAAGGTCACCCAGCAGCTGCATGTGGAGGAGCGGAGACGCGAACCCGGTTCACCAGATTACAAGTCTACCGCTCTTAACCACTGCACCACACAAGTGGGGAGTGTTGCTGTTGCTCTCAGGTCTTCCTTACGGGCTTCCTAGAGGCATCTGTTTGGCCACTGTGAAAACAGGATTTTGGACAAGATGGGTTCTTATATTCCCGAGTCTTTTATCACCTCTTTGTTTTACCATGTGTATGCCAATGTTAGTGAGGGAACCTGCATCCCTTGAAGAAAGAAAGAACAACATGTTCTGTAACTGTTAAATTATTGGGGAAGGCGTCACTTTGCTTGGGCTCCTGCCTTCCACAGACCCTTCAAAGAGCTACAGGCACAAGGTCACATTTAAGTCTACTGCAGCGCACACAGCTAAGAGTCTTGCGGCATATTTAAGACTAATACAGTGATACCTCAGGTTACATACGCTTCAGGTTACAGACTCGGCTAACCCAGAAATATTACCTCGGGTTAAGAACTTTGTTTCAGGATGAGAACAGAAATTGTGCGGCGGCAGCAGGAGGCCCCATTAGCTAAAGTGGTACCTCAGGTTAAGAACAGTTTCAGGTTAAGAACGGACCTCCGGAACGAATTAAGTACTTAACCCAAGGTACCACTGTAAATGTATTGCAGCATAAGGCGTCACGGACTACAGTCAATCTTCATCAGGCGAGTGAAGCATTATCCTGAGTTACAGATATATTTACACATGATTCAAGGAGGGAGATTGTAAACAGTCAGAAGGGAGCAAAACGCAGAAAGCAGGTGGTGATAATTGCATCAACAGCAAACATATACTCAAACATTTTTGCTTCTTAACACAGGCCTCCTCGTATTTGTAAGCCAGTTATCACATGTAATGCAATATTTTTAAAACCTTTCTTTCCGTTCAAGGATTGACTCCTTCAAGGGACTGGCATAACATTTAAGAAACTTTTTTTCTGTACCAGACTTCTGTACTGGGATAAAATATAAAGCATGTGTATATAGAGAGATGGGAGAGCAAAGGCTGTGCAGCTGCATCTCTTTCAGACTGGGGTCTGTTTTTGTTATTGTTTTAGCTGCAGGTTGGGCAACATAAAAATAGAAGAAGCAGCCACTCCTGCATAGTGAGCAGGGTCCTTTTCCAATATCACTTTGGCGTTGCAATAAAAAGCTCTTAAGAAATCTAAAAGGGGCATCCTTTTGAAGTACCGGCTTCAACTACAAGCTGTCAACCACACCTTGCTGCACTCCGTGCCTCTTCAAAACAGTTCGGAGGGGGAAAATCCATCCCTGTCTTTATTTAACTGGCCACCATGTTGTTCAGGGTGAAGCGATTCCCTCTAGTGACAAATGATGTCCAAAGCAGCTCAGACGGGAGGAAGCCGCGCCTTTGCCTACACAAGACCTTTTGGGCAGTTTTAAACGCATGGACGTGCTGTGCTCTCCCACCACTGAGCATTGCAGGGCTCGTCTCCCCATTCTGAAAAGACAAACGGGACCCCCTAGCAAGAGCAAGACTGGAACATGGGCCAGAGGTTCCCTGCTAATTTCCACTGGCGATCCCAGGACCTTTGGCCTGCCAAGTGCGTGCTCCATCATGGAGCTAAAATCTCTCCATACCTTTCATTTCACCGCTGGAGAACAGAGCCAGCTACCCCCCCCCCCTTTTCAGGGGTCTGTTTTGGCTCCTAAAGCAATTTGTTCTGCTTCCCCCTGAAAAGAATCTTTTGCTTTTGGTGGCGACAGCAAAGAGAGAGAGGAGGAGGTGGGAAAAGCCCAGCGCGGTGGTGGTGAAGAAACCTTCCCTTTCCCCAATTATCAAACTGATCATCTGAAAGTTTGCATGCTCAAGTGTGGGGTGGCTTCACCTGCTCCTGGCATGCAACCCCCAGAGGGTTAGCAAAATGTGAATGTGGGGCCTGAGCACCCCCCAAAAAGGTTGACCACCCCTGTAGAAAACTTACTTAACAGTGTTCCCTGTTAGGCTTAGGAACAAATGCTACTTAAGAGTTGGCCATGAATAAACTGTGGGTGATGGCGGTGGTGGTGGGGTTTGAGTCTTAAGGCGAGGGTAATCTCGTATCCCCACCGAAGAAGGGAGCAACTAAAGTCCTGGGTAATTATTTATTCACAGGATAAATCTCACACACCAAGACCAGAGATACCAAAAATGCCCCCGCCCCCCACAGACTGAGACCACCACCTCCATCTCCATCCTGCTTCTCCCATCTTTTTATTTGTAGAACTCGTGCTCCTGTTCGTCTTTCTTGATGACAGTCTTGTAGGCCTTCTCAAAGTCCTTGGCCAGCACAATGTAACGGTTCTCCCGGACAGCCAGCATGCCAGCCTTGAGACAGGAAGGAGGGGAGAAAACATGAACAGGTAACATCAGCAGGAAGTAAAAACTTAAAAAAGGGGGAGTACTAACTGCTGTCTAACGCGCGATACTAACCTCCTGGCAAATGGAGTTGATGTCAGCTCCTGAGATCTTATCCGGCCGTGCCACGTCTGGAAGAAAGAGTGAAGGAAAGAGCAGGAGCAAATGGGCCCTGTGTGGCCGTTCTAGAAAAGGGGAGAAGACTGGCCTATATAACTGCAAAATCCCCCATTGGGAGCTGCCGCCTTTCCCATTGAAATGAGAAAAGTGTCAGAGGGATGATCAGCAGCTGCTAATTTTGCAATTTTTTTGCCAAGGGGAGCACCTGCCAGGTGCGATGCAACCCTTTCCATGGAAGTAGGAGGTTGGCAGCGGGAGCTGGCAAAATAGTCAGGCGACAGGTACACCCTAGCTGCCTACCCCTGTACTCGAGGATGCTACGGTTACAAGAAGTCCAACTGGCCTCTTGCTCTTCATTACCCTTTATTTAACAGCATCAAAATAAAGAACTGGTGGCCCCCCAGATGTTGTTGAACTCCCAATTCCCATCATCCCCAGACATTGTGGCCAATGGCCTGGGATGATGGGAGTTATAGCTCAGCAACCTCTGGACAGCCGCAGATTTCCTGCCCTGGCTTTATAGCATCAGCTTGCTCCCCCATATTCTCTGCCAGAAGGATTGGTGGGTAAGAGGGGTATTTTACCATCCAACTTTAAAAGACAAGAAGTAAGTTCAGGAAACTTTATTCTGTTAGCAGGTCAAAGGAGGGGACGACACACAAACAAAACATCTCTTAAGCTCAGCTCATTGGCCATTCTTCTAGTCCCCCTGCCCTCCATCCATTTCTTCCCACTACACTGTCCAGAAGGATACAATCCTCCAGATCCACCTCCTCAGACAGGTTCATCTTGCTGGTGATGGTGGTGAAGATCAACCGTTTTTGGCGCCGGTCTGGCAAGGGAAACTCAATTTTACGATCTAGGCGGCCTGGCCGGAGCAGAGCAGGATCCAGGGTGTCTGCTCGGTTCGTGGCCATTATCACCTAGAAGGGAGCCAAGAGAGAACAACATTAAACCCAACATCTAGATGCAAAAAATTAATGGCAGGCTGTAAATTTGAGTTTGGTAAGTTAAGTGGAGAAAAGCCAACATTTGTTGGAACCCTTTAGGCAGGGATGGAAACTGGTGGCCTTCCAGATGTTGCTGGACTCCAACTCCCAAGGGGCCCGGGCCAAAAGGGATGATGGGAGTTGTAGTTCAACAACATTTAGAGAGCCACAGCTTTCCCCATCTCTGCTTTAAATCCAGAGCTTAGGCTAAAGAGGGGAATTGCCTTTCCAGGCCACTCAACCCTTCCTCTTGCCCCCAACCCCACCCCCCGCTGCCCAACGCAACGCACCTTGACGTTAACATTCTGGTCAAAGCCATCCATCTGGTTGAGTAGCTCCAGGAGGATGCGCTGAACCTCCCTATCAGCTGTAGAGAGACCAACAAATTTATCAGCTGATGCGCTCTGGAAGAGAGAGCTGCCCGCTTCTTTCACTGCCATAGCTTCTTTGCGCTACCAACCCATCTTCAGGGATATAGTGCAAGCCTGGAATGCATCACACTGGCCTGTTAAGCCGTCATTCAGAGAACCTCAGGATTTCTACAGCTGTCCAAGTTTCAAGTCCTCATTACTGCAGAGAAAAGTCTGCAGAAGTCTCAGCAGTGCCCATTGAGGGGTTTGGAGGATACGAGACCCACAAACAAGATGCTACGGTATAGAGTCTGCCTGTCTGGCATTCTAATCAGACAGCCATGTCCTTTTACAGGCTACACCATTCCAGTCTGCCACTACAGTTTTCCATTCTCACCTGCCCGCCAGGCTGCTGAGCATGCTCAGGATTTACTGGGCTGTTTTGGGATACCCTCAGCCTTGAGTATGCTTCCCATTACTGTAAAATGTGCAGTTTCTCCAAGCCTGCTGCTACCCTCCTTCCTTCTCGTGTGCAGTTGGGTGCCATTTGTTTCCTCATCCCTGGTATACAAGGACAGAAAAGCAAGGACTTCTAGTGGTCTCTGCCCATTTCCATTGCTGGGGATTGAACCAGGAAGCTTTCTGCATGCAAGGTGAATGCCCTACTGCTGAGCTTACAGCCCTTCTAACCCTCCCTGCTTCTTCCACACCCAGCTGCCATCCTATTTCTTGCTCAACAAATCCAGATTTGCAACCCCGACTGCACAAAATAAAGTTATCACCCGCGCAAAATATGCCCGATTCATGCAAGTTGAAGAATTTGGAAAAAAAATATATTCCCCCCTAGCAGAAGCATTAGCCTCACCTGGGCCAAGTTTGTTGTTTGGCTCTCATAGGCCAACCATATGCAGAGGTCACTATGTTCAACTGACAAAGAACCACCAAAGCCCAGGGTTCTAGCACATTGTGACACTGCAAGGTCGGAGCAACACCTAGAGGAGGCAGCAGGAATTGCAGCAGCCCTACCCAGCCGCCAGGACTCAGGCAGAAACTAGGGGTTACACAGCAAACGCAGGATTCCCAAACTTATATTTGCTGCCTAATACGGAAGAGGGAACTTCACCATTTCCCCAATCGCTTGCTGGCTGTTTTTATCAGTTGGGGGTGTGTGGATCTAGTCAAGGGGGTTGGAGCAGCAGGTGAAAGGTTAAAGCAACTTCCTCCAGGTGGTATTTTCCAAATATATTTGAGGCTACAGCAGAGGAAGAGACTGGGAAGCAGGACTGCACTGGCTCTGATGACAGCCCAGCCCCCTTGCTCCTTCTGTCCCTGAAAAGTTTCTATTCCTGCTGGTCATTATAACTTTAATAAATGCTCAGAGTTCATTTGCTTTCCTCTTCCCTCCCCCATCCCATTTCCTTTTATGCTGTGTCTGTTAAGACTGTAATCTGTGTCTGTTAAGACTGTCCTGCTTTTACCGATCATATGTAAGCTGCTCTTCCCTAGTCCTTCCCTCTATTCAGGTGGCCACAGTTGCCCAGGAGCGCCCCCTCTCCCTCTTCCCGTCACCAACTCACCCCCGGTCTGGGCATCAAAGCGCTTGGTGGCAATGGCGTCAATCTCGTCAATGAAAATGATGGCTGGGGCGTTCTCTTTGGCCAGGCGGAAGACGTCCCGCACCATGCGCGGCCCCTCGCCCAGGTACTTCTGCACAAACTCAGATCCTACTACCCGAATGAAGGCAGCTGGAGGGAAAGGCAGAGTTAGACCCAGCTCCTTTGGCCTCCCTCGGTCTCCCAGGGAAACCCATCTTAACGGGGCCACCGCCTTGGGAAGACCAAGGGATGCCAGCAAACCTACACCAAACAGGGTAGTGACGTGTCCAAGGCAAGAGAACTGGTGCCTTGCTCACCTGTGGTGTGATGAGCCACTGCTTTGGCCAACATGGTTTTCCCGCAACCGGGCGGGCCGTACATCAGCACCCCCCGTGGAGGGTCAATGCCGATCTGAAAAAAGGGTTGAAAGGTGAGAAAAGAACAACAAAATAGGCCATCTCAAGGACCCTTGTCACATCTCTCAACAGAATAAAACCCCTCCTCCAAGTTGTTGCTTGAGTCTGCTGCTCTGAGTCAAGTTCCACAACATCTGGAGGGCCACAGGTTCCCCATCCCTGCCTTAGATGGTCCAGCTGCTACACCCAGAAGCCTCCCATCCATGCACCAACCACATCCAGATTTTGCTTCAATGATATTGTTGCATTGGGCACCGACTGGGCTAAGGGCTGGTCCAAGCACTGAGAAGGGCATGAACGAGTAAATCTTGGTGAGCACCCATGTAAAATATCCAGAAATAATAGCCAGGAATCAATCCGGGCTCTGCTTGTGGATCTCTCTCCACTGGCAAGAAGGCACAGATGTTCTCTATACAAAGCAGCCCAAAGATTAAAAGGCAGAAGGTGGGGACGCAGGACTGATAGCTACCAGGGCATGCAACAAGGGAGGTTTCCCTTTGCTGTGTTTTTCAATCATACAGATGACAACCAACCCAGCTTAGGGTAGGAGAAAACATGTGTCCTTTCTTCTTTGTAAAATGAACACAGGCAATGCAGTGCGGAGGATGCAGTTCTCTCTGCAATTCCACCCCACCCACTTCCTGTCCCAAGCAAACAAATATTAATTGGAGTCATTAACGGTAAGGGCTGTAGCTCAGCAGCAGAGCTTTTGCTCTGCATGCAGAAGGCTGCAAGTTCAATTCCTGGCATCGCCAGAAAACACTACAAAGGTCCCTGAGCTGAAACCCTTGAGAGTCAGTGGAAAATAGTGAGCTTGATGGGTCAGTGGTCTGACTCAGTATATGGCAGCTTTCTAGGATCACTGTTGTTGAAGCAAGCGACTGCGAGCTTTCTAAAGGAAAAATGCAGATAAATATAGATACATGAATGACAGCCTATCTGTGCACACACTGCACATACCTCCAAAATAGAAATTTAGATCACGTACCTGTTTGTAGAGTTCAAAGTGGGTAAGGGGCAGCTCTACTGCCTCCCTCACTTCCTGCTTCTGAATATCCATCCCACCAATGTCGGCATACATCACGTCTGGTTTCTGATCTGCTCAGAGAAGGGACAGGACCTCAGGTGTTTTCCTGCCCTTGGATCTCTTTCTACCCTGCTACATTCTTTCAAGTGCTACCTTGATTCCACTGGGCCTTTGTCTTCATAGCCTTGGGCAGCCTCTCCCCCACCCCTGCCTGCTATTCTGGACTACAACTCCCATCAGCCCCAGCCAGCACATGTTGGAGCTCCGTTGGAGCCGCAGTTCCAACGTAAACCGCTTCATGCTCCTGGATCTGATGGGCAGTGCGAGCACAGCTTGCTCCAGCGAAAACGCAACCAGGAGCTCACTTTAAGCTCCCAAGTGTTCCTTCGCAGCCATACAAGTACCTGCCTGTCAGGTGTGCAGCAGGCAGGTGGGGTTTGCAAGGAAAGTACTTGCAAGCCAAATTGGGACTTGCGGGTCTGAGGTTCCCCACACCAAGGACTCTGAAGACAGCAAGTGCCGTCTTCTTACTGAAGGCATCCTGGAACCCCTGCCCATAGGCAGTCCATTAACAGGGCTCACCTCTCTGATCCAAGGAAGATTTGCCTTACCTGAAGTGAGCATCATGATACTGCTGTCGGCCTCAGGGGGCAATACGTCCACCAAGGCATTGCTGTGTTTATGCAGGGCCACAGAGGCATTGGGTTTCAGCAGCTCCCGGTCAATGGTGCTCAGGATCCGGACGTAATAGTTGGAGCCTGAAGTGGAGACACACGTATGAGATAAAAGACTGGAAACAGAGGCCGCCAGGGAGAAAAGCCAGCTCTTTTTCTCAAGCTGCAATGTAAGGGGAGGGAAGGGCTGGCACCCACACTTGGCATCCCTGGGCAGCTGCCAGTGCCCCAGCACCCTGGCAGTGCCAAACAATGATGCTTGCCTCCCTTTACTTCTCCCACCCTCCCCAAATCACACACACACTGAGCAGTGCCAGGTCTCTGAGTCTAGCTGTCATTTAAGTTTCCCACAATTCCCCTGGCGTGTCACTCAGGGCATTGTGGGAAATTTGAATGACAGTCCTCGGCAGTTCAATGCAGCTCAGAATGCTGCTGATTGCTATTAGCCACCACCACCTGGGGCACACAAACAGAGCAGGGCCCCCTGCCAGAGCGGACTGTCCACTGCCTCCTCAGACCTGGAGCTGGCCCATTGCAGGTAGATGGGCTGGAGGAAAGAAGGGACTGTACCTGTGGTGGAACCAACAATGGCTGTGTTCTGATCCACGGCCTCCAGGAACTGGCCAATGACCAGCGGAATGCTCTGGATTCGTTTCACCTCCTCCTGGGCATGCAGAAACTCCTTCTTTAGGTTCTTCTGCTCATCTTTGATGTACTCCTCTTGAACTTCCAGGAACTCCAGCTCTTGCTGTAATTTCTGCAGGAGGGCACACCGAAATCCTCCTCAAACCTCCTCCTGCACCAGCTGAATTACCACTCATGATATCGTAGGAACACCTAGGAAGGCGCCTTACACGGTCAGAGCACTGCTCCATCTAGCCAACCCTGACTAGCAGCAGCTACCAGGAGATGCTGGGTATTGAACCTGGGACCTTCTGCACGTAAAGCGGATCCTCTGCCACTGAACTACAGCCCTTCTCCGTCTGCAGCGAGCACAGACTTCTGCATCCACACTACTGCCTCCTAAACACTACAACTATAGCAGACAAGCTGTGTAGCCAGGGAGGTTGGGAATTTCTGATCTTAAGAGTGTGAGATCTTCTACATACTGCAGAATCTAAATTATATCGATTTTTTTTAAAGAAAGTCACAGAGAAAACCTTCAGAAAGGTAGAATAATTATAATCCTTCCCCACAGACCTGAACATCTGCCTCTATGCCCTTACTGCTTCTTCTTAATACCTCTTCTGTTCAACTTCCCAGTCCTTAAGAAAAAACAGTAATTCTAAGCAGTTAACTCACACTCCAGTCAACAACATACACCTGAGACCAATAATACAAAGACATTTGTTATATAAGGTGCAGTAACTCAAATTGTACACAGAATTCCCAGTGCCGTCACATTGGCTTAAAGACACTGCAATAATGGCAGTTTTGTTTTTGACCCCATTCATAATGATCCACAACAAGTAATTCAACCTCGCCTTGTGGAAGTAAATTGAATAAATTAATTTCTACAAGGTATTAACATTCCACAAAAAAATAATTCGGACAGAGCAGGCCAGAAACAATTTCTAACACATCTTTGCACCTTTCTGTCAAAAACGGCACTGCAGCAATGGTGCCCCTAACTCTTTTACTGCTCCACCACTTTGCCTCTATAATGGCGACCTCTGTGGCTCTGCTGCTATCTCGTCAAATAATGATGGGGAATATTTGACCTGCGGGTCTCTCATCATATGTGATGTCACGCATGCAGCAGGTGGTGAAGTGTTTGCAAAGAAACAATCTGGAGGCTTAAGGTGTGCTCCTGATTTCTTTTCATGGCAAGCACTGCTGGAATTCAGCACCTTTTGAATTTGGCACCAAGTGCAAGCCCCAAAGACTGGTCCTGCTTGGGAGTTCCTGGATGGAAGTGGAGTTAATCCCTGCTGAAAGCAGGATTTGAAGGCACCACTGATCAACTGAGATGCCTCTGGGATCAGCTGCACCGAGGAATTCCCAAGTGCAGCCAAACTGATGGGCAGCGTTTGCAAAAGAATAGCAAAGGTACTTAGCCCACAGTCCTGATTCTCTCCTTTGAAGCTGAGTTACATGCTGATGTCAGGTGTTTGACAGGAGAGTGGCCTTGTAAACCCAGCAAAGTGGCTCCCAAGGAATCATAGAATCGTAGAGTTGGGAGGGTCCATGAGGGTCATCTAGTCCAACCCCCTGCAATGCAGGAATCTTTTGCTCAGCATGAGACTCGAACCCACAACTCTGAGATTAAGAGAATCATGCTTTACCAACTGAACTATCCTGAGAGCTTAGGATCCAGACTCCCAACGTGTTCCTGTTTCCCACCCCTGTTCTTGAGCGAAGGACCACACAACAGCCCCCTCCAGCACCACAAACAGAGTGCTACAACCTCACAGCTGAACAAGATCACAAGATAGCTCACCTTATAACGGCTGTACAGGTCCTCCACATCCTCAGCCTCAGGAACTAGGAAGGAGAGGCCAGTCTGAGGCCTCGAGATGGAGAGAGCTGGAAGCTCATCCTGGAATCAGGGAACACAAAGAAATGAGAACGTAGAGTTATCTGGGAAACTTTCACCTCCTGCACTGCACATGTCGCCTGGCTAAGTTGGGGGACCTGAGGCTCCCTAGATGTTGCTGCAGTAAAATGACTGTCATTCGTAGCCATGCAAGCTCAGGCTGGTGGAAGCTGGGAGTCCAGCAAGGTCTGGAGAGTCACAGGTTTCTCATTTCTGTGCTACACTTAGCAGATGAATACCTCCCCTTCAAAAAAGCGATGCTGGAAGAGATGTTACAAAGTGGGAAGCCCTTCAACCAGCCGTTAGAGCAACAGAATCCATTGAGCTGATCGAATGACAGGGGAGCAAGCCAAAGGCACAGTCAAGGAAAAGGATGAAGTTTTGCTGCGGCCTCCTCCTACGCAGGTTTCATCAGAGACTAAGTTCTGCTACCTGTATCTATGTCGCAAGTTCTGCGTGCATAATATTTTCTGCCTTAAACTGTGACTCGGCGGACAGAGAGAGACCCTCCAATTTTAAACACTTTAGGACAAATTCCAAAGACATACCTGTGCTAAAAACTTCCCCTGTTCGAGTCATAATAAATGTCCCGAACCCAGCAGTGAGGACACGCAACTGGAAGTTTAGCTCTTTATTGGCAAAGAACACGATTATATCAGCTCCTAAGAGGTGAGAATCCCAGGCATCACTCCTGCTAAACAGCTAGCTAGGCATTGCCTTCCTCAGACCTGTGCTCCAACCCAGACAGCTGGAGCAACTGTGTGACCATGCTAACCTCAGCACATTTAAACACCCTTGTGGTGTGCACAAGCAAACAACTTCTCCTGCGTAGCATCTCCAGCTGCTCCTGTCACTTTAAGCCCCTTGTTGTCCTTGGAGACAGCTGGGGAGGGGATAGAGGAGATTCTAAGAGCTCCCATCTCTCTCTGGGACTGCCTCTTCCTCCTCTGCGCCTTCCTGAAACTCTTCTTCCTCCTCCTCCTCTTTTCCTGACTCTGACTGCCAGGCCTCTTCCCCTTCCCCCTACTTCATGGGAGGTCTAGAGCCCCACAAATTGCTCATCCTTCTCTGCCCATCCTTTGGACACCTGCCTATCCCTGACAATAAACCAACAAGCACTTTGACAGTCCAAATCAACACGCTGATGTTAATTATTGTTGTTCCACAAATCAGACTGCAACACAATGCTGTTGCGTACCCCCTCCTCTAACAGAAGCTCTCTTGTTCAAAACTTCAGCCAGCCTGAAACAGAAGCCCAACAGTTCTGTCCAGGCAGGCAGAAAGTTGCAAGGGGGTGGGTAGGAGGATGGAAAGAGGTGGGGTTTTCTCTCCCTTTCCTAAGGTTATTATCTTCTTGCACTAGAGTACTCAGATTTGATGTCCCCCTTATCCACTCCTCCAAGATGCTTATGATTAGTTGTTGGGGGTCTAAGCAGGCAAATTCCCTCTTCGTTCCCCATCTCAGTTTCCTTTTCTTCCACCTGCAACTGTCAGCTTCAGCGTTCTGCACATTCTGAAGGCTCCCTGGTTTCTTCAGTGGGGAAGGTTGATTTAAAAAAAAAACAGATTTCCCCCCCCTACCAATTTATACTTCTAAGCGTCCAGATTTTATGGGCCAGGGTCTGTATCACTTCTAAACTAATTAGTATTCACACCACCTTAGTTTGCGTTTGAAGGGATTGTTGCATCTCTCTCTCTCTCTCTTCACACCTGCCCAGTAAGAAATGTGATAATTTTGTACCCCAGCAGAAGAGGGGACAATCATTACCTATTTTTGCCTGGCACCTGAAGATATGTAACCATGCTGCCAGGCAAGCCTCCAAAGGGAGAACATTTCGCAAATGAGGAGCCACTGTTGAAAAGGCCCCATTCTTGAGATGCTACCCTCCGGATCCACCAGGGAGGGGGCATGTGAAGAAGGATGATCACAGGGTCCGGGCTTGTTCATATAGGGAGAGGCGGTCCTTGAAGTATTGCAGTCATGAGCCGTTTAAGGCTTTATAGATCAAAAGCAACACTTTGAATTGTTTGTTTGTTACGTTTAAGGCAGCATCTGAAACACCAGCATCTGCCGAACCACAATAATCATTCATTGTCTGAAAAAACCCGCAAGCAAGATCTGGCAACACTTTAAACGAGAGCAAGGTTAATTAGCAACGGGATGTAGCAGGAGAAGGAAAGCAGGAGCCTGACAGAGGAAACCTAAATCCGTGTCTACCCAGAGAGAAGTCCCACAGGGGAAAGGCCACAGCTCAGTGGTAAAGCCAGTGTTGCTGCCAGACTATTTTGCTCACTTGGCAAGGCTCACTACTTGTACCCACACAATAAATAAATAAATGCTAACTTCAACGTTCAGAAACATGTTTAGTAGCAAAATTGGAAAGCACAAAAACTTAGTTCCGATAAATGTATTTTAAACTGCAAGAATAAGTAATACAACAATCTTTGATTGCCTTTCTCAAATACAAAAGAAAATGTTTTAGCACACAAATCATTTTTCACAACCTTGCGAACTGAGATGTTAAAATTCAAGTCTCTTTTAAAAAGCTTGCATTTCAGGAACATCAAAATATCACTCTGTGTGCCTTCCCCCTTTTTCTAATTTTGTCACAGGCTCCTTCGGGTCAAGTGCTGCCAAGCCAACTGGAAGCCTCTTTCCGCAGCATCCCTTGAGCGTATGTAAGCTTTTCTAAGTTCGAGAAACCGGGTTCAGAACGCACAAGTGAAACACGTACCGGGAATTCGTAAGATGTAACAAAAAAAGGTAACCCGTTATTTTATTTTATTTTTAAATGTGCCTCTCCAAGGCCGGTACTGCCCACCCGCCTCTGAGGTCTGTGCCCCGTGAGGCTACCTACCTACCTAGCTGGCCTACTACTAGCTGACAGCCTTGGGAGGAGCATCTGCTTTGAGCGCAGAAGAAAATCCCACTTTGGATCCCCAGGCAGGGCTGGGAGAGGATCCCTGCCTGAAACCCCGCAGAGCCTGGCCGCTGCCTGTCAGTGCAAGCAGCACTGAGCCAGGTGGGCTCAAGGCACCTCCCTGCCCCCCTGTGCCCAATGGGGCCGACTCCTATCTCAGGGTTGCAGCTTGCAGGGCTTTCTATGGGGCCGGGGGAAGTGGGGTCCAGTGGGGCAAAGAGCTAAAAGGCCACGGTCCTCCTTCTGCTCCTCCAGGGCCCCACCAGCCCCGCAGTGACTCGGCACCTCGCCGGTCCCCCGCCGGCCTTCTAGGGCTTCAGCACCGCTGCCTCGGCCCCAAAGCAGCAGAGGCGGTGGGGGGAGGACAGCGAAGGAGGAAGATCCGGCCCGGCGCCGCCATTCCTTCCCCACGACGGGCGTCCCGGCCTCCCTTACCTGCGTTTTCTCCACCAGGATCCCGATCTCCTCCATTTCTCAGCTTAACAAGGCCAGGCTGCTCTTCGCCGCTTCCGGGAAAAGCTGCCGGAAGCTAGCAGAGAGGCTGACGGGAGATGTAGTCCTTTTCTTGAAAAGGGATTATGGGGCGGGGAAAGTACGGTAGGCGGGGAGGGGATTATGGGAGTCGTAGGGCAGGCTGCCGCTTTGCAACCGGGAGCCTATTTGGAAACGCGACTTAGAGCGGGGAACTTTTCAGACTGTTGTATGAGGAGCTGGGGAGCCCCAACCGCATTGGGAGTCCAGAGTAATTATAATAATAATAATTTTTTTTTTATTTATACCCCGCCTTCCCCAGCCAAGACTGGGCTCAGGGTGGTAACAACCAATAATAAAAACAAGTTGATTAAAATACAATTTAAAATATTAAGATACAACATTAAAACATTAAGATGCAGTCTCTTCATAGGAGGAGAAAGGAAAAAGAAAGAGGGGGAGGGAATCAAACTGATTCTAAGCCAAAGGTCAGGTGGAACAACTCTGTCTTACAAGCCCTGCGGAAAGAAATCAGATTCCGCAGGGCCCTGGTCTCATGAGACAGAGCATTCCACCAGGCCGGAGCCAGTGTTGAGAAGGCTCTGGCTCTGGTTGAGGCTAATCTAATTTCCTTAGGGCCTGGGACCTCTAGGTAGGGTGTTGCTATTTATGGACCTTAAGGTCCTCCGTGGGGCATACCAGGAGGAGGCGGTAGATACGAGGGTCCTAGGCCGTGAAGGGCTTTAAAGGTCAAAACCAGCACCTTAAATCTGACCCTGTACTCCACCAGGAGCCAGTGCAGCTGGAAAAGCACTGGGTGAATATGCTCCCATGTCATATTCATGGGAGCATAATTGTGGTGCTTGTGTTTCTTCGTGCCGTTTGCTTTCGCGGGCTAAGAGCCCGCTTCGTTGGATGGACGGAGCGTCGCTTCATGCAGGGACGAAGCCTGTAATCGTTGAAGGAGCACCGCCAGTGCAAATTCCAGTGGTAGATGCACGGGCTTGCGTGCATACATTAAAGCACATTTCCCACTCAGGCCAGAGAACCACGAGAACTGTAGTTTTGCCCCTCGCAGAGCTATGCTTCCCAGCACCCTTTAAACTACAGCTCCCAGGATGTTTCCTGGGGCGCCTGTGCGCTATATAGGCGTGATGTGTAAGTATGCAAGCACAGTCCACTATTGGATGCTGAGAACCGGCTCGCGCCAGCCCTGCGCTGCGCCCCTTCGGTTAATCTCGCAGCAGGTTGCACGCGGGATCGTGGAGTGGTTTGGATCCCCCAAACTCAGAATCCGGAGTTGCAAAACGCCGCACCGGTTGCAGGAATGAAGGTCGCTTCGGTAGCGTTGTCCCCTCCAGCCTCTTCCCGGACCAGGGCAGAGCCTGCAGAAACGGCGCACTTTCAACGTCTTAACAAATAAATCAGTTTCCCACTCGAAATTAAAAGACTCAAATTAGAAAGGTACATCTGCTTCGGGGATGGATGCGCCTGATGCTCAGTAACAGGCAGGGTAAAATCCTGGGATTTCTGCATTGCTTTCTATGGGCTGTGCGCGCGAGGTTCCTGGGCACCGTCCATTTACTCCGCGTGTCATTCTACCACATTTCCTATCTCTACTAACGGGCCCGGCAGATGGTAAGAAGATACCCTACCTTGCCGCCTCTCTTGACTGACAGGAGCGCCGGGCGAATGGCCTCTCCGTTCCCCGCCCACTTCCCTCTGATCGACAAGAGCTCTCAGCCAACTCCCGTCGCCGGTTCCTGGGACAAGAAACGGGTGTCGGTGGAGTGGAGGCGGGGGAGAGAGAAAGAGAGATTAATCCTACCCCCGAGCCCCGCCTCTTGCCCGTGTGAGTGACAAGCCGACGAGTCAATGATTGCCCCTCACAGCCGAAAGAACCCGGCTCACCTATTGGCTGAGGCTGTGGGCGGGCTCGCAGCCTGAGCGGCTCCTCCCCTTTATGATGGTCCTTTAACAGCAGGTAGGTAGGGAGGTGGTTTTCGGTGCCCTGGAGCGGGTGGGGGAGGGGGAGGCGAGTTCGTCCACCCTCCGGCGGCGGGAAGGGAGGCCGCCTGAGGTGATTCCTGCCTCGGGGAATGGCGGCGGCGAGGGGCGGCGCCAGGGCTGGGGGTGAAGGGGGCTCCTTGGCCTTAGCGGGCTCCTTCCCTGCCTAGGGAACGGTACCCGTTTGCCCTTCAGCCGAGAGCATCTCTCCCGCCCCTTTTCAACGGCCTGTGTAGAGAAATCGGGGGGCTTCAGGCCCTTTTTAAAAAGTGCATTTTGAAATATATACATTCCTAGATCTACGACTATATAAATAATTGCAGTAAGAAACGCGTGTTTTCAAAAGGGGTTGTTGTTATTGTTGGGGTGTCCAGGGGGAGCTATACATGTGTATTATTTTTTGTTTTGTTTAATTATTTACTTGTTTCTGTCCTGTATTTTGTTCTGTGAACCCCCTTGAGATCTTATGATGAAGGGAGGTATATAAATCTAATTAATAATAATAGTGATAATAAATATTTGTTATCAATAATAAAAAAATAATGTAATAAATAAACCTAATCTTAAGTGTCTGGAGCTAAAACAGGACCCTTGGCTAATCGCTGCAGCTCAGCCTTTCCACAAGCCAAGTGAAAAGCTGGCTTTCCTAGCTTAGGTTTATTGATTTGTAAGTTTTGCTTATTATATTTCTGTCCTCCTCAAGGAAGGGTGCAGCATTTTTCATATGCAGACCTGATTTTTCTCCTCATAGCAACCCTTCGAGGGAGGCTAGGCTGAGAGATAGTGCTCACACCCACACCATACGTTAAAAAGCACTCTGATACAGATCTTGGGGTTTGTTCTTCAGGGAGCAAGTGGTTTCAGATGGGAAGGTCTGAACGCACAAGTGGCTTGCACCCTAATATCAGGGAGATTGCACCAGTCGCATCACAACCTTATTCTTTTAAGAGTCTCCCTTACCTCACACTACTTAAACGGAAGCCAAAAGGTGGGTGGAGACCAGATGTAAAGGCAGATAAAACTCATTTACCTTGAATTGTTTATGTAGAAGTAGGAATTGTGGTAGCTCTACCTTGTTGCATAGAGGCAAGGAAAGAAGCATTTGCTAAAATTCGCTTTTTTACACAACAAACAAACAAAAATAACCACCCAGTAACTCTTTTGTACTTCCACTACATCTGGACATCTGAATTAGAATTGGAGGTGGCCTTTGGGCCATCTAGAATAACTTTTTCTCTGAGGAGAAAATTTGCTTTGGGGAGCGGTGGGGGTGGACACAATGCACAGCTGGTTTCTTCAAATTGGTAGAATGAACGTACACACAATACACAGTTAGTTTCTTTCTTCAAAATGGTAGAATTGGTTTCTCTTAAGCTTATCCTTTGTGGTAATAGAATCGGGAATAGAATAGAATAGGTAATTGGAGAGGGCTGTACTAGTCCAATGCCTACTGATTCCCCCCCCCACACACATTTTATTGCATAAAATTTCTGCAGCCTGAACAGATGGCTGTTCATCTTCTAATTGAAGGTGTCCAGCATGGGACCCACTTTGGTTGATTGGTTCCATTATCAAACTTCTTAGTAATAAGAAGTTGTGTTGGCATCTGTCTCTAGAGACAGTGGAGTGCACCTCTGGAAGTCAAACGGTTAGAAAATCACAGCACCTGCTGTGGCTGCAGAGACTGATAACTTGTTATGTGTAAGGAGCACCATAGTGACCTCCCCAGAGTGTAAGCCTGGGCAGTGTGTTTGGAGGTCCTAGGCTGCTCAGACGACAAGACCCACCTCACGGCCTCGCTGATGTGGTCCAAAGGAAAGCAGAGTAATACCTTTGGCACCTGCTTGGCTGTAAGAGTTGCCGGAAGGAGGTGTACAAGGTGCTACCCAACTGTCTTGGGGACTGCATTTCGGATTTGTGTAGGGTTTACCCCGTAGACTTTTCTTCTGAAGATATCCCGCGAGGCAGCAGAGGTTTAGGATCAGAGTTTTCCTTTTCCTAGATGGGCTGCCTTCTCATGTTGAAAAGCTCCATCTGCCCAGAAATCTGCTCTTCTGTAACTTAAAGCCATCTATTTCTTCCTTCTGGGGTAGCAGGAGACAAGTGTTTTTTCTTTTGCATCACAGCCATTCAGGTATTTGAAAAGTGCAGTATTGCACACACAAACACCCCACACCCTTCTCCAGGGTAAAATAAATGGTCTGTTCTTTCAACCTTTCCTCATAAGACTTTTTCATATTTTTGACTATCTTCGTTGTCCTACTCTAAACCTGTTCCAATTTGTCTCCATTCTTCTTAAAGTGTGGTGCCCAGAACTGGACATAGTTCTCATCTGGAGGTTTTATTAATATAGAATGAAATGGAACGCTTACTTCTTATGACTTGGAAACAATGTTGCCTAAATCATTAGTTTACTTTTGCACTCTAGAGACACAAGGATACAGGGTTAACAAAATAAAAAGCTAAAAGCAAACACAATTTTAAGATTAATAGTGTTTTGAAGGTTAAGATTAAAGGTGCGTTCTTCAGGTTAAAAAATGGAAAGTGCTTAGACAACTGAACAGTGTCAGACTTCGGCTGGATGACCATGGGCCAGTCACTATCTTTCAGCCTAACCTACCTCACCGTGTTGTTGTGGAACTAGAACAATGAAAGTCCCTTTGTAAACTGCCCTGTATTTGGAAGAAAGTTGAGAAACAAATATTTAGCCATAATTCTTATCTTCACTGTGTTTTTAAGCACCTGGGGAACTAGGATTTTTCCAACATCAATTAGTGACAGCTGCATCTTCTGTTGTTTTAGCAGGTGAATAAGACTAGCTGACATTTAGTGTGAACAGATACCCTACTTTCCTGAAACTGGGTATACATACAAACCAGTGACTTTCTTGCTGGATTAACCTTGGGTTGTTGTTAACCTAGCTTCCTTCCTACAGGAGAAGCAGTACTCTAATGGCATTTTCTTATGAGCTGGTGACCTGCCCTGGATTGATTCCACTCCATCTAGTATGAATGGAAAGATGTAGCTATTGTGGCCGCCCTGAGTTCAGATTCCTGGGTTTGGCGGCTGCAGGAAGCTCTGTATAAATGACACATGGAGGTGGGTCAAGCATCACCTACAAGGCGTTCCTTGCATGGAGATTGGGAACCTTGAAATCCATTGCATTTAAATTCCCTTTCTTTGTATCTGAGTTGCCGGTGCATGGACTTCCAAAGGCCATACTTTTTGCATCTTAACTTCCGCCAACAAAACTCTTCGATTTTCCTTGGTAATGATGAGGCGTGACAGACCACAAGAGCGGGCAGCCAGCTGGCCAGCAGAGCACATCAAGGTGCTCCTTGCCCTGTGGACCGAGGCGGCAGTCACTCACGATCTTAGCTCTCATGGGAGAAACCGTGCAGTGTATGATGGCATTTCCCAGCGCCTCGCAGAAATGGGCATTTACCGAACCGGGGACCAGTGCCGGGAGAAAATGAAAGGCTTGAAAGTGGCTTACCGGAAAGCAAAAGAAAATAACTCAGTTGGGCGACCACCCATCAAGTGTCCATTTTATGATGAGATCGACCAGATAATGACACAGTATATAAACTGCAGACCAGGCTTTCCCTCAGAAGCTGGTGAGGGGTCCAGTATCTCTGCAGACAGACAGGAAGGCGTTTCTATATCTGAGCCCTGGGGGACACAGTCTAGCATCAGTGAGCGATGGGGGTCTCAGGTCTCTGGGCACTGGTTGTCACAGACTGCTGCCTCTGAAAGCCAAGGGACTGATGAATTCAGCTATGCCCAGGCAGAGTCTCAGGATGCCTTCGGTGAGATCCAAGTCATCCCAGTTCAAGTGAAAGAAGAGGAATCGGAAGATGAAATATCACCTGAGCTTGGTAAGCTCCATTGTTCGTTTTGCCTGGTTTATTTCAGCAGAGCCCCTCCTGAAGGATACCTCAGGTGGGGCTGACATCTTTGATTTGTTTAATTAGAGCCTTTTACTGGGTATTTAGCCTCCAAGGCCTTTGTCCTGCACTTCCCTATATTCTTGTCACCCACAAATGTGTCATGTGCTTACTTCTCCTCTGCTCTCCTGAGAAGACTTTCTAGATGCCTTTCAAGTTCTGCTGTCTTTGTCCCCTTGTATTGTAATCTTTTTTGCCTGTCACAAAATCGCACTTTATTGTCTCATAATCAGACCAAAAATAGCTTAGACTTGGACTGTTGGGGCACCTGTCCGAGATGAATGTAATCTATGCAAGAGATTACTATGACACCAACTAGGGTAATGAATTGCAGCATTTTCGTCCCTTTGGACTACAGGATCCTCCAATTATAAATAATATGCTCTCTTTCTAGTTTGTTAGCCTTGTCCAGTTGATTCATCTTGAACTTTAAGATTGACTCTTAAAGGTCAAGAGCTCCTAGCACCATATGTACATATGCATCCAAGTGGGTGCAAGTCGTACTAATTTCATAATAATTTCATAATTTGTCATCTGGGTAGCTGCAGTACAGCTGTTTTTACCAAACATTGCCCACAATTTCAGGGTCAGTTGCAACAGAAACTTTTTTGCATTCATGGGGTCACGTTTTAAAAAGTGATTCTGCATATGCTTACATTTTAAAATGTTACAGTGGAGTTAGTTTTTCTAAACAGATATCCTAGATCACTGCCCTTGGACTCATTCTGCAAAAGGTACATGACAATCAAATAAAAGCCAAATCATGCATTCAGAAGAATATAACTCTCTAGCATGTAGGTCATGGGTGTTGTGTGTCTGAATGCTCTCCCAGGTCAAAAAGCTAAAGTACTTTCCCCATAGGCGCTAACTTTCCACATGGAGGGAAATTTGATGTAGAGGAGTACAAAAACTTGGTTTCTTAACATGCATTCTAAAGTGATTTAATCCTGTGAGGATTGCAGTGGTTGCTTTTTTGGACGTTTGAATCAGCTCTCATTCCCTATGGACCAGCATGCTCTGTCACTAAGGTGGAATGTATCCTGGGTATATGCACACCATTGCATTTCTCTGGATATTCATTGTGCTTTGTTGCTTTCCTTATAGATGTGGCCTCTCCTATAGTGATGGAGACCCAGCCTGCACCAAGACATCTCATATCCATGCTTGACCAACGTCCCCACCTCCGAACCAGGAAGCAAAAAGCTCAAGGAGATGGGCAGTCCAGCTTCCCAAGGGGCACTGGCCAGAAATATGGGCGTTCACATCAGCTGGAAGTGCAGAGAATGCAGAGACAGGTTGCTAGCCAAGCGGAGGAGAAGCAGAGTTTAGCAGAGTTCATCCAGCATGACAGGGAGATGCGCCGGGAGGATAGGGAGTTCCAGGCCCAGCTCTTTGAGAAGCTTTTTCAGAAGCAAACCGAGCTTGTCCAAGCACTGACTCAGCGACCTCCTGCCAGTCCTACCTCCACCGCTTGTACCAACGCTTTGCACACCTTGCAGGTGTCAACAAAGAATGGAGCAGGAACAGCTGCAGGCCCTGGCTCACAGCTACAGGCTTTGCTAGAACAGATAATGCAAGCTGATGTAGCAGGAAAGGGCTTAACCAGACTTCCTGTGAAGGAGGCACTTGGAGGAGCAGTGAAAGTGCCCCCTGAAGTGCAGTATTGGACTGCTGAAGAGATACTGAGATGGCTACTATCTCAGCAGTCTCCTGGAGACCAATGCCAAGAGGTTCTGACAGGCCTGAGGCCTCCTCCTGTTGCAGGGCACATGGGGACAACAGTAAAGGGTGATAACCCAGAGGCACACCTCTCTGTTTTGAATCCATTGTGTGATTCCTACCAGAGTTCTGGACAGCAAGATAAAGGCCAACTTCATAGCAAGACCCAACAACTCTGCGGCAGCAATTGTGCTAAAGCACTGGAAACAGACATAGACTTAGAGACACAGCGTCAGTCTTTCAGGCAGTTCCACTACCAGGAAGCCCAGGGACCCCAAGAGGTTTACAGGTGCCTGTGGGGACTTTCCTATCAATGGCTGAGGCCAGATGTCCGCAGCAAAGAGCAGATCATGGAGCTGCTGGTTGTTGAGCAGTTTTTGAATATTTTGCCTGACGAAATCCAGACTTTGGTACGTGAATGTCAGCCAGAAAACGGCAAGGAGGCTGTGGCCCTGGCAGAGAGGTTTCAGCTTCACTTTGAGTCCAAGAGGCAAAGGGATCAGGTAGGATCATATTTCTGATTATTTCTGATTCTTGCTTGGAGCTGACCTTACACAGGTTTCTCCTTGGCCAAAGGACACCAGATAGAAACCTAATAATTCTAGCCCTCAGCTTTTAGAAGGAAGGGACAGAGATTTGTGGCAGGGCGGGGCCAGGTTGGGGATTGAGTAGGCAGGAACAGTATGTTCTGCAAGGCACAGAAGCCTGTCTTCTGATTCCTGGAAACCATGCCTGCTATTCCCTTGGGTTTCTTGGCCTTTGGTTAACACTGTATGGCAGGGGTGCAGAACTGGATTCAGATGGTAATCTGGATCCTTATCTCTGCTTACTGGTAGGCTACGTTTGGCAGGTAGACAATCGAACCACACAGCACTTCCAAGCCCCAACAATCCAAGCAAATAGTTAGTGCTTGAGGAGCCTTGATTGCATTGCTTCCCAAGCACCGGCAATCAGCTGATAGTCTGTGGTGTTTGGAAAGCACTGTGCAAGGGGCTTTGCAGGCATCACCAACCAGCTGAATGTCAGTGCCTGTAAAGCGCCTTTCATCCAAGCCTTGTCTTTATCTATTCCCCACTTCACATCATCTTGGGTGTTGCTTGGCCAAAAAGGGAAAGGCAGACCTGGCCTGCTGTGTGACTATTCAAACTTTTTCTAGACAACTATGATGGCAGAGTTTGCTTTTTAGAAACAACAGACATTTCATTAGTACAAAACATCATTCTTAGCAACACATCCATGTAAGTAGGATACACTCAGTCTGGTTAGGACTTGGGTGTATATAGTAGGATTCAGTCTTTAAGGAACATTTAGAATGAGTTGGCTCTCCAGTAACAAACAGCAAGTTCAAATCATCCATGGTTCACAGATAATGGGGACAAAAACCAACATCCTTGGTGAAACTAAAGGGCCTGTTAACTTGAGCAGAAGGTGATGAATGCAGATGTGGCATTCTTACTGTTCCAGGCACGGATGATATCCGATGACATGGTAGCAGATTCCCCCCAAGAAGAATTGGATGAGGTTCGGAGACCATCTTCCATCAAAGACAGTCAAGAGAACCCTAGGAAAGTTGGTAAGGAATGCCTTCCTAGATTGCATTAGGCCATAGAACTCCACCCTTACTTTTCCAGGTTCATGGGATTACTTGTTGAGGAAATGCCTGACATCATTTCTCCCTCACCTGCCACTCCTCGTAGTAATTACATCTATTGCTTGGCAGTAAACCTGCTCCTGCTTTCATCTGCTTAACGTAAGGGCTCTAAAATAAAATTTACTCCGAATTCTACCACTTTCTCCTTTAAGCGCTTCATGCTACAAGAGACTACACTATGCTGCCTTCTCAGGGGCCAGAGAGTATAGTAGACTCTGAACAGATAGGTTTGGCCAATTATTTATGTTTAGGTCAGCAGAAGTGGTTTTGCGTGGAATTTGCAACCCTTCCATATTTCCCTCTTCACACTGGGATGATTGGAACTACTGCTAAATACAGGATCATGGTTGTAAGGACGCTTTGATTGGTAATTATTTTTCCCTTTAAAAATTTTTTATTAATTTTTGTAGAGTTGGATGGGACTAACATCTAGTGAGTCAAATCCTGCACTGCTAAACAAGAGCATTAATACAATTCAGCCCACACCTACATGTCTTCTGTCAACAAACAAAATAGCAGATGAAACCACAGGAACCACCAAAACAAAGAAAATGGTATTAAAGGGATTTATAAATTGCCATGCCTGCAAGTAATAGGAACATACTCTGGTTTCTCTTCAGATCGTATAAATCTTTCACCTATGCAAATATAAGTTGTAATTACAGTTGTATGATAATTACAACAATTTCTCAAAAGGCCTCAAATTATTATGATGAGATCTCCAGGACTGTGTCCTGTTTCATGCTTCAAAATTATGTTCACTAGCCAATCTGATCTTCAGGGGAAAAGAGCCTGTCAGTCAGATTTTTAACATGAAGAAAAACTATCTTCCAAGTCGCCTTAAGGGAATTTTTATTCAGACTCGTTGAAAGGGTAGCAGGGGTATGTTTCTTTGTTTACACGGGGTGGAAAAGGTATGCCACACTTCAAAGGATAAAATACATTACTATGCTGAGTGTGAGTTCTCGTTAGGATATTGTGATATATTAAGTGTCATTATTGAGTGGGCCTTGAGAATACACTTTTTCTCAGTCTCCATTCATCATCTGTAATATGGAAATAACGGTAACCCACCTCAGGGTTTTTGTGGTAGAGGAAGACTGCCAAGCATTTTTTTGCATTCAGAGGACTGCATTCATGATTATTCATGGCCCCTCCTGATGATTTGTATCATAAGAAACCTGTTAAATAAGGAAACCTGATCCTCTAGGGGTGAGTGGAGCCCTGTGGCATCAGTGGGCCTGGAACCCAGATCTTCTGATTCCCAGCCTAGGGCCTTAACCACAAGCCCATCTGTTATTTTTCTATCTTGGCAGGTCTCTCAAGATAAACTTATTCTCCACCTTCAGGTACAGAAGCACACCTTCGGCTGAGGAAGAGACCAAAGTCAGGTCCAAGGGAACGGACTGTGGCCACAGAAGATGGAGAACGTGGAGAGGCAGCAACAAAGCAAAGGAAGCTGAATGATAACTCAGAGGAGACATCTGAGGCTGGGGAGAAAGCTAAGCAAATGCCAACCCCTGTACCAGGAAAGCAAGCCGGGAAAGCGAAAGGGCGGGGAAGATCTGTTTCCGGGTGCAATGTTGCCGTGGCTGTAGAGAGTCTGGTTGAGGGGGAAGCTAAGATGGAGGGCAGTGGTAGGGTTTCAGAGGCTCTGAACGGGGTGCCCTCTTCTAATTCATCATGCAAGCAGAAAGCAACAGCTGGCCTTGGGCCCTCTCAACTGGTCTTTGACAAGGATGGCAATGCGTCCTGCCCCCAAGGAGGGAATGATGGTCACGTATCTCCGGAGGCAGATAGACCTTCACTCAGCGACACCATTGAGATGTTGCTGCACTCTCCCTGGAGTGGAAATGGCAGTGGCGACACCACCCACGATGGGCCACCGGGCTCCAGAATGCTACCTCCATGTGCCAGTTGCACCGTATTGAAGGCTGAGCTGGACACTGTGCGTGAGCAGCTCCGACTAACTCAAGGTAACTGTTGGCATGAGCAGAGAGAAGCTGTTTCATTGTGATGCCATGGGTTGCCTTCCTGGCCCTCTCAGGAACCTATATCGTGACTGCATGGAATTGGTAGGCTCCGTATTATGCCCACTCATGGGAATGCCAGTGAAAACAAGACTCGCCTCCTTCTGTCCTAATGTCCAGGAGCACCTGCCATGTGAACAATGCGTTGATGCTGAGTAATGTAGCAGATGCTTCTAGATGCTATGGCATGAAGTGGGAAAACCCCCATGGTGGCATACTCCAGTGGGGTGTGTGGTATTGTCTTTGTATTGCTGTGTTACAGTATTTTGTGTTCATATGTTGCAAACTGCCCTGTGAGCTTTGGATGAAGGGTGGTATATAAATTTAATAAATCGGCATAATCCACACATCACTTTGCACATTTTATACAGAGTGTGTATTAGATATAGTATATGCAAATTTAAATTTAATTAAATAAAAACGGCACAGCTTGTCAAGTGAACACAAGCAAAGAAGAGACGATATCATGGTATGATGATCTAGAAAAAGCTTTGCAGAAGTGGGTTTTGAGCACGGATTTAAAGCAGGGGAGGCAAATGGTGAGTAGACAGTGATTATTCCAGACATAGAGAGTGGCACGATAACAGGCAGAAGGGGAGAGTTGAACAATAGCAGATAAAAGGAGAGATAAAAGTTAGAATGATAACAGATGAGAGATAGAAGTTGGGAGTGAAGAACTTTATACTTAATGATTTGCACTATAGGGTTTTAAAGCTAGTGCGGCAATAAAAAGTGAAGGGTGTGAGGTGTATATTATAAGACTTCAAAAAAGAAAGAAAGAAAGAGATTGTTGACTAATGAAAGATGGCAGAAAGGAATGTTTTGGGGGTGGTCAACCTGTGCCCCCCCCCGCCAGCACAATCAATGATCAGCATTTGTGGGAGCTGTAATCCCAACATCATCTGCAGGACCACAGATTAACTACCACTGTTCTAATAAGAATTGTTGGCAATGCTGCCTGGAAGTCGTACTGACTGCTCCATCAATGAGGGTTATTATATTTATTTTTTTCATTTGTACAGCTTCCACACTATATGGGTTGAGTGGTACCTCTTTACAAGACTTATCAGAGGCTCTTAGCACTATTGTGCACATCCTCAGCAACAGGAAGTCACTGTCAGCAACAAACACATCCCAGAATGTTGCCGAAATTCCCAGCAGGCCAGTATGGCGAGAGAGAAATGTAAGTCTCCTCTTTTTGCTATCCATGTTTAAAAGCAAACTGTTATTTCCATGTTTTCTACCTCTCAATTTTTCCTTTTCAGCAACAAACGCTTGTTATCATGCCTCTCTCCATACTGATAAGTTTGAATAATTCGTAAAATGCAGGCAATCTAGCCTGAAGAGGGCTTACTGGTTCCCTTTCCTCTTGGTCTAGATCAGGGTTGGGATCAGGCCTGCTAAGAGCTTGTCTGAGGCCTCGGCTGGGAGTCTTGTTAGATTAAAGTTATAAACTCAACCAGAAAAGCAGTCGCTCCCTGGAGGGTCCCCCCCGCAACCAGCTTAGTCCTCCAAAGCCTGGGAAAAGTGTACCTGGCTGCCCCACCCTGTTCTGCACTGGCCTGGTTGGGATACCTGTGGCCTTACAGCTGTTGGATTCCCATCACCCCACCCAACATGGCCTGTGATAAGGGATGGTGGGAGCTATGGTCCAATAACATCTAGAGGTCACCAGGTTCCTCATCCCTGCTCCAATACAGTGCCCTCACAGGACTGCTTGGTCTGCTCAAACTGGGTGGCTTCATTGGAGCTTGGGGAAGGCAACCAGTGTAGGAGCAGACCAGGCCAAAGTGCCATTCCAGAAGTAATTATCCAGGTACCAGATGAAAAAGACAGCCGTCAGGACTCTGAAGTCTTCTTTTAACAGTTTGGTTTCCTCTTGTTTCTTAATGAGAAGTTAAAGCAAATTTCTGAATATCTGGTATTGGATACTTTTGGGAGATGGAGAACAGATTGAAGCAGTTGAGGAATGTTGAAAGTGACATTGGTTTCTGGAAAATCTTTAAATCATTTCTACTGTTAGTTTCTGTGGTAAGTTTTCATTTCCTGAATGTAATATATATAAAACGTTTAATTGGATACTAACTTTGCTCTCTCCTCAGCATTTCTGAAACATAAGCTGAGCATGAAGAAATTGAGCATCAAGAAATTCAGCAGCAATATTGACCTTAGGATGAGGACCTGAATTAAAAGGAAAAAGCTCCTTCAGCTCTTGATTGTCTGAGACAACCAATCTTGCTACATTCATTCTCTTTTGTCCCTGACCCCCACCCTTAGCATATCATGTAAGTTGCTCAGACTGCAGCAGGCTCTAGAGCTGAAGCTCTTTGCCTGCTGTGGCGCAAATGTTGACTGTCATTACTGTCCTTCTAATGTTACTCTAGGATTTGTTTGTTTTTATACTGTAGTACCTGTTTCTTTCCTGCTTAGCTCTAAATAAAGCAACTGGGAACGTTTTTGTATATTGTCTGTGGGCACTAAATAGCATGGGTGTTGAGCCAATTGGCATAGATTCCTGTTCAGGTCTTAAGTCAGAAGTACCTGAATCAAAGGTGCACACAGCCTCCAGAGGGAACACTGTACTAGGCAAAGGCTGTGAAATGGTCTAGTTTAGTCTTTATGTTTAGTCAATTTTTCATACCTTGAAAGTTAAAAAAAGAACCATGGACTCTGGTTCTTACCATAGTGCTTGAAGGTATGATCAAAAAAGACAGGTGTGGAGAGAGGAGGAGAGGTGATGTGAACTAATACACATATTTAATTTCATGGTGGCGATAGATAGTTTCTCATGCTATGTTTTACGGGTGGGGGGAGAGAGAATTGACCCACGGGCCTTAAGCACACCTTCATTATCTGAACTGATGTAGCTGTCTTATGCGAAGTTGGACTACTGGTCTTTCTAGCTGATGGGATTGTTTTGGGGTAAGAGTCTCTCCCAACCCTGCGACTTGCAATTCATTGAGTTATGGTGTGGAGCAGGAATTGAACCTGGGACTCCTCCAGAAAAGGTATAAATAAACGACAGCTGCAGATAATTGAATTGGAGCATTTATTTTGTGGGTAACCAAAGAGAGTTACCATAATTTAATAATATACAAGGAACTTCAATTAATAAATTATGTTTAAAATTAATAAAATATGACATTAGACCTACCATGAAGGTTCCTTTTCTGCAGGGAATGGAGGGGATCCTTGAATAGGTTGTCTCTCTCATTCAATCTACTAAGCAGGAATATGCAAATTAGAGCTATTCTTACCTTGCAGCAGGAGAGCGACCTCTCCAGTTGAAGGTATCCAAGCTCAAGCCTACGGAGATCAAATGGTCAAAAAACAACTGATCCAGAGAACAGAATTGAGAAAACTAAAATAAATGAGCTGATTAGAGAGGAAACAAACAAGAAAAGACAACAAGAAAAAAGCAATAAGCTTGCAGTGGAGATCAAACTCAAATCTCTTAGGGTGGGCAAGTTCCCCTTCATTCCCTGCAGAAAATGAACCTTCTTGGTAGGTCCAATGTCACATTTTCCTGCAGTGAGGAGGGGAGCCTTGAATGGGATATGCCAAAGCTTAACTGACATGGGGGATCAAGATGTGGGGCTGCCACTTTACTGAGAAACTACCTGTTCTAATACCCTCCTACTGAAGGATTTCTTGGCAGAAGCATACATGTAATGTTTGGCATTACATGTAATGTCTTGGCAGAAGCAAACTTGTAATGTTTACCAAAGGTTGAAGCTGCCCTGCAATGTCTCCTAGCTGCATCTAGTGCACAATGCTGCAGTAAAATTGCTGACAACAAAAGGCCTAGTCAGCATATAACACCCATGTTCAGAGATCTACACTGGTTGCTGATTTGATACTGGGCCAAGTTCAGAATGTTGCTATTAGCATATAAAGCCCTTAACAATTTTGGACCAGTTTACCTACGAGATCGCCTTATCCCACATGCCCACATGACCACTTCAATTGGTGGAATTGGCACTACTGTAGGTGCCACATAATACCCATCCCACAATTGTAAGAATCATTTAGTCTGGCAGCACCTTCACTTTAAAACTCCCTGCCTATTGAGATCAAGCAAGTGCCTTCACTGTCCACTTTTGGGCCTGCAAAAAAAATTTAAAAAATCCTGTGTAGACAAGCCTACCTAGATGCTTAGAAAGCTGAGATAATTTTAATGTTTTAGTATTTTAACTTTCGTATGTTTTAAAGCAATGGTTGCGATTTTTTCTCGATTTTACTGTTTTGCCTTTTTGCAAATCCCTTTCGAGGGTTGTTGCTTTTCTTTTTTTGAAGAACCAAGCGGTGTACAAATTTTGGGAAATAAATTAATGGAAGTACCGCAGAGGCCTCCTTCAAGCTGCTGGGGTCGTGAGAGTGTTGAGGTGGGGGACACGCTTCCCTAAGAGACAGCTTGCCTACCGCACTGACTCCCCTGTACAACGCCAGCTACGTGGGAGCGTCATGGTGGGTGGAGCTGAGAATTACAAATGAGCGTCATTTCCGGGGGAAGAGGAAAAAACCGTTTAAACGGAAATGCCGCTCTACGCTCCGAATCTCCATGATGCCCTGCCCTCTTTCTTTGTTTCCCCGAACGCTCCCATGGGAAGCCCCAACAACCACCAAAGTACGTATTGCCCAGCTGTGGGTTTTGGAGCTTTTCCCGCCCCTCCTGGCCACGTCATGGATCACGTCACTCTTTTTTTAAATGACCAACGGCTTTCTAAGCCTGTTGTTTTTACCAGTCCAAGTAAAGCCTGAATGTTCTTCGCCAGTGTATAGCTCTATGGCCCTTTCCCGCGTTCGGCTTCTTGGCGTAGAAAGCGTCAGTCGCGATTGGCTCTTTCTTGCTTTCTCTCTCCCGGAAGTGCCTGGGGAACTTCCGGAGGCGGGACCAGAGTGTTGGAAGGAGGCCTCGGCTGGGTGAAGGTACGCGCAGCTGCCCAGATCAAAACAAAAGGGATGCGGGGGGAGGGGGCAGTTGGCACCGGCTTCTCCCTTTCATTCCCTTTGAACCTTTCCTCTTCTGGTTGCTAAAGGAACAGGGGTGGGTAAATCCGAATTAGGCTGTTCTCACTGAGGCGGAGTGAATCTGAATCGAGCAGTCCTCACCGGAGCGACGCTTCAATAAGTTTGGGCGCCTGCGGCCCGTCGTGCAAAACCTACGTGGGCTCCCCATTGAGAAAGGGAACGGAAAGCGCGTCGGTTTTTTTACTTTTATTTTCCCCGATTTTTTCATGCGCGAGGACGGAATCGGTTTCGTGTCTAGGTTTGGAGCGCTTCAGAATGCCGCTCTTCTGAACACGCGTGTGCTTTTGTGTGTGCGTGTGATTTTAATGCTGCAACCCTAAGCTTCGTGGCTGAGGAGCAAACTTCATTGACCTCAGTGGAACACCTGGCTTCAGCTGTGCGTAAAAGGCGCAGGCAGTTCTTTGTAAGCCCCGTGAGGAAAAGCAGGGCAGGCAATGGCGCTCATTCTCTATTTATATGCAGGACCTTAAGTCACATTAAAGGCTGAAATCGCAGGTGCATTTACTTGGGAATATGCCCTGCTGGAAGACTATTAAGGAAACTTACCTAGGCTGTAATGTTTTGTGCAAATGGCTTTTGAAGATGGGGTATTTTATCCATTCTATTGAGTTTGTAAGAATTTCCATCTTCCGATGGGATGGGCAGAATAAATTAGGGGGAATCCAGGATCTTACTGTTGGACTGATTTTGCTGTATAATAGGATCTCACACACACTGATTAGGTCACATTATTGAAACGGGGAGGAAATTCAGATCGACTTTAAGGGCCTGCTTTCCCCATTTGAGAGCGTGTTGGAGCAGCATCTAGCCCATAGCACAGAACTGTTTGCCCTTCAGAGGACTGAGCAGAGATCTTTCCATCACCTGATGCCTAATCCTTTCCATCTATACGGGTGCTTGGAGTTGAACTTGGGAGCATCTTCATGCACACTGAGTTCTGGTACTTCTCCCATCTCCCCAATTTAGCCATTTCAGGGAAGCCCTCCCTTTCCACTCATGTGTGAGTAATCAGATCTTACTTTGTTTTATTTTCTCACATGAATCAAACTGGCCAGAACTGGCCATGTGTTGGAACGAATATACAGGCAAAATGACCATACAAGGAACCTCAGGACCAGGGCTTTATGCAGCCCTTCAGGAATCAGTCTGCTCCTCCTAGCCATACATTCCACTGGCCTTCACACCCTCCTTGAATGTTTTTGTCTGCATGGAATGTGCCTTTGAATTCTGAAAATGTCTTGCTTGCTTGGATGGAGGACAGAAAGGGATGTGTGTAGAAATTAGCCTACTATAGAAAGGTGGCATTTACACTGGTTGCTTGGCCCACTTTTGCCTCTGGTGCCCACTCACCACTGATATGGGACATGTGGCCTTCAAGCTGAAAAAGGTTCTCCATCCCTGCATTAAGTCATACTCTTAGTAATGCCATTGGAATCAATGAATTTGACTAACTTTAAGTCCCTTGATTTCAGAATATGTCTTACTCAGATGCTGAAGCACAGCCTGAATATCAATTGTCTGTATTGCTCTCTCTCTTCCTCCACCCCTTGCCCTTTGCAGAGTTTTCTTGAAGCAAAGAAAAAGCAGCACCTACCGGGTACTCTGTTCACCAAACATCCTAGCATAGCTGCAGGGTTGACAAACAGCCTTGTTGTGGAAAATGGCCACCAAGGTGAATGAGCAGAGCCTAGATGCATCCTGCAGTGACCCTGCAAAGGAGAGGGATCCAGGTAGCACCAACATGGCTGAGCATCAGGACTTGGATAGAGGCGAGGCCAAAGCAGCTGGTGAGTGTTCAGGAGGAGGAGCTGAACATTCGGAGATGACGCAGCAGCCTACGGATCAGCGTCAAGCCCCAAGATTGCAGGTAAAACAAGAAGAGAAACCAAAAACTGAAAAATCCTTGGTGCCCCCTGCTGCAGAGGCTTCTGTGTCAGTTCCAGTGCTGCCCTTGGGAGAAGGGAAAGGGGCAAAGCGGATGATGGAGGATGATGATGGTGATGCTGACATCTTTAAAGAAATGCCAGATGTCTGCCAGGAGGCCAGAGAGCCAGGAAGGGCCATGCTCCTGCCAGATCTCTTTGGGGAGGCTCAGCAGGCTCATAGCAGTCTGGCTGCTGGCCGGGCTGGAGGATGTGCCAAGGTGGAGCAAGCCATCCCATGCCTGCCGAATGTGGGCTCCGAGAACCAGCGCAAACGCTTCCGGGGTTTTGCCTACAAAGAGACTGAAGGGCCCCAAGTGGCCTATGAGCGACTCCAGGAACTGCTGTTCCAGTGGTTGAAACCAGAGGCCCGCAGCAAGGAGGAGATTGTGGAGCAGTTGGTGCTCGAGCAGTTCCTGAACCTCCTCCCAGAGGATGTCCAGCGCTGGGTTCGGGAACGTCACCCTGAAAATGGGGATGAGGCTGTAGCCCTGGCAGAAGACTACCAGTTTCTGCACCCTGAGCCTGGGAGACGGCCCTACCCAGAAAGGGCAAGGCAACGATCTTCAGCAAGGAGTTGGCTCCGCTGAAGTCACTGATTCAGACAAGCAGGACTGGTTATTGGTAGGTAGCAGGAAGCGACCATTATTAGTACATTGCTTAAATTTTCTTGGGGGTCTGTTAGTAGTAATATTGCAGTGCACCTGCATTGGATGGGTTCTAGGCCTGCATGTGTGCTGAATTCTCCCCAGCACTTCACAAGATGGTAAAGAGCCAAGCTGTTAAGAGCTCCTCCTATGAATGCTTGGTTGCCATTATGGGTTCTCTCTATTTACTGCTTCTGGCAGTGATGAACTGATGAAATGTTAAAAACTAGATTTTAGAAGGACTGTGCATGTGACTTTGATATGCACAGGAATTTTGACTGACAAAGCGGGAAGTAAATACCTATGGACTACCAGAAAGCCCTTATCGCTTATTACACAGTGAAAGTAGCCAAGAAAACACAGGCATCTTTTGAAGTTGCTGCTACATGCTGCAGAGGCAACCCACTTTTTAAGATTGAAAATGTGAACAACTCTGTGTGCACAGGTTTAACTGACTTGTGAGTGTATAACTTCACTGACTTTCAGCCACAAGATTAGCCATTGAATCTTTAGCTGGGCTTCCCATGTATGCTGGTCATAGGCTAAGAAAATATGGTTGTCTGTGAAGAACAAACCAAGACAGCTATCCTCTGTGTGCTGATGTTTTGAGATCCACATGGTATCCTTGTTTTTTTCCTTAATGCAGATACAAATACACTGGTAATCAGCATCCTTATACCTGAGAGCATTAAAATAACCATGCTGGTCTCTGTCAAAGGCTGGAGGGAGGGAATTGGCAGCTGGAAAACAGATTTTGGGAGCTATCATCAGAGCCTGTTGTTGGCTGGTCTTGTGGTATATATATGTTTTAGAATTTGGGTGGGTGCAGAATTACCTGATGACAGTGTGTCACAATGGATGGAGCAGCCATCTTCTCAGATAGTGCCCTCCAGATGTTTCTGGACTACCACTCCCATCACCCGAGGCCATTGGCCATCCTGGTTGGGGCTGAGGGGAGCTGGAGTCTCCACAACATCTGGATGGCTAAAGGTTGTGGACGGGCAGGTTTAGAGTGTTAGATTAGGGCCAGGGAGGCCCAGGTTCAATTCAGCGATGAAGCTCTCTAGGTAACTTGTGCCAGGCACTATCACCATAACCTATCTTATAGGGTTGTTAGGATAAAACAGGCAGGGTGGAGTGGAGAAACTCATGGATGCTACCCTGACTTAATTGAAGAAAGTGCAATAAATAAATAAATTTTGGTTCAAAGAGGCATTAGTCTGGTTTGCACATCACATTAAATTCACACCAGCTCATTCACATTAAACCACAGTTTTTGCCTGTGGTTTAGTGTGACGTGAACCAGGCCATTGTAAAAAAAGTCTAGTCTGCTGCTTTGTTGCTTTGTACTTAAAGTGTTACTCTTAGGCTAGTGTATTTATTCACGTAAGTAATAGATAGATGATACCTATAATTAAGGATTAGGCTGTCCATCTCAGGTGCCAGGATTAGGAATATCTTTAAAGGACAGCATATGGTCAGCTACAGAGTATCATGGTTTTCTGTGCACACCATTTCACCTGGCTGCTTTGAACATCTGAATGTATTTGGCCAGCTCTACATTTCTGGAATTGTTTACCATTTCTGATGAGTCCTTGGTTTTCCTTACAGACTGAGAGAATCAAAGACCTAGTTATCTACCAAGCCGAGCGGGGGAAACCTAAATGGGCCAGAGGAACTCAGAAATCACAGTGCAGTTGCCGAGCATGAAAAGACCTTTACACAGCCTTTCCCTGCACGGAGACCATTAACTGGAGCAGAACCCTTCACATCATCTGACTTTTTTTTGTGTGTATACATAATGGGGAGAAGAAGGGGAATTTCAAAATCTTGCTTGGTCCTTTTTGCAGCTTAAAGAATGCCCTCTGTCCACTAATGCCATAGGAATAAGTTGGAGAAAGGACAAAGCATGAAGGGAACTTGAGAGCTTTTCAAAAGGGAGGGGGTGGGCATGACTTCGGAATGTATGTACATATGAGCATTCTGACAGGATGCAGAAGGGAAGGGTCTTGTGATGAAAATGATGTCTGCCAGTCTTCCTCAGGTTGGTCTGAGGCATCTGAGTCACCTTTTCCGCATCTCTTTCCCCCACTCCTCAGTCTCCCATCAGTTTATGATTGGCAAGATAATATTTTCCCCTGATTCCCCTCCTTGCTTTGTGTTCAGAGGGGTGCCTCTTAATTTTGGAGAGAGGGCCTGCCCTGCCCATGGCCTGTGAGAATTTGTGTGGAAAATCTTGAAAAGTCACTTTGTACCACTCCCAAGACATTTTGTGTGGCAGGGCAGACTTTGAACACCTTTGGGGAATTCAGGGCTTCTGCCACAGAGCTATCTCCTCACTACACACAACAGCCCTATAAACTGAAGTGAACTCTGTATGTTGCAGATACAAGGCAGCTGTTGCTGTCAGACACTTCCACATCATGCAAGCCCTGCTGTTGCCAATGTAGTTTGCCTTGATCGTGTGGTGAGTCCCCGTGTCATTGCTCTACCTCCCTCAGAGCTGCTGGCATGGAGATTTGCCATTCAGTCTGCCAGACCTACATGGGATTCTCATGTTGTGGTATCCCTGAAGAGTCTAGCCACTCAAAAGCATTTTGAACAAGCCACCATGCAGCAGCCTTAAATTAAGCTTGCTTAAGAGAGAGCTTGTGTTACTGGTCAAAAAGGCAGACATGGGCTCCAAGGTCCACCATAATGACTGGCCTCATAACCCACAGAATTCTCCCTCCTTGCTTGTAACTATTTTTCAGTAGTTTGTCAATGGATTTGGAGCCTACAGTACTTATCTGTGAGCCAAAGTAGTCACGATTTGATGAACCAGCTGTTTGCTGGATATTAAGCATTCTTCAGTGCTTCAAGCTGGGCTTTGTTTCTGCAACATATTTGAGGAATGGAGTGGGAAGGGAAGGGTCTTTTCTGCGGCTCCCCCCAGGTCTGTATTAGTGTGTTGAAATGGGAGCAAAGTGTTTTCTTGCTTGTAGAAACTAGGTTTTTGATACTCGTCCTGATGTGATGTAGCTTCTGCTTTCACCTTGTATCAGGTGAACTTTAACCCTGCTTTCATTTGTGTAAATTTCTGGTGTGTGTGTATGTCCGTGGATGAGCACATGTAATAAAGAATCTTTCCCCCACAGTGGTCTGGAGTTGCCATCCCTTCTGCTGCAGAATTCCTATTTTGAGCTCTTCCCAGTCACTTCACCATATTCAGAGAATAGGGGATTTGAGTAGTCTTGAATGCTAGAGGCTACTTAATCCTGTCCAACATTGAACACCCTCCAAATAACAACTTGTGCTCGAGATGCTGATGTATGCAGCCATAGAGGAAATTATAGCCCTTGATAAACCTGGATTTGTCCAGTACTTTAGAAAAACCTGTTTCAACTAGTTGCTGCTGCTACAGTTCTCAAAAGCAAATTCCATCAGTTAATTACAGATTTTATGAGAAGGTACAACTTTTGGCTGTCCTAAATCTGCTTTTGAACAAGATCTGGGCGAGCAAAGCACTTTTAAGTCCCGTCAATTTCAATGGGAATGTTATCCGTCAGCACATTCCATTCTGTGGAACTAGAAGTGCTTAATATTGGCTTGATCTTGCACAATGTGATTCATATAACCATTCCTTTAAATCTCTCATAAAAATCTGGTAAATAATTTGGAAATTTGTCCAATCTCTGCATTTGGACACCTCTGAAGATACGATAAACCACCTTTTTCATGATGGTTCCTGAGATCAAGGAGCAGGTTTTCATCTATGGATAGAGTTGGATGCCATTTTGAATCAAGATAGTGGACTGAAAGTGCAGGTTTTTTGGTTTCTTAGAAACCAAACTCCACGTTATCAGCTTTCCAACTGCACACACGCACACACAAAAACCTTCCATATTTTGTGTCCAACCACACGCTAAAAAGGTTGCAGGTTCAATCCCCATATGGGACAGCTGCATATTCTCGCGTTGCAGGGAGTTGGACTAGATGATCCTTGGGGTCCCTTCCAACTCTTATGATTCTAAAAAACGCCACACCTTCCCACAAAGACTGAAATTAGGCTTGAAAGAAGCACGGTTGTAGCCAACCTAATAGGTTGTGGGGGCAGACAGGTCTCAACACTTTCTCTGGTATGCAAGAGTGCCCATGGACCCAAAACAAGCTGGCCGCCTCTGATCTACACAAAAAGATAAAGCACTTTCCAATTGAGGCAACGTTTCCAAACCATGAAAACTTTAAAAACTCTTCCCATAAGTTGAGATCCCCAAAGGTTTTTCTAAAGCATTAGAGCAGGACTAATTGATACATGTGTTTTGCTTCTGCCAGCTGCAGCTTGCTCCCTTGCCACTGCAGCTGTTTCACCAACCAGCTATTTCCTCCCTCTGTTTCTCTTCCTGTCCCACCCCATGGAATTGGCTTGTGATTACTTATTTCTCCTTTTGGCTGCTGCCACCTGAGAGATCATTTCATCCCCCCCCCCCCCCCCAGGTTCTAATTGTAGACCAAGGAGGTGTGTTTTTTCATTAGCATCCTGGGATTTAGCCTTTTCAGGCACCTGGTGTGTTACAGTCTCACAGAGATGCTTCAGATTACAGAGGAACAGGAAGAGTGCCGCTTAATTAGCCACCCCTTAGAGAGCTTCTAGCAGGCACAAATAATTTCAATTTTTAAAGGTATTTGTTTTTATGGCACTAGGAAGTTAAATTTGTCGAATCGATTTTTGCAGGCGTTAAGCAGACAAGACTTCTGAGTAACACAAAACTCTGCAGGACATTGTTAACTGACCTTAATATGGCAGTCCTTGAGTGACAGGACTTCATAGGGAAGCTGCAATGTGAGTCTATTAAATTGCAATACGCCAAAAGGCTCTATTGAGGATCGAATCAAAGCAATGGATTTTTAAATCACACTACATGTGTTAATTGAGAAGAAATACCATGCTAAAACATGTTAGGCTAAGGGTGCTGAACCTTTTTCTCAGACTTGAGGGCCACGCTCCCACCTAAGCAACCTTCCAGGGGCCATAGGCTAGTAATGGGTGGGGCGCCAAGGCAAAAGTGGGCATAAATTCTATCTCCTTATAGAAGCCTGGTTTCTACACACACCCCTTTCTATTCTCCACGGAGGCAGGCAAGAATCATTATAGGCAGCCATATTCCAGTCAGGCAAGGAGGATACAAAGTTGGGGCTGCTAAGGGGTGTGGCCTGGGGAGAGTCCCATAAGCCAGATAGAGGGCTCGAGGGCCACACTTGATTTAGGCCAATGCAGGCTAAATAGTGCCTTAATTAACAAAAATCACATGGGCACACAAAATCCCTAGGAGTAAAGGTCAAGTCAGTCTAGTACCAGCCAAAGACATTTTGCTGCCTGAGGCAGCCTGACACAGAGCAGCAACTTGACCAACCAACAGCAAGTCACAGTACCCATAAGAACCCAAGGACAGTCAAGCTAATTTCATATTGTACCTGAGTCGAAAGAAAACAAAATCCCACAAGGACCACTTGCCCCTACTGGGACCTGGGTGCCAGAGGATGATTCTCTGTGGGGCCAGCCACTTGGAGCTGTGGGGCCTAGGGAAGGAGGGGCCCATGAAGGCCTCCCTCAGCACCTGAACAGGTGGGGCCACTGAGAAAGAGTTTGACTAGCCCCCAAACCAGGGGACCAGGTTGGCTCAGTCTATCTGTACACTATTTAACTGTACTTAGATAATATTTAAAGCCTAGAGGAAGGCTAGACCAAGATATTCTACTGATGGAGAGCAGCAAATGGTCTTGCCCAAGTCAAGGTAGATATTATCCAAGGCTGGTCTGGATATTTTAGCACCGAAGGCGGAAAATTGCACATGTGCCTCTCTCCTTCCCTGTCAGGTAATGTACAATAATAATACAGTGGTACCTCGGGTTAAGTACTTAATTCGTTCCAGAGGTCCATTCTTAACCTGAAACTGTTCTTAACCTGAAGCACCACTTTAGCTAATGGGGCCTCCTGCTGCTGCCGCGCCACCGGAGCACGATTTCTGTTCTGATCCTGAAGCAAAGTTCTTAACTCGAGGTACTATTTCTGGGTTAGCAGAGTCTGTAACCTGAAGCGTATGTAACCCGAGGTACCACTGTAATACCTTAAATAACAATGGGCTGCTCTTTCATGACAATCAGCTGCCTGAGGCAACTGCCTAGTGACTGAGACTAAGTCTACAGCCCCGTGCAAAAGCAGGAGGGTATGTCCCACTGAACAAAGTGGCACTTACTTCTAAGTATACATGTACAGAATGGAGCTGTGTATGAGGTAAGCCAGTGAGAGCCAGCATGGAGTCTTGGAAAAGTTTTGGACTACAATCCCTATCAGCTCCAGCTAGTACGGTGAATGGTCAGGGATGATGGGAGTTGTAATCCAAATTGTCTGGAGGGCACCACATTGGGTACCGTGAGTTAAGTCCTCCCTTCATGACACAACTAGCTCTTCGAGGCTTAAGAACAATTAATTGGTTCATCCTGGTTCCTGGTTCTGATACATCAAAGATGACTAATCGGACGTTCTTCCTTATCAAGTTTCTGTTCTTGAGGATAAGATTAAGCCTTGGAGATAAGCACATTTAGAGGGGGAAGACACTATTTTACATCTCCTTGTCAGGGCTGTCTGCCAACTGCACCGGATCAAAAAACGAGATGGACACTTAAATTCTGCAGATTACTTTATTTTTCAGGTGTTAGCTTTCAGGGCAAGAAGTTGTTGGAAACGATGGTTGTTACGTAATCAGAAGATTCAATATTTTAGCACTGAGGGAGGGAATAATTCATGCATCACAACAATAGGACCACCAACCTATGCTCATTCCCTTGGGAACAGGTCTCATTTGATTTAGTGTGACTTACTGTTAAGTAAATGTGTACCAGATCAGGATTTCAAGGTGGGGCATGGTGTTGCACAGCACCATCCTCTCCATGTTTACTTAAAGTAAGTACCACCGTGTTCAATGAGTCTTACTCCCAGGATAAAATATGCCTAGGCCTGCAGTCTTAAGGCATGGAGGAAAGGAGGCAGTTGTAACTAAGTTATTCCCCCTCATGTTGCTCAAGAGGTTTCTACTGGAATATTCCATCCTTACAGGCACCAGACTTAAATGTATTCTCCGCTATAGTAGTACAGATCCACTCAAGAAATTTGCAGATCTTGATGTAGATGCCAGGTTCACCAGGCTGAGCGCAAGGGAAGCCCCCCAAAGAGACCACACCTTGGAGGCCTCCATCACCACAGAGAAGGGGTCCCCCAGAATCACCCTGTTGAGAGAACAAATAATGAGCTATCACAAGAAATGTAAGAAGAGCCCTGCCGGATCCGTTCAAAGGCCTGTCTAGCCCATCATCCCATTTCCCACAGTGGCAGGGCCAGCCCATCCATGAGGCAAGGTGAAGCAACTACCTCAGGCGGCAGGATCCGTGGCGCAGTAGATCTTGATGTAGATCTTTATTCCCCCCCGCCGCCCCTTGTTCCTGATGTAGAGCTTCACTCACCCCTTCTTCCCTGGCAGGGAGGGAGGCACCATTTTGTGGCTCGCCTCAGGTGCCAAAATGTCCTGGGCCAGCCCTGCACAGTGGAAAACCAGATGCTTCTGGGAAGTTCACAGATAGGGCACAGATACATTAGCCCTCTCCTACTCATGTTCCCGAGCAACTGGTCTTCAGAGGCAAAGCTCACTTCCAGGTGGCCTGCTTATTGAGCACCCATCTTGATTTTTTTGTTGTGTCAAACAAGGATCATCATGCACGTTCCAGTGTATTTTCCCTTCACTTTTCTTATTGCAAAAAGTCCGATCTTCTGGGGAAGCAGCTGTGTTTTGCAAGAGTGCCAAAACAGCTTTAATTGTACGGCCTGAATTTGTTGGTATGTGATTGAATCTCATGCCAAAAACGTGGCAGTCTGGAAGCAACCATAGTGCCATTGCTAGCTGTACCCTCTGTAAACCAGCTCCACCTAGTTTGCTCTATTGCCCATTCACATTCCCACTTGTTTCTCCTGCCAAGGCTTCCAGACAGCTCCACAGATGTGTGTGACAAAAGGACCTTATGGCCAGGGCTTTTCTTCAGGGGGAACTCACAGGAACTCAGTTCCAGCACCTCTCAGGTGGGCGCCATTGCCATTCTAAGAGAAAGAGGGAGGTGTTCATGAGTTCTTGGACCCCTTCTTCTAGAAAAACGGCACTACCTATGGCCACAGTCAACGTGGCCATGAGTTTCACCCTGGGAATTCCTAAGGAAGACTGGTTCCATGGCATGAGAAGCAACATCTCCATGTAATAATACCATACATGGAGAAGGCAAGTACAGGAATGCACATTGAGGGTGAGGAAACAGATTTTAAGCCTCAGGCTCCCCCGTTCCCACCCCATCTACCAGGCCTGATCCTTACTTAGCAATCCTGCTCACAATTGGCATATCCTTACCCGGCATGAATCTTTGCCTCCGTCAAAGTATCCTGCACAAAACATGTTGTCGGTCACGTCCCATGGGTAAGCCGCCTCACACACAAGGTTGTCAAATATTGTAATGTTAACACAATAAGGAACGTCAGGATATGTCTCTGAAAACAAAATGGAAGCCAGGATTGTCTAGTTAGATGCTTGTGAGAGATCACATTTGCAGGTGACAAGGATAGTCGCGTTTTTCCAAATCTGGCTATGTGCAGTGCCACCTCCAGGATTTTGGAGACTTTGGAGCATACGAGCTCAGTGGGCCCACTTAAATTGTGAGGACGAAGAATCCAAACCAAGAATCCTTTCAGGCATCAACCTTCCCAGGTGCTCTGTGTAAAGTGAGGATAGCAGTCTTGTTGAAGAAGCCGTGCCTTTGCCAGTTTTGATGTCTTGACAAATACCTGACCTTGCTGCTCTCTGGAGTCTACTTCCTAGCTGCAATGTTGCTACTCTGCCAACAGCACTTACCTTCAGGAGTGGTGGTTGTGCCCCAGCCCATCACAGTGCAATCTGTTCCCACCGGGGAGCAGCTGGAGGGCAAGTTGATGGTAGACACACGGCTAGTCATGACAGCAGAGCTGTTCAGTTTGATCAGCATGATGTCGTCGGTAAAACACGAGCAATTGTCACCGGGGCATTTCTTCAACGTGCTGACTCTTAACTGCTCATAGTCATCTTTGTTGTGTGCTCCGAGCCTTACCTGGATGTTTCCACTAGAAGACAAAAAGTAAAGACCACAGGACTTTCTCAAAGCAAGGCCTGAATGGACAGGTTGGTCTCACTGTTGTTTGGAGTGGATATCTGTCATGGACTCTGGCCTGAAGATGGTGAGATCTTCAAATAAAGGACTGCCCACGGTAAAGCAGGGCACACGGCCACCCTAGTTCTCTACCCCTCTAGGGCAGGGGTGGCCAACTCCCAAGAGACTGCGATCTACTCACAGATTTAAAAACTTGCAGTGATCTACCCCCTTTTTTGGGGTTCAGGTCAAAGTTGTTGAGTTTTTTTAGGAAGGAGGAAGGCCCATTTTGGGGGGGTTCGGGTCAAAGTTGTTTTTTCAGGGAGGAGGTAAAGTGTTGAGTTTTTTTTTAGGGGAGGCACAGTTGTTCAGCTTCTTTTGGGGGAGTCAATGATCTACCAGTGATCTACTGCAGACGTCCAGTGATCTACTGGTAGATCACGATCTACCTGTTGGACATGCCTGCTCTAAGGTTTTGGTTTCTTCTAAAGATTTTGTGTGCTTCTAGCCTATCACTATCTCCCTCTTGTGCATGGGTGTTGCCAAGCAATGATGCTGTCCCTACACCTAAAGAGTGGCACTGGGTAGTGGTGACTGATGCCCATTGAGACTGGTAGGGCGGAACTCAGGGAGGCCACCACCTGGTGGAGCCAGAGTCCATGGCTGTCAGAGCCAAGTAATATATATATTTTTAATCAGATCTGTCTGCACCACTCACACATGTTTCTCTGAATGTGGGGTAAAACAGTAGGACTTAAATATTTTCTAAGTGAACAACAGATAAATAAACGAGTTATGTAATAGATTTATAAACTGAATATTCAGAATTGTTCTGTCCCTAGCTAATCATTTGTGCGTACACTTTCTGTGTTGATTTTGTACAGTCAATAAGGAAATAGATAAATAGATGATAGATAGATGGTAGATAGATAGATGATAGATAGATAGATAGATAGGGTAAACAAATTCTAGTTCTGCCCCAAGGGAGGCTAGTGTGAGATCTGTGGGAGCTTGCACAGCACTGCAAGATGTTGCAAGAGCCTTCCAGGACCAGCGTGCAGAGCAAGCCTTACCTGTCAGCGAGGCAGAGAGAGAGCTTCAAAGCTCTTCCCATGCTGGATAACTGCAAACTGGCCTGGTGCAAAAAGAACTTTTAAGCTCTCTCACTGGCCCGCCTTCCGCCATGTACGGTTGAAACTGCACAAGCTGAATGCCTGTAAGATGTGACCGTAATACACATGGTGAACTGTTATGGTTGTCAGGGACTGGACTGAGGAGGAATGGTGGAGACCACCCCCCTTCCTCCTGCACTTCCCAGAGAAGAGGGACACCGTGTGGATTTAGAACAGTGGTCTGCAGAAGGTCATAGTTCAGAGGCTGCAGCAAGGAGAAGCTGGGAAATACTGGGAGAGCAGGAGGAGGAGGAAGCAGAAGAAGCACCAGGGGAGAGACAGCTGACAGATTCAGTGTCTTTGGAAAGCATGCCAGACCACCCCCTTCCAGGTCCGGCGTGCACTGAAAGTAGAACAGAAAGCTCAGATGAGCTAGATAGGGATGGCGTATAATAGGAGAGATGGAGGGGGTGGGACTTTACTCGGAGCAACACCATTATCTAAGAGGCGCCATCTTGCATCTCTCTCTGTGAATATTGAATAAATTACCTTTGGTAAGAACTTCTTGTTTTCCCATTTCTTGCTGCCAGCCATGAGGGAGGGGGATCGGATTGTCTGAAGCCTGACAATGGTGCTATGTAAAAGCAAAGATCTGACCTTATGAGAGCCCTTCAAAACGCACACTCTGATCGCTAAAGATCCTAAGAAGCACCTTGAACCATAGCCAGAGACCTGGCATTGGATTTTTACCATACATTTTCCTCACCAAATGTAGCAGTGAGCAGCCGTGAGCACCCAGTCGGGGGTGATCAACATTCCAGAGCATAGAAGCGTGTCAGAGTCGTAGAGCAGAGCGAGCCAAGAATGACTATTTGTAGGGCACTCCTCGCCTCCAATGATCCGGTTACGGTGCGCTGACACTGCAACACAGACCAAGAAAGCTCACTGGGATGGTGACCAACATTCTTCATTAGAATACCCATCAATCAATATAGGTTGTTCTAGCCATAGGCCAGGACGAACCCACAACAACAGTACCAATAAAACCATACAAATACATACATCCACAATATGAGCCAACATCCATGGTGTAATAGAGAGGTTACCAGAGACATCAACAAACTCAAATCCAGCTTGTTTTCAAATTAAACCTTTGAATCGCCACAATTTATAGAGATTTTATCTAACTCCTGTCTCCTGATTTATTTATATTTTTGCAGCCAGTGCACAGAGAGCATCGTGTCAGAAAGCTATTATTGTCAGTCAAAATCAACCAGACCATTTATGCCAGGGTGTACCTGTTTGCATGTGTGAACAAAGGCTTTCAGAAAGCAATCTCATGGGTCTCTGTATAAGCGGCAGGCTAACATAAAATGAGTAATAAAAACACTACAACAAAAAACAGCATAAAAATACCTTCCACCTGTGGTTGACCACAAATACAAAGCCTCTCTGTGTATAGGACCTTGTGGCAGTGGGCCTCACCTGGAAAGGCAGCCCAGTAAAGACACAAATTTGGAGAACACTGGCATAGGCAATACTGAGCTAGGTGGACTAACGGTCAAGCTCAGGAGAAAGCAGCTTCCTGTGTTGCTATGATGCATCTAGACCACCACCGCCCCTCCGAGGTCCACATCACATTGCCACCAGTTCTCTTACCAAAAGACAGCAGGAGGAACAGAAAGATGCGCAGCGATTTGGAGAGTTCCATAGCAGCAGATCTGCGTGGCGAAGTGTCTGTGCCTACCTTGGAAAGTAGAGAACAAGTTTTGTGATTAAGAAAATGTGATACAAGTTCTTTTTTCTTTTTTTTGGCTCAGCGCCTTGACTCCTTTGTTTTATCTACACCCCAAGGTCACAGCCCAGGTGTCCAGCGGGTGCCACGTTCTCAGCAGTCCACACCTGGCTCAACTAGGCAGCTTGAGAGAGAGAGAGAGAGAGAGAATAAGCATAAGCCCTGGACTTAATCTGAACAGAAGCAGAGCCAGCACTTTCCTCCTAGAATGGCAAAACAGGATGTCGTCTCATGGCAACCTCAAAGATGGGGCACTGATTTCACGAAGTTAACAAAGTACATCTTAACTGATTTAATATTGTATTTGCAACCCACCCAGGGACCTTGTGGTGACATCACCACCAACAAAAGGTCAGTGTTTCCAGTGAACTCCGGTTCTGCTTCCAACGTTGGAGGAACATGGAGCAGGGCCAGAGCAAGGCCTCTGATGATGACCTCAGCCTGTAGGGAACTTTGTGTGGGCACAGGTGCTCCATGCTGTTGCTTCATTCCTTGACCCCACAGTACAGGGGCACATCAGCATAAACATATTTGTGAAAGGAGCTAGGCCACAGGGAGCAGCAGGGAGCATCTGCATTGGGCAGGGAGGTGGAATCACTGCAATGACTATGATCAACGCAAGGAGGTCCACCCAGAGGAGATTCTGGTAAGCAATAACAAGAATGAGAGTTGTTGAAAGGGCCAGGAATCTGGGTGTAAACATGCCCTTATTATGCCAGACAAGGCTCCTGTCTATAGAACAAAGCCAAGATCTTCCACCTTGCTCACTGTAGACCCACTCTAGGGCTCAGAATAGAGCAGCTGCGGTGCTGGACCACATTGAACTGAACTTTCTCTCTCAGCTCCTCTTTCTGTGTCCTTATGTTGTTCTTGATCCTTATCACACTGCTTTTCCCCACTGCTGTGGCTATGAGACAGGAAACCCTGTGTACTCCTAAGAAAAGCTACACGGAAGGCTACTCTAGAGACGGGGCCCATATTATTGGTGGTCTTTTATCCCAGAATATTTTAAGCGGTGAACAAGAACAATTCCGAAGTGCTCCACAGCCTTTCTCCTCTGCAATAGTCAGTCAGTAAGTATTTAACACTGTTTCAGGAAACCAGAATGTATCATCTGAATTTATCAGTCTCTGTGTAGCCAGACTCAGGTCTATGATGTTATCGCAGATGAGATCAGAAGTGGTTTCTCGAGCAATCAGTACATACAAGTGAATGAATGAAGTCAAGGCCTAAGTGCATAGGATATATTTCTGTCATGTAGGTGTGAAAGAATTGAAAAACTTCACAAAAGCAAGTCTATCAGTAGAATGAACAATTTTATGTGGCTTCACAACACTGCAATGTAGACACAGTGTGAAATATCACATAAATATATTCTAAAATGTCTATGTTGGCTGAGTATGTCTTTCAAATGCTAACGGAACCACAGCAATAAAATACAAAGTTATTGTTGCTCAAATCTTTGAAATCCAGAAGGTGAAGATTGTTCACAACAGACATATTTCAGAAAGCATGCCATACGTGTTTCAACCTATAAAGTCTTCTTCAGTGGCATATAGTTGAAAGACATCTCTTTATGTGAGTGGTCACAGAGCCAATACACAAATCCCTAATATTTCAAATTTACTAAAATACAGGGTGAGTCTTTTAAAGAGGCCCTGTGGAACATGTGTACTCTGTATCCACAGAGCCTCTTTTAAAGGACTCACCCTGTATATTATGCTGCTAGAGATTCAGTGTCTGTTTGTTTTTAATGGTCTAAAGTTTTCTGCAAGCAGCAATGCCCAGCTTCTGTAGAGAATATTTCTTCCAGGATATTTACCGTACTTTTTTTACAATTTACTTTTTAAAACAAGAATTGCTGTCTTGTATAGTTTGCCCTCAGTGTATAATCTCTCTCTCTCTCTCTCTCTCTCTCTCTCTCTCTCTCTCTCTCTTTCTCTCTTTCTCTCTCTACCAAAAGGAGAAATCTTTTACTGCTGTTTCTCTCTCACACCTATGCACATCTGCTCATCCCTGCCCTCTTCCCTTACCTAGAGGGGTGTCATCCTCCTTCAAGTACTGATCAGCATTTCATTTGAAAAGGGCAGAGAGATCCCCAACTATCAAGAGATCATCCCCATACCATTAGCTCCCATTCACAAAACATCTGCCTGCCAGCCTGTGCTATTAACCTGCTGTGGGATGGGTGGCGCTGTGGTCTAAACCACTGAGCCTCTTGGGCTTGCTGATCAGAAGGTCGGCAGTTCAAATCCGCGCAAGGGGGTGAGCTCCTGTTCGTCTGTCCCAGCTCCTGCCAACCTAGCAATTTGAAAGCATACCAGTGCAAGTTAATAAATAGATACTGCTGTGACAGGAAAGTAAACGGCGTTTCTGTGCGCTCTGGTTTCTGTGGTTTAGTCATGCTGGCCACATGACCCGGAAAGCTGTCTGTGGACAAACGCTGGCTCCCTTGGCCTGAAAGTGAGATGAGTGCCGCAACCCCACAGTCGCCTTTGACTGGGATCCTTTACCTTTTTAAATATTAACCTGCAATCTTGCTAACAAAGGAACAGTTACTCAGAAGTCTTAACACCTGTAAAGATGCTGTTCTTGTTTCTTTGGTACAGTATCTACCCATCTATCTATGCATACATACTGTATGAAATTAGGGGGCTTGGGGGTGCGTTATCCCTGAGGCGTAGCAAAATCATCTCAATGCCCTTCTGAGTACCATTTGTCTGTCTAGCACATTTTTAACCGAATATTTCCAGGGCAGTTCACAATAGGTTCACTGTCCCAATGCAGAAAACTCAAGAAGAACTACCAGCACACCCTGGCCTTTGTGTTTGCAGTGGAAGAGTTCAACAAGGACTCTCATCTCTTTCCCAATGTCTCCTTGGGATTTCAGCTCTATGAAGATAGTCACGACATGAGAAAGAACCATGAGGCCACCGTTAGCATTTTATCTGAGAGGAACTGGACTCTTTCCGTGCTCCCCCTGCCTCCCAGCGCATATGATCTTTATTACTCCTATGGGAGGCCATCTTATGATAGCCTGGTCAGCAAAAGTCCAAAGGATAAAACCATCCCCAACTATCATTGCCATGGGCAGAGCAAGCTGGCAGCCGTCATTGGGGCTCTGACATCCGAGTCTACCACTGAGATGAGCAACATGTTGCAGAGGTCCAAGGTACCTCAGGTGAGTTTGGCTCTGTGCTCTGTTGCTGTAACTGACACCTTCTCTGACTTCAAAATATTGGAGCAACCAAATAGGAGTGTGACCAAATGACACATGCCCCCCCTTTCCGTATCACCTTCTAAGTTGCTTCTAAAGCTCCCCACTTCCCTTAGCATAGAAAGAGACCACACATTTGGTGAGTTAAAAATGGTTTACTTACAAACTCTTCAAAGATCAGGTTCATGTGCTTTTCTGAACAGCAGCAATAAAAGACCAACAGTATAACTTAGGTTCCAAAATGGTAAATGTTTCTAAATTATTTGTATAGAAGCACAAAGATGGCCTGCTTAAGCCACTCAGTATAAATTTGGAACATCCAGACTAAGCCTCCTTGCTAGTAGGTGTAATGGACTGATTGGACACAGAGGAATGGTAGGAGGAACCAATGGAGGAACCACCAAAGGAAAATGGCTCAGAGTCTGGGGAGTGATGGTGAGACAATGCTGAAAGGTCAGAGGGAGAAGACTGAGAAGAGGAGGTGTCAGAATCTGAAGGGGGTAACAGGGCTTGTCTGCGGCAGAGAGAAGTCAAGAATCAGAGGGGGAAGCTGAAGCAGGTGAGTGGGAGGAGGGAGGTCCAGTGGCAGACATGAGTCAGACTGCTGAAAAGTCACAGGGATTTCTCCCAGCTGCTGCTGCTGCAGCAGCAAGCTCCCTTCACCCTCTGACTCTCAGAACCAGGAGAGACATGAAATGGGAGGAGCAAAGGCAGTCTGCATGCAGGAGCAGTCTCTGATCACTTGGAAGAGGCTCTGGCATGCTCTGGTCCATGGGGTCACGAAGAGTTGGACACGACTAAACAACAATTGGGGAGAAGGAGACACTGAAAGCTGTGGGGAGGCAGTGACCCTTAGTCTTGGCAAATGATCTCATGAAGTAACTGCTACAGGTAATAAGCTGTTGTGCTCATTTGGCCTGAAACTCAGCCAAGCCTGTGAAGATCATATTCTTGCTAATAAAGAGTTAACTACAACTTTGAACGGTGTGATTTACTGACCAACTTGCAGTTTGACAGAAGGGTTCACACAGTGGAAGAGAGAGAACAAAGAGTTTGGTAAGTCTTCCTCCCAAGATAAGCTTGGCAGGACAGCTTAGTCTATGGTCTTAACCCCTTCATGCATTAATTAGAGTTAAGCATGCTGGTTTTTTGAGCCTGATTTATCCCACACTGTCAACCTTTTAGTCAATAAGAAGGAGGAGGAGAGCACAGTCCTAGTTAAGTTTATATTTCTAGTGAATTGCCAGATTCCTACATTTAAAAGCCACAATTTTAAAAACAAAAATTGAACACAAAATGGTTGGAAGGTTCTATTCCTACTCAAAAACAATATAAACCAGCAAGAAATATCCCCCTTTTTTCCATAGATCAGTTACGGCTCATCTGATCCTATCCTGAGCGATAAGGTCCAATTCCCTTTTCTGTATCGGACAGTCCCCAGTGACATGACTCAGTTCACTGGGATCATCAAGCTGATCCTTCACTTCCGCTGGACGTGGATTGGAGTAGTTTTTACAGGTGACGATAATAGTGAGAAGTTCCTCCAGGTCTTGGAAAGTGAAATGCAGAAAAATGGAGTTTGCACTGAATTTATCTTAAAGATGTACAACAGGAAGAGCCTTGCTATGAAAACCATTCATAATATGGAAGATGCCCTCACAAAGTCCTCAGCCAATGTAACTGTGTTTTACGGCAGCACCAGTCACTTCTTTCAGTTACAACTTCTCAGTCGAAATCTCCGAACAAGAGGCAAGATCTGGATCATCACAGCCCAGTGGGATTTTACTGCAGGTCCCCGGCCAGACAAACCAGACTCAAATCCATTTCAGGGCGCCTTGTCCTTTGCAGTTCATAAGGCGGAAATCCCACAATTTCGAGACTTCCTTCGGTCTGTGAACCCTAAAAAATATCCAAACGATATTTTCATGAAGCATTTCTGGGGTTCTGCCTTTGATTGTTTGATGCCTCCTCCCTACTCAGTCCCAAGGTATGGGAAAAGAAAATGCACTGAAAGGGAACGACTGGACAGCCTGCCTGTTTCAGATTTTGATATGAACACCGTGTGGCAGAGCTATAGCATTTACAATGCGGTCTATGCAGTAGCCCATGCACTGATGGAAATGAGATATCATAATACTAGAGGAGGACGGAGGAGGAGGAGAAAAGGCCTTCTACCCCCATGGCAGGTATTATGACACAAATAATGTATCTGAGGCAGAGGAGAGTTTTCAACAATGCCAAAGATGGTAGCCACTCCGAGGAGAGGTCTTTAAATGAGACCAAGAGGGACTTCTTTGGCTCCCCAGATCACCTGATTCCACAGGGCTATTAGCTGCAATCCCCCTTTCTGACACTGTCAGTGGGCCCTGCCCACCCATAGATTTGAATAGATATTCATTCATTGCATTAGCAAAGGCACCATACGGTTTAAATATATCCTGGATCAGAGCATTGTTCCGCAAGTGCAGTTTGAAGCACAGCAGGGGGAGATGCCCTCTCTGGCTTTCAAGCCACTAACACAAACATGCACCAGAGTCACATATTCATATTAATTTAAACGTGATGAATCAAGTTGCTAAATGAATGTACCCTTATCGTGTTTTATGACTCCCCTGATATTGTTTGTGAGCTGGAACTGTGACCAAAATTAATAAATTCATTCATTCACTAGCTAAATGTGGAACAGTCAGTTTATTTAAGTAAGCTCTTCTATCAGTTAGCAGTCATAATTATTAAATCATACTTTAATGAAGAGAGATTTCTTCCTCCCTTGCAATCTCTGCCCTCAGCTCCACACATTTCTGAAGAAGATCCAATTCAATAACAGTGCTGGAGAGGAGGTTTATTTTGATGAGAATGGAGACTCCACAGCTACTTATGATATTTTAAATTGGAGCGTGCTCCCTAACAGCTCCTTGGTTAGTGTGAAAGTTGGAGGAGTGAAGCACCATGGCCAAGACTTCTTCTTTGACGATGCTAAGCTTGTCTGGAAGGAACAATTAGGGCAGGTGAGACTCAAGAAAGACTCTGCTCTGGGTGCTCCACCCAAGTGAGATATGGTGGATGGTTTATGGGGCTGGATCAAGGCCCCATGTGTGTTATAGATTTAAAGCAGTACATTCTACTTCAGACAGTTATGGTTTCCCTCAAATAATTATGAGAACTGTAGTTTGCTAAGGGTCCTGTGAGTTCTTGGGAGATCCCTATTACCCTCACACAACTCAGAGTGGTTAATAATACAGTGGTGCCCCGCAAGACGAGTGCCCCGCTAGACGAAAGGGTTTTCCGTTTTTCGATGCGCTTCGCAGGACGAATTTCCCTATGGGCTTGCTTCGCAAGACGAAAATGTCTTGCGAGTCTTGAGATTTTTTTTCACTTCCCCCCCCTTTTTCTAAGCCGCTAATAGCCTTTTAGCAGCTAAGCCGCTAAGCCGCTAAGCCTTTAATAGCCGCTAAACCGCTAATAGCGCTAATCCGCGAAGCCGCTAATAGGGTTGCTTCGCAAGACGAAAAAGCCGCTAGACGAAGATACTCGCGGAACGGATTAATTTCGTCTTGTGAGGCACCACTGTAATTATATAATTTATATCCTGCCCATCTGGCTGTGTTTCCCCAGCAACTCTTGGCAGCTTACAACATATATAAAAACACAACAAACCTTTTGAAAACAAAATATCCTGTACAAGCAAGAAACAAACCAACAAACCAATAGAAACCAATAACAACAATACTGATAAAAATAATAACAATAATCAACAGTTTACAGTTATACCCACATTAAAATAACTGCCAAACACAGCTAAACATTGAACCAACACCAACCCAACAAAACCGAAGCAGAGGAACCAAAATTAGAACCATTTAAAACCTTTTAAAACATTTTAGTCAGTTGCCCCAACCCAAGAATTGTTCCAGCGATGTTCCTCCAGCCTCCCAGGAGCCTCTTTTAGTTGTTCAGGGTAACAGCTCCTGCAACTTGTGCAACACCTGATGGCAGCCAGCCGGTTAGTCAAGGAGGCTCAAGGCACGCCACGTGGCAAACACAGCTCTGTCCCTCCTAGAAATTGGGGAGAAATTGGATTCAGTTTGCATTTAAAGGCAAATCTGCCTAATTTCCAAAATAATGCATTAACAGAAACACAGCCATCCTCCAAAATTCTCCAGCCAAGTAATGTCTATAGAAATGCATACATTAAGTTGTTCTTTAAAAAAAATCAAATATTAGTGAAAATAACATACAACAACACATTTTTAGGGGAAATTGCATATAAAGATGTGTATATTAATCAAAATTCACACTAAAATGCTGGGGAATTCACATACAGTTTGTACAATTAAATTGTGCAAATTGAGGTTGTGCATTGCCCTGTCATTTTCCTTAATGCAGTGTCCAATCTTTTGGAGAAGTGGGCTCGTTGTGCAAGTGTGCCAAATGAAGCATGAATCTACCAATATGTGATTGAATGCTATAGTTTGCAAAACAGCCACTTTAAAAAACGCATTTCCTCCTGCACTTCTTTAGCATCTGCGTTCCATCTGCAGTGAGAGCTGCCTCCCTGGATTTAGAAAAGTGGTCGAAAAGGGAAGGCCCAGCTGCTGCTTCAAATGTGTCAGGTGCCTACCTGGCCAGATCTCCAACCAAATTGGTAAGAATGTGGCCAAAGCATTGCTTGACTATACAAACATACGTAGTTTATGTTTGTGTTCTCTGTGTGTTCTGCTTTTTGTTTTGATATTCACATTTTTCATCTTGGATCCAACTCAGGGTAAAATAATTTATGCATGTTCCCAGCATAAGCCCCCTGTGCATAGCACTGATGGGCTGGAATCTGGTAAGTCACTAACCCATTTCTTTATTTCAGCCAAATCAGATTCCAGTGTTTTAAGAATGCACAGTATCTTTTTTTTCTTTTTAGTGGATATAGAATTAATGTGTGATCGACTAAATGTAGATGAGCTGCTATATGATATATGGTCAGCATTTACACAGTTTTGTCAAAGGGTATTTTGCCTTCCCAAAGTTCTGCATGCTTTTGGTTTTTTCTTTTGAGCAAT